ATAATCATTATTTTTATTCTAGACAAATTTTTCCCGCTTAAACTTACGAAAAACGATTCTTTGTTCATTCAAAATATCATCTTGATGTAATGGTAATCGACACATACATACAGACACACGACCAAGTGTTTGGCAAACATAAATGTTTCAAGCCAAAAGTTCATTTTAATTTTTCCATCCTTTCATCTTCATCCTCATCATCATGTATTTGGTTCATTCAAATTAACAGAATTTTTTTTTTAAATATACATCATCACAATTGTAATGATAATCAAATTGTAGTCATTTAATATTAATATAATACTATAAAGTTCTAATAAAAATCTTGTATTGTCGTGTGTATGTAATGTGGTAATGTTCTCGATTCTTTATATAATTAGAGAGCCATTATCATACATATACAAATAAATTCACACACACACACACACACACACACACACACAATTTATGAATGAATGAATGAATGGATGGATAGATGGTAAAAATACAACAATTGTTGAATGGAATGAAATGTAGAAAAGCAAAAGAAAATTAATAGTACACACACACATATGTGTGTGTATGATTGTTGTAACAAGATTGTATAAGTTTAGCTTTTTCTTAAAAAATAAATAAATAAATACAACGATTAAGAATATCAATGAACTTTTCAAAATAGTAGAATATAAATAAATATGATTGCTGTTGTTGATCATTTTAATGATTATCATCATCATCCTCATTTAGTTGAGAATTCAGAAGAAACGAATTTAATAATCAAAAAAAAAAAAAACGTTTATTAAACGTATTGGCAAATCGAAAGTGATAGCGGTGTGCGTATGTGTGTGTGTGTGTGACATGAATGTATCGAAATCAAAAATATAGTGGATTGGGCCAGTTTTTTTTATTATTTGCAAAAAAAAGGAAAAGAAAATGTATAAGTAAGTTAATGATGATTGCATCGCATATAATACATAAACATTCCATTGCATTCAACATAGTTTTGAAAGAATGAATGAATGAATGAGACGAGATGAGATGAGATGAGAAAAAAAAACCGAAAAAATATAGAATCTAAATCGAACGATGATCTTGACAAACTTGTTCGACAACAACAACAGCCAAATCTTCAAAATATTTAAAAAAAATACACCGGTAATACAAGTTTATTGAGAAAAAAAAATCAAAGAAAGTTTTAGTTATAGACTGACTGATAGATTCGGTACACACACATACAAATACACATTGGTTCAAGATTTATTGTCTGGATATTGACTTTTTCCTATTCCTTCTTTATTCGTTGAAAATCCTCATTTCGCCAATGTCTTTTGATGAAAAATCTCAAGGTCTTATTCTCGCATCATTATCATCATCATCATCATCATCATCATCATCCACAATTGATGATTTTGTGGCCACACAGCTAACACATAGTATGCATTTTGACTTATCGATTTAAAATAATTTCTTTTTTTTCATCATCTCTTCAACATTTATATTTGCGATACACACACACAGTCATCATTGAAGAATTTTCATGTTTATTTAATCTTAATAAAGAAAAAGAAAGAGAAAAAAAATTTTTTTTATTGGTGAATTGCTTGTTTGTAACATATTATTTTTGTTTGTGTGTGTGTGCATATAGAAGTTCAACAAGAATCGATCATAGAATAATCTTATCCGGAAAAAAACAAAACATTAAAAAATTATCAAAAATTGAATAAATCCATAAACGTCACATACACAAAACACACGTACCTAATTCCAATCCGATGGTTTTTCAACTTTTCAAGAAATCAAAAAAAAACTATCAATCTGGCTGTCGTCTTCGTGCAGTTTGTCTATAACACACACACACAGACAAACACTAATCATCGACAGGTCTTCAAGTTTAATTATCCTCCTTACACACACACAAACACCGGCTGAACAATCATAAAAAAAACTCATTCGAATAGAATTTAACTCAAACGAACCAATGAAAAAAAGATACATAATTCATATAATAACAAAAACTATTTTTTTTGTGTGCAACAAGAGAGAAAATCAAATGTAAAGGAAAGAAAAAAAAAGATAGAAAGAAAACTTTACTAACATATTTGATTTGAACAAAGGTATGGAAAAAATTATTAATCCTAAATTCTTTTTTTTTCTTCTGAAAAAAAAGTTGATCATCATGATTCTTTCGATGAGTTGACAGTCATTTTAGATTCTTCTTTCTATTCGATGATGATGATGATGATGAAGAAAATGATTCATACACAGACACAGAGTGAAAGGAAGAAAGCTAGATAGAGAAAGAGAGAGAGAGAGAGATTAATTTTTTTTTTTTTTGGATTGTTGTTCGTCTGGTTTTATTTTTTCAATTTTTTTTTCTTTTTGAATCGATGAGGTTAATATAATGTTGATGTTGTTGTCGGTATCAAATCCTGATGTGATTATAATGAATATATTATGTTTTTATTTTTGGTTTTTTTTCAAAATTTATGCCGAGAAAAAAAACATTGATAATTTTTCTTGTTTTTTATCGATTCCACAACGACGACGATCGATTGGATGTTATTGACCAGAGAGAAAAAAAAGAAGAAAAACACTCCAATGATCATCATCAGTGGTAAACAAACGTAGTAGACATTGATTGTTGCCGATCCTTAAAATTTTTTTTCCTTTGAATTAATTAAATTAAAAATATTATTATTATTGACCGTCATTTTGATTTTTTTTTCTTATTTCTAACCTGTCTGTCTGTTTGTTGAATTTTGTAGATAAATTTTCTAGAATTTATTATTTCTCCATTTATTCTATATCGATCTATTCCCGTAAGCGGCTACCTTCGCGTAATTCTTGCACTGAATAATAAGGATAATTATTACTATATATACATTATTACATTGAATAATAGTATAATGATGACTACATTGTTAATTGATGGTTATCATCATTATGACCAGGTAAATTGAAAAATGATAGCAATAGAATTAGTTCTCTTGTCGAATGAAAAATAATTTTTTATTCAGAAAAGATAGAATAAAAAATGATTTTTTTCTTCTCAAAATTTTAAATAAAAATCATGTAAAACATTTACACGTGCTTCCATCTAGCGATCGTCCAAAACCCTAGTTTTTTTTAAAAAAACAACGTTTTTTTCTTGTTGCAATCAATCCAATTCGTTGATTTATTTATCGATTTTTGATACAATAAAAAAAATGATCAATAAATATTCCATTCTTTAATGTTATTTTTTCTTTATTCTCATGTCTATATGTTAATCGTTTGTTATTAAAAAACGAAATAAACATATAATTGATATCAAATTGGCGCCACGTTTTCGTGTTACAATTTTATAAATAATAAATATATATAAATATTATCACCAATTGCCAGACAAACAAAACCCAATGCAATCAACCTAACTAATATATATTGTGTAACAAATACGCTACAATTGTTTATTTTAGCTAAACACACACGCCGTACGAATGTGCAAGAGAGAGAGAAAGAGAAGACTTTTCCCTTATTTTATATGAGACATGATTCCAATGAATTACCTACATGTTTTTTTTTATTGGCTGTTACAAATAGAACAACAAATTTGATAAAAAAAATATTACCTGTTTGTATTACAAACAAACAATGACTAGATAAACATTGCAATATCATTGTTGGATTCCTAAATTCATTTCTCTATCCAATTATTTGATTTACATATATAATATATATATAGGGATTATGATCATGAACTTTATCTAATCAAAAAAAAAAACGATGACAATCATCGCAATGCAAATTTTCTTTTTTATCCATAAAATTAATAATAAATAAAGAAATTATTGTCGTGATTATTTCTAAAATTATCAAAGAATTCTTATTATTATTATTATTAATTACCATCATCATTAAACGAATCAAATCAATGATTTTTTTTTGTTGTTTGTTTGTTTTGTGAGAACGAACGAAAAATGAAATGAAAAATAAATTAACAAAAAAAAAAATTTTTTTTTATACGAACAAAAAACGAAAATTTTTCACTGTGTGTGTGTGTATGAGTCTCATACTATGAGAGTGTTGTGAACACATCCAATTTTTTTTTAATCAATTAACAATTAATAATTATAAAATTTTTTAACAATAAATTTTCTCTTCTTTTTTGTTGTTGTTGTTGATGATGATGATGATGATGATGATGATTAAATTTTTGTAATTTAAAACAACAAAGAAAAAAATTCTGATAAAAATTTTGAAAAAAAAGAAAAATCTATGTTACACAATTACAATAATAATAATGAATGAATGAATGAATAACAAATAAAAACATGCAACTGTTGATCAATCAATCAAATCAATCAATTCTGATTTTTTTTGTTGCTTTGACTGCTGCTGCTGCTGGTTACATCGTAAATTCATAATTAATAATAATTCATATGGCCAAAAAAATATATAATATCTCTCTGTGTGTTTATGTGTGTGTGCGGTTGGGTAGTGCGTAAAAAAATAAAACACTTTTTCTGCATATATATCATTTCAATTGATAATAATAATTTCACAAGGTAAATGTGTGTGTGTGTGTGTATATGTGTTTATGGTGAATGAGAATTATAATCATTTTATATCGATTATTTAAAGCGCCTTATTATTCATTTGGATTGTAAGTTGACCGGTATGTAATAGTTGATAATAATCATCATCGTTCAAAGGTTAAATTTTAAATCGAATCGAATGTAGCTCTAAATAAATCTTCATTAATCATCTGCCAATGAATTATTATTAGTATTTTTGTTTCGAAAGAAAATTCTAAGATTGTCTTGTGTGTATGTGTGTACGTGAAAAATTAATTGAACTAAATCTCGATCGAATAATAATAATATGTTGAACACATTCAATTTTTTCTGTTTTTGAAAATGAATTTTTCAATTTCACTGATGATTCTTTGTGTGACTACCAAAAAAAAGAATTGATGAAAAGACAAAAAAAAAATTAAATATGTGAAAATAGCAAACAACAATAATCAAGAAAAGTGGGTGGGAGGTGTGTATTGTTTAGTATATTTTAAAATGAAAATGAGCAGCTAAAAATCTTTGTCATAATTTCTATTGAAAAAAATACTCTTAACTCTTCTATCGGTATTCATTTGAAAGTTTTGTGCACACACATCATTTTAAACGACAAAAAAAATAACAACAAAAACATGTGAATGTAAAATTAACAAATAAAATAATTTCTGCCGTGTAAAAAGCGAGCTGATGATGATGATGATGATTATATATAACGTGAATCAAATTATCAATCAAATACTATGTTGAACAATCACCAACAAAACCGATCGACGTCTTGTTGAATTGTTGTTTTCTATGGTTGATTGTTGATTGATTGATTCAAATTTAATCGGTAAATTTTGAATTCGTTCAGAATGCAACATTTGATTCAAGCATTTCGACAAACAATTTTTGCATCGGTACACTTCCTTCTTGCAATATATTTGACCATAATCGCCGTGTAACCGTATCCAATTGTCTAAGCAATGGAAAACATAGAAATATTTGACTAAGATGATTTATAGCTGATTGTGGTCGCAGTATGGAAACACATTCCTGTAATGTTTGTAGCAATGTATCACGTAGTTTTGAAACACTTTCTTGATTTTCCAATTGTATATCTGTATATATGTGTAATAAATTTGGGAATAGAAATTATTAAATCAGTGAGTATTTCAAGTTAAAAACCATAAACATTTACCCGCATTGGTCAATATGATTGCCTTCATAAGTAAATATTCTTCCTTGGCAATTTTCAACTGATTCAAACGTCGAATCAATTGAATCAGATGAGCAAACAATTCTTCGGCATTACATTGAGCAGCCTGTTGATCATCGATAATAAAATCTGTTGCAAACACTAATTTATTAAATATTGGATTCGTTGTCGACGATGCATTGCTTGGACTAAGACATGCAGGTGTGTTTGGCGGTGAACTATATTGTTGAGATCTATCAATTATGTTTATGAAAAAAAATATTATGATGATAAAAAAATAAACACACACATATATCGGCATATAAAAACGAACCGGAACGCAAGTGATAATGATAATATTTCAGCCCAAGTTGATTGTAATAAACGCATTTGATCATTAAGAATTAAATCAGTAAAACCGGGTATCTGTTTAGCCCATGCTATTGTAGCCACTAATTCTTTATCAACCAATTCACTTAAAATACATAGATTTTTATATTGTGATGATGAAACGGATGAAATGCTGTTATTCGAACTAGGACTATATAGATGCATATTGGCATTACTCATTATCGGTTCAGGCTCACATTTAATCAATGCAGCAATAATTCGATTATCTACAGAAAAAATGTAATTAAAATCATCATCAATCATTAAGTGAGGAAAAATCAATAAAATACCATCAATATTGGATTTTTTTAGACTGTAATTCTGTCCCTGATATGGTGCTTCCGAAGTACGGCGATATTTTTGCCTACCACCACGAACACGATCCAATCGTACACCTTCTTTAAGCATACCCATGCGAAGACACTTTTGAAAACGACATGCCTGACATGCTTTACGTCTTCTCTTATTGATTTCACAATTATTGGTCGCTGGACATGTATATTCAATGTTGCCTTTTTTCAGAAAAAAATTGTGAAAAATCAATTAATCTGTTAAACAAATAAATACCTTGAATAGTCCGTTTAAAAAATGCTTTACAAGCTTCACATGATGCAACACCATAATGAAAACCGGATGCCGTATCACCACAAACCAAACATAGACGTTTTGGGGATGAATCACGTACCTTATTTAAATCATTTGTATCCAGACAAACATTTGTGTTTATATCACCTGAAACGGTGCTTGAGCAAAACATTTCTTGATGATGAGTGTCATTATTATTATTATAATTCAATGGTGATGATGATGGTGAATGTTCAAGGCTTGCTGGTGCGCTAAAGAGATCCTATTTATTCATTAATTGAAGAATCAAATTTATAGAATTTTTCTCATTTAAAACTACTTATACTTACGACATTGATCGATGTTTGTGTTGTGCTATTACTGTTACTGTTATTGATTTGATGCTTGGAAATAGGAAATTCGATCCGTTTTATATTGGCCGATGATGATCGATGATTATTATTGGCAGTTGTCGTTATAGTTGTCACACCTCTATGTAATGTTGATATTGTTTGCTGCTGCTGTTGATGATGTTGATGTGAGGTATTCTGGTTGTTGGAAGTCGATTTAATAATGGCAGCCGTATAATTATGTCCATTTCTAACATCCAATGATTCTTCATTATTCAATGATGTTGTTGTACTGTTACTGTTGCTGTTATTTCTTGAACTTGTACTGGTGGAAATATATCGTATACATTCATCTTCTTCTTTAATAATTTCCTGTTTAATAATCTGTTTTGTAATTAAAGGACTGATGATCGTTGCATTCGTTGTTGACATTTTCGGTTTATTTTTCAATTTGCAATTTGAGACTTTTAATAAAATGTTAGTTGACAAAATTTATTCTTTTTACGGCAATTAATCTGCAAAAAAAAGTGAAGCAGAAAAGCATGATTAAGGAAAGAAAATTGAAATCGAAATTGTAAATTTCTAAAAAAAACATATCACAATAGATCATAGATGGCGTCGTTTAATAAATTTAAAAATTAAATACCATTAAATTGTGAAACATTTTAAACTTTTTTAATCAATCAATCAATCGATAAGGATAATTGAAAATCATTTTAGCTCTGTTGTTCAAAATTGTGGTTTAGATATTTTAGATTGTTATGTAAAAGTCTTTTGTTTTGTTTTTTTTTTAAATAACACTTGGAAAAAAAGACAAAATTCATCATACAAGCTAATACTTTCACTACACTTTATTATTCCTGATGAACAAACAAACAAACAGTACAAGTGCTACAAATCAACCAACCAACAATTATTATTACAAACAGACAATTTTGATTGCAATCGTAAGACGTTTTTTTTTCTAAACATCACACCACAGGCAGGCAGGCAGACAGACACACACGCACGCACATACTAAGATTGTGATTATGATAAAATGCATCATCGTGTTAAGAAAAAATAAAAAGCAAAAATATGCTCAAATTCAAGGCCACTGGTGTCCACAAATGCACATACACACCATCACCGTAAAAAAAAATTCGTATGTATCCAAACTCGAATCAATTATCATAGAATGGACTCATCAATGACGTTAATGGAATTATTAATTGATTATAATGGGAAAAAAAGTGAAATGGAAAATCAAACATAACATATAAATAATTCCAACGATTGATGATTATGATGATCCTGTTTTTTTTTGAATTTAAGGAATGTTGATCATCACATGTTATCATTACATGATGATGATAATTTAATTGCTGCATTTAGTTTTTACATCATCATCATCATCATTATTATTATGAAAGTGAAAAAGGTACATCATTTCATAGTTATAGCAAATTATTCTATAGAATTTAAATGTGTTTTATAATCAAACTATGAAAAATCAAAAAAATCAGGATTTTCCATAATCATCAAATTGATGATGATTGTTGATAATATTAATAGTTATAGTTATGAAAAAAAATCACCATTAATCGATAATGACGAATGTCGAAAGATGGCGCCCATTATAGCTTTTTGATTTGAAATTGACAAAAAAAAATTCATCATTTCTTTTAATAAATACAAAAAATGAAATGAAATGAATGGTTAGATGATTTTGTGCAAAAAAAAATGAAATTGAATCCTTAAACAAACAAAAATTTCACTAATGTAACAAACGGAAAAACTACAAACATACACACACATTGCCCGTATTATTATTAATGAAATGACAAAGCATGATTTTTTTTTTGATTGAAATAAAATTATTGTTTGTCATTATTACTTTAGTAGCCAAAAAAGAAAAGGATTGGATCATCATCATCATTATCAATAACCGGAATGATGATGAAAAAATAAATTGAATGAAATGAATAAAAAACTTAAGAAAGAAAGTAAGCAAAAAAAGATATAACTTACAGATTCACAATTATATGTTTTTTTGTTGTTGTTGTTGTTGTTGTGATGATGGTATCTGTTGTTGATTGAGTTTCAAATGATTCACAAAAATCACAACTTGACTAGTTAGAATGATAATAAATGATGAACAGATTAAATTAAATTCTTATAACGGAAACGGATATACCACACACACACACACACACATGCACACATCTAGCCCAGTGATAAGAATTGGAAGCACTAACAACAAAAAAAAAGTAATTACAAGAAATATAGTAACGATAACGATATCATAGAATGGTAATCATAAATGAAAAAAAAAATGTTTAAACAACGAAAATTAAACAATGGTGGTATATGGGTGTGTGTGTAGGCGTGAATTTGAAAATAACAATAATAATAATAATTTTCGTATATGGTTGGCACACGTTTTTAATTTTTTTTTATTATATTTATTCGTCTTCTTCGTTTAGCTTGCTATTTTGTTTGATTATAGATGACATCTCACTTTTTTTTAACCGGATAGATTTATGTATGCTGTGTGAATGTTTGTGTGTGTGTGTGTGAATATGTGGTGAATGAATGTTGATTCGAGAGACAAAAGACCACTTTTTTAGATGATGAAAATTTCTTCTTTTTTTTGTTGAGAAAAAATGTGAAAAAAAATATTCAAATCTAGTATCATAACAAAAAAAAAACAATGATCGATAATGGCAAAAGTGATGACTCTCTCTCTCTCTTTCTCTGTTGAATGTTTATTTATTGCAAAATAAAGATTTCAAATTTTCTGAGGTAAAAAAAAGATAAGGTTACCCGTGTTGTGTATATGTTTTTGTTGTTTAGATGTAATTGGTTAAAATGTAGAAAATGACAAAAAAAAATGAAAGAAACAAACAGAATCCTTTTTCAATGACTAGAAATTGGCTAACTTTTTGTTAATTAGTGTGTTTTGAATAGACAAATTTTTTTTTCAAAAAAAAAACAAAACAAAACATAATATGCACGATAACAGATTGTATAATAAATATTGGATCGTTTTTTAAAAAAATAATTAACAACAACAACAACAATGATAATAATCAAATAACAGATATAATTTTTTTTGTATTGAAAAAAAATGATAACAAATACTATAAGTGTGTCTTATATATGTAAATAGTATAGTATAAGTGTTTTTTGTGTTTTCATAGAATCAAATCCGGAAGAAATGAATTGAAATTGTATGTTTTTTCGATTCAATCGATTCTTGATGATAAGATGATGATGATCATTTGGTGAATGAATTTGGTCCACACTCTTTCAAATTAATCAATTTTTAAAACAATTTCAAAATTGATTTTTATAATAAACAAATAAAATACAAATTGCAAAAAGGTATATGATGTGTCATAACCAAGTTTTCATATCATTTCATTTCTTTTCTCATATCGAATTCGGATGATTGAATTATTATGATGATAATGATGATTATTTATAACGGAAATATTCAAGTTTCTTCCACAAAGCCAATTTCAAACTTTCTTTTTTTTCCTTTCCTCATACACTTTCACCTCGTACACACATACACACACAATCACCATCAAACACCAAACCAGACTTCACGAAATTAAATCACGATAGATACACCATCACCATCAGATTCACATTCTCTCTCACTCTATACACACACACATACACACAAAAAAAACCAACAAATTCAATTCAATTAAAAATGAAATTCATTCATTTCCTAAAATCTGCAAAAAGAATTCAGTTCCCAGTCGCTATATTTTGTCACCGGGTAGGAAAAAAACAACAACACAAACCAACGATAATGATGATGATCAAAACCGAAGAAAAAAAAATCACCACCAACCAACCAACCACCACCACAATACACACACACACCTACAGCCAAAATTTTAACCAGATTGCAATGCAGATGTATAACAAAATAACGAAACGAGTAGGAGGAACATTTGTTTGGAAACCAGAAAAAAATTACATGTGCACTTACGTTGTGTATGTAGTGTATCATCTACCATCAAAAAGCTCATATCTATTGTTTTTTTTTCTCTCTTTATTTCTGGTCGTACATGGATCCAACACAAAACAAAACGAATTGAAATGATAATGGGCGAAGAAAATAGAAAATTATGTTTGGAAACACCATGCGTCCATCACACCACCACTAACCATTATTTGGGCGCATTGCATCTCTCTCAAACATGCATACACACACACACACACAGTTGAATCACTTTCTATATCTTCTTTATGGATATTCAATTCTCATGCTTTTTTCCACTGGTGGTGGTGGTGGTGGTGGTGGTGGTGGTAGCCATCACAAATGAATGAATGGCGCCCGAATGTGAAAGAAGCAGCGATACATTAAATTCAATAATGAAAATTGTCTCCCATACTGTTATACACGGTTATAATATTGTTTTTTGGTTGGCATTGACAACACGCAGGCATCATCATCATCCAACATCCAAAACTCAGATGATATATAATATATAATAAAAAAAAAAAAAAAAAAAATACCGCTACTATGATAATCATAAATTGATCAAATGTTATATGAATGGATATTATATTATTATTTGGATTGTTATTATTATTATTGCTTCTGCTACTGCTACAACCATTAATGGTTCCATAGATTGAATGAATGATGTATGTTTAGATTTATATGATTATCATTATTGGATAATCATTCAATGGATCATATTTTTTTTTACAAGTAAATGTACAAATTTAGTATCGGAATTGATCCAATGATCCTTAACAAACCATAGATATATATAGATAGATAGATAAATAGTTTATGCAATGAATTACCATTTGATGATGAGAAAAAGATTAACCATTAAAAAAGGAATAAATCGAAAAATTCATGGTCATAATACTTACAATCAATCATTTTTTTTTTGTTTTGTTGAAAATGATTGGAAACATTTCAATATCATCATTTTGTTTCGCAATAAATATGTGGAATGGAATTTATATAAACAGAATTTCTAGATTTTCATCACCAACAGACAAAAACCAGAATACACCGCCCAAATCAACAATTATTATTATGATTAAAATAGGGAAAAAAAACGCCGAATATGTAGCTAATGGGATTACACCACCACCACAACCAACAGCAGCTCATTCATAATAATAATGGCTTAAAATTAAGGAAAAGCTAATAATAATAATAATAAGTGAAAGAAGAATGAAATTCATCGTCAAATGATGATGATTTTGATTGTTTTTGTTTTGTTTTCTTGCCGACAGACATAGGAAAGAAATTCTATTTTTAAATCCTTCAACCATGCATGCACAATATGATGATAAAAAATCCATGAGAATTTAAGCTAAATTATAATTTTGTATAAGAAAACCAAATTAAGAATGAAACAGAAGACATTAAAAACAATAGATATTGATATATGGTTATAATGGAACAATTCAATTCTTAACCGAATTGTCCTTGAACTTGGTAGGAAAAAAAATCCTTTTCAATTATTGTAAATTTCTGGCTATTTAGCATCTTGGTCCCAAAAAATTTAAACAAAACACGAAAAAAAAGACTGAATTGAATTGATTATTTAGCTTAATAAAATAAAGGAAAGTAAAGGGCTGATTCGATACAACTTTTCTCTCAAGATCTTTTGTTTGAGAAAAATTCAAAGATTTCTGTCTACCAATCCTTAGTCAGTTGGCTTCGGTAAATAGACATTTTTCATTGGTGTAAAGTCTACCCATTTTTACTTATAACAACAGAAAATAAAACGAAAGACCGTTTTCATTGTTGACAAAAAGAAACGGAAAACTTTGTCGAACCGCATCATCATCATCGATTCAAGACATTCGAAACAAAAAGGTCACCTTTTCTTTAACAACAACAAAAAAAACTTGAAGGTGAAGGTGACATTAGAACATTCAACCCTATCGTCTCATATTCATATTCAAATTGATGTTGTTGGGTGATGTGTGGGAATGTTGAACAGATTGTGATGTGATGTTTTGGAACAACATCATCGTGTCCTTGGTTGAAGGTTATTGATACAGGAGATTTTTATAAAGGGTTATTATGTGCTTGTATGCCACAGGTGGGAAAATGAAATCGCGAGCATTCAATCGTTTTTTTCTTTTGTATTGTTTTTTCTCGGGCATATCATTATGATTATCATGATAATCATCATCATCAAAGATTGATTGCCGATTTTTCAAATGATAAAAATTCGATTTCGATGGAGTTCCAACATCATCACCATGACAATTAGATGGATCTATAGTCACGTGATCCAAAAGCAATTGTAATGTATTTATGATTGAAATGTTGACACGACCTTCAATGGCCATGAGATGATGATGGTTCAAAATGACTTGAGACATATGAGTTTCCCACACACTTGCTGCTGTCTGGTTAGTGTTTTCAGGATTCATAAGATGTTTGAGATTTTGTTTGAGTGTTGGTATACTACTAACCAAACATATTTTTTTTAGAAAGTATAAAGTAAAAGTATTATTATTCGCTTGGGAAAGGATGCGGCGGTCTTTTGTCCTTTCACCTTCAACTCTGTGACTTATACATATTAACTTACCCTTTGAGCTTTCGTGTGCATAAATTTCATCTTGATGATAAAGGTTACAAAGGGACAAAAGTTTAAAGATTCGAAGACGAATGAAGGTTATTATGCCATTATGATTAAAATCAATTTAGCCTTTGGGTACTCCAAATGTCACCCTTGGAAAAAATGTCAATATCGTTGCTGTTGTGAATTGTTTGAAATTGTAATGGTAATGACCACCAAGACAGGTTTCAATCGATACGAATCCAAAATGAAAATGATTTGTATATGTATGGTACAATCATTTTCAATTAATCGAACTCATCGATGCATGCATCAATGCCTTTCAATCGGGTTTTTGTGTATACCAAAAAAAAAGAAGAAAATTTGATCGTTTCAATTTTGTCAAAATTTCATCGGTCTCACCCAGATTTTAGTTTTTTTTTTGAATAAATAAATCTTGAACATCCATTAGAGTGGCATTGATTCTGATGATGAACAATTGTTGACAACAATTGTAAATTGTATCGATTAGTCGATTTTATATCGGTGTCCTTGTAAACAAGAAACGACAATTTTTTTTTTTTTTTGAAAAAGAAAAATTAAATGAGCAATAGCCAACAACAAAAGAAATATTTAAAGATAACCAACATTCTAAAACTTATGTTATCTTATGTACGAATATCGACATAATTAATACTGTCATTTGATAAATCATTGCATTTCCTGATTCGTTTATTGCTTTTTTTGTTTATTAATTGTGAACTTTTTTTAATTGTTTTTATTTTATCATCATCATTATTTTATAATCGTTTGTAACGAAATCGAAAAAAACCTTATGATGAGATCGTTCTGTTCAATTCAAACAATCAGAAAAAAATTACCGAAATTTAAACGATTCTTATGTAAACATAATAAATTGTCATGAATGAATAGACAAAAAAAAAACAAATGTAATTTCATTTATTTCAACATAAATTGATCTAATAAAGTAAAACAAACAAAATTATCAAATCAAATGAAATGTATTACTTTAATCGTGGCAATCAATTTCTATACATATCAATTGTACAATGATACATTAAAATATCAAACATGGAGTAAAAATCATTAGTTATTACTTGAAGATTTGTTCATTGGTTCATAATTTCATGTTGAAATTCAACATGCCTGCTGATAGACATCATCATCGATGGGAAATGCATCAATCTATGTACATGTGGTTATATGGTGTTTGTTTGTTTCTATTGCTGATTTGATCAAATTATCATCAAAATGAATTGAGTAAATCAAAGCTTCCAATAATTATCATTAAAAATGATGTCATTTTTTTGTATCCAAAATAAATTAGTATCAACAAAGAAACAGACCATTTGAAATCAAGAAAAAACGGAATAGATTCTGATAAATCAATCATCATCATGAATAAGAATGAAGAATAATATTCTGGTAGTATTGGTACTAGCAATGGTGGTGATTGTTATATATAGAAATGAAATATTAAAGAAAAAAGATAATCATCATCATAGTAAAATCAACATCAACAAACAACAACAGAAAAGAAAAAAGTCAAAGATTCATAGTTAGTATACATACGATATACCATGTTCATTCATTCATTCATTCATTCATTGTTCATTCTTTCATTCTTCATAGATCATATTGGAATAGAATCGTATTGAAAAATTGAAAGACCTTGACCAAAAAAAAAGAACATTTGGCAAACTCAAGCAATTACAATGGAATTGAATTGAATTGAATGTTCGTGTACAAAACACCGAAAAAAAAGAATTCTACGTTTAACAAACGAAGAATAAATAATGATGGGTGCGTGAAGGGAAAGAAAATAGCGAAAAAGAAGTAACAACAACAACAACAACAAAAAAATTCAAGGCGAAAAAATGTATAGAATTTGAATGTTTGTTTGACGGTATTTATATATATTATATATATAGAAAGAGAGCAATTGTTCCTAATCAATTGGTAATATTACTATATTCTGTAGCATCATACTGATCTATATATATATTTTGATCGATTCATTCAAGTCATTTGATTATTATTATTCGATAAACAAACAAAAAAAGAGAAAGAAAACGCCGGTAACTTACCAGAATTTGATGAATTTGAATCGCATGAGCATTTGAAAATGACAATCATATCATCATTATCATCAAATCACAAAGAAAATCGAATGCAATGGAATGAAACTATCTATTTTTTTCAATATTTTCCACCTTGAATTTATTGTACTGTGTAAAATGATTTGGAGCAGAATAATTTTTCTGTATTCACTTTCACTGAACAACGAAGGAAAAAATTCAAAAAAAATTAAAAGATCAGATTAAGACGGTTTTTCTTTCGCCTCTCATTTTATATACCACGAATTGGATCTTTTTCCAAAAAAAAAATTTCATTAATTCAAATAAAAATCGAAAAAATTGTTTTTTTTACAATCTAGGCCCATATATTTGGTGTCGGTGGTACCTCCTTCATATTTTTGTGTGTGTTGACTCAACCAATTCGGACATTGTTAAATAAGCCACACACGCACAAAAGGTCCAAAGTTCCAAATGGATCCACCTACTTTTTTTTGAAAAAGATCTTAAACCTTATGTTGGTGACAACCTATCCTCAATTTACATCTTATTTTAGAAAAAGTCCTTTCTTATCTTTTACAGGATTTATTTTGTTTCGTCAATCTTTGAAGACTTTGATAAATGAAGATTCATGAAATAGTCGGCAAAACGATATTGGAATTTCCGTTCCTGATTTAATCGATTGAACACTAATTAGGTTTCTTTTATTTATTATTTCAAACAAACAACATAAAATCGAATCGATCATCATTATTCGATCAATCGAATCGAATTGCTGTATGAATTATTAGTTTTTCACACAATTCGTTATACATTTCATGACAAATCAATTTAAGTTTAAATTTTATTTTTTAAAAAATTTAAATTTAAAAAAAAACAGAAAAAAAACTATTAACATACCGGATTCGATACAGTTATTCTTTCTTCTTGTCTGATTTTCATGTTTATTGAAACAAAAGAAACATTTTTTTGTGTGAAAAAAAATTATAACATTAATAATCGAATATCGCTATCGATAATGACATTAAATTATCAAAAATTGATTGGAAATTTTTCAGTGTACCATCTTATATGAATGGCCAACATTTCTGTAAACTTTTTTCAGTATCATTCTATTGGTTGCCATATGATTTTTTTCGGTTGAGTTTTGTATTGTGGCGCGAACATCTAGCATCAATGTTGTAGTTGTATCGCTCCACCCAACGTAAAGATTTTATCTTTTATATTGATATTGATTTTTTTTTGATGATAATTTTCAATTTGATAAGACAATAAACGGAGGTAAGCTTTTATAATGATGGCAACATTTGATGATCATGATCATATATATGACCTGATTGGTTTTCTATTTCCATTTGATTTTGTATATGAATTTTTTTTTTTAGTCTTTGATCTTTCTGTTTTGGACCCATTTTATTGCCATTCAAGAAAAGATAAATATCTTATAATTATCTTTTTATTCAATTTCGTTTTCATCATTTCGTTGCTTTTACTTTTTTTGCATTTCCACCCATTAAAAAAAGGTATTTATTCATTCATTCATCGATATACCAGGCAACAATTTTATTTTCTTCTTTTTAATTCTATTTTCCATCTATTTTAAAACTATTCGAAAAAATGGCATCAACGAAGACGACGAAAAAAATGACTGAATTCCACTTGAATCGTTATCAATCACCATTGTCGATGCGTTATGCATCGGATGAAATGAATTATAATTTTAGTGATTTGAAAAAATTCTCTACTTGGCGTCGTTTATGGATTATTTTAGCCAAAGCTGAAAAAGAATTGGGTATCGACATTACTGATGAACAAATACAGGAAATGGAAAATAATCACGATAACATCGATTTTGAATTGGCCGTTGAAGAGGAAAAGAAAACACGTCATGATGTAATGGCACATGTTATTGAATTCTGTCATAAATGTCCATCAGCGACTAAAATTATCCATTTGGGTGCTACCAGTTGTTTTGTTGGTGACAATACAGATTTAATCTGTATCCGTGATGGTTTTGATATTCTTCTACCAAAAGTTGCACGCTGTATTAGTCGTATATCTAAATTTGCCGAACAATATCATTATCTTCCAACGCTTGGTTTTACTCATTTTGTAAGTTTCTGTTTGTTTGAAATGATTGTTGTTAATTAATTATCTAAAAAGCAACCAGCACAAATGGTCACCGTTGGTAAACGAGCATGTCTTTGGCTTCAAGATTTATTGATTTCATTACGTAATATGGAACGAGCAAAAGATAATCTGGCTTTTCGTGGTTGCAAAGGAACGACCGGTACACAGGCTTCGTTCATGCAATTATTCAATGGTGATGAGGAAAAAGTGAAAAAACTTGATCAACGTGTAACAGAAATGGCCGGATTTCGTCGATCATATCCAGTTACTGGACAAACATATAGCCGTCTGGTTGATGCTGAAGTTTTAATGTCACTTTCGTTATTAGGTTCAGCTATACATAAAATCTGCACCGATATACGATTATTGGCAAATCGAAAAGAAATTGAAGAACCATTTGAAAATACGCAGATTGGATCATCGGCTATGCCTTATAAACGTAATCCAATGCGTAGCGAACGTTGTTGTTCATTGGCTCGACATTTGATTACGTTGTCAGCCGATGCATTCAATACCGCTTCAGTACAATGGCTTGAACGTACATTAGATGATAGTGCCAATCGTCGTATTTCGATAGCCGAAGCTTTTCTCACTGCCGATATTATTCTGAATACAATGCAAAATATTTTTGAAGGTACCGTTGTTTATCCGGCTGTCATTAATAAACACATCAAAGAAGAGTTACCATTTATGGCAACTGAAAATATAATCGTAGCAATGGTGAAAAAAGGAGGCAATCGTCAAGAATGTCATGAAAAAATTCGTGTCCTATCACATCAAGCTGCTGAACAGGTGAAACGATTAGGATTGCCTAATGACCTTATTGAGCGAATTCGAAAAGATTCGTATTTCAATTCAATTCATAATGAATTGGATGGTTTGTTAGATCCAAAAACATTTATTGGTCGTGCACCGAATCAGGTGCTTGAATTTCTTCGCGATGAAGTCACACCCGTTCTTAATCAATATAAATCCTATCTTAATTCAAAAGCCGTAGTAAATGTCTGAGAAGACAATCGATTAAAATTCAAAATTCATATTTTTTAATAATCGAAAATAAGTTATTTGGCATAAGAGAAAATAAATACATATCTCGTTTTCTTTCGTAAAAAAAATTTACAATCACAAAAAACTGAAAAGTTGTCTTTGTTTAGAAAAATGTAAATTAAGAAAGCCTCATTAATGGAACCAATAATTTTGGCTGACCAGCCAATCGTAAAAATGGATGCTGTAATAATTCAGTTGCTGTAGCTCGTTTGTTTGGATCACGTATCAACATTTTCTCCAGAAAACTAAGGAGATTGGCTGAAACTTTTTGTAGATTTTTCAATTTAGGTGGTGGCATATCTCGTATTCGTCTCATTGCCTGTAATGGTGGTTCATTGAAAAAAGGTGGTTCACCATCGATCATTTCAATGACCATTATTCCTAATGACCATATATCAACTTCTGGTCCATATGGCAGACGTGATATTACTGTAGAAATTTAAATTAAATTAGAATAAATTGACAGAATTATGAAAAAAAATAAAAACCTTCAGGCGCCATCCAATATGGTGTTCCGACCAATGATTTTCGTTTGGGTAATTCATTCGATACTTGAGCACAGAATCCAAAATCAGATAATTTTACCTATTCAAATAAATTCAATTAACTTCCATTATTATTATTCTATAATAAAACGTACCCTCCCATCACTGGCTAACAATATTGAATCACTTTTAATGTCACGATGTATGACACCTTGTGAATGTAGATATGATAAGGCCTTAAGACATTGTTTACATACAGTAGCAATCTGTTCTTCGTCCATTCTGTAAAACCAATATTATTATCATTAGATTAAAATAATTTTATACACACAAACCTAGCATGTGTAACAATATCGGTCAATGCTCCACCTTGGAGAAATTCCATAACAACCCATAATTCATCATCAACTAAAAATGAATTATACATTTCAACAATATTTGGATGATGATGATCACGCATAATGACCACTTCATTAAATAGTAATTCACGTCGTTGTTGTTTACGTAGATCCATTTTTTTCACCGCAACTTGACGCTGTTGCGATTTATCATAGGCAATACATACAATACCGGTTGAACCTTCACCAATTTTTACAAAATGTTCTAAATATTCTCTGCAGAAAAAACGAAATTAATTAAAATATAATAATAATACACTATCACTGCAGAAAAACGAACCTTGGATCACCTGGATTAACCACCATCTGTAATGCTGCACGAAATTGTTCATGTGTAACACGTTGCTGTTGTTGTACAGTTGCCGAAGTAACCGTTGATGAATTCGTTGTCGTTGTTGTTGGATTTTGATTCATCGCTGCATTAGAAACATTATCATGTTGTACATTATTTACAACCATCGATTTAGCTGCATTCGAAACAATTTGATGATTTGGATTCTTATGTTGTTGTTGTATACCCGTAGTAGTCGTTTCCTGACCTCCGCCACCATTATTATGATTCATTGATGATGCTGGCGATATCTGTGTATGATGTTGAGATGTTCCATTCGTTTTCAAATGATTAATAGAATTCATTGGTTTCGTATGTATCGTCATATTTGATAGATTTTGATTCAAATTCATTTGATTTATGTAATTATTTGAATGATGAGTATTTGAATGAATATTAGTTGCATTTGTTATTCGATTATTTGAATTTGTTGTCGATATTAAATCGGGATTATTTTCCTGTTGCTGAAACATTGTCGATGATGATTTTAACACCGATGAATTATTATTAAATTGTTGCATAGCTGAATTTGGCATGATAATCGTTTGTTGTAATTGATTTGACGATGGTTGCTGTTGTTGTTGATGATGGTGAATATTTAGCTGCTGATTATGGAAATTATTCGGTAACTCATTAGTAATTTTCGCATTATTATTATGTGAAATAAATTGTGCCTGTTGAATTTGTGGTAATACACCATAACGAATTTTGTTTGAATTGTAAACATTTCTTGCCGTCATTGATTGTTGCTGCTGTTGCTGTGTATTCATATGATGATGATTGATATTATTGTTATTATTATTATGGAAATTGCCATTTGATGGTTGTGGTTGAATTTGATATTGAATAACCGGTGTAGGGTTACGTGCGGGATATATTCTATTTGCCATTATAAAATTATTCGCCGTACTTAGTAATGGATTCATTATGGTTGATGGTGGATATGTTGTTGTTGTCGTTGGCATCGATTCCATATTCATTGAATTCAACAACGATTGTTGTTGTTGACTTGGATGATTATTATGATTATGATTAAGATTAAATGGACGTATAGGTTGATTATTTGGCAGTTGATCATTGTTTATCACATTTTCATTATGTTCCATTAAATTTTGTTGAAATTGATTAAATTTCTGTTTCAATGGTTGTGGTGATTCAATTCTACGCAATGAATTTGATCGGGATACTAAGCTTCGACTTGAAATCTGAGGATTGTTAATATCTTTATTATTGGCAGCAATAAATGCTGTGGCAACATTAACGGATGAATTTTGTCCACGTACAATTGTATGACTTTTGATATCCATAATTTCTGTTGGTGTTATATTGGATGGATCGATTATTGGTTTTGGACGATTCGAATTTCCACCGCCGGCACCTTGTATAAGTGAAAGCCATTGTGGTGGTAAACCGACAAATTTTCCTTGAATGAAAAAAGCAACAGGTTGTAATTTAAATTGTTTCAAAAATAAAACATTTTACCTTCTTTACGATCAAATCCGGTATGAACACGATGTTCAAAATTTGTTGGTGCCGAAATGAGTGGCTTCTTTTTCTTTTTACCAAACATTTTTTTCTTTTACAACTAAAATCAATCAATCAATCGATTGATTGACGAATCACAACAAAAAAAAATAAATAAATGATGAATCAAAATAAATAAAATAGATAATGACAGTCTTTGATGATTTGATCTAAAGATTCGTAATCAATACAGATTTTTTTGGTTTCGTTTCGTTTCTTCAACAATGTCTGTCGTATTTTTTTATTATTATTATGCTGAATGGATTATTATCTTTGTGTATGTAAAAATGAAGTTTTGAAATAATTCAACAACGACGAAGACGATGATGATGACGACGACCGTGGCCAAGGTGTGTCAACACATAGTTTTCATATAAAAAGCATCATATATGGCTCATTTAATCAAATTGAATTGAATAATGAATGTAAACACATATATACAGTCAACGAAGAAAAAAGAGCCAAAAGCTGTTTTGCTTCTATTGGTGTGGTTGTTGTTATAACATAAGCTTGATGATGATGATGAATATCATGGTTAATAATGAATGAATAGTTGGAATTGATGCAGCCAGTCAGCCAAAAGAAAATTCACACGAAAGCAACTTGACGTTAGTGGTGGTGGTGGTGGTAGCAAGGTAGCTTCGTTGGTAAGTTTAGTCGCCATGTTTGTTATGACCATGATGATTATCATGTACATTCTTTAACATCATCATTGCCAAACAGTTCGAGTGGTTAAATGCAGTAGATGTCTTTAAAAAAAAATTGAAAGCAGCGGCAGCAATGGCAGGTATTTATAGGTTGAGTTTTGTCCTTCTTTCGTAAAAAGACAAGTTTCTTTGGCTTATTTTTTCATCCCCCAATTATAAATAAAATGGGGGTCATGAACACACAATTATCGATGATTATTTGATTTCTTATTTGAAAAAATCGGGCAAAAAATTTTAATTTATTAATAAGTTTTCATTCGAAAATTTATTAACATTAAAAAAAATATTTGATTGGAATTTAATTTTCCAAATTATTATTTTGATTCGGAATATTTGATTTTTGAAACGGTTTTTCCACTATTTACACATGATTCAGTTCTGGTGGATTAAAATAGAAAAGAGTGGAATTTGCACAGCACACATTGTTTCATTGTTTTGTTTTTTTACTTTAGTTTTGGATCGATTTTTCAGAGAATTTCTCTTTCAAATCGTTTCCATCGATATGTCATCGAATTCAACAACGTCACATAATTTAGTGAATATGGGAAAAAATGATAAAACAACATCATCAACACCATCAGGATCGAATAACCTAAAAACAATAATATCTGCTGCTATATTACAAAATACAGTTCGAGATTCAACATTTGATGACAATTGTCCAAGACGACGAGCATCATCACGTTCAATAAAACGGAAAAAATTCGATGATGAACTTGTGGATAGTGCTAGTACATCATATCCAAGACATCAGAAACCTGAGCGTAAATTTGATTTTGGTGGTGAATATTCGGAAAGTGGTGGTGGTGGTTATAACGAAACAATCATTACAACGCATCACAATGAACCACCTACTCCGTTAACCCCAGCGGCCACCACAACTATCATCTCATCGAAACGTCAATCATCAAAACCCTCATCATCAATATCAACACCAGCGTCGATAGCAACTGTACCGGAAAAGAAGAAAAAGAATAAAAAACGAACAATCGTGACAAGTCAATACGTTGAAGAGAATAATTTCTGGAAACCCACCGATGATCTTGCGTTGATAATCAATGTTGAACAGACAAATAATCTACGAAAAGTATATAATGGTGTAAAATTTTCCAGTAAATTTACCTTTTCAGATGTTGAACAACGATGGCGTTCCTTATTATATGATAAGAATGTTAAAAATCTAGCATTGGCGGCCATTCGACAACTTCATTCGGATATTGTTCAATTTATTGAATCACGTGCTTTATTCAGTGATGCAGAAGAAGAATTATTGAAAAAATTGGAATCGTGTAAAGAACCAGCATTAGAATCATTACAGGAATTGATAGATATGAATGCAGAAGTATTCCTTCCTAGTCGTACACCGAAAACATTGCTTAAACATTGGCGATTATTACGACATTATAGCCTACTTGGTGACCAATCATTACAGCCGCAAGCACGTCATGAAAGTGTTGTTAGTTTTTCCGAAATAGAAAATACGATCAAAAAAGAGCTACAAGAAGAGCTGAAGAATAATGAACTGGCAACGAATGCAGCAGCCGAATCAAATGAATTGATACGACAGGAAATTTCACATAGTGTACGTAAAAGTATGCTTGAAATACGAATGTTGGAAAATGAATTACCAAAATTTCAGATACTATTGGATAGTATTACCGGAGTGGCACCATCCGATTTTGATAATAATACCTATGCTGTTTTACGTGGTCGTCTAGTACGCTATCTGATGCGTTCAACCGAAATCACAATCGGTCGGATAACAAAAGATTTTGTCGTCGACGTGGATCTTTCGCTTGAAGGACCATCAACAAAAATATCACGTTTACAAGCGGTTATTAATTTTCAATCAACCGGCGAATTTATCATATTCAATACGGGAAAACGGCCAATCTATATTGATTCAAAACCATTAATATCACAATCATCATTACAGATACATCATAATTCATTAATTGAATTTTCATCATTGAAATTTTTATTTCTAATTAATCAGGATTTGATATTGAAAATGCGTAATGAAGTACTACAATCATGTAAATAAATAAATAGTAATCAATCAATAAAATGAAATTTTTATCTAATTTTATGGCCATCAGGTGTCGCTATTTTGCAGATCTGAGTTTTAACTCATTGCATGCATGTGTTTGTATTTTGTTTTTAATTTTTCGAAAAAAATGGATTCAGAATTTGATGATTGTTTACCTGATGAATCATTAATTACAACAGATTTTAATCATATTATCGATGGTGATAACGATGAACATAGTTTTGATAACCAAAAAATTGATGATGATGGCAATAATCAATCGAATGAATTGAATCAACCACCCGTGCAACCACCACAATCGATGATTAATATTCGGCTTGATATTGATGAACCTGTCGTACATAATATTGTTGCGACAGCTAATTTCAATTGTCGATTAGAATTATCTAAAATTGTAACTCGTGTACGAAATGCTGAATATAATCCGAAAAGATTCTGTGCTGTTATAATGCGAATTTTTGAACCAAGAACAACAGCAATGTTATTCGCATCTGGTAAAATAGTGGTTACGGGCGCTAAAAATGAACGTTTAGCCTGCCTTGCATGTCGTAAATATGGTCGTATCGTTCAGAAACTTGGCTATGATGTAAGCTATTTTGATTTTAACGATGAACTTTTCTGATAAATGTTTTTTTTCTGAAAGGTAAAATTCTCTGAGTTCAAAGTACAAAATATTGTATCCACTGTGGACATGAAATTTCCGATACGTTTAGATAAATTGGCTATTTATCATGGACAATTTTGTACATATGATCCAGATTTTTTTCCCGCGCTTATCTATCGAATGGTACGACCACGAACCGTATTATTAATATTTGTATCGGGTAAATTAATCATTACCGGTGCTCGTAGTCGTACCGAAATGATGGAAACAATGGAACATATTGGTCCAGTTTTATGTAGTTATCGAAAATGATTACATAAAAGAAAATTTATTACATTTTTAGTCATTTTTTTTTAAAAATGATGTGAGTATTGATGATTATTATTATTATTATGATGATGCATACTGTAATTATTTTTCTGAGATCTCAAACAACATTTAATAAAGTTTACATCCTCTTTGATTTCATCTTCTTTCAATCGATGAATAATGTATGGACCACTTATTGGCACGGCTTTCCGACGTTTTTCATGATGACCACCATTATAATCATCATTATAGGAATATTTTCTTGATTTTTTCATATAATTTACTGATACGGAAAAAAATTCACTATCCGCTTTGTAACGTTCTTCATTTAATTTCTGTATCTTTTCCTCAACATCTTTACGTATAGAATCTTTGAGTAATTCTTTTTCATTCTTATGTTTAGGAGAAAGAAAAATATTTTAAAATTTTTTAAAAATTTGAAACAAATCAAGTTACCATGTAATTCTGTTCAGCTGCCAATTTTTCTGCATCATAAAATTGTTTGAGATTATTCAGGCGATAATTTCGTATTAATTCGGCTATCTCTAGACGAATTCGATTCTGTGCAATTAATTCTTCGAATGGTTGTATATATTCGGGTGCTATCCCCTCACATATTTGCTGTATTTTCGTATCGATTTCAAAATTTTTCTCATTCTTATACAATAATCGAATGAGATAGAATTGTTTTTCAACATCTACCAATATGTTATTATATTCCTTATCCTTATCCACACATTCTAAATCTAAATCATACAACAACAAATCATATATTATGATGAGATAAAGCAAATTTCAAATGATTCAATGAAAAAAAACTTACCCGAACTTTCAAATTCATCTGATGAGGAGGAATTGGAGTTTGAATCATCATTCGAATCTTCTTTATCGCTATCGACAATCTCATCATTTTCTCCATTATTCTCATTCTCCATGGAAGACATTTCAATTGAAATCGGATAGTAAAATCGTAGGAAAAAATTAAAATTTGTGAACAAATTTCGTTTTTTGATTTTCCGATGAAAAAAACTACTCGAAACTACTACCTATTTCTACCCAGTCATTCTGTGCTCTGGGTGGTGTTGATATAGCAGCAGGATCGAATCGGATCGAACGGTTATTTTGATGCGATTTTTCGCGCGTTTGTATTTTTCCTTTTATTCTGCTATTTATGATTAATGATTTCAACGATTTTTCCTAATAATGAGTGCTCGAAAATTTTTCAAATATAATCGATCACTACGATCAACTTCGACAACAGCTCGAAAAGATGTTATCGAGGATTTTATTTCATCAAATGATGAAATTGAACAAGAATTATCGAATAATAATAAACGAAAACATGAAATAAATGATCAACAACAAAATGATTTCGATGCAGCTGATGATTTTTCATTGGATAGTTCGGGAATTGATGATGATTTTGAATTTGATGTAAGTAACGTATACGATTATTTTCATCATTATTAACTAATTTTTGTTGTGAATAGTTTGATAATGACCATTTCAAACCACTATTCTTTCGATGTTCAACACCTAATCACCGTGATGAAAATGTACCACAGCCTATTAAAATCGATAGAAATGAGCGGAAAATAAATCCATGGGATAAGGCTCTATTGGAAAATGTAAATTTTATGAAAAAAAATCCCCAATTACAATCAGTAATTTTTTTTACATCCATCACAGGAATCATTACAGGATTGGGTAAAAAAATTCAATGAACATATTGAAATGGTGGATAACACTGAGGTGGTCATCAAAAAGATCAAACGTTGAGAGGAATTTTCCGTTAAATTATTCATATCATTGTGATCATATACGATCATTTTCAATCCTATCTATCAATTATCTATTTTGTTTGATAATCCTTTTTTCAATAAAAATAAATTCAATTTAAGTAATTTTAATTTAAAAAGTAAAATATTTCATTACAAAAATTTTTATTCAGTTCCGTTGATTGGCGGCTTAAAAACATTATTCTTTTTCACCGTTTCGATTATCCAATCGATCGATTCTTTAATGCCATCGCTGATGTATGATTTCAAAAATGAAAAAATTTAAAGTTTCAACAAAGAAAAAATTCAATTCATTTACCCTTTCAACGCAGATACGGCAACAAAATGAAAATCACGTTGTGCAGCTGATATGATTGTTTCCAATCGAAATTGATCCATTATCCTCGTTATTGGCAGACATTTCTTTTTTTTGAGCCGATCATCAGTTCATCAATAATAAATCAATCAATTAATTAATTTTTCTTACCGAAACATCTTGTTTATTGGCCACAAATAATAACGGCGTTCCTTTCAATGATTCATTTTCCATCATTTTATCTTTATTAATTGATTAAAAAATTAATTAATTGAAATTAATGAATCAATAGGCTTACCAAAAGCTTGTTTCGATTCATCCAGCCGTTCATGATCGGATGAATCGACCACATAGATGATTGCATGTGATTCAGCATAATACTGGATAAAAGAGAAAAAAAATCCAATATAAGATAATGATTCTCAACAATACCAATATATACTTTATCCCAAAGACATTGTAATTCAGATTGGCCACCGAGATCCCAGAAATTTAATACAACACCATCGGAATCAATTTTTCCGATATTCAATCCCACTGTACAGCTTATTTTCATCAAATTTAAACCTTTATAACCGGGATTCATTGAGATTTTTGTCTGTTCCAGGAATGTTGTTTTACCAGCATTATCTAGGCCCAATATAAGTACATAATATTCATCTTTTTGAAACAGGTAACGCCAAAATCCATATAATAATGAAAACATTGTTTATTATTATTATTATTATTTTCTAATCAAATCAAAACAATGGACATATGTATTTTATAAAAAAATGAATATGATGATAAGCCATGATTTTTCTTTTGTTTGTTTGTTTGATTGAAAAAGTCACAATCATATGATGATGACGACTATTTCTATTCGTATATGGCATATGGTTCAAATGGTAGATTTTTTACCATCATTCAAAGAAAGTCGAATGTCTTGGATATCTTTTTTCAATATTTCAACTAAACTCATAATGCCACGATTCTCTTCATTTAAAAATTGTAGATATTCATTCATACTGGATTTATCGAAAGATATTTTACCAATCAATGGATTTTGACATTGCATCTGCCGTAGCTGTGACATTAATTCATTAAGGCAGCCTTGAAATTTGGTTGGTACATTTAGTTCAGCTTGTATGGCTTCCAGATCAGCACGTAGCTTATCTTCTTCAGCCTGTATTGGCATCGTTCGTTTACGTTGTACTTCCTGTACAATCATCTTACGCAATACACGATACGAAAGATTATCATGTTTACGTCGACATTCTTCGAATTTTGCCTTGAATTGTGAAATATTACTTTCCAATGTTGAAACATTATCAATCATCTGTTTCAATCGAAGTTGTTGTTGATGAATTTCTTTTTCCTGTAATTTAAATCGATCATTTAGCGCTTTAAAACCAATCAATGGTACGGGTATGAATCGTTGTGGATCAGGATTTTCCAATTTCGCCTGTTCCCATATTCGTTCATCAATACCTTTCGGTGGTGAGCTTAAATAGGCTTCGATTTCCTGTTTTGAAAGAGATGTGAATATAATCTCGACAAAATTGTTGATGAAAATTTGATTCAATTGTTGTTTCCATTGGGGTTGATTGAAATTTGTACGCAATTGTGCGTCTGGTATGATTTTACTGGTAGCATTTTCAGTAACCATAATGGCAATCAATGCTTTACTATCGGGCAGTATTGTTTTCAACTCAAGTTTAACAGTATGATTTTGTCCAATAAATTGTTTAAAATTCTGTTCATACTGAACCAAATTCGTTCGTAATTGTTGTTCATCAACATATCGGATGAGAAAGAATAATTTTTCTTCAAGATTTTTTTCTTCTGAATAGGAAATCGTTTTAAAACGATTAAATGAATCCGTTTTATTCAATTCATATGGGGGATTGAAAGCCGAATAGTATGCTTTACCGGCACCCCAGAATGCCTGTATTTGATTGAATAATCCAATAATATTATCACGGTCATCATTGAAAATTTTCGGCATAAATAATGATGTTAAGGGAACATTTTGCTGTTGTTGCGACGGCTGTTGTTGTTGCTGCTGCTGTTGCTGTTGAGTTTGAAACATATTCAATCCGGGATTAACGGAAAAATTGGTAAAATTACCCGATGATAAATTTGATTGAGCCATTATCGATTAAAGAATCAATTTTTCGAACATTGCATGCACGAAAAATGTTGAGAAAAAGTCCGTTCATAAAGGATATTACGAGTTTGGCGCTAATTATTTTATTGGGCTTTCTTTTGTGTTGTGCTGACGCTTGCTGCTGTTGCTGCTATCACTGTGTTCTGTTCGAACTCCACTCGAGTCGGTTTTTGACTTGTAATCGTTGAAAAAAAAATTCAAGAAATCATTGTTAAATCAAAGCGAAATGGCAAAGGTTTGTTTTTGATTTTTCTGATTTTTTTTTTGATTTGAAGTTGATTGAAATGATTTTTTTTTTCTCTCGTTCGATCATAGGCTCAAATTGTTAACATTGTCGTTCTTGGTAGGTGTTTCTCATTCTTTGTTCTTTAGTTGATGTTTGGCTGAATATTCATTAATCTTATTCCACTTTTCACATATAGACAATCCTTCATTATTTTTTAATCCATTTCAATTTGAAATTACATTCGAATGTATTGAAGATCTAAAGGATGATCTTGAATGGAAAATAATTTATGTTGGTTCAGCTGAAAGTGAAGATTATGATCAAGTTTTGGATACAGTGTTTGTTGGGCCCGTACCAGAAGGACGACATATGTTTGTATTCCAGGCTAATGCACCGGATCCATCAAAAATACCTGTTGCCGATGCTGTCGGTGTTACCGTTGTGCTGTTGACATGTTCATATCGTAGTAAAGAATTTGTTCGTGTTGGTTATTATGTTAATAATGAATATATGAATCCTGAGCTACGTGAAAATCCACCATCCGTACCACAATTTGAGAAACTTCAACGTAACATATTGGCCACTGATCCGCGTATAACAAAATTTAAAATTGATTGGGGTGATGATGTCGATGATGATGTTAATGATAATATCGGTAATAATGGTGGTAATAATGAAAACAATTCATTCGAAAGATGTTCTACAACAAATGGAACATATAAAACAATGATGGAAAAATGTGGTTTCCTCGAACCATCATCAAATGTTAATGGTACAACAATAACAACAACCAAAAGTGATATGAATAATTCGAATTGTTTCATATCTGAAGATAGCATTGGACCATTGAATCCGGTTTCATTACAACAGCAACAGCAAGATAATCCAATGGAAATATAAACACGATTGGCTGAATCGATCAAAATTAAATTGGATTAATGATTATGTCAAACAATTTAACCTATTTAAGTTAATCATTTTCAATAACCATGTGTAAATATCAATTAATCTTGAATAGAAATAAAATTCATAATTTTTAAATGAATCTAAATATCAGATTTAAAAAATTTAAACAATAAAATCTTATTATTAGCTGGCATATCATATGTTTGATCCAAAATCAGTCCATTTTGTTGTGCCAATTTTTTCAGATCGGAAATATCACGAATACCCCATTCTGGATTACGTTGACGTAATGATTGATCAAAATCACGATTGCTTTGTGGTTCTAATGAGCCATCCATTGCAAATGGTCCATACATTACAAGAATTCCATTTGAATGTTTTAGACAATGTTTAGCACCGGCAAACAAACCAATCGAACATGGCCATGGACTTATATGGACGACATTACTGCAATAGATAATATCATAAGAATTGGCTGCAATTGGCCATTTAGATGTTGGCCATGTTAGATCCAATACGATTGGTTCATAAACATTTCCTAATGGTTTTTCGGGCGGTTCAACACCTAAGCCAAGACGAAATGCATTTATCGAATCAAAGTAACTTGTACCAACATCCGATGGTTGAAATTCGATACCGGAAAAATTACGGGCAAAATGTGCTAAATGTTGTCCGGAACAACTACCTAAAATGATGAATGTCATGCAAGTCGAAACTAACAATTAACACAACTTGAAACATTGTCGAATGATACATACCAATTTCGAGAAATTTCAATGATTTAACCTTCACATCATTATCAAACGGTACATCACCGAATTGTTGTCGAAAAATTACCTTCAAAACATCCAATATTGGGCTTTTATTGCGTTCAGGAATTTCATAGATTGTTGGATTTAAAATTTTTGATGCCATCATCAAATCGATCAGTAACGGACGTTATTTCGAATAATAATGATTATATGATTATTGATATTTTGGGTTCATCATCAGAAAATACTATTATCTTACGATAAAATGATACTACGACGGCGCTGTACGAATTATGAATCAGCCGTGGTCATGCGCGTATCGCCTTTTTGGATTGAATTATTTTTTTTGATATTTAATATTCATCGATTACTCAATTAAATATAAGTATATGATATGATTTCTTGAAATAAATGATCTCATATCAAAGATATGGATTAGTATGAGATTAAACTAGAACTTTGATTGATAATTGCAATCGAATTATATTTATTTTATTATATTAAGCTACAACTAACAATCATCTGATTTGATTAAGAACTTTATAATGACCGAAAAGAATGAATTATTATCAACTTATAATGGTTAGTTCATTGTGGTCAACTTTGTTTAATTGAATTTTATTTTTTTTTTTATTGTGATTGTATGATAAACTAAGAAAAGGAATTTTTGCCGCCTTTTTGGAAATGTCAAAAAGTTCATTTTCATCAACAAGTAAAATTCGTCGTGGAATTACTTCCCGAAAAAGTAATTATTCGCCATTAAAAGAAACATTTGATCCAAGCGATAGAATGATGATAAAATCAAATCGTGGTAAAAGGCGAACCGGAACAAGAAAAAAGCAAGCAAAAACAACATCACGACCATCATTGGTCAAAAGAAAGATTAAACAAAAAGGAAAAATGAAAAAACATTTATCGAAATTCCGAATTTCCACAATCAAACGCAAACGACGTTCAATTGCGGCTAAATATTCACGGATATCGAGTAAATCAAGCCCGAAAAGTAGTCGTCGTAGTAGACAAAGTCTAAGTAGTAGTACTCCAAGTACAATATATCAATCACCGGTAATGAAAGTCAAAACGATGACAAAAACATCCAAACGACGTGGAAGAGGAAGACGATCATTATCTACCGGTAGTATAAAAATGAAAATGACTACTGCAAAATCTAAACGTCCATCGCGTAAACAACCAAGTCGCCGATCATTATCATCAAAAATTTCAATGAGCAAACGTCGTAGTCAAAGTAAAGCATTGATTAGAAAAAATCGTGTTGGTTTCAAATATTTTCTAAGTCCAAAAGTAATGAAAATGATGAAAGAATTTGAACCATCATCACCATCATCATTATCCAAATCTAGTTCAATTTCTGGTCGCAAAGGAAAAGGTCGTCGCAGCGGTGGTGGCATGTTAAACAGTAGTAATTCATTTTTACTATATAAACTACCACCGGAAGAACGACAAGAATTATTCGAAATGGCAGATGAATTAATCAATGATTCATTTATCGATGATAATAGTGATATTGATCAATTATTTTCCGAGTTGAATGCTGCCTTACCAAAAGTATTTGGTCATCGTGCCAGAAGTAATACCGTTAGTGGCAGTAATGTTTCGATCGGGGATCAACAACAACAACAACTAAATGATAGTCGAATTAAAACGAAAAAAAAGTCATCGAGTCAGAGTAGTATCAAGAATATCGGAAAATAAAAGATATTTCGATATTTATTTATGATGTGTTAGCATGTGTTTGTGTGACAAGACAAAAAATCTAAAAATTAAAATTTTTTTTGTTTTAAATTAAATCTAATTTTTTTTGTTTATTCCAACCTTTCACAAACTGTGGTCCGCGATCCAGTACCGGTCCGCTGCCGAAAAAGTTTGCGAAACGTTGATTTATTTAGTTGATTTGACCATTTGTTCAATATGTTCACAGGCAATTTCTTTCGAACGACTTGCACGAATTCTTTGACCAACTTTATCCAGTTTTTCACAAAGTTCGCGATCATTGATCAATTCATCAATTGTTTGTACAAGTTGTTCATCAGTGAATTGATGTTGATCTAAACGACGGCCAAAATTTTTCTCATGTACACGTTGTGCATTATTATATTGATCATAGAATAATGGTATTACGATCATTGGTTTTCCATAATAAACCGTTTCCGTCAGTGTGTTGTTTCCACCATGAAAAATGACTAAATCAACCATTGGAATAATTTTTGTTTGTGGTACGTATGGCCCACCCCACATATTTGGTGCTATTTCATATTGATCATGAAGTGGTCCCATCGATATCAGATAATAATATGGTGTTTTGGATAAAACACGTACCATACGTTTCATTAGATCCAGATTACATGAACCCATTGAACCCATTGATAAAAATATGAGTTTATCACCCGGTTTCATTTGGCTACGAATGCTGACAGGTAATTCAAATGGTTCCGGTTCATCACGTACGAATGCATCAACACGTAAATAATGTTTGGGTAACGTTACCACATCATCGTAATCTAGTTCCATTGGAAATTGATAAATATTTAGCAATGGTGATCGTGGGAAAAAAACTTGATCCACTGTCGGTGGATAGCCGAATTTTTCGCAAATTTCTCTTTGTCTAGCAACAACTTTATCAAAATATTCTCGATGTAATATTGTACGATATTCTTGCCATTCGCGGCGATCACCATCGATCGGTAGGCCGGATGAAAATGGTGGTAGACGTTCATCGGTAAAAAGTCCTAATGGATTAGCACAGAATATATAAGCCCATGGTATTGATGAATTCATAATGCATGGTGGCATTATTTTTGCATCCGCAAGTAAAATATCCGGCTTTTCTCTTTCGATTAGAATCCGAATCTGTGGTTCAAATGCTTCAGCATTGGCGCCAAGATTTCGAATGAATTTACTATCAATCATTCTACGAATCTTTTCGATCGGCTCAATCGAATCGAACAAACCCATTCGTACGAAACTATTGATCAGAATTTGTATTGGCGCCAGGTTTTTTTCTTCTTCATTTTTCTCTTCGGCTACCGGTTTCAGGCCTATAATTTTGAATTGATTCGAGTATGGTTGAAATTTTTTCACAAAACTTTCATTCACCAAAAAAAACACTTGATGACCACGTTGAACTAGTTGTTGACCAAGACCAATACAAGCGTTTTGTGGACCAACAAGATCCATAACATGAATGAAGATTTTCATTTTTTTATAGTAAAAAGATTTCAAAAGTTAAAAGGAATTAATGTTGTTTTGAAAGAAATGACAATCTCATTATTGTAAGACAAATCATATTTATAGTTAATGTCTTTTTCGAGATAAACATCAACAAATATCCTAAATTGGAAGAATGTTCGAGAAAATTAATCATTCAATTAACTATAGTTCAAAGTTCTCTCATGATAATAAAATACAAATTAAATTATCATCAATCGAATTAAATGCTTATTGCAATGAACAAATTTACTGGGAAATTATGTCGAAAAAAGGCAATCAGTAAAAACAAATGCATTTTTTGATTATATTAATGATCACTATCCTGACAAGATCAAGACTTGTTTTTATGATAGAAATGATATTTGACAGGCCATATCTACCAATTGCTTCATTTGATCGATTGGATTCGGATATCATATGGCGTACATCAAATCATTCGATTTATGTACAATACATTTCGGAAATGTCAACAACGAAGATAAAGAATGTTGATGGAAAACAGCAGCAGCAGCAACAACAACAACAACAACAATCATTATCCTCGCAATTGATAATCAAACAAATTCAATCAATATCGAATGAATCGATACACATACGTGAATCATTATTATTGGAAAAAATTTCTATTCGATGTCAGATATTGGCAAACAGTAGAACCAGTTTCACTAATCTATTTAAACCATTTTATTTGGTGAAAAAAATCTGGGAAGAAACAAAAAATCGACTGATTTTTGGTATCGGAATATTTAAAAAGAAAAGTAAACTATATATAATTTTTTAACTTAAAACTTTTTCAAATATTTATCTAATCTTTTCCTATTAAGACCTATCACCAGTACCAAGTAGTGATGGACAAACAAGGCAATATTGGATGAAAGATTTTTATCAGCTAAACGATAGTATAACGATGAAAACGAATGGCCGTATACGTATATTTGAAGATGAAATACAATTTCGTTCGGTTGAATATGATGATTCGGCTATCTATACTTGTGCGGATTTATCGAATACAAATGGGATACGTTTTCTTCATTTTCGACTTATTATACGATCTTATGATAGTAATTGGTTGCAAACATCAAATCCGATTGCAATGATGAAAATAACATTACTTTTCATTATTCTATTCATTATCCTTCCATGGACATTATATCGTTATCAAAATTTTGATAAACAACAAGTTCGAAAATATTATAAAGAAATGAAGGTTAGGAAATCAGTGGAAAAAAAGGAACACAATTGATTGTTACAATGCATTTATATACAAAATAAAATAAAATTTAATCATCATCATCATCGGTAGTGGATTCATCGTCCGAGTCATTACTACTGTTTTGATCATTTTCATTCAAATTAATTCGATTTGAATTCATTTGTATAAGGTCATCATCATCATCATCATCGACCACCAATTTATTATCGACTGTTTTTGAATCAATAAATTCTTTTGGCCTAGGATTTTGGGAAAAATTTAGAGACTTTAAAACTATTTTTTTTACAAAAAAAATCAGGGACAAACCATTTATTCTGTTGTTTTAGATAACGGATATGATCTTTGAGTAGTATGGAATGAATTTCTGCTCGTACTTTATTACCTTCTTCAATTGGTGTAACAATAAGATAATCACCACGTTTAATCCAAACAGAACGGCGAAATTTTGTTGGCATAGATACAAGATATTGTTCACCATCACATGTACGAACTTCATGAAGATTATTACCACAACCACGTAAAACCTGGACAATTTGTTCACCAGGATCGGGTAAATGATAGAAATCATTCAATTCACGTGCAACATGTTTCTTTTTCGTTGCTTCTGTCATAATTTTGTTTGTCTTATTTATTAAAGGTAGTTACTTTGTCTTTGAAAATAAAAGAAATTTAAATCACCATCTTCAATAGATTCTGTCAATCATCAAAAAACTATAAATTTTTTATAATAAATTCGTAATTAAAAAATTGTTTTGATTCTTTCCGAAACACATGTGTTAAATCCGAATGAATTAAATATTATCATCAGTAGATGGTGCTTCAATCATTTTATATTTGATTAGTGATGATGATGATGGTGATGATCGTCGTTATTCGACAACTCAGCGCAACAACAACGACGACGACGACGGCGACGACATCATCAGCATCTTTTTTGCACTTTATCTTGAGTTTCTTTTGCCTAACTTTTTCTTATACAATTTCTTTTCATTCATTTCACACATACACAAAGCCGGCCAAAGCCGCACAAATTACCATCAGCAGACAGATTACATACAAATCTACATTAATGATAGAAAAAGCCTGAACAACTGACACATACCACCAACAGAAAAAAAGCTGACAACCTTAAAAAAATCTTAAAGAACCAACAAAAAAAAATCGAACCGAACCTGAACCTGAACATACAACATACAAGAAGAAAAAAAAAATTCGACCAAAGTAACCATACTTTCCCTTCGAGATACGTGGCATCATCATCGTCATATTGTTGAAATTTGAATCATTAAAAACTTGGATTGGTATATTCCAAAAATCGAATATCCATGAAGAATTTAAATTATTTTTTTTTGTGTGGCTGATTTATTTTTTTTTCTTTGAATTTGCAATTTCAATGATTCGAAAAAAAAATTTCTCTTCGAACAAATCTGAAGAATTCGAAAAATTTATTTTAGTAGCCATCATTAACTCCATTAAAATCAAATCTTTGTGTGTGTGTGTGTTTTGCATCGAATGATCAAAAAAGAAAAAATCTCTGACATCATCATTTTCATTTGATTGTAATAATTATCCCATTTTTTTTATTACATTCCACATTTCTTTTACTTTGATTCAAAAAAAAATTTTTTTTTTTGTTTGTTTGTTCACCATCCTCACCGCCACCAATTATCATTATCATCATACAATCATCAAATTGATATGAAAATCAAATAATTTCTGCTTGTCTGGACACTGTTGTCGTTTGGTTTTCTGGTATTTTGTGCTCAATTTTGTTGTCATTTTTTTTGTAAATAATCAAACGAAACAAAAAGCAAAAAAAAATTGAATTCGTCATCAATCTCATCATTGATGACAATTGTTTGTGTATTTATGAATACCAACGAAAAAAATTGAAATCGTTTGGAATTTTAATTTTGTTTTGATTATTATGCAATTCAAATTATTATAAACATTTGGAGTATTTACATCTATTGAAAAAAGGTGATAATTCCCAGCCAAAATGCATTCATTATTTTTAAATTTTTTTTCAAAAATATTCTTTCAACAGGAAAACCAAAAAATTCAATCAAATTATCATCATTCATCAATTTATTGATCGTGTTTTTTTTTTTTTGGATGGAACAATGTTGGATTTTTTAGCCATCTGCTGTTTTCTATTAATATTATTCGCTGTATTGTTATTTTATTTAACACGTGAACAATCATATGAACAGGCATTGGAAGAACAGCGAAATAAAAATGATGATCTATTAACACCAACCAATATCATTGCAGGTGATAATGTAGATAAAGGTGGTAATAGAAAAGATCGAACGAAACGATTGAATTTGAATAAAAAATCAAATAAAGAATCGACTAACAAACAAACTGCAAGTAATAAGCAACAGCAGCAAAGTGCTGCAAATAAAATACAGCAAAAATCAATCAATATCAATGAGAAAACATTGCCAGGTTTGACTGATGGGATAGCACCATCCCCAGTTGATGAATCGAAAATTTTGAAACAAGATGATCATAGAAAATCTAGTGAAAATGAATCGATTCCTACTATTTCTTCGGTTGCTGCTTCTACTACTACTGTTCCAGTATCGATACCTGATGATAAAATTGATGCTGTTAAAATTGATCCCATTGTTGAACAGCCGATTAAAATAAAGAATCAATCATCAACATCTTCCATGAAGACCGCTGTCATTCAAGATACTACCACAATGGCCATTAATAAATCAAATAATCATCAACCGATAACCAATGGGAAAAAGAGTAAAAAATCCAATTTATCAAAATGTAGGTTTGAAGTTTTTGTTATAAAATTGATTAAAAAAATTTAATTTTTTCAATAGCTTCCCGAGATTTCAACATGAATGATATAATTGAAATTATAAAATCATTCACCAAGGAAGAGGTTACCGATCTTACCGATCATTTATTGACCATACAGGCTAATGATCAATCAATCAATGATCTAAGTTGGCATACGGTATGTTTTTTTTAATTTTTCAAAAAAATTTTTATTATTTTCAATTTATTTGTTAGAAAAATGATCCTGTCGAAAGTTTGCGTAAACAATTGACCGAAAAAGAAGAGATGATCAATACACAGAAGATAAATCTGGAAAATAGTAAACGTCGATTCGATTTGATCAACAATGAATTGAAGATGAGTAAATCGAAACTACAGAATGAATGTCGTATGCGACAAGAGATTGAGATGCAAAAAAACAATTTTGCTCGTATGTTGTCCGAAATGGAGAAAAATGGCAAACAACAGATGGAACGTTTGGCTGAAAAAAATCGCATAACACGGCAAGAGGAATTTTCTCGTCATAATATAATTATTTCGGATATGAAAAATGAGATTAATAACTTGAAAATACAATTAATGGAAAAGCAAAAAATGCTGGCTGAAATGGATGAACGTAGTAAAACTAATGATGTCAATAAACAAAATTTGGAAATTTTACAACAGGATCTTTTGAATGCTAAAATGGATTATGAGAAAAATTTGAAAAATCTCACCGAAAAATATCAGGCCGAAATTTGTTATTTAAATGAAGATCAATTAAAATTGAATGATAGATTGAATGAAATTGTTATGGAAAACGAACAGCTCACAGCTCAAATTGAAACATTGAAACAATCGTTGAAAATGGCCGAGAAAACTGCGATCAACAATGAATCGTCTGCTAAAGAAAATCTTTCCAAAGCATCAGCAACAGATGCAAATGAAAATTCGAATAGCACCGACAATTATTTCAAAGATGCTTTGACTGGTAATGATGAATCGAAGACAACGAAAGAAAATTGCGAAAAACCTGAAGATACAAATAAAGATTCTGTGAACGAAATTCAACTGCTCAAAAAAGAATTGGAAGGTTTGAAAACAAAAAACAAAACATTGGAAGAAAAAAAAAATTTGATAAAGCAAATTTCGGAAAAACTTCATATCGTAGACGAAGATGTTTCGATTGATAAATTGTTTAATTCCATTGATGAGTTGCGAACATTTAAAAAAAAATGGGAAAAATCTGATGGCGCAAATAAAGAACATCTGTTCAAAATTCAACAGCTCGAAAAAAAATTGGAAGATTCGAAAAAAGAAATTATAACATTGAAAGATGAAAACAAAAATTTCATGAAGCAAATTTCGGAAAAACTTCCAATCAAAGACGAAGATCTTTCGATTGATAATTTGTTAAAATCCATTGATGATTTGCAAACAGCTAAAGAAGATTTCCAAAAATCTGAAGACACAAATAAAAAATATCTGTGCAAAATTCAAAAGCTCGACGAAGACTTGGAAGATTCGAAAACAAAAATTGAAACATTGGAAGAGGAAAACAAAAATTTCATGAAGCAAATTTCGGAAAAACTTCCAATCAAAGACGAAGATCTTTCGATTGATAATTTGTTAAAATCCATTGGTGATTTGCAAACAGCTAAAGAAGATTTCCAAAAATCTGAAGACACAAATAAAAAATATCTGTGCAAAATTCAACAGCTCGAAAAAGAACTGGAGGCATTGGAAGATTCTGCTGCAAACTTAAAATTAACCATCGATGATGGGAAAAAGAAAGAAAAACTTCTCAAAGATGTATTTTCCAAATTCACCAATATCAAAAATGGCTCCAATGACAACGATTCAGGTGATAAATTGTTGAAATCGATTGATGAATTATTAGAAACGAAAAAAGAACTGATGGAAAAATCATCCAAATCGAATGATGAAATCGAAAATCTAAAATTAAAATTGGATGTAACCGAAAATGAAAGTCTTAAATATAAAAATTCTCTCGAAGATGTGGTATGTATTTTATGGTCGTAAATTTTTTATTTACAAAAAAAAAATTATTTTTAGGAAAAACGACTTCGCAAAATTGAAGGAGAATTGCAAGAAGGACAGTGCAAACGAACAGAGCTTACTAAAAATGAACAACAAATTACATTTCTTCAAAAAGAATTGACAGAAAAGGATGAAAAATTGAATGAATTGAAAACAGAATCTAAACATGTAAGTAATTGATTATATTCTTGATTGATTCTATACTTAAACTAATCTATATTCATCAGTTAAAAAGTGATCTTGATAAAAATAATGAGCTTTTAAAGGTAGAACAAACAAAATGTTTACGATTACAGAATGAAAATGATCAGAATACAACGGCGTTCGAAAAGATACAGAAAGAAAATCTTGAATTGAAGAAAAAGAATGATAAATTAAATGAATTGGTACAGATTGGTGTGCAAACATACCAGGAAGAAAATCGTAGAGTACAAGATCTAGAACAAAGATTAGCCGCTTGTAAATCATTGAATGGCAATGATAATGGTGATAATAATAATGTATGTCCAACGACCAATGGTAATTGAATTTGAAAAATGAACCAAAAAAAACGAAACAAATTCAACAACAACAACAACCAATCAAATGGTGTGATATCATTTTTTTCACAATTATTTTTTTTGTCATTTTATCTCATCACATAATCACCAAAAGAACTACTAGAACAATGAAAATATCGCGAATCCAAGCAATTTCTTCAATTTTCTTTTTTTGTATCTTTTCTATGCAATAATATGCAAGTGATGAATTATATAATTCCCGCAAAAACGAAGGTATGTCCGTTTTTTTCTTGATTTGCAAATTATACTACACACAAATATACACACACATGTTGAATATAAACATTTTATTAATATTTATATATGTTTTGCTGCATGAATTGTTCCAATGACATGGACACATCCACACACACACACACACCAACTCTCATCATCCAAATATTATTTTTGGTGGAACAATATTGTAAAGGAAAAACATCAGCAACAACAACAAAAAAAAAATTATTTTTCTAAAACACAAAATTTGTGGATAGATTTTTCTTTCCAGAAGAAATCTATTTTTCAATTCCATATTTTGTCATTCATTCATTCATTCATACATCTATGTCATCCATATCATCATCATAATCAATTTAACCATTTTGGAATGCAAATGTAACAACAAGAGAAAATCCATGATGAAAAAAACTGGCTACATTTTCAATTGATTATTTATTTATTATTTTCTTCATTCATATATATCAGGGATGGCGAACCTATTGGCACGCGTGCCAATTTCCCACAGAGCTCTATTGAACAGGGGGCGCACGTTCGCCACCCCTGATATATATAATTATTATATTTTTATGGATTGATTTTTTTCCCATATATTCTAAACAACAACAATTGGTCCCGGTATGAATGTTTTTGTTGGACAGTAATAACAAAATTATTTCTTTAAAAAAAATTATTGATTGAATGGGGCCCATTTATATATATTTTCCATTTTAAATGAAATGTATTTGTCTTGCATGATATGATATTGATGATAATGATTATGATTATTATTATAAAAAAGGCCATATTTTTAATTCATTTCTCAAATATTCAATTCAATATATTATTATTATAATTATTTTATATTAAATGTTAAATATTTGTGTGCATATCTATCATCATATATATATTACCTATATGATAATATAGATTGAATTTGAATTTATTTATTTTTTTTCATAGAAATGATAATTCAAAATTGAACAATATTCAAAAATGACATTATTCCGGTCAATTGCTTTGATATATATTCGATTAATAAGTAAATAGAAACCTTATTGAGTATTTCACTTGTTACCATTAGTGATTTACTGATAACAAATATGATCCAAGAGCTAAGAGATAAAACAAAAAAAATCTGTTGCATATTGGAGCAATATTTTTTTTGCAATTAAATTTGGTGGAATTTGTTGTTGATCGAAAAATTTTCCAACACAAAAAAAAACATGGCAAATAACAAGAAAATCATATTGAAATATGATGACCAAACTGTTGGCCGTCAACATTTACTTATGGTAGCCAGTGTAATAAGCTGTTTATTGGCCATCATATCAACATTATTCATTGCAAATAGATATTATGATTATCTATTGATACCATTGTATATTGTAATGGCTATCCTTTCACTAATATCACCAATGATACAACGAATTCGTTTATTATTAACAGCAGCTATTATACTATTCATATTGGTCATTGTTAAACTTTATGTTTCCGTTGAATTGATTCGAAAATATCTTGATATTCGTCATGATTGTTTTATAAATTATCATGATAATTGTTTTGATAAAAATTGGCGATTAACCATGTTGAATACAATGAATGGCTGGGCATTGATGGTCATTTCAACAATTATCGATACTATTAATTTCATATCATTGATGACTATTTTATTTAATTGGTATAAATTATACAAATAAAAAATTCTTTATTACAGCTTTTTTCATCCCATTATTTGAAACCCATTTGACAACGAAAATGTGTCTGTTTTGTTTGATTTGATTTTTGGCCTAATCGCAATTCCATTTTATATTTCAAACGATTCATGTATTGAATATCACGTGCAAATTGTTGGCCTGTTGAACCATTAGCACAGCTACCATTCCAACCAAGCATTCGATAACCGCGTTGAATTTTATTCATCAATTCACGATTTTTCGATCGATCCACAGGCACTAATTGTTTTTGTTGTGGAGGTAATTTTTGTTTATAATAAATCATCAATGAACGGTGACCAATAATTGCACCGGATGGTAATCGTAGCTGATAATTATCATCATCCAATACATTTAAATCTACTTCATCGTCATCCTCTTCCTTCGGTTTCGAGTCATTTGGATAACTGGAAGAATAATCATAAAAATCTTCAAATTCCAATAATGATTCGGTACGGTTATGAAAAATTATTTTCGTATGTCCCACGTCGATCATATGTTGCTGTGTGGATTTAGTCGATGAAAATGTTTTACCATTATCACTACACCAAAGGCAACAATGTCCATGTGCAACTTTTGTACCAAGATAAAGTAATAATCCTTTCACATCGATACAATATTCTAAATCCGGTATGAAAAATGAATGTATTGTAGCCATGTGGGTGAGATTCGATTCAATATCGGTCGAATGATGACTACAGAAAAGACATTCATCAATCGGTATTGTTTCAAGAATTTCTTCATCACTATCCATTTCTTCCCAATCGGATTCATTAAATTCTTCGTCTTTATTTTCTTCTTCGGGTTGTTGTTCTTTATCTCTCGATTTAGTTTTCTGTTGATTATGATTATATCGATTCAAAAGTCTAGCCGCGATGGCCATTTGTCGAACATGTTTATTACTTGCATTATGTTGTTTGAATGCTTTTTGATTGACAAAATTTTTGCCACATACATCACAATAGAATGTTGATTCATTAGAATTTTCTTTCTGACCTTGACCAACATCCATTGTATGTTTGATTTTTATCTGATTAAATTCATCTTCAGTGATTGATTTTAATTGATTTAATTTACGTTTAAGATTATAAAGATGCCATTCACTTTTATAATGTTCACGTTGATGAGTCGTCGATGGTAAACTTATCTGACAGGTTAGGCAAGATAATTTATCCATTCTTTTTTTGTTGGGTAAAAATTTTTCGTATACAAAACACTAATTAATTTCAATTAATATGAGGACAAAAAATATTTCGGTCGAATGTTTTTATATCAGAACGCGTGGCTTTCACTGTCACATTTTATTTGAATGGAATCTTCAAATTGTATGCGGTTTCGCAACGTAACAAAATTTCGATTTGTCAAACAGAATTTAAAAAACACGGCTCCAAAATGGTAATTTATTTTACTAAATGTTTTTCATGTTAATATTAATTAATCTCTCTTACGGATAGGAATCAGAAAATTTTCTAAACAATCTTCCTGTATTTAATAAGGAGAATTTTTCCAAAATTAATACACGTACAATGAAAAAATCATCCAATTCATTTCTATCGGTTTCATCCAAAATTCGTTCAATTAATGATGAATCATTGGAAAGTAAGTGTTATTGTGATGATGATGATCATGATGCACATGCATTAAATGTTTTAATAATCAATTGATTTCCAAAAAAACAGTACGCGAACCCGAATACAATATATTAATCGATTTTCTCAAAAAACATTATCATCAAGAATTGGATGATCCTAAAACGGTACCATCAAAACGTTCATCCATACCGAATACGATCAATAGTTTGGAGCAGAAAAAATCTCGACGATTTTTAAATTAATATAATCTTGAAAAGTTTAAATATTAAATAAATAAATTCTAAAAAATGATTTTCGAAATATTTTTCGATTTTTTTTCTTTTGTTTCCAACAATTTTTTTTTCCTGTATAATACATTGTGACCATAACCATTCGGCAATATTAATCAATGCCAAAGTGTGGCGCCACAATCGGATTTGATAAATCTTTGGAAACGCAATATCTCTTATCATCATCATCATCATCATATCATATATTAAAACGCAACTCGAAAGCATGCATGCATGGCAGCAGCACATAGCATTAAAAAAAAGTCTCTACACAGAGAGAAAAAATGTAAGCTTCACGGCACTACATATGATTTGAAAATGCACAGTGACAGTTAAAGAGAAAAAAGCTATTTAAAAACATTGAGCCGATTACTGTCTAAATATGCGTATGCATGCAACAGCATCATCATCGTTTTGATTTGAAATTCGACTGTTTCAACATTATTGAGATCTATTTCGACATAAATGATATTTAAAGTTAATAGCGCGTCTTTTGAATAATTGAAATAATATTCACTAAATAATAAATTTATTTTTTTAAATAAAATTGTTTTTTATTTAAATTGAAAACTGTATGAAAAAATTCAAAAATTATGAAAGAAATTATCAATAAAATTTTTTATGAATAATTACAGTTTACCTTTAATCTTCCAAATATTCTTCGTAAAAATTTTGCTCTAAAGAATTTTCTTTAAAGAGTGTCAAGGCTATCTTTTTCTGAATGAAATTCACCATCGAATAAGATGGATTTTTCATATTCTTTGATGTCGAAATTGAACGTTTGTTCAATTGATGGAATCGTTCGTATTTATACGAAGAGTGACGATAATTTGGTCCAAATTCCAATGCATCTTCCCAATAATGCAATATGTTGTGGAATTTGGGCGTTAATTTATATATAGATTTATTTGATCGAATGAATAAAAAAAGAAGTCGGCAGTCGCAGTCTATATTTTACACATTATCATCATACATTTTTTTTAATGTATCAGGGCGTTGAGTCGTGTGAGCCCATAACCTGATAAAATAAATATGCTGAGTAATGCACAAGAAATAAGAATATCGTAGAATAGAAATAAGCAAATAAAGGTTTACTAAAACGGACAAAACAAGTGTTATAATTCAGTTCTTAAGTTTACATATAAATATAGTATAAACGGAACCATTGTTCCAAGTAGTTCTACAAAACATTGTTAACATATAATAATTCAATATATTCGAACAGTAATTTATTACATTTGTATTAGCATTGTTCAACCAGATAGATTTTTTATTTTTTTTTTAAAGATTAATTGTGATGTAGGTTAATTCTTTTATGAGATAAATCATAGCTTTAAAATTAAATTGAATAAAAATTTAAAAAACAAAAACAATATCCATTAACATTTGGCAACGAAAACAACAACAATCATAACATTGTAAAATTACATTAAAAATGAATGAATGAAAAATTATTTCCATAATGGGTTATTTGTTATTCATTTCTGAAGTGATATTTTGATATTTCATGATTTAAAAATTTATTTTTTAGAATTTATCAATTAAATTCTAAATTTGATTAATAATGAAATTCAAAATCGGAGCTTAACCTCCAATTAGAAAGCGTATTTACCATTCTTTGATGGAGGTTAATATGTAACTTTGCAGTTTAGCCTGCTAAATAACCTGCAAGTATACACTCAATCTTGCAGTTTACCCTGCTCACTTTATTCCCTGTGTATATATTGGGAATATTCAGGTGTATGATGTGTAAGGATCAAGTATATTTTTTCCGACTTCTAATGCAATGCTTAGAAAACCTGAAATGTAAGAAAAAAACAATTAATTTTTTTTTTGCTATTTGCAAATTAGTAAATAACGATATTTTGAACAACTTCAGACACACACTTTTTGTAACATGAGCAACACAAAACACATTATTTTCTTTTCTTAACGTTGTCTTTACGCTTTAAATTTTTGAGACGTTACCCCCACGTTAAGCGGGATAGTACTGTAAATCTTTTTTCGTTTCTTTTTTTCAAAAACTCAAAAATTTGAGTTTGTCCTTTCCTGTCCACTACTAATATTCAAAAACAAAAAATCCTTCAAACATTACCAAAATAATCGCTCGGGCATAAACGATGATATTTTTGAATGTCTAAAATCCAATTCGTATTTCTTCCACTCGTGTTGGATTATGTTTGCGACTATATTATTTGGAACAAAAAACAAAAATAAAGATTAAGTGCGAAAAACATGATGATATTTATACCAAACAATAACAACAAAACAATACATACCGAAACTAATTTCCAATAAAGACGTCATATAATTTGGTTTTATTAAAAACACGGATTCAATGCGTCAATTAAATAACCGCACTCGAACACAACAAAGAATTAAATGGAATTTGAATGAAAAATTTAACAAAATCGTTGATTTTCGAATCGAATGGCCAACTAATTTCTTTAATGAATTGTAATTGAAATCATCAAATAATTTTTCGGTAGGAATAGAGAAAAAACATACCTGGATTCAAAATGAAATAATATTTTGTCGCATTAACGGTGTGAAAAACGAAATTTTATTTTGACTCCAAATCACTAGTATGTGTCTGTGTCAGCGTGTGTTCAATTGTGTTGCTCGGACTCGGAATTTGCAGTTGGAAACATCCTGTTTCTCTCACCGCCATTCTCGGTCGAAATAGGAAGAGGTGGCAATAGGCAGGAGCATGCGCAGCCAGTTGACTGCTACAATTTTTTATTTATATTATGTGCAGAAAAAAAGATACAAGTTTTCTTTTTTCAATTACGAATATCAATGCTGCTGCTAACGACGGCAAAGCGTTTTTTATTCGATTAATGATGATACATTAAAAAAATGTATGATGATAATGTGTAAAATATAGACTGCGACTTTTTTGTTATTCATTCGATCAAATAAAAATCTATACACAGAGAGAAAAAATCGAAAATCATTTACTCAAAATCCTGTCAATAAACAGCGTTACCATACAAATTACAAGCAGTTAAAAATTGTATAAATTGGAGCACTCAATGTTACGTAGTATATGAATACATATTCATATATACATACATTATTATACACGCTGAAAGCATTCCCTACTGTTGGATGTACATACATAAACACTAATTGGCTTACTCTTTTATATAAAGTATGATGATGATGATGATTTTTTAGGATACTTATATATATATATATATCAATCAATAATAAGTGATAGCAATCATGGCCAGTGTTAATGTTAATCGTAATTTAACCGATCAATTTTATCGGTATAAGATGCCAAAATTATTGGCAAAAGTTGAAGGAAAAGGCAATGGCATCAAAACGGTTATTGTCAATATGGTTGATATTGCTAAAGCATTGAATCGTCCACCAATGTGTATGTTTTGTTTCTATTCTGAATATTTAATTCAATATTTACATATATTTGTTTCTATCTCTTGTTTATAGATCCAACCAAATATTTTGGTTGTGTTCTTGGAGCACAGGTTAATTGTGATGTAAAAAATGAACGTTATATTGTGAATGGATCACATGATGCAGCACGTTTACAAGATTTATTAGATGGTTTCATTAAGAAATATGTTCTTTGCGCTTCTTGTGATAATCCTGAAACAACATTGTTGGTTAATCATAAAAAAGGTACAATTAGTGCCACATGTAAAGCATGTGGCCATCTGGGATCAATTAGCTCACAGGATAAATTGACCACATATATATTGAAGTGTCCACCGGATCAACAAAATGCACCCGGTGCATCAGTGAGTAAACGAAAGAAGAAAGAACGTGAAGAAAAATGCCGCAAAGATGGTCAAAATGGTCGTAGTGGTAGTCCACAACATGATTCCGATGAATTTACAGCCGAAAATGGTGATCAGGATAATGATTGGTGTGATCCAACTGAAGTTGCCGAAGATCTGGATAATAGTGCATTGAAAAAATTGACGCTAAATGACGATCTTGAAAAATCTGTTCAACAACGAATGCAAATTTTTTATGATTTTGTCAAGGTAACTATTTTTCTATTTGGGGTGATATAAACAATAATCAATTTGATTTTAGGAAAAAACTTTGACTAACGGACCGATTGATGTAGCCATTCAAAAGGAAATTCTTAGTGAAGCTGAACGTTTAGAAGTTAAGGACAAAGCTGCCATTGTTCTTTGTGAAGTTTTATTCCGTGATCCAACTAAAATTCCTGAAAAGATCAAGGCTAATCGAAATTTATTTTTACGCGTAAGTTTGACGACTCTGATGATTAATATAATTAAACCATCCATCACCACCACCACCATGGTATAATATTTTTTCCACCTAAATCATCACATAGTTTACATTGGATAATCCCAAATGTCAAAAATATCTGATTCGTGGTTTTGAATTGACTGTCAAAGAATTTCCCATTGAATTGCTTCCACGTGTTGCCACCATTTTGAAAACATTCTATGATGAAGATATTTTGGATGAAAAAGTTCTTATCGATTGGGCTGATAAGGTATGAAAATTAATGAAATTTGAAAATTTCACAATCATTTTTGTTGTTTTGTTCATTTAGAAAAAATCTGCTGTCAAAGAATTAGGAACGCAAATCTTTGAAAGAGCACAAAAATTTATTGATTGGCTTAAAATTGCCGAAGAAGAAGATGATGATGATGACGATGAAGAGGAAGAGGACGAAGTGCAAGTTGTTTATGATGAACGAAGTCGACCAGATAAAATTATTGAATTGGAAGAAAAGAAACAATCGGAAGAGGTGAAAAAATTATTAAATAAAGATAAAGATTTAGATATTGATATTGATGCTATTTAAATAATCATCGTTAATATCATGGCTTTTTCCTTTTTTTTCTATTTAAAAATTGTAAAAAACAAACAACCGTATCAACAACAATGATCCGTATATAATACATTCGATCGAAATATATAATGAATTCTGATAATTAAAATATTTTATTATTATTCAAGAGATAATGATGAAAAATTTAAATTTTTTTAAATACAACTATGTCTACATGATCAGTATGGATTATGTAACAATAGAAAAAGTGTGTTGGTTTTTTGAGCTCGTTCTTGTATTGTTGACGTTGATGATTGTTGTGTGTATGCGTGGTAGAATATATTAATTTTTTGCTTCGCCTAATAGCCATTATGTGTTTGTAATATTTTTTTTCAATCAATCAAATTTCATTCACAATTCATGCTGATTAAAATTGTTTATAATTTATTTCGATGAGATTAGTACATTGACCATTATTATTTTTTTGGATTGATTGATCAAATCGCTCATCGTTTTGTTTTGAAAATTCTCTTTTCATTGAAAAGTGTTTTTTTTTGCATTTCATTCATTCATCATGATTAGTATGTCTCAAGAGGAAATCATTGCCAATACTAAAACGGTCATACAAGGCTTGGAAGCATTAAAAAATGAAAATTGTACCATATTATCTGGCCTATTACAATCATTACAATTGGTTAAGGAAACATCTAAAGGTAGTGATGTGAATACACGTTTGATGGAAGAAAAGGCAACAATCATTAGAAAAAGTATTGAATCAATTGAATTGGGCCTAAATGAAGCTCATGTAAGTGTTCCAAATTGCAATTTGTTTTTCCAATGAAATAACCATTTTCATTTACGCATCATAGGTAATGATGGCCCTAGCTGGACATCTACAAAGTATCGAAGCGGAAAAACAGAAATTTCGTGCACAAGTAAGACGTCTCTGTCAAGAGAATTCGTGGTTACGAGATGAATTGGCAAATACTCAACAAAGATTACAAGTTTCCGAACAAACGGTGGCCCAATTAGAGGAAGAAAAACGACATCTTGAATATATGAATTCATTGAAAAAATATGAAACTGGTGAAGCTAATGTAAGCGTATCTATAATGATATATGATATATAAACGCGAATAGATTTGATTAATAAAACTTTTTGTCTCTGATTTTAGGTTTCCGAAGAAAGTTATACATCAAAAAGTAAAACTGATAACGAAAAAGATCCATTAGATCTTGGATTTCCCGATGATGATGATGATGATAATGTTCACCCTGAGGGACTAACATCGACACCACCTGGATGCCAGATGGCTACCGGTGGTAATCCCGGTTATGAAATTCCGGCTCGTTTGCGTACATTACATAATCTGGTTATACAATATGCATCGCAAGGGCGATATGAAGTAGCCGTACCATTATGTAAACAAGCATTGGAAGATCTGGAAAAATCCAGTGGTCATGATCATCCGGATGTGGCCACAATGTTGAACATTTTAGCCCTTGTATATCGTGATCAATATAAATACAAAGAAGCAGCCAATCTATTGAATGATGCATTGGCTATTCGTGAGAAAACATTAGGTGAAAATCATCCAGCTGTAGCGGCTACATTAAATAATTTGGCCGTATTGTACGGAAAACGATCACGTTATAAAGAAGCTGAACCATTGTGTAAACGTGCATTAGAAATACGTGAACGTGTTCTTGGAAAAAATCATCCAGATGTTGCAAAGCAATTGAATAATTTAGCCTTACTTTGTCAAAATCAAGGAAAATATGATGAAGTTGAAAAGTATTATATGCGTGCATTAGAAATCTATGAAAGTGCACTTGGCCCAGATGATCCAAATGTGGCCAAGACAAAAAATAATCTTGCATCCGCTTACCTGAAACAAACTAAATATAAAGAAGCTGAAGCCCTTTATAAAGAGATATTAACACGTGTTCATGAAAGAGAATTCGGTAATATTAATGAAGAAAATAAACCTATTTGGCAATTGGCTGAAGAACGTGAAGAAAGGAAGAATGGAACTCCAACTATTTCCGATTATGGTGGATGGTATAAAGCGGTTGATAAATGGTATTGTTATTAACTTTTTTCTGTTGTTTTTTTCTTTAAATTTAATTAATTTAATGAAAAAAAAATTCTAATTCAATTAATAGTCCAACTGTTGCAACTACATTGAAAAATTTGGTGGCATTATATCGTAAGATAGGAAAAATGGATGCAGCCGAAGTTCTTGAAGATTTGACTGCTGCGCGAATCAATAAAGATGTAAGTTATATTTGATTGATATGATAGTCGATTCATTTAAATCAATAATTTTATTTTCAGAATCATGAAGTATCGAGCAACAGGCAAGGCAAGTTTACTTATTTAAACAATAGTGATTATAAAGACAATCAACAACTCAAAGATAAACGACGATCATTTTTTAAGGATAGTTTCGAACATGGATCTCGGGAATCGTTGGAAAACAACGGAACAATCGAAATGATTACATCGCCATCATCATCATCATCACCCAAAATGATAAATACACAGAACATCAGTGAAAATAACAATCACAGGGTATGTATGTATAGTGTAGATTTATATTCTTTTCCTTGACAAAAAGTGTCATTCAATAGAATTCGTTATCATCATCATCATCGATTCGTCGTTTAGTATTATCCAGTTCATTTGGTAATCTAGTGGAACATACTAGTGGTGGTAATAGTAATTTATCAAAAATTGGTTTAAAATCAAAACTATTTAGTGCATTTGGTTTTCCTCCTCCTCCTCCGACATCACCAAATTAATCACATTATCAAGTAATCATTTATGATCAAGTTTTATTCCTTGAAGAATTGATTTATTTTTATTTTTTTATTTCACCTACTAAATTATCGTCGACAACGATTGGCTCATTCATTAAGTTCCTTATTCCAGAAAAAAAACTATGTTCGATTCGACTATTTCTTTTTCACATTTGATTTGAAAAAAAATTGAAAATTTTCAACATTCTCCTTTCCCACATCTAATTATATTTTTTTTCTTTATATTCTATAGACTGTGATAAATATTTTGTAACACATTTTGAATGAAACGACGAAAAAATGAGAATAATTTAAAATTGTATTAGAATTATCGGTACTCATCATCATCCATTAACACACACACACACTTACACAGCACTATATCCAATTATTGACATTCAAACCACACTACCATTAATTATTGATTATATTAAATATCATCATAAACCATTTTTATTTATTTTTTTTTTCTTTGTTCAAATAAAAATTCAAACCATTTCGTTACATTTTGATTGTGATTAAAATCACAATTAGAATGTTTCGCCATCTGATGTCCATAATTCTCATCATTATCATCGATTCTACATTGGCTAAAAAAAATAAAGTAAAAGTGAAATTCAATTGTTGGAGCTGTGTATAATTGATTTTTTTTCGTTATTTTTTTCTATGACAACCATCAAAATCTATATGTAGAAATCTAGATTATAAGTCATGCACACGTACACATAAAATAAATCAAACCCGATAAATGGAACATTTCTATTTTGTTTCAACAACAACATATCAAGAATTATTCATCAATATATTATTGTCAATCATCAATTGAATGAATAAAATATTGACCTCATAAACAAACGAATATGTTTTGGAAGAAACGTTATTCGGAATTGTTATCATCGATATTTTTTCTATCGATGATTATTATTGTATTCATATTCGAAGTATTTGTGATACGTCCATATTTGCTGGAAAGTAATGTGTCCAATTTCGTTACATTGCATTTATTCATGGCCATCTTCTTACTTATTAATACTTGTTTAAATCTTTATCTGGTTGTACATACGGATACATCGATCATCGGTATGGTAATGCCTTCTATAACACCATTACCCCCACAATGGCATTATTGTTATGTATGTGAATCGAATACACCACCACGTTCATTTCATTGCAAAACATGTAATCGTTGTATATTACGACGTGACCATCATTGTGTTTTCACATGTAAGTCGTTTATTTGATATTTAAAAATTCATAAAAACTCATTTTAAATTTGTCAATTTTATAAAGCCTGCTGTATTGGCTATAAGAATTACAAGTAAGTTTAAGTTTTGAAAAATTAATTTGAATTTTTAATACCATTTTTTGTTCATTTTATTTAGATATTTTATGGGCCTTTTGTTTAATGTTGGTTTCGCATGCACTTATGCAACGATAATGCATTGGCATTATATTTGGTTGAATATTAATCATCTTGGTTTATGGGCAATCGCCGCTCATTCTGTTCCATTAGGATTCTATCTATTAGGCATGATCGATTTATGGACAACTTGTTGTAATATAATATCAATGCTTTGCATTGTTGGTGCTATATTCGCTTCCGGTTTATTCATCTATCATTTTAATCTGTTACGAATGAATCGTACAACATATGAAAGAGCCAAATCGATTGCCGATTATGATCTAAGTGATTGGCAAAAAAATCTTTCGGAAACACTTGGTGATCGTTGGCTATTGTTAATATTTCTATGTCCATTAATTAAATCAAGTTTACCCGGTGATGGTGTACATTTTCAAACTAAACAGGAAAAATATTTACAGAATAAACAAATTTGAAAAACAATATTCAACGTAATCGTTTATTTTTTGTGATTTTTTCAATATCTTGTCTGCTTAAATATTGTACACCATCTCGAAATCGTCCTAACTGATAATCCATTCCTCGTACTTCATTTAATCCTTTTTTCTTGGGTTGTGGTTTTTGTTTTTTTCGTTTCAATGTGGTTCCTGATGTATGATTTTGTTGTTGTTGTTGTTCACGTTCTTCCCGTTCTCTTTGTTTACGTTCACGAACTTCTTGTAAATGTTGCTGAATATTTTTACCACGTGGTTTTTTTGGCTAAATTAAAAAAAAAATCAAATTTAAAATTCATTTTTTTCTGCAAAATAAAAACATTTTTACCGTTGCGCCTAATCGAATGGCAAGTTCACGTTTGGCTGCACGTTTATCTTTATCAGAAAATCCTTTAATTCCCAAATTAAAGACCTCATGGCGTGCTTTTTCAAGATCAAATTCATTCGGTTCAAGCTTTTTTTTTTTTGATTGTTAATTGAATGTTAAAAAATTAAAAATTAACAGTTTAAAAATTTGAATGAAATTTAATTACCTTTCTTTTTGATGTTTGAAATTTATTATTTTTACGGAAATTTTGTCTTGACATGATAATATAAACAAATTAATCAAAAAAAAAAAACCAATTCAACATGTGAATGTTGTGAAAAATAAATAAATCGTAATCATTAACTGACGAAACTATCGATACAATCGTAATATTATATCTAAAAAAATTGTAGAAATAGTTATCAGATGGCAGCATATGGACTGTTTTTATTTCATAAAAAAAATTCAGTATTAAATGCGTGCGCGCTCAACCGAGAATGAATGTGTGAAAGAGCGACAGAAATCCAAAAAACCGGGCTATAGTCTCCAAAAACTAAAAAAAAAACGGATAGGAAAAGGGAGAACAACAATGATGATGAATGAATGGAGCAATCCATTCTTGAATGAGTGTGTATGTGTGTGAGTTTGTGATGTTCATTCATTCGTTGAATAGCAAATAATGATCGGCAATGATGATGATGATGATGATGATGATGATGACATACAATTGTATTTCAGATTCTTTCGTGTGTTGTATACAACCACAAATTTTTGTAGATTGTTGACTAAACCAGAACAGACGCCAGAGTATGTTATGTGTGGCAAGTAAAAGAAAAAATCGAGCAGATTCGATTCGAATAATAAATGCAATAGGATCCCTACCAGAGAAAAAAAAAGAAGAGCCATGTTGTTGTATTTTACGGGTGGTGGTGGTGATGATTGTAGATATAAATTTTTCTCTTGAATTTTAAACCATTATCATCATTCAATACAATAATAATAATAATAACTACGATTTTTTTAACTTTATACCAGAAGCCAATAATCTCAGTGGGTTTGTTTGTTGTATTATTACAGTGGCAATCTTGGATGACGAAATAGAAGAGAATCTTTGATCAGATTAGATCATCTTTGCTATCTTTTTCCTATCTCTCTGTTTCTGCTTCGCCATTAAAGGTTTCCCCTTGCTATACACATTGATGGCTATTATTATTTTTTCTTTTTTTTTATTGATTTCGTGATTTTACCAAATGTAAAAAAAACTATCAGTGTTTTGAACTGAAGAATATACGAGGTTTTCGTTCTGGCTTCAATCACATTGTGTGTGTGTGTGTCTGTCAATCGTCGTTGATGATGCGACAAGAAAATCTTTTGAATGTCAACATATACGGGCAAATCAGCCGTTAAGATGAAATTTAATTCAAATTGTTGAAATTCTTTTTCTAATTCGTAAGTTTATACATGAATTTTTTTTCTCATTCAAAAAAAAAATTTATTTTTTTTTCAATTCTAGATGATGATAGTGGTGGTGGTGGTGGTGTTGTTCTTACTACATACATAGTAAATATATAAACATCCAAATGCTGCCAATGTAATCATAGTCATTTGATTTGATTTGATTCGACTAATCAATAATACCTTGTCTATCTTAATCATCATATATCTTCATCATATCAGAAAAAAAATTTTCTTTTTGATAATTTTTATCATAAATATCAATTAAATAATTGAAATCGCGTTTGTGTGTGTGTGTGTGTGTGTGTGTGTATGTAACCAAAACAACGATCGAACAAAAACAAAAACAACCATTCATTCATTCATTCATTCAGAAATATTTTTGGAACAAAAAAAATAAACAAAATAATTATGTTTTGACACTCATCAAGTTATATTACATTGTGGTAAGTGTAATCTTTTTGTTTTGTATACATTCTGTCACATTAATTGATTAATTGTTCAATGTTTTTTTTGAGTCATTGATATTGAGATTATTGAATCAGTAATGGTGACCTGTATATCCGATTCGAATCAATCGAAATTGACCAAATCGATTGTTTTTTTCGAAATTATACGAATTCAAATCAAGGATTCGATTCGAAAAAAGAAAATTGTATTTTCATTGATTAAGGTCGATATAGTCCCTTTCCTCTCGTGATGATGATGATGATGATTGATATAATGTGGTCTTTTTCTCTTTAGACAAATCACAATCATGAAAATTTGTAAATTTTTCTTAAAAAAAAAATTTTTTCTTACAATTGATATTTGCGTGCATCAAATGATCATTATAGTTTTTATACATCCAAAGCAACAATATGAATCACGCAGGTGTGTTTTCGTGTTTGATAATAAGAAAATGGTGATGATGATGATGATAATAACAAGAAGCGGAACAGGGTGCATTTTGTTTGTCAAATATTTGTCTGTCTCTCTCTCTCTCTGTGTATATTTCAACTTTAAGTTTATTTTTTAACAAAACAAAAAATGATCACCCATTTTTACAACAATTGGTGATGATAATAATAATGGCCATAGGATGTAAATGATAAATGATTTGAAATCATTCATTATTATCACCAACCATACATCAATATTGTTCATTCATTTTCTTTTAATAATTTGTTATCTTTTATGTTATAAAAAAAGAGTTTTGTTTATCTATTATTCATCGACTATACAAGACGAACAATAATAATAGAAAAAAATAGTGATGGTTAGTTAGATTTTTCTGGTTTACTGATTGATGGAAAATATCCATGACAATCTATATACCATGTGAATACATACTCATACACACATAATGAACATCCGACATTGCACCAACAACATCAACAACAACAACAACAGCAATGAACGAATTCATCCATGAATTGATTCACAATTTGATGATACCTGTTTATTATTATCTTGTTGTTGTTGTTGTTTTCATTTGGCGGCCATCATCATCATCATCATCATCATCAGATACAGATGATATACACATAAACATACAAACACAACGAATGCATACATTAATGACAGATGTTCGGCTTTGTTCGCCCTTGTTGTTTTATGTTTTTGTTATTATTGTTGATTAATAAACTACTGTGAACGACTACTGTGTACCTTGTTAAAAAAAAAAAATTTTCTTCTGATAGTAATGTTCAACTTGAAAAACTTTCAAACATTCTATATCATATGAAACATCATTTATCAGTAAAAAAAATAGGATGGTCTATTGTTTTTTTTAGCCGTATCATTTCGAATGGATAATTCATTGTTTTTTCCTTTACAATAGAAAAAAAGGCTAAATATAATATGTAGAAAGAATAGGGATGGAAGCCTATCGCATCCATTATCAGATATACCTGTTTGCATGTATGTGTGTGTTCATGTTTCTCAACTTTTTTTTGCAGAAAAAAAATAAAGCAATATTTTGTGCTTTCATTTTGTAATGCATCGCACCGCTTTACTTACAATACATATGTGATTAATTATCATTATCATTATCATTAATGTACAAACTGCAAAGAAAAAAGAATTCAAATTAAAACTTTAAAAATATTTGAATCAAATGAGAAGGCAACAATTATTTACGGATGAAAACAAACGAATAAACTACATTGAAATAAACATACAGAAACCGAACACAATTGAGCCGAAACATTCAGATTATTGATTTTAACCATAGATCCGATCTGATGAAAATTTTTTCCCATTGGGCTGATAGGCGCTTGACGTTCTACACAATTGTCATCATCATCATCATCATCATCATCTCACCCAAAATCAACAGGTAGTTGTTTTTTGTTTTTAATTTTCATTTAACCAAAGAATCAAACACTCAAACCTCAAAATCATCGGTAGGCAACCAAATAACATAATCAAACCTATGATTTTGAGGTTTTGTTTTTTAAGAGGGTGGCTGCTTGTCAAAAAAAAAACAAAATTGTCAGCTTTCTCTCTCTATTTCTCCCTCACTCTCCATACAAATTGAACCTGATTTGAGTTTATTTTATTATCATTTTTTTTTATATACAGCAATAATATTTATCATTTTGTTGTTGTTGTTGTTGTTTTATTTTTCCATATAGCCCAGATTTGCTTCAAATGTCTAAATGTTGTTGTTATTTTTTTTTATTAATAATTCTTTATCTTTTCAATTTATTTAGATTATCAAATTCACTTCAAAATATTGATCTAATCAATATTGAAACAACGAAATTTATAAATTGATTTATTCAATGTGAAAAAAAACAAAACAAAAAAAGAAAAAAAAACAATGAAGAAGAAAAAAGATTCTGGTCAATCAATTAAACAATGTGAAATATTTTCAAATTGATTATCAAATAAGAAAAAAAAAATCTTTGATCTTTGTTATTTTGTTTATTATTATTATTTCGTTGAAAAAAACAAAATAAAACGCTACAAAAGTGTATCCATTCAGACAGTCACGTGATTTTTTAAATCTTCGACCACATTCTAGTCTATCTGATCTCAATAATCATAATTCAAATCATCATCATCATTATATTTCCGGTGCTACTGCTCATCATAATCATCTTCCTCGTTATCAGTATCAACATCAACATTTTCATTATCCATATTATTATTATAATCAACAATCATCAATCAATTCATCATCACCATTTAATCATCAACGACAATTATCACCATCAATACGTTTATTACAATCGGAACAGAATCTTATATCCGGGACCGCAGCATCTCAACATGATAATGATGATAATGTTTCAACAAAAACATTACGTTCAAAATCATTTTCAATATTTTATTGTAGTCTAGGTAATCATCGTTCAATGGATCAGAATCTAAATTCATCCGAACTATCTGAATGGTTACGTTTTCAACCGATTTCAATATTACAATTAGATCCACCTGATCGTTTTGTTCTATTCATTGCTGGTAAGTTTTGTCCACTTTTTTTCTCTTTTTTTTTGTTGATAATTATACAATCAGCATTACAAAATTTTTTTATAAGCCATAAATTTCATTATTATCATCATCATCATAGTCATTACATACATTTTCTTTATATAACCACAAGTTTTATAGATTATTTTTATTTTTTTATTATTACTTGATAATGACCTCTGTTTATGATGGTCAAATCTTGTTTTGTAACAACAAAAAAATTGCCGTCAAAGAGACAGAGGTACTTATTGGGTTATTTTATTAACTATTTTTTATTATTATTATTAATACACCACTAACTCTATGATGTTGATGATTGTATGTGTCATTACCAACGGATGCGATTGCAATGAAAAATGGCAAGCGAAAAATAAAATGTCTACCATACAAATATTGATTAATTTATATGAAATCAATAGAAAAAAAGTGCCAATATTTGTTTACCCTGGACATTACTACAGTCAGCATAGAGATTGTTTCTCTATTTGTTGTTGATAGGTTGGTTGTCTTTCTATCTATATTGAATGTAAATTGAATTTAATATGAATCGACACCTGAGATTTTTTTTTTTATCCTCATCGATCATGACGATTGCCGAGAGACGTGTCAAATTAATCAAATAATGATAATAATAATAATAAAATATCAACCAATTTAAACACACACACACACACACACACACACACACACACACACACACACAGCAGACACACATGGGAACACGGAGATCCTTTTTTCTATTATGATGTGATCATCGGCTACATTATTATTTTACATCATAAATATCATAGTTTCATTCATCTATCTATGATCTCATTGATTAATGATATAATTTGTATCTCTATGTGTGTGTGTGTGTAACAATATACAATAAGTACAAAAGAAATATAGAAAAAATTAGGTATAAGAAGCTAACGTGTGATAAGATGATTTTTGATTGTTGTTTATTACTCAAAAATAAATGATTTTGTTTAAATTGATTGTTCATTTTTTTTTTTTTGATCTCTCATCATCATTTTATATGGTGGCAAATTTATCGTTTTGTTCTGTTTGATTCATCTGATTGTCGTTGTCTTTGTTCTGATGATGATGATAATAATATTTTTGTTATTATTATTATTATGGGCAATGTTGCCAGATTTGGTAAACGACCATTACATGAGAATTATATTTCAGCAACAACATACATATTATCCTATCATCGTTTTATAATGTGGAATTTTTTAAAACGTGTTGAATTATCAACTAATACCGATGTTGACGATGATGGTGATGATTCATCGAAATTATCATTGAATAATAATGATAATCGTTTTATTCAAAACAATGTTGATAATGTGGATTGGAAAACAATCCAAAAATTTAAAACCAACAGCAACAAAAACATCGTTGTCACATCAACAAATCGATCATCATTTCAGAATTTTTTCGGTGTTAATTTAAAAACAGTGAATAAAAACAATGTTAATCACGGTAAATGATGATTTGTTTTTATAAATGAAAATATTCAATAAATATCCCGTTATAACAATTCATAATGGTTAGCAAAAGATGGCGCGACTAATGTGGCTAATTTTTTTTTATATTTTCTGTTTTTTAAATGAACAAAAATTTTCATTCGAAAAAGTTTACATTTTTTACTTGATGAAGAATAATTACGAATTAATAGCGGCAATGATCATTTCATTTATTAAGACCAACCAAACAAAAAAATTGTTCGACAAATAATTTTTGACGTAGGCAGACATTTTCAATGAAAGAATTGAGAAAAAAAAATCACTTTTTTTGGTCAATACACACACAATACAGCAGTGTTTTCTTTTTTATACTTTACCTTGAATTGAATTGAATTGAATTCAATTCAATTCAATTTTCCGTTTTTTTTCTCTCTTCGTTTTAATTTTCAGGCAAGGTGTTTATTTTGTTTTGTTTTTTCAATTTCGAACGAATTTGAAATTTTTTTTATCCTTGTTTGTGATCAAAAAAAAAATTTTAGTTATACATTCATATTTCTCATGTGGTTTTTAGCAAAGAATTTTTTCAAACTAAATTCTAAAATATTCTTTTGTCTTTCAATATTGGGAATTTGCGATGTCATTTCTGTTTTTTTTTTTGTTAAAATCGAAACGCAACCATCAATACCGGATTGATCGAAAGGATTTGAACAAAAAAAAAATTTTACAGCAAAAAAATGCCTTAAATGGTGATTCCTGTCTATGTGTTGTGTGTGTGTGTGTATTTGTGTTCCATGTTAGTTTGTTGTTTGACTGTTTATGGTGTGTGTGTGTGTGTGTGTTTGTGTTTCGATGTGATTTCCATCATCATCATCATCATCATCATTCGACAACAACAGCAACATCCAACATTTTGTTTGATGTGACCATAATTGGAAATTGATCAACCTTTTTTTATTATTATCTTTATTGTTTTTCAATGAAATATGAAACGTTTCTTCATTTTTTTTTCTCGCTTTTCAGATTGTATTGTGGATGAATTCTACGTGTTTTTTTTTCGTTTCGTTTAATTTCGCGTTGGCTGAATAGTTTCTGTTGTTGCTTTACCTATCTTCATATTTTTTTTTTTTTTTTGGTACAAATGTGGCGTAAATTTTCATGTTTCAAGATCACACATAATGTCTATAATGATAGTGATTTGATGCGGCCAATGGATTCCTTTCTGAAACATTTTAAACGAAAAAAAAACAAAACTAAAACATATGGAACAGATACCTGTCGCGCCTGAATTGAATTGAATCGAATGAAGAAAAAAATGCACATTGCTCGTATACATACACAATATAATAATAATGATGATAATCATACTATGCCATTCACCATCTTTTCTTTGCCTACACGATATTTTTATTCCTCCAGAAAAATTTTTTCCGCTCATTAAAAAATTTCATTATAATAATAAAAATATTCTCATTGGCTAAAATGAATTTTTCATTATTCATTGATGATGTGGATTCAACATTTGGTTTTGACATACACACACACAAATACACATTGAAACCAAGAGAAAGAAAGAGAGAAAGAAATTGCATTGCATCCGATCGATTTAGTATATATGGTTTACAAAATTATCATTTTATTATTTGCTATGAGAACCATTTTTAATTGATAAAATATTAAATGCAGCAACCACGATCAAAAAAAACATGACATGTTTTCCTCTCTCTCTCTCTCTCTCTCTCTCTCTCTCTCTACATTCAAATGTTAACATGTTGTTGTTGTTGCTGTTGTTGTTGTTGTTGTTTTTGTTATTGTCGTTATTGTTATTAATATTATACAGATAATGGATTGGATCAATAATCAAATGATGTGGCTGTGGCAACTTATTGATCATACATACAATTGGTTTTAGCGGCTTTGATTTCAAATGTGTCACACACATAATTCATTTGATTTTTTTTTAATGTATGCAACTAGTGTTTGTTAAATGTAGTGGATATTCCCACAGTAACACAATAATAATATTTTTTAGATGTTTCCTTAGAGACTTTCTCTTTTTTTTCTTTTTTAAAAGCAGTAGTAGTATAGTTATCACTATAACAAACTGTTCGCATGCAATTCCAATCATCATCATCAACATCATCATCAATTGACCAAATATGAACAAAATCTTTAACATTCATGTTTAATTTTTTTTTTTTTTTTTTTGGATGTTATTTTCATTGTTGTTTGTAGTAGTAATTTTTGTTGTTTAGTATTGTGATGCGGCTTTTCGATGTATCGTCGATCAGTCATCGATGGCCTTTTTCTTTTTTTTTTCTTGTTAATCCAATCATGAAAACTTGTGGTTGTGGTGATGATGATGGTTTTTATGGTTTCAACGAATTCCAATTCATAAAAAGTTTTTTTTTAGTTTTTTTTTTTGAATGAATGAAATTCACACCACTTACACACACGCATACACATATTATGACCATCATAGAATGAATGATATTGGTTCAGCATCATCATCATTATCATTGTCAATCCAAATGATGATCATCATTTGATTTGAAATGAAATATTTTCAAATGCAAACAATTCATTCAAACGTGTAATGATCGTTGTCATCGTCGTTAGTTTCATGTCTATTGTCGTCATCGAAAATTTTGTCTCATCGTTGTCGTCGTTATCGTTATTGTGTCGTTATTAATTATCATTATTCTTAATCTGATTTCTATTAATCAAAAAAAAAATTATCTTCATCGTTTTTATTCTGAATCCTAATCACAGTATTTATCTATTCATTATATCTACTACTAAAAAAAAAAAAAAAAAAACAAAAAAAACGAAACCACTGATGATGATTTGATTTTGATTTACACCGTGATTTTTATTATCAATATATTGTTGTGGTAATACAACTTTTCTACCTGGATTTTTTTTTTAATTTAATCAAATTATCATTTTAAAAAATTATATTTTTACATTGTGTTTGTGTGTGTGTGTGTGTGCCAAATTATTGTAACATCATCATTCTAAAAATTAAAGAAAAAAATGGAATATTATGAACATTATCACCATTATGATCATAATATGAATAATATCGAAGAAGAAGCGGTCCAAGAATATGAAACCAGCGTTTATAAACATAAAGGCGTGTACCACATAACAAAATAGTGATAATATTCATTCTTGATGTTCATTTTTCATATTTTTAAACAAGAATTAATTAAATTTTTGTTTTGATTTTTTAAAATTTTTTTCCGTTTAGATGAAAGAGATGCAATCCAAAAGAAAACATTTACAAAATGGGTGAATAAACATTTAATTAAAGTAAGTTTGTTATTATTCATCATCATTATTATTATCGTTTGCATTGATTTCCTTTATATATTCAATCTGTTGTTTTATTCTTGTTATTCCTATGTGTTCATTATTAATTAATCAATATTAATCATAACAAACAAAAAAAGCTTGGAACAGTTCGTCAGGTATTATTTCAATAATGATAATAATCTAATTCAGCTAACTAAGATACGTTTTTCTTTCATTAAAAAAACCAAACTAAAGTCTATTCCATGTCTACCATTATTGCCTTCGTGTATAAGCATCGATTCCTGTGATAATAATAAAATATCAATGTAATAATTGTGCTTATTCTTTTGTTTATTGCTTTTCTTCTTGAATATTTAGTTTTAATTGATTAATTTTTTTTTATTATTGAAAAATTAAAAGGTAACGAAAGGTGTCGTCGATTTATTTGAAGATATTCGTGATGGGAATAATCTCATTTCATTGTTGGAAGTATTATCGGGTGAAACATTACCTAGAGAAAAAGGAAAACTACGTGTACATCATCTACAGAATGTTCGAACATGTCTGCAATTTCTTAAAAATCGAAATGTAAATTAAATGTGAAAAAAATTCAAAAAAAAAACAATTGACTAATCAATCATCATTCTTCATTAGATAAAACTTGTAAATATTCGTGCCGATGATATTGTCGATGGTAATCCTAAATTAACATTGGGCCTAATTTGGACAATCATTCTTCATTTCCAAGTATGTGTTTATAATTTTCGAAAACATTATGCCCATGATTTTCATACAATTGTTTTTTCATACAATTAGCTATCGGATATAATACTTTATGATGATACGATATCATTCAAAGAAGCATTGCTAAAATGGGCTAGAAAAACAACACAAGGTTATCCAGGTGTTAATGTAACCGATTTTACTCATAGCTGGAAAGATGGATTAGCTTTCAATGCCATTCTACATCGAAACCGGTAAAAATGAAACCAATACCATATATTAATGAATACTGATTATAAATATTTTTGTTTCTAAATATCAAGTCCGGATCTACTTGATTATCGTTCATGTCGTTCGAGAACGGCAATCGAAAATCTAGAAAATGCCTTCACCATTGCCGAAAACGATCTGGGTGTAACAAAATTATTGGATCCAGAAGATGTTTACTGTCCGAATCCTGATGAAAAATCATTGATAACATATATTTCATCTTTGTATGAATTATTTCCTGAACCACCAGAAAATAATCCATTATTGGATAAAGAACGTATTAAACGTATTGAAGAATATAAAACGGCTGCTAAACGTCTGGTCAAATGGATCGATGAAAGTTGTCATCGTCTTAGTGATCGTAATTTCAGTCCATCATTGGAAGAGATGAAACGAATACAGGAAGAAACGTATCGTTTCCGTTCGGAAGAAATTCCACCACGATTCAAGGATAAACAACATCTTTGTGAATCATATAAACAAATTCTTGAAATGGCTTTAGCATTACCCGTACGAATTGATGAGGAAATTAAACCGGACAGTATTGAACAACGATGGAAAGAAATGCTGTTAGCCTATCAAGAACGTGATCGTGACATCAAAGATTATATGTCAAGATTAGAAGATCTGGAACACTTGGCTAATAAATTACGAAAAAACATTCGTGAATGTGACAAAAAACTCACCGATATTGAATATGCAATTGTCGATCTACAGAAACGTATTCAACATTCCACCACCACCGAACCAACTGAACAGGCGATCGAACAAATACAAAAAGAGCTTAAATTCGAAGAAAAACGTTTGAATATGATGATCAATGATGCAAACTATTTGATTGATCAACATTATCCGGAAGCTAGAGATCTTTATGAACAAGTTAAATTATTACATGAACGATATCAAGCATTGAATTTGGAATTTAATGAACGAATATTTGGTGCACTACAAGATAAATCCATACAGAAAATTCATCAGGTATTTGCCGATTATGTTTCGGCATTATTGGAAAAATTACGTGAACAGGAACGAAAAATTGTTAAAAAGCTACAGGAACCAATACCAAGACGTGTTCAGGATATTGATCGCTTGGCTGTTGAACATAAAGAATTTGAAATTGAAACCAGGCAATTTGAACCGGATGTGGAAAAAGTGAAACGTGAATATTCGAAATTACCCACACGAAATGCTGGTTCACAATCAAAATTTGAAACATTAATGGAATTATGGCAAAATATTTGGAAGTATTCGGATAGTTATGTACAACAGATGGATGCTATACGAATCATTCTGTTGGATATTAATGATGCAACTAATATGATTTGTGAATTGGAAATTGCACTATCAAGTTCACCAGATATGTCTTCTGAAATTGACAAGGCACGAGCGGTATTTGATGATCTTCGACGAATTCATTCCAAAGTTATAAAACACGAAAGTAGTTTTGAAAAATTATTATCAAATGTTTCAAAGATTCGTAATATTGTCGAACGGAATCGACCACATCGTACAGCATCACATCCCGATATTGATCAACTTGAACGTGATGTTAAAATATTGAATCGAAGATGGAAAGATATTGCTACACAAGCAATGGAAAGGTATTTTATATGAAATACATGACTGTTCATTTTGATTCATTTTCTTGATTTTTTTTCAGAATCAAATCATTGGAAACCTGTACAGAATTATTGAATGCTTATCGTACCAAAATGTGTAAAGAGATTGAATGGATGAAACGAATGAATCAGAATGTCGATGATTTTGTACGTCGTAAAGAGTTGAAAAATGCCAAGGTAATTTGAATTTTTTTTTTTGACTGTTTTTATCCAATAATTAAATTTTTTTCACCTTAAAATATTAATAATAACTTAGCAACTTTATGAAGAAGCATCATCGCACAAGATATCGATTGAAGAAACCAATCATTTAGGTGCTCGATTTATGAAAGAGGCAAAAATCTATGATTTGAAATTGAAAAATTATCGTGAAAAAATTGAAGAGTATCATCCAAGCGTTGATGCTGCAGCTAAACGATCAAAAATTATTGGCGGAATCGATTGTGTTGAACAGGAATTGAAACAACTCAATGATGATTATGCCTCGCTTTTGAATCGTATACTTGGCCTTTTGAATCAACTTCAAGATGATGATTCAAAGCTACGAGAATTTGTAAGTAATATATCTATTTATTTATTTGTTAATATATTTTTTTTCAATTTCAAACTTTATTTTTCTATTCTAAATGTTTAAAATTTATATTCAATTAATTGATTAAAAATCTTTAATTCATTAATCAATTAGCCAACAACTGTCACTATCAAGACTTATGAACAATTTCCTGGTATTAATTCAATAATCAAAAGTCATAATTCTACTTTTATTTTTTCAAATAATAATAATAATAACAATAATAATAATGATGATGATAATAATAATAGTAACCGTAATTCTAATAATGTGATGATTGATGAAGATGATACAATCGATAGCCAATGTAGTACTACTACTATTTCATTCACTAATCAATGTCATCCATCACCAACGACAATAGAAGCAACATTACAAAAATATCATCATAAAATAACAACAGCAACCGTTTCAAATGTACCATTAAGTGACTTACATGAATGTAAAAGTCTAAATATTTCTACATTGAATTTAACACAAGATATACAATCAAAAGAAACGGATGATAATATTACTGAAATAACCGTAAATCGTATATACGAAACAGATGTTCAAAACAAAACATTTATATTGAAAAAATCTCAACCATTACAACATAACAATGAATCTGAATCATTTTCAATTAATGTGGATGGTGATAAACCAATCGATGATATGATAATGATTGACCGTTATGAGCCTATTGCTCGATTATCTTGCTCATCCGATATCCATCATCAAATAAGTCGAGCATTCATCGATGATATCTCCAGCACACCTATTCAATCGAAAGAGACCGATGTATATTTTGAGGATGAAAATCCAATCATTTTATCTACAAATCTATCTGAAAACATTCCATATGATGTGATAAATACCACTTCTATGGTGATGGCAAAACCTTCATATTATTCCGAACCACCTATCATTATTAATAAATCAATGAAAACAATTTCTGAAATAGAATTTTTATCCACTCAACCAGATGAACAACAACAACAACAACAAACGATAGAACCAAACTATTATGAACATTTTCAGCTGCCAACTAACGAACTCGATGATGATAATAATTTTTCAAAAATTAACACTGATAACATTGATATTAACAAACCATTTTCAACATCTTTTCATTTTGATTCTGTTCCTGTCGATTTTTCCACATCATTTCCATTAACAATTAGTGAAAATGCTAATATAAATGTTCCACTAGAATCTAAGGAACATTATCCTCTTATTCAGGTGAGAACTAGTCACTAATCTTATTTTGTGAAGAATTTGCGTGAAATTTCGCAATTTTGTAATAATTCTCTTTTTTCCCTCTGTTTCTAGCATGAATTGGCTGATGAATTTTTACACTGGCTTAATCAAAAAGAAAAAATCATTAAAAAATTGGAACCAATTTGTTCAGAACCACAAAAACTTATTGCACAATTACAACAAACACAACAATTGACCGAAGAATTTGTTGCGCACAGTCCAATGTTGAATAAGATTGATAAATTTGCCGATTCTCTTATGGAACGTTTGGATCGAACCGATTCACAATTTAGATCGATACAGGAAAAACAACAATCAATCCATGATAAATGGAACAAATTGACCAATATTTTAGCTGAACGTGAAAAGAATTTACTTGCTGTCAAAGATGCGGCCAATGAATTCCAGAACAAGTATGATCGATTATTGGCTGCTTTGCATAAAATTTCTGATGATTTTGACAATATTGTTGATTCTGGTGCCGATGGTGATGAACAATTGTTGAAATTGTCTCATTTAGAAGAATCGCTAGAAGCACAACGTCCAAACATTGCCGATTGTGACCGTTCATGTCAAAAACTTTGTGAATTGCTCACCGATAATGGTTCAAAGAATGAAGTTCGAGGTCGTGTTGATGGCCTACGAAAATTTTACGATGATTTAAGCCAAAAAATAAGCGATAAAAAAGCTGAATTACAATTGGCATTGAAAGAAGATAAAGATTTCTTTTTCAATTGTAATGCCATTCAAGATTGGCTTCGTAACATGCAGAATAGATTATTGAAAGAATTTAAAGTTTCGGCCATACATGAAAAACTTCTCAAACAAGTGGATCAATTTGAACCACTTTATCGTGAAGTTTTGGATAAGGAACATGAAATTCATATTTTGATTCAAAAAGGTGACGAATTACAGCGAGGTATTAGCCGACCAAGTGATCAGAATCAAATACGAACAAAAATGGATCAATTAAAACGTCAATATAATCAATTGAAAGATGAAGCTACCGTACAACATACAAAATTACAGAAATGTTTAGACATTAGTACAAAATATCGAAATGCTTTCAATGCTTTCATGCCATGGTTGACACAGGCCGAAAATCGCCTAAAACAATTTGAAGGACTTGTGCTGACCAAACAACACATGGAAAAAATGTTGCGTGAAATTCAGGTAATTCAGATTTAAAATTTTGATGAAAATTTTGATTTTTTTGCTCTTCTGTTTGATAAAAATACAGGCCTTGAAAAGTGACATTTCCCGACATAGTTCAGATTTTGAAACAATTTGTTCGTTAGGTGAAAGTCTCATCTCAACGGCTGATATTGATACTGAAGTAATTCGTGAACAATTAAATGAATTGAAAAAACGATGGAATAATCTTCAACGAGAAGTTGAAAATAAACTTAAAGAAGTGGAACAATTGTTACAAAAATTGAACATTTATGATGATAAAGCAGGGGATTTGAATCATGGCCTCAATCGTCTGGATGATAAGCTTAATCAATTAAGTCATAAAGATCCAAAACAATTGGAAAAACTTGAATCACTAATGGATGATTCAAAAAAATTGGCCGATGATTTGGATAAGTTGAAAAAAGTTGGTTTCAAAATTATCGATGAAGCTGGACCGGATGCTGATTCGGCTCCTATCCGTGATGGTTTAAAAAATTTTGATGATCGTTATAATACGTTGAACAACAATTTAGCTGATCGTCATCGTAGCCTGCAGAAAGCATCAGGTGCTATGCAAAAATTCAACAATGATCTTTCTGCCATTCAAAAAGATTTGAATGCCTTGGAAGAAAAACTGGATAAAATGGCTCCAATTGGTCGCAAAATTCAAGTGGTTCAGATGCAAATTGAAGAAATGAAAGAATTCAATGGCAAATTATCTAAAGTATATGATAATCTTAAAGAAGCTGACCGAACATGTGATGATTTGATTGCCAAAGGATTTGCTAGCGATCCAATCGGTACTCGTAATCAATTGGACAATTTACATCGAAAATATGAACGAATCAAAGAACGTGGTGAGAATCGTTTGAAAAATCTGGATGATGTTCTCGATCAATTGAAACAATTTAACGATCTTATTAATCAAAACATGAGAAGCATTAAAGATTTATTGAAAGAAATTGACAATTTCAAACCGATTAGTCGTGATGTTGAAACCATACGATCACAGCAAAGAGAACTACAATCGTTTGTACAGAATCGTGTCGAACCATTAAAACAACAAGTTGACGAGGTAAATCGATGTGGAAATGAATTGATACAATCAGCATCTCATGGTGTCGATGTTGGCCAGGTGGAAAAAGATCTGGAAAAACAAAATGAAACCTGGAACAATCTCAAAGCAAAGGTACAAGAACGAGAAAAAAGTCTGGAAGCTGCTTTCCTTCAGGCTGGCCGATTTGAAGATGCATTGCGAAATGTTGAAAAATGGCTCAGCGAAACTGAAGAAATGGTAGCTAAACAGAAACCACCATCATCGGATTATGTTGCACTCAAAGCACAGATTCAAGAACAAAAATATTTGAAAAAGACATTGACCGATCGTCAAGAAAGTATTGATAATCTACAAGAATTGGGTCGTGCTTTGATGAATAATTTGGATCGAGCTGAACGAAATCAGATTGAAAAACAATTGGCCGACGTTAATCGACGTTTCAATCGATTATTTGATAGTTGTAATGAACGAATGAAAATGCTTGATGATATACTTCCATTGGCGAAAGAATTTTCCGAAAAAATTGTTCCACTTCAGGAATGGCTTGAATCAAGCGTAAGAAAACTTACCACACTGCAGGCTTTCTCAATCGAACCGAATAAATTAAATCGACGAATCAGTGAACATCAAAGTTTCCACCAGGAAGTAGTAGGTAAACAAAAAGATTTCAAAAATCTATCAAACATTGCCCAACGGTTGATTCATCTAATTCGATCGGATGATGAAGGAAAATTAATTGCTGATAAACTATCCGAAGTGATTGAAAAATATGCTAAATTGGTTGAAGATAGTGATGAATTACAGAAAACATTACATGATGCATCCAAACAAATCGTAACATTCTTGGCTAATTTTGATAAACATTCAAAGTGGATAAATGAAATGGAATCAAAACTACAAAAACATAAAATTCTTAACGTTCATCTGGATAAACTTAGAGATCAATTGGATGACGTAGAGAATATTCATCGTAATGTCGATTCGTATCAACGTGAAATCGCTGAATTTGTCACTCATGGTCAACAATTGGCCAAACAATATTCAACGAATGATTCAATGTTTATACGGCAAAAAGTTGAATCCATTCAGAATAAATTCAATGACCTTACACAAATGGCCAGTGATAAATTGGAACAAATTCGAGCTTCATTGAATTTGGCTCAAAAATTCTATGCTGCCTTCGATGAATTGAATGAATGGATGAAAATGGCTGAAAATAAACTGAATCAAATTGATTCATATCCTATTTCACAACAAAATGAAATTATCGATAGTCTAGAATCGGATGTTACATCGAAACGAAGATTATTGGATACGATTAACAATTTGGGAAATGAATTTGCCCGCACAAGCCCAGGACAAGGTGCATCGACAATCAATGGCTATGTTTCCAAATGTAATAAACGATTTGATGCCATTATTGAACAACTTCAACGAAAAAGTGAAAAATTACGCTTAATGCGTGAACAAAATGAATCGCTAAACATCGATATCGATGAATTATTCGATTGGTTTAGAGATGCTGAACGACAATTATTGGAAGCCGAACCAATCACATCGAATTATGATCAGCTTTTGATTTTATTGCGTGAAGTAAAATCCCTAAACGATGATATTAATCAACAAAAATTACGTGTACGTGAAATTGTGAATAAAGTGAAAAAATTAATGCGTGATTCGACGACGGCCAACGATGAATTGATCAACATTAATAATAAAACTGATGAACTTAAAGAATTGGCTAATAATGTTGCACAATTATGTCAGGATCGTCTTAATTCGATCGAACATGCCTTGCCATTAGTTGAACATTTCTTTGATACCCATAATGAAATTGTACAATTTTTGGATGAAATCGAAAATGAAGTTCAAATTCTGTCACAACCATCGATTTATGTGGAACAGATTCGTAAACAACAGGAAACGACAAAACGTTTGATACAAAGTCTGAAATCGAATAAACCATTATTCGAACGATTGAATAAAACTGGTGATGAACTGATTGGTTTGTTGCAGAAAAAATCCGATATACATCAAATTAAACAGATTATGGATGATGATAATGAGCGATATAATCGGCTTAAAAATGCTTTACGTCAACGACAAAATGATCTGGAGAATGCTTTACAAGCAACATCATTATTTACGGATAAATTGGATGGCATGTTGAATGCATTAAATAATACTGCCGATCAATTGAAAAATGCCGAACCAATTTCGGCACATGTTCCAAAAATTAAAGAACAAATCGGCGATAATAATGCCATATTGGATGATCTGAAAAAACGTGAAGATGCATTCAATGCTGTGAAGAATAATGCGAAAGAAATAATAAGTAAAGCTGGCCGTTCGGATGAGCCTGCCATTCGCGATATTAAAAATAAATTGGATCGATTGAATGACCTTTGGAATGATATTAATCGAATGGCCAATGAACGCGGTGATTGTCTGGATGATGCACTTAAATTGGCCAAACAATTCTGGAATGAATTAAATGATGTTATACGTGCAATCAAAGATCTTGAAGATGCACTTGAATCACAGGAACCGCCGGCCATTGAACCAGATAAAATTCAACGACAACAGCATATTCTATCGGAAATTAAACATGATATGGATCGTACACGACCACGATTGGAACAATGTAAACAAGTGGGTAAAAATCTGATCAAAGTGTGTGGTGAACCAGATCGTCCAGAAGTACGAAAACAAATGGAAGATCTTGATAGTGCATGGGATAATGTAACCAGTTTGTATGCAAAACGCGAGAAAAATCTTATCGATGCCATGGAAAAAGCAATGGAATTTCATGAAAAGATGCGAAATCTTCTGAAATTTCTGGATGATGCAGAAAATAAATTCGACAAACTTGGTCCGATCGCAGCCGATATTGATGAGGTGAAAAAACAAATACAGGAATTGAAAAATTTCAAAAATTGGGTCGATCCACATATGGTCGATGTTGAAGCATTAAATCGTATGGCACATGAACTATTGGATCGAGTACCAAGTCACCAGGCTAAAGGTATTCGTGATGCTATCAATGATATTAATAAACGATGGAAAAATTTATTGAAAAATATTGGTGATCGAAAAAGTGATCTGGATAATGCCCTACTAAAATTGGGACAATTTCAACATTCCTTAAATGAATTACTAGCCTGGATCGATAAAATTGAAAAAATATTGGATGAAGGTGAAAAAATATATGCTGATCCACAAGTGATTGAAGTTGAATTGGCTAAACATAAAGTGTTACTCAATGATATTAATGCACATCAGGCCAATGTTGATGCATTAAATCAGGTTGGCCGTCATCTAATTGATTCGGAAATGGGATCCGAAAATGCACGAAATACGAAAGCTAAATTGAATCATTTGAATTCCCGTTGGAATACGCTAATTGATAAGGCTAATGGTCATACAAATGAATTAGAAGAATGTTTGCGAAAATCACAATCACTTGCACAGGAAATTCAAGATATGATGGCCTGGTTGAATGAAATGGATCAATTGATTAGTACATCGAAACCAGTTGGTGGTCTACCGGAAACGGCACGTGAACAATTGAATCGTTTTATGGAAATCTATAATGAATTGGATATGAATCGTCATAAAGTGGAAACCTTATTGCAAAATGGTCATGATTATGTATCAAAAGCTAAAGAAGGACAAGCCGTTCATCTACAACAGAATCTAAAAAATCTACAAAACAAATGGGAAAATATTTTAAATCGTGCTAATGACCGTAAAATTAAATTAGAAATCGCGCTGAAAGAAGCAACCGAATTTCATGAAGCATTACAAGAATTTGTTGATTGGTTAACATCGGCCGAAAAATATCTTGCTTCATTACAGCCGGTTAGCCGTGTATTAGAACATGTTCTTAAACAGATTGAAGAACATAAACAATTCCAAAAAGATATTGGTCTACATCGTGAAACAATGTTGAATCTGGATAAAAAAGGAACACATTTGAAATACTTTAGCCAAAAACAAGATGTCATCCTCATTAAGAATCTTCTTTCAAGTGTACAATTACGTTGGGAAAAAGTATTGACTAAAACGGCTGAACGAGCAAGAAATCTTGATCATGGTTTCAAAGAGGCAAAAGAATTTCATGATTCATGGTCCGATCTTATTACATGGCTTGATGATGCTGAACGAACATTGGATAGTATTGAACCAATGGGTAATAATCCTGATTTAATTAAACAAACTCTTTATCGTCATAAAGAATTTCAACGACAATTGGGTGGTAAACAATCGAATTATGATTCAACAATGCGTTTTGGTAAAAGCCTAAAGGATAAAGCACCAAAAGATGATGGACCCATATTACAGGAAATGTTAGATGAATTGAAAAATAAATGGAATGCTGTATGTCAGAAATCGGTGGATAAACAACGTAAACTTGAAGAAGCTCTACTGTTTTCTGGACAATTCAAGGATGCCATACAGGCATTGATTGAATGGTTGGAAAAAGCGAAACAAATATTGGCATTTGATCAACCGGTACATGGTGATCTAGATACGGTCAATACATTGATCGATGATCATCGAAACTTTATCGATGATTTTAAATCACGTGAAAAGAATATGCAATTTGTTCGCAAAACAGCGGCTGATCTGATGAAATCGGCTAATGCAGATGATGCACGACAAATCGGTAGACAAATGGAAACATTGGAAGAGAAATGGGCTGAAATTGAAAAAATGATGCAACAAAAACAACTTCGTTTAGATGATGCATTGAAATTGGCAAATCAATTACATAAAGCTGTACATACATTGCTTGGATGGCTTTCGGATGCTGAACTTAAATTACGTTTCGCTGGCCCGTTACCCGATAATGAAGATGTCGTACAACAACAAATACGTGAACATGAAAATTTTATTCGTGAAATGCAACAAAAAGAACGTGAAAAGAATTCAACATTGGATTTGGCCAACGATATTCTACGACTTTCACATCCAAACGCATTACCAGTTATTAAACATTGGATAACAATCATTCAATCACGTTGGGATGAAGTGGAATCATGGGGCAGACAACGTGAAAAACGTCTTAATGATCAATTAAAATCGATGAAAGATGCATCCGAATTATTAAATAATTTGGATCAATGGTTAGCGACAACAGAATCAAATCTGAATGAACTTGAATCACAACCATTACCGGATGAAATAATTGAATTGGAAAAATTAAATGATGATCATCAACGATTAATCGATGATTTGAATGACAAAAAAGTGGATGTTGAATTTATTATCAAAACATATTCGTCGAAGAAGCCGTCATCTGCCTCGAAAGATCGATCAACATCATCAAAACATCGTTTATATGGTGTGAAAATGCCGAAAGCACAATTTGAACCGGAAATCAATAATCCGAAAGCTAATCATATGTTGGATAAATGGCATTCTGTATGGCGATTAGTTTCCGATCGTATGAAACGATTAAAAGATGGCTTAAATTATAATCGTGAAATGGAAAAAATGAAAAATTTTGATTTCGAAGAATGGCGAAAACGTTTTTTATTCTTTAATGATCACCGTAAAGCAAAATTAATGGATTTTTTCAAACGAATCGATCGTGATAATGATGGCCGTGTTAGTAAATCTGAATTTATCAATGGAGTATTGAATTCACGTTTTACAACGAATCGTTTGGAAATGGAAAATGTGGCTGATATATTCGACATTAATGGTGATCGTTATATTGATCAGAAAGAATATTTGGATACATTAAGGCCGGATAAAGGTGATGGTGCTGGTCAATCATCAAAAACGGAATCGGAAATAATACAGGATGAAGTTCAACGATTAGCCGATCAATGTACTTGTGTTGAACGTTATAAAGTATATCGAATTGATGAAGGAAAATATAGGGTAACTAAATATATATGGGGGTTTAATTTATAAGGATGTTAAATTTTTTATTAATTTTTTTTTCTCTTTCAATAGTTTGGCGATTCGCAAAAACTTCGTCTAGTTCGAATATTACGTAGTACCGTTATGGTACGTGTTGGTGGTGGATGGGTTTCGTTGAGCGATTTTCTTCTCAAACATGATCCTTGTCGAGGTATGTTTTTTTCCTGATTCAGATTAAATCTTTGTTTAAAAAAATAAGTTTGATGGTCGAAATGGTTTTTTTTTATTTGTTCGTTTTCAATTTGATATTGATTTTTGTTTGTTTATTTTTTTCAAAAAAAATTGCATGTATTAATTTTGCTTCGATTGTTGATTCGAATGAATGGGCTTTAATCCATAAAAATACAAAAATACATAGCCAAAGGTCGTACTAATGTAGAATTGCGAGAACAATTTGTGCTTGCTGATAGTGTAAGAGGTCAATCAATGACACCATTTAAATCAAAATCACCATTCCAATCGGATGGTTCCATTACGATGACTGGCCCGATTTCGAAGGTATTTTTTTCTGTTTGTTGTTATCAACAATTCACATTTACGGTTTTCTATCTGTAGTAACAATGTTTCTATCTTTGTCGAAAATTTTTCTTTATTTCTTTCTTTTTCTATTAATTTTTTTGTTTTCAATTTTATTTGACCATCCAACTGCTAAATCTATATTCCATACACACGCTTTTCTAACCACCTTGTTTTTTTTCCTTCTTGAATAAAATTTTATTCACTTTTGCCATACCAAAAAAAAGACTGCTTTCTTGAATATTGTGGATGTTTACCGGTACAAACCACTATTCTACCATATGGTTTCATCTATCAGCCACTTATTTATGATATAAATTCTAAAATTCCTGTGCCAAAAACTACAAATCTGGTAACCTATCTGAGAAAAAAAAATTTTTCATTTCATTTCAAATCAAATCTTTATTATTTATGTCTTGAATTTTTTTATTTTTATTTTCATACATTTCTTTTTTCAATAATGATAATGTTTATTCATTAATGTATACATATAGATCCGAGAAAAAACCGAACGGAGTATGCCTATGTCTCAAACTTATCGTTATGGAGGATCTAGTGGTGATCATACCAATAATGAAGATCAAGAAGATCTATTTCGATCACGTTCACGTACACGTATGACTCGTAAGTTTTTTTAAACAAAAATATCAAGTCAAATTCAATTGTTAATTGATTATTTTTTTTTTTTTGCATGACAACAGCTTCGAATAGTCGGCCAACAAGCCGTTCTGGATCGTACCATTCATCAAGTCAACCACCAAGTCGTGCTGGTAGTGATATGTCAACCGGAAGTCTTGAAGGCTATAAATTAGGTCCAAGAAAAAAGAGTGGACTTAATGGTTCGACTATTGGTCGACCAACAACATCATCATTTAATCGTGCATCTTCATTTACTAAACAATCATCACCTTCTCCGATTGGTCCACGATGGAATATATAATGATTTGAAAGACAAATTATAAATAATAATGACCGATGATAACGACGACGACGATGACGACGACCATTATAATATTTTAATAAGAAAAACAAAACAAATATATGACAATCTTAATGCGACTAATTTTTTTCTATTTCTAACTAGTCTCTCCCTTTTCTCACACAAAAAGAAAAAAGACTACTATTGTATTAACCATGATGGAATATTTTTTTTTTATTTATTTTTTCATATTTTTTATGTTATGTTTCAAAAATACAAATAAAAATCCTTCATCAGTATTAATAAGATGGTGGTTGATTCGAAAATCAAATTCAGAAAAGTTCATCAATGGTACAATCTTATTTTACACCAATGTTGAATTTAATAATAAAAAATATGATGAAAATTATTGCTGTCAGATGGCGATACATTTTTATTGTCAAAGCATAAAACTAATGATGATGAATATTTTTTTGTGATTTTTTTTCATTTTAATTTACGAAAAATAACAAATCAATAATGGATACTATTGCCGAAACAATTGTTGGATTACCATTTCATATTTTAGTTATGCCGAATCTTAAATTGAAAAAACCATGGTGGCTACGATTACCATCATCGATGGTTGTTTATAGTTTTGTTTTGGTTTCCTATTTTCTTGTTTGTGGTGGAATTATATATGATGTCATTATAGAACCCCCGGCTATCGGATCGAATGTTGATGAACATGGACATTCACGGCCAGTAGCATTCATGCCATATCGTGTTAATGGACAATATATAATGGAAGGTCTAGCATCTTCAATGCTTTTTACATTGGGTGCCATTGGTTTTGTCATTCTGGATAAAACACATCAACCGACCACGCGTAAATTGAATCGAATATTCTTGATTTCAATTGGTTTCGCACTTATATTGGTATCATTTTTTACTACATGGATTTTTATGCGTATGAAATTACCGTAAGTCATTGTTTTCCATTTTTAATCGAATCCAGAATCTAACAATTTTTTCAAAAATTTTCAATAGTGGCTATCTGCAATAATCCATGGAATCGGCCACCGAATTCAACAAGACTGTGGCAATTTTTGATATTTAAATGGAAAATTTGATATACGAAATATTAAAAAATGAATTTTAAATTTTAAAAAATGAAATCAAGAATTTTTCTTTCGATCACCTTCTTTATGAACGTCCTCGATATTCACTGGGATCGAGAAAAAGAATTTCCAAATTTGATGTGGTAGTGGTATAGTATACATATATGTCTTAATGTGCAATAATTTAATAACATTGCCCGCGTGCAACACATCGGCTTAACACTCAAAGACACACCTACATAAAAAACATTATACTTTATACAGACGCTCTCCGACTTGCAAACATTCGGAAATATATCATATATGACGAATGAATTTTAGTTAAAAAATTTTTTTGCTTCACTTTCGTGAGGCTAAATTCTAACTGAATGTTACAGTTGGAAAGAAGAATGAGCCAAAAAATTTGCGAAAAAATTTATGTTACGAACTTTCTTCTGGAACATAACTCGTTTGTGAGTTGAGGTTTGTCTGTATATAGCTCAATAAAATAGCTCACCTCCATCAACACTAGATGGTGACCAAATGGTCAATGTCTGTCCGTCGATGTGTGTGTACAATCATAACACGGTCACGGTTTTTTTTTCGCGCCATTTTGCTTCATTTTTTTCTTCGCGTTAAATGTCACTTGTTATCCAAATGCTTTAGATCAAAGTTTTTCATCGAACAATTCAGAATTTATCGGCTTTTATCGCGCGCCATTTTGCTTAATTTTTTTTTCGAATTAAATTTTCATTTATTTCAACATTTAAATTTTATTCGATTCAACAACAAAGAAAAATTCGATTTCGTTATTTGATTTGTGTGTTTGTTTGTCTTTGTGAAAATTGCATCTAATGAAAAACAACTTAGAAATACACACGCAGCAGAAAATCGTTACAAAAGAACGTATAATATGGATCCCAGGTTTGTTTATTTTTTTTCATTTAAAAAATGGCCTTTATCAATCCAAAAATTGGTTGGTTACTTTTTGGTTGTTTATTTTACCAAAATTCTAGCAATGCCACTTGTTATGCTGATGCTTTAGATCAAAGTTTTTCATCGAACAATTCAGAATCGAATATGTCTTCGACAACAACACCAACTATCGTTACATCCCAACAATCAACTTTACCGACATCCATTCAAACTGCTGCATCGATGCTCACTCAACAGCAACAAAAACCTCAACAAGATCAATCCATATTAGCTGGACAACAATTGTCAGCAAATGTTGGTGAGGCCTCCGTGATAGGAACCAATCAAGATGATACACCAATCTATTGGCATGAACCATTAATACCGCCGGTTAAAGGAATGGTACAACCAATCACTGCACCACCGCCGGATAAACCACATCGTAATACAAATCAGCTACAATATATGCTACGCATAATCAATAGAAATATTTGGAAACATCAATATGCATGGCCATTTCAAGAGCCTGTTAATGCGGAAAAATTACAGCTACCCGATTATCATACAATCATTCGAAAACCAATGGATTTGGGAACGATAAAAAAACGCTTAGAAAATTGTTACTATTATTCAGCACAAGAATGTATAAATGATTTTCGTCTCATGTTTGACAATTGTTATTTGTATAATAAGGAAGGTGATGATGTTGTTATGATGGCACATAGTATTGAAAAATTATACAATTCAAAATTAGCCGAAATGCCTCGTGAAGAGATTGAAATACCTATACAGGTAAAAGGCGCCAGAAAAAAAGGTAAAGGAAGATCAAAAACGAAAGGAGGATCTGGTCCTAGAGGTATGTCGTATTTTGTTTATTGTTAAATTACTTATTGTATGTTATACATTTTTAAATATTAGTAATCAATACAAGTTCGCGACCATTGTCAACGCCAATATCCACTGTTCCAAAGCAGCCCATATCTTTATATCCTGTACAACCACAACAACATATACCCTATAGACAGATGAATAATAGTGGTCCGACAGTGGCACAAAAAAATAATGTTAATCAAACATCCATTGTTCCATCAACAGCATTAACTGATGGCAAAACATCATTAGCAACGATGCCTACAATGGATTCGATTCTTAACCAAAATCCTCCTACGATTTTACTTCCACAACTTCTCAGTATTCAAAAACAATCATCAAAAGTGAAAAAAAGAAAATTATCCAAAGAAAATTATTGTTATAAATATAATTCACCTGATCATCAAGTTGTTAATATGGGTCGAAAATTACAGGTAAATAATTTAATTAATTTATCATTTGTTTGGTCAATATATAGTGCCTCTGCTGGGCAAAAAATCTGTCTTGTAATCGATGATGGATTTTTAATCAACAGAAGAGGAAAATAGTGTAATCAAAATTAATCGCAATTTTTCTTTAATAATAATGAGAATTATGGTTTCATGGTTTTGTGACATTTCTCTTTTGTATTAGGATGTGTTTGAAATGAGATATGCAAAAATGCCAGATTTTGAGGATCATAGCGATGAAAGTGGTACATCCGACAGCAATCATTCCTCATCATCATGTTTCGATAGTGAAGATGAAAATGAACGACGTAATGCATTGAAAACCTTACAAGAACAATTGAAAAAATTGACCGAACAAGTACAACAATTAGCTAAACAATCAGAGAGAAGTAGTAAGAAAAAGAAACATAAATCCAAAACTAGTGAAACGGATCTTAAAGAACGTGGTGGTGATAATAACAGTCGTGTCAAAGTAGAAGTTGATGATTTAAATACCGCTTTTTATCACCACCGTCATCATACGACAAATAAAACGAATCGTGAATCATCTGAAGCTGCTACTGTACCTCAGAATTTGAATCGAATCGATTCAGAAGAAGAAGATAATGCTCGTCCGATGAGCTATGATGAAAAACGACAGCTTAGCCTCGACTCTAACAAATTACCTGGTATGTTTTTTGTTTCACATCATTTTTGATTCTATTATTATATATGATGTCATTATAGAACCCCCGGCTATCGGATCGAATGTTGATGAACATGGACATTCACGGCCAGTAGCATTCATGCCATATCATGTTAATGGCCAACATATAATGGAAGGTCTAGCATCTTCAATGCTTTTTATATTGGGTGCAATTGATTTTGTCATTCTGGATAAAACACATCAACCGAACACGCGTAAACTGAATCGAATATTCTTGATTTCAATTGGTTTCGCACTTATATTGGTATCATTTTTTACTACATGGATTTTTATGCGTATGAAATTACCGTAAGTCATTGTTTTCCATTTTTAATTGAATCCAGAATCTAACAATTTTTTCAAAAATTTTCATTAGTGGCTATCTGCAATAATCCATGGAATCAGCCACCGAATTCAGCAATACTGTGACAATTTTTGATATTTAAATGGAAAATTTGATATTCTAAATATTAAAAAAAATTTCAAATTTTAAAAAATGAAATCAAGAATTTTTCTTTCGATCACCTTCTTTATGAACGTCCTCGATATTCACTGGAATCAAGAAAAAGAATTTCCAAATTTTATGTGGTAGTGGTATGTCGTAATGTGCAATAATTTATTAACATGGTGTGAATGCCGATTGCCCGCGCGCTCGGCATAACACACAAAGACACACCTACATAATAAAACACATTATATTTCATACAGACGCTCTCCGACTTGCAAACATTCGGAGATATATCATATATGACGAATGAATTTTTGTTAAAAAATTTTTTTGCTTCACTTTTGTGAGGCTAATTTCTAACTGAATGTTACTGATGGAAAGAAGAATGAGCCAAAAAAATTGCGAAAAAATTTATGTTACGAACTTTCTTCTGGAACATAACTCGTTTGTGAGTTGAAGTTTGTCTGTATATTCTTTACAAATAAAATAGCTCACTTCCATCAACACTAGATGGTGATCAAATCGTTTCGATTGGTCAATGTCTGTCTGTCCGTCGATGTGTGTGTGTATATATGTAACAACAATCGATGCCTCTCCCTTTTGTTTGGCCAGCCATCATGAATCGTTGTGTGTGTTTTGTGAGCAGTAAAAATTGAGCGACGAATCGCTGACTCGATCTGTTCGCCCAACTGTTCCCGCTCACTTATATTCAGCGTTTATTGTATTCTCTGTTTGTATATTTGACCTGACCATCATCATTAATTAACATCAAATAAATAAAATTTGAGACCCATCAAATCAATCAATACCGGTTAAAACTACCGTTTTTCTTTTAAAACGGAACCACTTTTTTGGAAAATCAACCAATTTATATCATCTTGAAGTGTATTTTGTGTCTGTGAGTGTTTATCAACGACAAAAAATCATGGTCGTTGCTTGATGACGGACGCTTTGTTTTGTTTTTGTATGTGTATAAAGAATTTTCAAACAACATCTTTATGATTAAAGTTTATTTGTTTTTTCATACACACCTACTCATGCATTCATCATTTAATCAATGAATTATGGATTTCGATTTCGCTTTTTCGATTGAATTAATGGCGGTCATCTTGCTTGTGCCCAGAAAGAAATTCTTATAAATACAACAGGCCATAATATTTATGGATTTTTCCGTTTTGTGTTTCCTTCTGATCAATTTTTCCAATTTTATCAAAATTGAGTCGTCTTTTTTTTGTTTTTCTTTTTGATTGTTTGCCTTCCAATACCCAACACACACAAGATTACATGCTATAACCTGATCATGAATATTCTGGCCAAAAGATGGAGCCTATTTTTGATGATTCTTAATGACTCGTTTTTGTGTGTGTGTTTTGGGTAATTTGATGACACACACACTCATAACACGGCCACGGCTTTTATCGCGCGCCATTTTGCTTAATTTTTTTTCGAATTAAATTTTCATTTATTTCAACATTTAAATTTTATTCGATTCAACAACAAAGAAAAATTCGATTTCGTTATTTGATTTGTGTGTTTGTTTGTCTTTGTGAAAATTGCATCTAATGAAAAACAACTTAGAAATACACACGCAGCAGAAAATCGTTACAAAAGAACGTATAATATGGATCCCAGGTTTGTTTATTTTTTTTCATTTAAAAAATGGCCTTTATCAATCCAAAAATTGGTTGGTTACTTTTTGGTTGTTTATTTTACCAAAATTCTAGCAATGCCACTTGTTATGCAGATGCTTTAGATCAAAGTTTTTCATCGAACAATTCAGAATCGAATATGTCTTCGACAACAACACCAGCTATCGTTACATCCCAACAATCAACTTTACCGACATCCATTCAAGCTGCTGCATCGATGCTCACTCAACAGCAACAAAAACCTCAACAAGATCAATCCATATTAGCTGGACAACAATTGTCAGCAAATGTTGGTGAGGCCACCGTGATAGGAACCAATCAAGATGGTACACCAATCTATTGGCATGAACCATTAATACCGCCGGTTAAAGGAATGGTACAACCAATCACTGCACCACCGCCGGATAAACCACATCGTAATACAAATCAGCTACAATATATGCTACGCATAATCAATAGAAATATTTGGAAACATCAATATGCATGGCCATTTCAAGAGCCTGTTAATGCGGAAAAATTACAGCTACCCGATTATCATACAATCATTCGAAAACCAATGGATTTGGGAACGATAAAAAAACGCTTAGAAAATTGTTACTATTATTCAGCACAAGAATGTATAAATGATTTTCGTCTCATGTTTAACAATTGTTATTTGTATAATAAGGAAGGTGATGATGTTGTTATGATGGCACATAGTATTGAAAAATTATACAATTCAAAATTAGCCGAAATGCCTCGTGAAGAGATTGAAATACCTATACAGGTAAAAGGCGCCAAAGAAAAAGGAAAAAAAGGTAAAGGAAAATCAAAAACGAAAGGAGCATCTGGGCCTAGAGGTATGTCGTATTTTGTTTATTATTGATAATAATTTACTTATTACTGTATGATATGCATTTTTAAATATTAGTAATCAATACAAGTTCGCTACCATTGTCAACGCCAATATCCACTGTTCCAAAGCAACCCATATCTTTATATCCTGTACAACCACAACAACAAGTACCCTCTAGACAGATGAATAATAGTGGTCCGACAGTGGCACAAAAAAGTAATGTTAGTCAAACATCCATTGTTCCATCAACAGCATCAACCGGTGGCAAAACATCACTAACAACAACGCCTACAATGGATTCGATTCTTAATCAAAATCCTCCTACGATTTTACCGCCACAACAGTCTAATAATTTACCTCAACGTTCAAATGTTGATATGAATGCTATTGGACAACAACAACAACAACAAACATCATTGTTGCAAGCATCGCAACCACAACAACAACCTCCATCGACAAATTCTCAATATCTCAATTCTAGCCCAACAACTGTGATCCCAGTCAATTCGACAGCAACCAAAACGCCTAAGAAAGGTGTAAAAAGAAAAGCCGATACTACAACATTGGAATTAGAATCATCGGGTAATTTTGCGACCCATATTGTCGCCGAAGATATTAAACCATCGACAATGAAAACACGAAGAGAAAGTGGTCGACCGATAAAGAAACCGTCGAAAGAATTACCTGATATCGGTATTCAAAAACAATCATCATCAAAAGTGAAAAAAGGAAAATTATCCGAACAAATGAAATATTGTGGAACGATTCTGAAGGAGCTTTTTGCTAAAAAACACTACCCTAATGCATGGCCATTTTATAATCCAGTAGATGTGGATCAACTTAAACTACCCGATTATTATGATGTGATCAAACATCCAATGGATTTGAATACGGTCAAAAGAAAACTAGAAGCACGTGAATATAAGAAACCTGGTGAATTTGCTGCCGATATAAGGCTAATATTTACAAACTGTTATAAATATAATTCACCTGATCATCAAGTTGTTAATATGGGTCGAAAATTACAGGTAAATAATTTAATTAATTTATCATTTGTTTGGTCAATATATAGTGCCTCTGCTGGGCAAAAAATCTGTCTTGTAATCGATGATGGATTTTTAATCAACAGAAGAGGAAAATCATAGTGTAATCAAAATTAATCGCAATTTTTCTTTAATAATAATGAGAATTATGGTTTCATGGTTTTGTAACATTTCTCTTTTGTATTAGGATGTGTTTGAAATGAGATATGCCAAAATGCCAGATTTTGAGGATCATAGCGATGAAAGTGGTGATGAAGGTGGTACATCCGACAGTAATCATTCCTCATCATCATGTTCGGATAGTTCCGATAGTGAAGATGAAAATGAACGACGTAATGCATTGAAAACCCTACAAGAACAATTGAAAAAATTGACCGAACAAGTACAACAATTGGCTAAACAATCAGAGAGAAGTAGTAAGAAAAAGAAACATAAATCCAAAGTTAGTAAAACGGATCGTAAAGAACGTGGTGGTGGTAATAGCGGTGGTGTCAAAGTAGAAGTTAATGATGATTTGGATGCCGCTTTTAATCACCATCATCATCATACCGCTGGTAATCAGACTAATTCTGCATCAATTAATTCACAATTTCCAATCAATGCTTTTGGTATGAATGATGCGTTTGGTGGCGGAATCAGTAGTGGTTCTAATGCTATAAGTAAGTTTTATAAATGAACTATGGAAAAAAATTATATGTGAATTGTTTATACAGATTCCAATAGTGTCAATAGTAAAAAAACCAAGACGACAAATAAAACGAATCGTAAATCATCTAAAGCTGCAACTGTACCTCAGAATTTGAATCGAATCGATTCAGAAGAAGAAGATAATGCTCGTCCGATGAGCTATGATGAAAAACGACAGCTTAGCCTCGACATTAACAAATTACCTGGTATGTTTTTTCTTTCACATCATTTTTGATTCTGTATTTATATTTGTGATTTGATGATATACAGGTGACAAACTCGGTAAAGTTGTACAGATTATCCAACAACGTGAACCAACATTAAGGGATTCAAATCCGGATGAGATTGAAATTGATTTCGAAACATTAAAGCCTTCTACATTACGTGAATTGGAAAGCTATGTAGCCAGTTGTTTGAAAAAGAAAAATAGTATGTTTTGTTTTATTAAATTGTTTCATCTTGATTTTTCTGATGATCAATTTTATTGACCCTCCAAAAAAATATAGCCACGATAAAAGATAAAAGGCCAAGTAAAGCAAAAGAAGATACGGAAAAGAAAAAACAGGAAATTGAGAAACGCCTTAATGATAATGGACAATTAACGGCCAATAAGAAAAATAAAAAAGGTTTGGATAGATTTAAGATTCATAATAAATTAATGACATATTGATTGATTAAATTTAAATTGATTAATGTTTTTTTCTTTTTCGTTAATTATGGCCATATTGTTCCTGATCCCCAAACATTGAAACAAATAATTTTCGCAGATCCATATGCATTCACCGAAGAAGAAAATGGTGTTAGATTAAGTGAATCAAGTTCGAGTGATAGTGATTCGAGCAGCGATAGTAGCTCATCATCAAGTTCATCATCGGACAGTTCTGATTCTGAATCAGGTTAGGAATAAACTTCCTTCATATTATAAAAACATACAGACACATTGCACAAAACATTAAGCCTTTTATATATGATAAGATTATATAAATTTGGCTATAAATAATGTAGGAAGAAAAATGGCTGATAAAATTTTAAATTGGTAGATTTTCCTATTCAAAAAAAACTGAAATTTCAATACCTTGGAGTGCAGTGTGTGTGTTATATTATATGGAATGAAAGAGAAAGAAAGAAAAGATTCATTTATTTATTCAATCCTAAAACAAAGATTTATTTTTTTTGCATATAATTGCAATTTGCAAAACGTCCACAATACTTACACAATACAATTTAAATGTCTTTGATAAACAACATTTAAATTATTTTCTCTTTGATAATATTTTATGGATCATACTTTTCATTCTTCAATATCCCTGTGTTGCTACTACTCACTATTATTTATTGTTTCAACAAAATTCTTTGTCTCCTGGTCCTTTTTTCTCGCTCGTTCTCATTCTTGTTTTGTCTCTCTCTCTCTCTCTAATTACTTCCTAAGACATTTTTCACAAACTGTAACCCATAATCATCATATTCGTCTATTTTCTATCTTAATAATTTTATTCTCTACCAATCATCATAACAAAAGAATATTCTAGATTTATATAATTTGTACAAAAAAAATCACATCATCAGATGAACATTATCTACATATATTTGTCACAAATAATATCATCTTTTGTTCAATTGTAAATGTTTACCTGAATAATTCTACTTATTATTATTTTTGTCGGTTGTTATCCAATATTTCGACATTTAGTGTGTGTGTGTGATGATTTTATAAAATACGTTCATTTTTTTGCACCCACATATATTTTATTTAGTTTTTTTGTGTGTTGTTTTAATCCTAATCTAAATTATTGACTTGTAAAAATTATATAATTTTTTTCTTATTTCGCGCCTAAATAAATGGCTCGACTTTTTTTTATCATCTGCATCGTCTATTATTATCTAAGCCCCCTTAGACAACAACGTTTTTGATTTATTCTTGTTGTTTTTTTTGTTTCTAAAATAATTTGTCAAACAAATTATAAATTTTTTTACACATACAAAAAATTTTTCATATACAATCTAAATATTTTATTTTATTAATTGAATGAATGATGACAAATAATAAACAAATTGAAATTTGGAATATTGTTTTGGGTTCAATTTTTTTTTGTTCGCCACTGCACTCTGGGTTTGAGATTTTTTTTTAGATATTGATGCTAATTGAGGAATCTTATTTAAATATCTAATGACGATTGTTTAATTGATGATTTGATCCAACAATCATAATGAATTCAACAAAATTGATTGATTGTTTTTTTGAGTTTGATCAAAAAATAATTTCTTCCATTATATTTTCATATATTAGAATCACCGAAGAAAAAAGGAAGCCAAAACAATCAGGCCGGTAGTCAATATAATGCACCACAACATGCACCTACATTTCCCGGAACATTACCGATAAATTCTCCCTATACACAGCCATCTTCATTTCCAAATAATTCATCCGGAAGTGGTGGTATTGTTTCCAGTGTATCAACGATTGGAATTCAGCCACCAACATCATCAAATATAGCACCACCACCACCGCCGCCCTCATCAGCATTACCATCGATAGGGCAATCATCACATCATGCTCATCCATTATTACCTATTTTAAATGTTGGTATACAAGAGCCTTTTAATATGAATTCTGGTCTTCAGCCACCACCAACATCATCATCATCATTGACTAAGAATATTCCATCCCAATCTCAACCACCACCACCACCACCAAATTCTTCATCGTCCATTAATTCGGCCGGTGGTAGTGGTAATCGTGCTGTAGCACAACCATCACTTCGTAAATCTAATTCATCATCTATACATCAATTATCATCGCCATCATTTCAAAATTCTCAACATACATCATCATCTTCATCAACACATTTTAAAAATGGTTAGCCATATTTTCGGTTAAGATGAACATTCATTCCAACCATTTTGTTTGTTTTTATTTACAGCCAATGTTTTACCACGAGAATCATCATCCGGTTCTTCATTAAGTATGTTGGATTGTTTTCTAATCAAAAAGACTATGAATTTCAAAATTAAAATTTTTATTGTTTTTTAGTATCCAAAATAAAGGAAGAGCCAAGTAGCCGTATAAATGATCCAGGTAAGTTTTTAGTTGAAAATTTACCTTATAAAGTTACAATACTATATTTATAATATAATAGACTTTGTGGCTTATAAATCTAAAACCAGCAATAATGTCAATCAAACTATGGACAAAAAAGATTCAAAATCATCGATGAATCTAATGTCGAATTCTGGTTTATCTTCAAAGAAAACGGTTTGTAATTCAATTTTTTGATTCTGATTTCATTGATTATAATTTTGAAAATTTTTATTTGAATACAGGCTCCTACGACGGACCCCAAGCAAAAATCAATGACCTCTTGGTCCAGTCAAACATCAAGTAGCAGTTCAAATACTGGATTCTTGCCTAAAGCAAGCACTGAAAATACTTTTGAACAATTTCGTAAACAAGCCAAAGAGAAAGAGAATCGTGAAAAACAATTAAAAGTAGCACAGGAACGTAAACAAGAACAGCGGCAACGGTTAGAAAAACATAACATCATTAAAGAAGAAGAAGAATTGAACTCAACACAAGTGGATAGAACGCGTAAACATAATCCATATGATGATATTGCTCGCCATGGTAAATCCACTAATTCATCACCGGCATCGGATTCGAATTCAATGTCACCTGCATTTACAAATTCGGTATCTGAACGTGAACGTCAACGACAACGGGAACAGGAACGTCGCCGTCGTGAAGCTGTAAGCATTTTGTTTTATTTTTATTATTATGTATTGTAAGAATTCATATTTTATTCCATTTATAAATAGATTGCATCACAAATCGACATGAATCGTCAAAGTGACATCATGGCCAATTTTGAGGAAATGTTATGAAGAATTTTCGGATCAAGAATGTGTTATCATTCACTCATTTTTGATTCTTTAATAAAAACAACACACTCGTTTTTGGCGATTCTTTTTTACCTATTCATAATTTCAAACAACTAATCGATTTTTTGTATATTATATTTGTACGATAATATTAATTCAAAGAAACTAATTTTTCTCATCTTTACTTATCGTACCACCATCATCATCAGAAAAAATGAAACATTAGATTCATAAGCAGCGTCTTCATAATCATTATTCTTCATTGTTTTTTTTTTGCTAATAACATAATTCATTCTGAATATTGAATGTACTTCATTAATATACTGGCTAACTCTTTATTTTTTTTTCATCTGTAATATATAATAATTTGAAATCAACATTCATGATCAACAAGCGAATATTTTTTTTTCTTTTCTCTCTTGAATGATAATCAACCATAAATTGATGATCACCTAATTAATTTAGAGTTATTGTATCCTTCTATACTCTATTTATTTATTATCGATGCATGATTATGAATTCGGATTTTTTTTCGGTCAGTTTTCAACACTGTATTTTTTCTCATTTTTTTTTCTTTTGCTATATAATGAATTAGGAGAATCGAGATCATTTTTTTTCATAATAAATAATACAATATATTTAATTGTACAATTTTTCTTTGCCCCAAATTATTGATTACATTCAAATAAAATCCCAATTCGTAAATATAAGGACGATACTGAAAACTAATTGTTGATTCCTCAGGATTTTAGTGTGCCTTTTTTGTTGATAAATGTAGCTGCTTTTGATTAAAAAAAGTTCACTTTATTAATATATATGATGGGACCAAAAACCAATAACTTGGAGTAATTTTTTTAATTTTAATTCGACAAATGATTGAAAAATTTTTAAAGCGTTAACATTGTGTCAAAGATTGATGATCTCTTCCGGATAACATTTTTTATATGCATCGATTAATTGGGGATCCATTAAACAAATATTCTCTAATTGATTACCCAATGTTACCCAATTTGGTTGCGTATTATGTTGTCTGCCGAATAGTTCAATTTTTCGTGTACCAGGTGATAAACGTTCAATAATACCATAAATTTCATCTGGTTTATGACTTGTAGCACGAACTTCGGCTACGATAACATCGCAATCAAGACTACGATTAATGTTCTTTGGATTTCCTTTCACACCAACCAGACAGTGTTCTTTACCATGATTAATCCAATGTCCAGTACGGCCAGTGCGTATAATACGTTGTAATTGATTTGTTTTCACCCAGATTAATTCATCACATCTTTCATAGCCCCAAAGTTTAAGACATTCACGGCCCAATTCCATGGCACGACCGGTAACCCATAAAAATATAAGACCTTCATCCTGTAAACATGGTATATTTAGATTTCGCATTTCATCATCGGACATTGTTCCATATGGTAATTCCATGTGAATATCCCATGGTGGATCGGCCATTACGACGGCAAATTTACCCAAAATACTCATGTCGAAAAAACGTAAATCGCATCGTATCCATTGTGCTGGGAAAAGATTTCTTTTGAATGGCTGTTCAGTTGCATTGGCCAATGTTTTGACAATATTATTATTCGTAGTAATAGTATTCATTGTTTGATTATTCATTTCATTTTTACTTTTTTCATCGTGTTGGTCATGGGCCGATGCAATATGAACATTCTTATTATTCTTCTTTTCAACTTTGTAATGTACATATTTACAGGTATCCATATGGAAACAAGTATTTAAAAAAGAACAATCTCCCAATGATTCATCTGTATGTTTTTGAATGATTTTTAAAAAATGTATACGTTCACATGGTTCATTCGAATCATTCGAACGCATACATTCTTCGGGTGTTCCACGTGAACAAAATTCCTGTACATTTGGATTCAGCGAACGAAATTGTTCATTCAATGATAATTCTTTAGCCGTTGGTCTTGACAATAATTTTTGAATCTCTTCAGAAATTTTTTGATTATTTTTTTCGATCGTCGACTGTAATGATAAGATACATTCGACTGAATCATTGTTTGATTTTTCTTTTTCATTTGAATGAAATTTTTTCGTCGTTTGTGAGTCGTCTAGATTGGATACCGATTGATTTGTCTCATTAGTTTCATCATTACTTGCCGCTCGTTTCAATGTATTTTCAACTGTTTTGATTTTTTCATTATCTTCCTTCAATAGTTTTAATGCATCACAATCAACAGATAGAACAAAAATGGTTTTTTCACTATTATCCGATGGTAAATATTCATTGAGTTGGATTAATTTTCGTAATGAAAATTTAATTAATAATTCTTTGGTCGTTTTTTTATCCGTAAAACTGGACGTATAAGATATGATTGTTGAAAAATCAATAGGAAAATTGTTTGATTTATCGCAAAGAATATCTATCAATTTATTTTCTATTTTTTTAAAATTTGGATTCGTTTTTTGATCATTAATAAAACCAGCAGGACTGGTTGTCGAAATATTCGTAAAAGATGCTGATGACGATGATGTTACACTCAATATATTTTCACGTTGCCGTTTCCATTGTTGAATTTTTTCTTTTATGGAATTATTTCGTTTTTGAATTGCCTGTAAATCATTCCATTTTGAATTGTCCATTTTGATCGAAAAATACACTGATATTCGAATGTCAATCCAAAAAAAACTGAACAAAACAATAATAATGACTATTTTAATAAAAATTTCTCTTATCAACTATTTCTACATGATAGCTAAACTGAATTCGTTTCAGTTTCAATTATTATATTTAAATTATTTTTATTTGAATCAAATTATTATAAAAAAATACGAAATAAAATCTTGTCACGAAAATTTTGATGATTCAAGTTTAAGTAATTTATCATGCATAATTTGTTCGTCACCGGAATTTTTATTAAATGGAATGGCTAATGCTTCTCGTAGATATTCATGTGCTTTTTCTTGCTCATTCGTCTGGATTAATGTTTGTACAATATAGAAAACATTTTCTTTCCATCGAGGTTTGAGTTGATATGCTTTAAGAAAATACTGTAAGGCGTCTTGATTTGTTATTGATGGTAAACTATAACCAACAATCATACCGGCCAATTTTCGTTCAGCCCATGAAATAAGCAATAATTCAAGGCAAAAACGACCGGCCAGATGATATAATGTTGGATCATCATCTTTCAACGACAATGCAATATCCAAATGTTCTTTGAATTTGATGCCATTTTGTATCTTTTCCCTGATAGAAACAAAATCTTTAAGGCAACCGATCGAAATGGCATACCATTTATGACAATTGGCATTTTGATCATTAAGTTTCAAAGCTTTATCAGCCATTTCAAATGATTCATAAAGTAATTTTTTACGGGATTCTTCATTATTCATATGGACAGTGGTTTTGCTCAACAAATGTGTTGCTTTCGAAAGTCTCCACAACGTTTCCACATCATTTGGATTCTAAAAAAATAATTGGAAAATAAACATTAATTTTTTTTTTGAAAAATCAATTATTTATTATTAAAAATACTTTTAACAATTTTTGTTTGAGATAATCGGAGATATATTGCACATCAACCGAATCATTTTCAAACATTTCATCGATTCGGCTATAATCATCATCTTGTTCGTTAATTTCATCTTTAAAACTACCGATGTGAATAAAGAATTAAAAGTGGAAAAAACTTTCACCGGAAAAATACTTGCATTTCAATTGTATCATAGAATTGTTCAGGTTGATAATCTGTTTCATCGGATGAATCTTCTCTAGAATTATGTTTGATTTTCTTGTTGTTTGCTTTCAATTGTTGTTGAATAGCATCCAACTTATCGTAAAGACGATGAATTTCTTTTTCAAATTCAATTCTAAAGGTTCTAACATCATCATCATCATCATCATTTCGTTTTCGTCGCTTTCGTTGTTTTTCTTTTAGATCATTATCATTTATCAAAATACTTGTTGCATATCCCAGTAGTATGCCACAAACAAAGCATAGAATACCAGTCATTAAAGTTTTTCGTGTCATATTTGATAACCTATGAAATTTTTCATCGTTAATGTAAAAAATGATAATAAAGAATCTTTATTAACAGTTGTGATTTAACAACAAAAACATCTTTAATGAGCGCATTTCATAAAATCTGTAATCGAAAAGAAAACTGTTGCGCCAAATTCAAAACAAATGAATTTTATTTATTGAATTTTGTTTTTAATGGATGAAAAAAAGTCTTTATCGTATTCGAGATTTCAATGATAAACTCATGTATGCTAAAAAACGCATTGCAATGATTAATAATATCAATGCAATAATGTCGATATAAAGATTAGATGGATCAAAACTTAATTCTTCGATTACCGAAATTCCCTTGGTTAGACAACGTTGTTCACCACCATGACCATTGCTTGTTACTAAAGCTTCATTAATCGATGAATTCATCAATTGATTGTCATAAATTTTCTGCGTTGTACAAGTAATATTTTCTATATTTATCCATTGTGTTATAATCAATGCTTCATTACCATAGTAAAACCAGGAAATGTATTTGAATAGCTTAAAATACACTGGTATTGTACTATTGTTGATAAAGAAACCACCAAACAAAAGTAGTGGTAAAATTAATGGTGATGATAAGGCAATGGCCATTTTTGTCGAAGAAGATAAACATGAGATCATGTAACCTAAAGAAATTTTGATATGAAAAAAAATTAGTATTAAAATATCATTTTATGATTCATGTTCAGAAAAGATTACCGAAAGAAATTCCACAATTTGCGATTAGATTTGAAATAAAAATAAACATAATGAATGAATTCCACGTATTATTAAAACCAACCATATAATAAAGTAAGGCAACTAATATGGTTGGAAATATGATTTGATAAGGCAATTCGGAAAACATTTTGGCCAAAAAATAAGTATCAACACGATACATTCCATTATTGTATTCGCGTAGAAAAATTGGAAGTTCACTGCAAAAAGTCTAAAAAAATAGGAATGAAATTTGATAATAATCAATTTTCAATTTTCAATTCAAACAAAAATATTTACATTGATAACCGAGAAAACGTTCATAAATGTTAGATTGATAATTAGAATGAAAATCGCTCCATTTATATTCATTATTCCTTTCTGATCTAGCTGTTGTCTCCAATAAACGATTCCCAAAAGTAATGCAACAGTTAAAGTTTGTGAAAATTTTATCCGTGTAATCATCGGTTCACGAACATTTGAAATAAATGAACGCCATAATAGAGCATGGAATTGTTCCATCCATGATGCTTTATATATGATTGATTCCGGCTGTCGAACAATCATTTCGGTGGATGATTCTAAATGATTTTCTTTTAGCTCATCGTTTTCTCGTTCTTTGAATTCAGAACAAATTCGCTGAAAAAAACAATAAATCAAACAAAAAGATTAAGCAAAGAGTTTAGTAGTTAACTTACATTAATCTGTTGTAAACATTCATCTTTTGATCCTGGTATTATCGATATTTGTCGTAGAAAATAATCAGCTGGATTAAAATTAAGCGGACAAATGAAACCAAGGGATGTGAAAAATTCATTAGCTTGGTCTTTGATAATAAAGATAATAATAATAATAATTAATCGAAATTGATAATTAAAATTTTTAATTATTTCAAAATTTACATGAAGTTCCAATGAAAGCCAATTTTCCCTGTGTAAGCAATAGAATCTTATCGAATAGAATGAATACTTCGGATGATGGTTGATGGATCGTACAGATAATCGTACGGCCAGATTGAGCCATTTTCTTCAGAATTTTCACAACACTTTCAGCTAAATAGGAATCAAGGCCAGAGGTAGGTTCATCACAGAATAACAATGATGGATTGGTGAGCATCTATTTCATGGAATTAATTACAACAATCAATACACTTTTCATAGACAAAGAGAAAGAAAATTTCAAAAACCTCAGCTGCAAATGAAAGCCTTCGACATTCTCCCGTTGAAATTCCTGAGCCAATAATATCATCATATCGATTACCTATACGGGAATTGGCACAATTTGTCAATTCCAACTGTATACAAAATGATAATTGATTCATGATAAAATAAATTAATCAAAATTTACTTCCGAAATGATTTCATCGATACGACGTTTTCGTTCATGATCTGAACATTTGTTTCTATCCATTCGTACCAGCGACTATTAATAATAATGATAAAAATCGTTCGTTAAAAAATCAATACAAATTCTATCAATATAAATTACCATGAATATAAGATATTCCTTAACGGTGAGCATAGGAACAAATAAATCTCCTTGTTGTACATAACCAGATAATGATTTAATTGTATCAATTTGAGCACGATGTCGATTGATTAGGACAACACCTTCGTAATTATATTGACTCAGATTTCGTCCGGTCAATGTATTAAGTAATGTTGTTTTTCCCGAACCACTGTATTAAATTTGATTAGAAGGATGAATGAATGGAAGACAAACACGAATAAATTTTACCTTGGGCCCATAATTGCCAGCAATTGACCGGGTTTAACATTTCCAGATACAGAATCTAATATCTGTGTTGAAGATGAACGACGACGAAAACATGAACGACGCTCTGATCGAACCCATACAGAAATTTGATGCCAACTTAATTCAGCTGTAGGTAAGTTGGCTCCAAAATTTTCGTCTTTGCTAATCTTGGCATTTATTTTTTTTCAAATAAAATTAAAATGATGTCAATAAAAACAATAGCTACTTACTTGAATTTTTTGATTCATTTCAATCAAATTTTGTTCCATTTTTCGGGTTTTTTTACCGTCGTTATCATCAAAACGATTCAAACAAATCAAAACCTCATAATTATATCCGTCAATATGAGATTATTAATGGAAGTTTATTGACACATTCATACATTAAACTGATATCAATCAATCAATCAATATTGATTGGTGGTGGTTCAATGAATTTTAGAAGGGCGATGATACTTTATCCAAAAACTGCCTTATGAAAAGAAAAAACAAAACATCTAATCTTTTCCAAAGAAATTGTGATGATAATTATATGATTTATTATTAATTACAATGTGATTATTTTATATTTTAGAAAAAACGATGCTATTTTTGTCAAAGAGAAAAGAATTTAATAGTGGCCAAAAATGAGATCAATATTGGAATATTTGTGACCGTGTGTGTGTTTGTGTTTATAACGGGTTGATAAATAAATAAGAAAAATTGTTGCTGTTCAAACAAAACGTACATTTGGGCAGCAGAAAAAATGGACGATTCTTGGAATGTGTGCGTTGCTGTTGACCATAAATTTTTGGTTAAAAATTGTTGGATTCTCCTTTTGATTTGTTACAATTATTTCAACAATTCAATGTAGACAAAATGATGAAAATGAAAAAGATGGTTATTTTACCAGAAAAAATTGGTCGTTTTTTTTGGTTTGTTGAGCAAGAAAAAATGGTTTTCCGTTTCGTTTTGTCATTTGTTGAGTGTTTATTTTTGTTACCAAAAACGGTTAAGTCACTTGTTTCATTTGATGTCTAATAATTGATAGAATCCAGTAATATGACTGTATTTGTCATCATGGTAACTGGATATCAAGCGAAATCTATTGATAAGGAAAAAATTTCCTTATTTTCCATGACATCAATAAACTGGTGCAAACTCTGGGCCATAATTAGGTGGACTATAATCATATCGTTCTGGATAGATTTCTTCATTTAATTTTTTCTTCACATTTTTCGTTTTACTTTGACAGGCGAATGCAAATTTGAGATCTCTAATCATTTCTTCAAATATTGACTCCTATAACAAATTGATGAGAAAAGAATCAATGATATGGAAACAGAAAAATATATTCGATATACTTACATGTGAATCTTTTCGTGCTTTCCATACGAATTCAAATATAGCAACCAGGAATGAAAATGATAGCCCACCTAAAAGAACGACGAAAACACCACCCACATGATCAATACTTAGATTATTAACCGATGATGATTTTTTTGTCTCTTCCGTACATTGTCCACCACCTTTTTTCTGTTTCCACCATCGTTCTTTCAGCTGTAATAGGACACCATTTTCATGAAGTTTCAATATGGCATGTGATAATGGATTACGATATGGTGAATCTTTACGTGTTGCAATACCATAGCCTTTATTATCTAAAAGGCCACCAATTTGTGTTAGATTACAGTCACGTTCGATCACATATTCAATCGAAGCCGATTCCATTAAATAGGCATAATTTCCATTACTTTTTTTCACACGTGCAATACCTTCGGCATTTGATTTCGTAAATACATGTGGCCGACTTTGCATAAATTGCCACATTCGTTTATATACCGGTATGTTAGATTCACTGAAAAACGCTTTTGTCGAACCACTTTTTAGACAACCATATTCAATTTGTGTTTGTCCAGCTAAACCTTCGGCATTTTCAATGGGATAGACAACTTTTTCGACAGTTAAAAAGGCAGCCAAATTAGCCGTATATGATGATATCATGATTAAAGTGAAAAAATACCATATTGCTGCTATTGTTCGTGTTGACATTGCTCTTTAAATGAAAAAGATCAGGATTATTACAAAGAAAAAAATGTAATTATAATAATTACTTTGGTGCAACTGCCGATCCTTGTTGCATCATTGTACCAATTGTAAATGAAAAACTATTAATCAGACTGAAATTATTTTCCAAAACATTATCCTCTTGACGACATGGATGTGGATCATCCCATTCATATGGCGTTAATCGTCCAATAACAAATAATATTGTACTAACACTAATATAGGCAGCTAATACATAAATCCATACAATATTCTGGAATGGCGATAAAAATGAAAATAATGTGGTAACTTTTGTTGTTGGTTTTTTAAACAATATACTGATGCCTGTATTCATGAATGGCTGGTTATTTTTACGAAAATTATACAGAATCATAATGAATGAATTTTCGTTTCAAAGAAAAGAAGTAATTTACCTGTGTAAAATCGACAGCTTCCTCTCGTTTTGATGTAATCGTTAGATCAACAATCGCAATATCGGATTCATTACGTATTAATTCACCAATCATGCCATTCCATTCACCTTTTTCATCTTTAATACCATAAGCACCATCTGATACAAGTTTAAAACGATATTTGAATCCCATTAATCGTGATAATTCTTCAATAAGATCAACAGCGAAACCTTCGAATTGTTCATTACCACTACGTTCGACAGCCGATTCTTTGAGCATTGTATATGGTTCACTGATGATTGTCGTCACAATTAACGATATATTCTGCATTGAAATTGCCGAATAATGATCACTCCATTGTTCATACGTTGTAAGGCTTGTATCATTGGGTGATGATGTCTGTTTCCATTCACCAATCTTCATAAAACCATCAATAGTTATTGTCATTACATCTAATGAAAAACTAGTTCGATAACCCAATTGATCGAAATCAACCAAGCCTGTAATGCCACGAAATGCAACTGGACGCATATAATTAATTAATGAACTACCATAAAGCCATGGAGTGCCACTATAACAAGAAATTGGTTGTATACCATCAACCGATTGACTTTGATCTAAATCTTGTAACGCAGTCGATAAAAGACGAATTCCATCATAAATTAATGCCGATTCAGTCTGTTTATAATAATATAATAACAATATTTAAATTCATTTAAATAATTTCAATAAAAAAAAATTATACCAAAATACTATTCGGTTTATCCAAATCATACATATGCATATTTTTAGTCAATTCAGTCCAATTTTGCATGATATTCACTAATTCTGGACTATAATCATCTACAATCCGCAAGGATGTTATTTTTGTTCTACCAAATTTAAAATCCTCTAAATTCATCGTATGAAGATCCTAGATGTGTATTAGATTGAATAGAAATAGATATATTAATTTTTTTTTCGTCATTCAACTACTATTACTATGCTACTTACGAGAGATGTTATCAAATAACTATGAGATTCAGTCATCATTCCAACTTGTTGTGCCTAGTAATAAAATACGCAGAAAGATTATCAAACAAAAATGTAAATTAACAAAAATTAAACAGATCTTACATGACGAAGTACAAGCAGTAGATTTTCACGTTTAACATCAAGAATAATATTTTTCACTTTAGCTTTGTTCACCTCCCAGAATGTATCTCGATATGGTCGATCCGTTTCGAATTGATATAGCTTGATTTTCCAATTACATTTTTGCGCATCTTTAAAAAAATTCTGTAACCGTATGATTCCTTCATTGTTTTCATAAACAATAGCAAATGTATCCCAATTCCATGCTTTGACTAGATCAACATATGCAGCCGATAATACGGATGGTTGTGGATAAAGATTAATGGATAAATCATCACGATGTAATTTAAAATCCCAACGTGTTTCAATATGTGGTATTTCTAATGCATCACAAATTGATTGTGTATGAGCTGAACTTGGTGAATAGCCAAGTGGACCGAATAATGCTACGACACCTTTTTCAAGAAGATCGCAGACTATAAAGAAAAGACAAATGAAGTTAATAATCAAAAAAAATTGAATCGAAATAAAAAAAACAATTTACCTTTTTTATTCGCATGAAAACTGTCAAAATAATCAATAGATTTTACTTGAGCTACTAATTTTGTTCGTGATAATATGGTTGGATCTTCATTAATATTATTTACGGCTAAACGGAATATAAATTCTTCTTCACGTTGTTCCGGTGTGAATAGACCTCCTATTTTTGGATGGAACAAACAATTATAACCATTTGAAATTCAATGTTTATCTTTTACATACCAACTTGTATGGTTGATGGCAAACAATGTATGATGGATAGTTTAATTATTGATATATTAATTATAATTATAATGGTAATAAATGTTGTTAGGAAACAGCAAGGCAATTGAATCGTGTTCATCTTTTTTTTCTATCTGATTTATATTCTATATATTGCAACAAGGAAATTTTTCTTTTACTTTTGAATCCTATTTCAAATGATCACCAAGAAAACGAATAAAAAAAATTAACAAAGGAAAAAAAATGAAAAATTGTCGTTAAAATTCTAATCTCTGGCCTAATAATAATGATCAAACAAAAACAAACACTCAAAAATGAATATATCCCATCCTCATCATCAGATGTTATCAAGCGAAAAAAATTATTAATATCCAATTTCAATCAAGAATTTCGTTTTCGTTTTTTTTTTTATTTTAGTTTTATATATCATATATGTACAAAGGGAGTATGTGTTTTTACTTTCATTTGACCGAGCCATTCGCGATTTTGGTTTGAAAAGATGTTTTAAGAAGGATGCTATATGATGATTAGAATCCAATTGATAGTGGTAAAATGTTTTATACGAAAATTTCTAATGCTGCTGAATTTTTTTTTCGAAAGATTCAATGATTTGTTTTTTTCGCTACTGCGCCTAATTCGAACAAAATAGTACATCAGTTAACGAGATACCAGTGTATTATTATTCTGATGTATATATACCGTATACAGTGGTATTGATATTCGCACTTCATTGTCTTTTAGCGATAATCAATGAAATTTTAAATGGAAAAAAAGAAATTTTTCTAGCCAAAAGCTAAAAAAATGCTAATGAGAATAAGAATTATGTCGTATTCACGAATCAAAATAATAATGGATGATTGAATGAATTAATCATTATATAAAATCTCAAATAAACAATGCCGAGAATTCCTGATCTTTTGATTAGAAATCATTCTTGTCTCACGGAATTTTAAATTGTTCTGTTTGTCTTTGAGAACAATTGTATGTGTGAAATTCATCATCATGTTGATTAGACGAAACATCACTGCATGTATATTGTCAGAACCAAGGTTAGAAGATGCAACGATGCAATAATTGGCAACTGACAAACAAAAAATGAAATTTATAATGTTGACAGAATCGACAATTCAAACGAAAACAAAGTCATTTTTTTAGAGGAAATTTTCGAATTCATTTTTAAAGATTCTTTGACTGTGTTTGTATCGGTTAATTTCTGTGTTTGGTAGTTTTAAATAATATTGAAACAGCGTTGAAAATTGAAAAAAATGATTACCGGAATGCATCAATATTCTACAATAAAAACATCGTATGATGATGTGCGTAAATCCTATGTATCGGATGTGAATCCCTATCGTCCAATGATCGTACAAGTTGATTTTGAAGTTGGTGGCGAAGTTTCAGGTTAGTTGAATATGATTTTTTCCTCAAAAAAAAATCTGATTGATGATTGAATGTTCTTATTCACTAATAATTGTTGTAGGCGTCTATTTTAGCAAATACGCTAAAAACATAGCCGAAACATTGGATGTAAAGGGATGGATTCGTGTTAATTCTCGTGGTTCCGTTTATGGACAAATTCAAGGTGAAAAAGATAAGGTGGATGAAATGTATGTGTTATCAAACTTTTTGTTTTTAAAACGTTAAGCATTTTTATTTTCACGAAAAATACAATATAGGGTAATTTGGCTGACTACACAGGGAAGTCCATTCTCAAAAATTCGTTGCTGTATGATGAAAAATTGGAAAATTATTGACAATTGTGACTTCAGAAATTTTACGATAAGATATTAATTATTCATCATTAATTGATCAGTTTGATTTAACTGGAATGATAACAATAATGAAATAAAACATTTTCTGTGCAAGAAAAACAAAACAAATGATGATATGTGTTGAATTTGTTGTTTTCAAGTCAACTTTTCAAAGTTTTCGATGTTCAAGACAATAGGATAATTGCATTAAACGTTTTTGATTATCAATTACTTTGATTTGATCAAAATATTCTTGTAATACGTTTGGAAAATTCATTTTTTTCATTGATAATGTTGCCGGTGATTGTATTTGAAATGAACCGGATTTACAATCCTGTATCATACGTAATGTTTGGGCTAATAGATGCTGTTTTCAATTGTTATCAATAAGGAAAAAAGAGAAAAAAATTAAGTAATTGTTATTTTTCGTTTTAATCTTACCATTTTTTCAAAATTGACCAATCCTTGATCGACAAATGTTTTATTTCCTTCATGTACGATGGTCATATCTTTAATTAATAACGGTACGAATGGTATGAGTGGTGGATCAAATTTTGACAATAATAATCGATAACGACGATAATTACGAGATGAATCAATCAATGATTCATATTGTGTAAATATTCGTTTAACTTTGTTATGCAATTTTTCCCATGTTTGTGTTAATCGGCTAATGGCTACATTACTTAATCCAATGATGATAGCAAAAAATGAATTTAGATTTTTATATTCCTTACAGCTATAAAAAAAAAGAATAAATCCAATTCAATCAAATAAATTAAGAATCAATCACACTTACTATCCGGCAATTTTGATCAATTTTTTCAAAATCTGTACCCTTCTTGACAATGATTTTTCCAATAAAACTTCCGTTATAGCCCAATATTGTAATTCATTGAAATTACGTCGACATAGATCAAGATTCGCTGTTATATCATTGAAATTATGACGACCAAATACCAAATAAATGAACTCATATGGATGAATATTATAGAATAATTTCCATGTATGATTGGTTAGATAATAAGCAATTTCCTGTGATGAAAATGATTCCAATTTGAAAATTGAACCAACTGTCGCTCCTTCCTGTTCGGGTAATGTTGTCAATGCATCCAAATGATCTTTATGCGATATAAATATACGGCCATTCAATGATAATGTTGTTGCAAGGTTTAGTTCTGTTTCGTTGAAAATGTATCGTTCTAAATACATAAAGTACAAATATAATTTAATTTGATTGGATTAAAAATTTTGCACTGTTAAATACGTTACCATTATCAGATTTCAATTCAACCAATGTATAATCGACTGAATTATCGAGATTCAATTTTTCAGCTGCTTGATTACGGATAATTTCTGCTTTTGTATCCATTGTTGTTTTCAACGTTGTATATGTATGATCCGCACAATATAGACGACAAATGACTAAATTGTAATGCAAAAATTGTGCATCATTTAAATTTCAAAATTTCAAATTGGTTTTCTTTAGAGAAAAAATCAACTTACTTTCATCAAATTCTTTGATGGCCGTTAGTTTGAAAATTTTATCCGTATCCGCCGGTGGTTGAGCGAATAATGCTTCATTTATATTCGACATTCGACGAACTGAATTTGAATTATCAGCCTTGTAAACGATAGTGCCTCTCATCTCCAAATTTACATTGTAACTTTAGTGAAAAAATGGCTGTGAATGAAAAATTTGATTGGATGAAAAAAATAAACATACTGTTCTTTGGTTTCTTTAATATTTCTCAATGATGTCAATTCCGTTTCAAAATGATTATCGTGTTTAAGATTATCTTTTTCCATCAGATCGATTAGTTCATCGAGAAAAACCCAAATCGTTTTACAATTCAAAAAAGCATCGACCGATATCTTAAACCAAAGTAATATGAATCGTGCTACACGTTTCTTATTATCCACAATATAATCTTCCATTTGACGAAAATTTAATTCATCAATTTTATAGTGTCTAAATATAAAAAAATTTACGAAAAAAATTATTATTTGAAAAAAAAGAATCATCTGAAAAATACAAATCTTACCGAAGCAATGAATTGGTCATGTGTTTCCATGTGATAAATATAGGAAATGTGAGTAAAAAATCTTCAAATAGATTTTCTTTGTTAAATTGTTCTTCAAAATTATTATTATTCATTCGGGTTTCGAGTAGATAATCAATCACTTTTTCCGGTGTACCAGCCATAACCATATATTTGAAATTTGTCGGTTCATTTTCACTCTTTTTTGATTGTTGTTGTTTCATCGACATTTTCTGTAGGATTAATACTTCTTTACCACATTCTTTCAGTCGAACAATTGATGCTTCATTATCTTTGAGTATACGATCAAAATGTACTTTATCCACACGCAAAAATTGACAATCCATTTCATTCGTTATGATTGTAGCTGCACGTGGTGCTTCATTTACCAATGCTAATTTTCCAAAATCATCGCCTTCATGCAATGTGCATACAATACCTTTGCTTGCGATGACAACATTAACACTTCCTCTTAAAATTATGTACCAACAAGTTCCACGATCACCTTGTTTAAATACTAGATTTTTATTTAAAAAAAAAGATTTATAATGAAATTTAGAAATTGAAACATCACTTACATGTTGTCGATTTTTTCTCAATGGATTCGAATGCAATTACAGCCGATAATTCTTTTTTCACAGTATTCGATAGATGAGAAAATGCTTTAATGTTCATTATTTCTTCATAAACAATATCAATATCATCTTCGGTTCGATTTTCCGGTGGTTTACGTAAAATTTGACGCAGTATTGCTTCCGGTGCTAGTTGTAATAAAAATGTTAGATTTTCATAAAGATAATCAGATATTCGATTCTCATCAATAGGGACATTCTGTTGGAATAAATTCACTAATGTCTGTGATTTTTCATCATTAACATCATCGAAACAGAAACGATAAAATGCATAACGATCGGTGAATGAATTCTCTTCATTTGGTGGATATACGGAATAAATGATTTTATTTTCATACAAAACCTGATATATAGATTCGGCTTGTTTACGTGAACGAACTTTTATACGACTTGATGTCATTGTTACATTGATTATCCAATCGGTTAATTCAGAACTGATAAAACATTTATCAAATATTTCTGATGTTGATGGATGTTTACGGTCACGAATTAGATGTGAAGCTGTTTGTTGAATACGTAATCGTATTACCCAACCGGCATGCATCAATTTTATTGCATTTTCTGAAAGTTGAATTTCTTGATTTTGATCATCTGTTTCATCATTCTGATCTTTATCCATCATTAATCGATTTGTGGATGGCTGTTCTTGTGATGTTGAAGATTTTTCCATAATCTTTGTCGTTGTTGTTGATGTTTGATTGAATGTTTTATTTGTAGAATGTTCATTCAATTCATTCAATGAAAATGGTGATGTTATTATTTCCTCCATAAAATGTGAACTTTTTTGCCAAATATCTTGGAATGCTGTTTTTGGTACCCGTAATAATGTACATGGTTCATTCGATATAACACTAACAGAATGATGTCCATCATTTAGGACACATTCACCAAATGCCGTTCCGGATCCAAGTGTACAAACGGTAACAATATCTTTTCTTTTACCAGTATGTGTTATTTGAACATCTAATGATCCATATATTAATGAATACCAATTCAAGGCTTCATCACCTTGTTTATATACTGTAAAAAAAGGAAAAAAAGAATTTTAAATTTTAAATTTTTTTTCCTGTTTACAATATATTTTCTTACAGACAACTCCTTTTTCAATATGTTCAATAATGGCTACAAAACATAATTGCTGTATTACTGATGGATGAACACGACGAAATAATTTAAATGTTTTCAGTTTCTTATAAATTATCTCCAGATCTTCATCAGTACGTTCACTTGTTCTGTGAAAAAAAAAACATTCAATGCCATTAAATTCATTCATTCAAATTTCTTCTTCTTACTTTTTATCCAATGATTTAATCCATTCAGCAAGCATTTTGGAAATCAATTAAACTACAATAGATTGTGATTAAAATAAACACTATTGTATCGATTTATTTTTTGACTATAAACACAAAACAATCCGATAAAAATAATAAATAAAATTCTGTAACGAATTCATAACAAACATTAAGAATCCGATATTCCACCGAATGCTATATAATCATAAAGTTTGACTCATTTGCGAATCATTTGATTTGACATCTTCCTACTACTACAAACATTCTGAAGAAGAAGAAATTCATTCTGCTCAACATTTTGGAGTTGCCATAATAGTACAGAAAATAATACGTATGAGGGGGTGGCAGACATGCTAGAAATATAATTTAAATTTTTTTTTTACCTACGAAAATTAATTATTTTGCTATCAAAAAAACTAAAAGTGACATAGCTATTAAAAAACTGTCCCAAAAAAATGATCTTTGAGAGACGACGACTAAGAAGAAGAAGAAGAAACTGGGTCAACTGGTTTGCAAAGCAAACGAAAATTTGGAATTTTTTCTCTTTTGAATTAAGATTTCTGGATGCTATTTTTTTGATAATCATTTTGATATAAATAGTTGTTAAGTTTTACTAAGGATGATTTTTCTTGAAATTTTCATCAAAGCTTTATGTTTAGTTGAAAATGTTATTAAAATTTTTACATTCAATTTTTATTATCATTTTCCTTTGCAATAATTACATTGAAGCTAAAGGTAAAAATATTTTTTTTTTTTCAAAAATTATATATTTTTTTTAATTACAAAATAAAACAGAATTGATAACATGGAAAGAATTCAAAGATTCATTGACGGCAAATCAATATCCGGAACCGACAGTTGAAAAATATGAAACAGTTTTACGTTTAGCTAAAGATTTTGATATTACAAGTAAACTTGAATTGGCAATGTTTTTAGCACAAGTTTATTGGGAATCTGTTGGTCTTCAGGTAAGATTTTTTTTTGTTTTGTTTATTTCAATTTTGATTTGATTTTTTCTTTCATTCCATAAAGCATACGAAAGAGATTGCCTGTGTAAAGACACAATGTCCAAATAATTATCGTACTGGACGTGAAAAAGATGGACTTTATTATTATGGCCGTGGTTATATACAATTAACATGGTTAGAAAATTATGCAAATTGTTCATCAGATCTATATGGTGATATGCGATTAGTGGATAATCCAAATCTTGTTTCCGATACCGAAGAAGGTGCATGGGGTTCTGCATTCTGGTATTGGGATAAATATGTTCATGATATTCCTGAGGTAATGATTTCTATTATATATTTGAAATTCTTTTGAAACATTGTTTATCATAATCATAATAATTATAGATTAAAGATGGACAATTCGGTCACACAACAATGGCTATAAATGGTCCATTAGAATGTAAAGGACCATATAAGATGAAAGCATTTAAACGTTTTGTTATCTATTCAAAAATATATGAAATATTTAAACTATCGAAACCATTGCCCAAACAAAATGGATGTTATCCAATGAATTATAATGAAAATGTTGATGAAGATACACCATTTTTTGCCATATGTAAACCAACCGGATTTTATCAACGACAGGCTGGAATGTATCATTGGTGTAATGATAATTGTAATGCCGAAGATCCAAATTGTCCGAATGATATGTGTAAATGTCCCAATGATTTACATCTTTATCATATGATGATGAAAGAGAAAAAATCAGCAAAAACATCTACTACAACAATGAAACCTTAATCATTGGATTATGTTTTTTATTAAAGAAAAGAAAAATTTAATAAATAAAAATTTTCAAATTTGTAAAAACCAAGGCAAAGTGTATAAATATTGCACATGCTCAATGGGTCATCAGCTGATATAGCAACAATAATCATTACAGCTTTTTTTGATGCGTCTCAAATTTTCTCAATTTTTTTTGTGATCATGCTTTGTGTGATGTTATATATGTGTTATTATTATTGTTGTTGGTTGCATAAAAGGCTAATTTTTTTTCATATTATAATAACCAGAAAGAAAACAGTAAGAGAAATTGATTTCTTCATTTTTTTTTCATCATCAAAAGTTCATCATCCTATTCAATAATAAAAACGTAACGAAAAAAATGATTTGACTGTGATTTTGCTAATTCAAACAAAAATAAAAAAAAAACAATTATGAATTTAATCTGAATTGAATACCAATGATTTAATTAATCAATTGATCTACTGAACTAAATAAATAATCATAAATTTTTTTTGGTCATTTGAAATTTTAACATACGTATTTCGAAGATGTTGTACATATTTTGGGTGAACAATGGAACGATGATGACATTCGATATGAATCTGGCGATTGAAACGTAAAAAATTAAAATTTTGTTTTTGTTTTCATTTTTAATAAATTTTTTTTTCTAATAATTATTAATAAATAGTGTTGATAATCTCAAACGAACCATTTATGAACAATATAAGATACCAATCTTAAGCCAGGTATTATTGATCAGTGGTGGTGAAAGCCTTAATCCAGATGATCGTGTTTGTCAATATTCATCGGCTGGTACCGATACTAGTCCAATATTTTTATTCTGCAAAAATTATGAATTATCAATGGATTTAGATCAAACATATTCAACACATCAACAACAACAACATAATGATGATGATATGAAAGATCGTGTACAATCATGTCTACAAATGGAACCAAATTTTAATACGGTCGTTTCGCGAAATGAAATGGCCATACAATTATATGAAACAGATGGTTCAATATATCATCTTTGTGAACGATTAGTACATGATCAACATCTGCAGCAACAGAGTTGGGCAGCTGTCGTTGCAAATCTGGAAGATCTTGTCGCATCATTTGAAAATAAAGCTCGTAAAGCAGAATTACTTTATGCCGATATTTTGCGAAATAAATCATCATATCTAAATTTGTTGAATAAGTAAGTTTTTTAATTAATTGGACTTTTTAATTTCTAAAATGAATTTGTATTAAAATAGTTTTAAGGCGGACAAAGAGATTCTTGCAAAAATTCCAATACTACATTCATTGATACCAAAAATGGATGATTCCCAATATTGTCAAATATCATTGCTTGATTGGATTCTTCAAAAAGATAGCCATAATGTATTGGATGTCCTATTCTGTATGGAAGAATTGAATGAATATGATGAGGAAAAACTTGGTAATCTGCGATCAGATGTCAACAGGGTACTCAGTGAATGTAATAATAGCGATATGAAAGAAATCAAAGGTCTAACACAACGGTTATCAGCATTAGAACAATTTATACGTGCAGCGAAAAAAAATTACGAAAAACAAGGTATCCTTACCAAAGGATTTAAACAGAATCAATCACGCATTTCGGATCTCAAGGATCCAAGTATTTTACCAGATTTATGTCAAAATCATTCCGAACAATTGCAAACAATGTTAAATAATCATCTGGAACTAATTGATTTGGAACATAAGTTTCGTGATGCTAAACTAGAATTATCAAGGAATTTGAATCAACGTTTACGATGGATTATACATGTAGAGGAGCAGATCATACATATTGATGAAACGGTTGTCCTTGTTGGAATTAAACTACAAAAATTACGTACCAAATTGGAAATTATTCAAAGCTTACATACAAGCCCGAAAATTTATCTGGATTCTATTATTGAAGTTTTACGGCGGAAAATGTTCACAGATATGTTTTATGGTTGGGCTGAAAATATTTCCCGACAAGCTAAACGTTTAATCGAACGAGAACAAGAATTACGACAAAAATTTTCTGAACAAATTGATAATCATTTTCTTCGTTGTTTTTTTCCCGGTATGAATGAGATGCCAGAAAATTTTATTGATGAACCAAATCGGATCGATCAATCACTACCTCATATAACGATGGATGATGTTGAACATTTACGAAATGAATTGCCCGAAATGTTCAATGAACTAGTCGTGCCTTCAATTGTGCCTGATTTTTTGAACAATGAAATTACCGTTGTTGAAACTGTCGATCATTCAAATATTGCCACAACGACTGAATTATCGTTGATCGATATTAGACATCTGGAATCGAATGAATTAAATATGCGGAAAATAATTTCGGAAAAAGATAAAATTATTGAAAATCTTATGGAAAATCTAAACATTACCAAAGTGGAGAATAAAAATCAACGAAATCTGTTAAAACTGTTGCAATCTACATTCGATGATTTGATCGAATTCTTTCATACTAATCATCCGGATCGCTTAAAACAACATTTATCAACATATGGGCAGAATTTTCTCAATGAAATTGAAACGTTCAAATCACATTTAAATGAAATTACGAATGCAATGAATCAGCTGCAATCATATTCATCGCAAGATAAACAGACCATTTCTGAATTAACCGAAAAGATCGAAGATTTTGAAAACCAAGTGAAACAAAAAAATTCTCAGCTTAAAGCTTGTAATCATAAATTATCGGAAGAAAAGATCAAAAATCAAGAATGTTGGAAACAGATTCAGGAGCAATTTGCCAAATTAGAAGCCTTTAAAGTTGCCATTAATGGTGAAAAAGCAATCATTAATAATTTCCGTTCATCATATCAGAATTTGAATATGGATTTTCAAAAATATCATGAGGAAATTATGAATTTATTTTCCGAATTAAATAATGAAAGATTACGTTTGATCGAAGAAACAATATCGACATTGAATGAAAAACATGAAACGAATATTGAATCCGTTCGACAGGAGATTTCGATGGAAAAAGATCGACAAATACAGAAACTACGTGATCAATTAAATTTTGATCATAAAAATGAATTGGAATCATTACGACAACGTTTTAAATTGGCCATATCGACAACATCGATTGAACGAACAGCATCGGAAACAAGTCTAGAAAAAGTTCAACTAGATATTGTTGATCAATCAGCACAGGAAAAAGAAATACAAAAACTAAAATCCATGTTGAATGAACAACGAAATGAACATGAACAAACCGTAGCATTGATTCGAAATGATCATGAAAAAATGATTCAATCATTAAGAAATGAAATGGAAAAACAACAACAATCATCATTACGGGAAAATTTTGTAAAGAAAAAATCAATGAATACTGAATTTGAAATGAATGTTGACTTCATTATGCAAAAAATGTCTTTATACGAATCATTTATATCACGTTTGAATGCAAGAATCGATACAAATCCGGAAAAGAATATAAAATCTGAAGACATTGTTGCTGGATTATCGCAGGATTTTAATGATTTTAATCGAAATATGGAGCTTTTAAATTCACGTTCATTTATTTCGATACCAACGACACCAGATAGCGTATGTATCAGCATAAATTATTTTTTCAAAAATTTTTATTATAATTTTTTTTTATATCCATCTATTTATCTTTTTTAGCCAAAATTGACATCAAAATTAGCTCAACATTTTATTGTTAATCTTGATCCAAATATTGATAATAAAATAACTGCAAACAGGTATGTGCCGGTCTAATTAAAATTATCCATTTAGCTTGATCATATCAATTTTTTTTTGTTTGCTTTAGTTGTGAGATTGGCAACACTGTTCTTGTTTATTATGAGAAAAAATATGAAAATTTCATCGTATTCACAGCATTGGATAACTTACATTATATACATTCAGATTCGTTGAAAGAATGTGATATAAGTAAAGGTATGTTTGATTGTGATTATTATTTCACAAATGAATTAATTTTTTTTTTTTTTTGCTTGAAATGTAAACAGATCCCATTACGAATGAATATGATTGGATCATTGCCAAAGTGACTGAAAAAGAATATTGTCAAATAAAAAAAGTAATTTTTTTTCATTTAAATTCAATTTTAATAATTGATTAATTTTTGTTAATAATTAGAAAGAGAATCGCTATAAACTTCCGGTGAATACAAAATTTTATCGTGTAAAAATACAACCAATTTCGAAATGTCCACCTAATCCAGAGAAATTAAAACAATTAGCACAAACAAATCGCTCAATAAACATGTCAACATCATCATCATTGTCATCATTATCATCATCGACAACGAATCGAAATATATTATCCAATTTTATGTCATTATTTGCCATTAGTAGTAGTGGTCCTGGTGCTGGCATTGATAGTAGTAATTCAATGACCGATATTTCATCATCATTGACACGATCCTTTTCCAATTTCGACAACAAAGAATAAGATAATCATCGAAAAGACGCACAATAAATAAACATTTTTTACATCTATATTTTCATAAATTTCATATGTAGATTTCCTTTGTTTTTTTGTTTGTTTAGTTTGTTTTTGTCAAAATTCTTTTTTTTTCTTGTTTGTCTTATCTGAACATTTCATTTGGATCATAAGCATTGATATTATCTTGATAATGATGATTATTGCTACTGATACTGTAATTATTAAATTCTTGATTATCACCATTTTTGTTATTAATTTGATGATGAAAATATGTTGAATAATCGTAATCTTTTGGATAGCTAATTGTTGGATAATATGGATTTGTCATGGTGAAATTTTGTTCATCATTTTGATGTTGGTGATGATGATGATGATTGACCATTGATGGCCAATATGTTGTATCCGTGGTATTATTATAGGCATTTGTATTATCTGAATTGAGAGTACCATAATCATTGTATGGATGATCAAAACTGTGTGATGTGTGTGAATATTGTGGTTGCTGGTGATGATTACTACCATCATATTCATTCGTCATACATCGATTCGATTCATCATTAAATTGTAATTGATTATCATTATTCGATGTTATCGGATCTATTTGCTGCTGCTGATGATGTGGATAATGATGATTATAATCACTATATTGATCCACGTCATTCGATGATGTTGGTGTAGTCGAAAAATATGAACAACAATTCTGATTATAAACTTGTTGTTGTTCCGGGCAAAATTGTTCGAAATTTTCTTCAATGGGAAGAAATTCTATTATCATTTTTAATGAATAATTTTAATCGATAAATTCTACTTACCAATGTTCAATGTTGTTGATGGTGGCTGTAAATTTTGCAGAATATTTCTAAATTGATCACCATGTAATTCTTCGGTATGTACTGATGATTTTGTACTATTAACATTCGATGTAGGATTCATTGTGGTAGCAAAGTTCTATTGAAATTTTTTTTTATTCGTTAAATTTGAAATTTGTAATTTAAAAAAATTTACCTGATAATTAGTATCATTATTATTATGATAGATAAAACAATTGCTATTATATTCCTGTTTAATTAATAGATTATTCTGTTCATAATAAACCATATTTGAATGCTGATGATGACTAATCAAATGATGATGATGATTTGTATGATCATTATTATTCATAAGCAAATTATTTCGGTTATCAATATCTATTATAGTAAAAATGGAAAAAAGTATTGGAAAAAAATCCTTGAAATCCATTTATCAATTCAATAATTAAATTACCATAGTTATCATCATTATTATTAAAATGATAATTTAAATACTGGATATTCGAATCATCGGATTGTTTTTGTTGTTGTTGTTGTTGTTTTTGCTGCTGATGCTGATGCTGCATGGTGACAATCGTTTTCAATAATTTTTGTTTCGAATTTTTATTATTATTTGATTTATTATTCTCATCCTTTTTCATCATCATCATCACTTTTCGTTGTTTGGTTGAATATTTCGGCAAGTTTGTTGAATTGTTCAATTTCTATTTGGTGATGGGGATTGGGGTTTTTTTGTGTATGTGTGTGTGTTTGTGATAAACGATGTAGAAAATTTTCAAATTAGATTTTTTTTTTCATCAATGATCAAATCATGTAATAATAATAAATCATATAAGGTTCAATGATTTTTATTTGCATTTGTATGTAATTTATATGATTTTCATCTTATAGTTTTGTTTAGTTTATTTGTTATTCAATTCAAACAAACTGATGTAAGAATTCTCATTACCTGAATGGCAAATAAAGATGACGATGATAATAGAATGGATGATTTTGATGCCAATGATGATGATGATTTGGAATATTTGATACCGAAACCACGAGCATCAATTTTTGATTTTGGTTCTGGCCGTACATGATCATGATTGCCTTTTGCCTATAAATATTTTTTGTTGAATGGATAAAAAATCACCATATATAAATTTTTATTGATTTTGATCAACTATTGAAATATCTTTTTTTTCAAAAATTTAATTTAATCCAATTTAATTTGTTTACCTGAAAAAATATGGCAAATTTTGTATGACGCCAAAAATGTGTTACCGGATAGCCACAATGTCCTTTACATGGTTGTACTTCTAATCTTCCATTACAATGACGATTTGGACATGATTTATTCTGTTGTTTTTTTCTTGCTTTATCACAAATTGCTGGCCGTAAATGTATTGATTGACCATTATCAAGTATACAACGTTTACTGCAAACTAATACACCCAGACATGATTTTTTCAATATATTAACATTATGATTATTCGTATTACGCATTGCCCAACCACTTGAATGTCTTCGTGCTTCTTCACAATCTAAACGATATACGAATTTACAATGGCCATCGGTCCATTCTTGAAATTCATCAAATTGTGTTACCTGAAAATTTAAAAAAAAATAAATTTTGCATTCGAAAATCCAAAACAAAAGCAAATGTTTTTTGTTTTCAAAGCCCGCAAGCAAATTACAATTCAAAAAAATTATAATTTCAAAAAAAAACAATTAGGAATCGAACAACAACAACAACAACAATGATTTCAATTTTTTTTTGGAAATCACTTTTTCTCAAATTTCAAAATGCAAGATTATGATGTGAAAAGACAATTATGAATTTTTTTTTGTCTTTCTTTTTAAATTCAAATATAGACTCAATTATCGAATTTGTATTTCTAGTTTTTTTCCGCTTGTTGCTTTATTGTGTTAATTTGAATTAGATAATTTTTTTTTTCAATACTGACTGAATTATCATCACCAATCGAGCAATTATTTATGTCATTAGAATGTTAAGAGAATTTTTTTTGTGTTTCAAAATTACATTTCCATTTTGTTTCAATGATAGTTTTCCATTTAGTTTCATTCTTAATTATGTCGCTTTGATTATTTGGACTAATTTGGTCTAATTTGACCATTAAGGGTCATTGTCTAGAATTATGAAAAAGTTTTTCTGGGATAGGTAGTAAAAAGCACAACAGAACACAAAATGGAATGAAAAACTAGGTGAGGTCAAATAAAGATGGGCCGCCAAGAATCGCCGTCTAGTTTATGTGGTGTGTGTGTCTGTGTCTGTGTTACACCCTATCTTGTCAATTATTATCAATAGTCTACGGCAATGGTCTTTAACCTTTTTTTCCATCTGATAAGTTCAATAGACATGAATGAAATTTAAAAAAAAACTCTAAATTGCAAATTGTAAACAATAAACTAACATTTTTTTTCATTGATTTTTAGATTTAAATTTACACATTTTTTGAATCAGATCAAATTAACTCATGGAAATGGAAATGCAATAATTGAAATGAAAAAAAACAACATTCATTCAATTTAATTACTTACATCGGGAATTTGTGTATCATTAATGTCCCATTCGAAATTTGTCGTTTTTAACATGATGATACTGATAATGATGATGATGATGTACTAAAGAATCAATCACAAATCAAACACACACACACACACACACACAGCCAAACATTGAAACACATCAATTGTGAGAATATTTTTTTTAAAAAAAGAAAAAAACAAAACAAAACCCAAAAAAAAAAAATTTGTGTACCGTAAAACACAATGTCCCAAAAATGAATGAATAGAATGTAATGAGAATCGTATGGATATTTGTTCAGCTGCAAACAAACAAATCAAACCAAGACCAGAAAATCATTTGTCTGATCCATCATGAACATCATCAAATCCTATAATAATTGATGAATCGTTAACACTGTGTGTTTATGATTAAACTCCTCCCATTTTTTAGTGTATTTGGATTCAATGGATATATTTCTGTATAGAGGAATGTATCTTTGTATTTTTTTTTTGTTTTGTTTTCGATACAAACTCCTACGATTACTTTTCCCGTTCAATTTAAATTGGATACATTGAATTATTTTTCTGGTGTTTTGTTTTTTTTTGGCTCCACCTTCGTTTGAATTTTAACTATGTATACACAACACACTATAGTGTGTATGTGTGTGTGTGTGTGTTTTTTCTCTTTTATGATTTCAGAATCCCGCTATATAATTTTAAAATGTTTTTTTTTCCTAATAATGAAACGAAACGAAAATGTGACCATTTGTATGCGATACGAAAATATTGTTTCAAAATAGATTAACATCTTGAACATCTCACACACACACACATACACTATCCTCCATATCTAAACAGATTGCAAAACAGAACAATTTCAAATCAAATGATCAGATGATGATCATGATGTTTTATGAAACATAATGGGAAATCCGTTTTTTTTAGTTTTATTCTTTGTTTTATATTATATAAACCAATTATTATTATCATTATTATTATTAAACAGATAACGATCACCTAAATCTAGGTGGCCAATAAACACAACAATAAAACCCGGTAGCATAATCATGATTAAACATTTGTTTTACATTTGTTGTTGTTGTTGATGATATGTAATAATCATCATCTAATGCATGAAACATATCATTGATATGACATGTGTGATGATCAGATCAATAAAACATTGTTATGCAACAACAACAACAACAACAACAACAACAAAAAATCACGAATCTTTTCACTAAAAAACCTATTATTATTCCTATCATCACTTGACACATCATCATCATCATGAGGATCAATCATCAAAACACACACACCACTATGTACTACACTGTGTAATTCGTATCGGATGTCATAAATTGAAATTATTATTTTTTTTTCTTCAAATTTCACTTGTTATATAAATTGAACTTGTACAATTTAAAATTTTGTTGTTGTCATAACCATGTATATATTGATAAACTGTATTATTATTTATTTATTTATTATATTGACATGTATGACACGACTAAAACGTTTATTTTTTTTTGTTTTCTCGTTTGTTTGAATCTTCAATGTTTGTTCTGTTTTGTTGTTGTTTATTTAATGGTTATTTACAAGAAACGAGAAAAAAAATTAAACAAATCAAATCAAATCAAATCAAAACAATGGACAAATTGATGATTGTTTTCTGTTTGGAAAACAATCAGACATTCACCATTGGAAGTCGATGAATTCATTTATTCATTCATTCATTTTTTTTGCACAAAAGTTTTGTTTTATTTTTTTAAATAATAATTTTAAATGATAAATTAATTTAATAATTTCCATTCAATTTCTGGTCATTCAATTCAAAGAGAAAATTTATTCATTTCGATTGTTGTTTGGATTAATTTTTTTTTTGTTTTGTTAATGTTGAAAATAACAAAATCGTTATGCGAATATATGATAATCACCCTCATAATAAACACATAGAAACGCTTATCGTTTTTATTTTTATTTTATTTTATTTCCAAAATTAGTCAATAAAAGATAATCCAGATTCATTTGATACATCCAATGGATAGATGTATGGAACAAATGTCATCATCATCATTATCATTATTTCACATTGATAAATGGGCCATCAAGATTTTTATCGCAATCGTTTCATGAATTTTTTTTTTTGGAATGGACAATCATCGATCAGCAGCTGCATTCATTCATTGATAATGGACCAGTGAATAGCCTGGGATGGAACAGAGAACAAATTGCCATATAGTTTAGATAAATTTTTTTCAATGAAAATACGAAGGCACTTTAAAAAAATTGATTTTAAACAAATAAATTAAAAAAAAAATTTTTTTGAATATCGATTGTTCCACAATCGAAAGTTGTTCATCACTATTTCGAGTGATTTCTCAAATGAAGCAAAATTTTTTCAAATTTTTGAGTAAAATTGGAAAGAATTCTTCAATCAAAATGGTTGTTTGTAAATTTTACATTCAAGGTTATTGTCGTTATGGCCATCAATGTCGTTATGATCATTTCAGTCCACAACGAAATCAACCAAAACAAAGTCGGTTATCTTTATTATGTTTTAGATAATTTTGTTTATTAATTATGGCCAAAATTTTAAATATTCTTTAGATAATACGGGATTTAGTTTTGTAAAAACATTAAATCAAATTTCTTCGAATTCAAATCAAAATAATGCTAATATTTTTTCCAATACCAATGTTTCATTTCAACAACCGCAATCGTACTTTGGTCAATCGTCTACTGGTGGTAAATTCAGTTTCAATCAGACATTACAACAAATTAACAATGTTCAAAATGTCAGGATGCCTACGAATTCTTTATTCACAAATGAATTTGAAATGAAATCAGATTTTCCATCAACATCTTCGCTTAACTTTCCGATAAATAATACCTTTACATTTGGTAATACAGCAGCATTGAATTCGGCACCATTAAACATTGATACCAGAATAAGGCAAAATGATGTTCATCATTGGTATAAAAATAACAGCATTGTCAGTAATCAATCAACCATTCCTAAAACTAAATCATTTTTCGATCAACCAATGAACCAACAGCCAATTGAAATGACATCAGAATCGAATTTTGAAAAAGATTCGAAAAATACTATAAAAATGGGCAAAGAAAAAAGCAGATATGGAATTTATTCCGAATTAAAAGATTTAGTCGAAATGGATCTAGCTAATTTTAAAGCGGATAAATTTATCTATCCAATACCGTTCGATCCACCTCCATTTGAAGTTTGTTTCCAGGAATATCGAATCGTCCAATGATTAATTGAAATAATGAAGAAAAATAATTATTCGGAACTAGATATGCGCACTGGTTATTAAGATTATTACTATTATTGAGATTTCATAAATTTAAATTTATCATCATTATATTAAAAATCACAATAACAAATACACAGTTTTTACTATTATATCAAATATCAAAATATCTATTTGAAAGTAATGTTTTGCGTTTGTGCCCAGGAATTTTCATTATCTCAAGATAATGTATCGTTTGTGATTGATTGCCGCTTGATGGCAGATTCGAATTTGTTGCGAGAATAATTTGCCATTGTAAGTTTCATAGTTGATTGCCGTGCTATTTCAGTGTAGTTGTTGTGGTTTGAAATAATTTTGGAATGATTAGTTTTGGTCGAATAATTTCCATAATTAGCTAGAAATTTACTCGGTTTTTTACTTGGTGCCAAATTACCAATTGTAAACGGTTTAACCGTTGAAATAGCAGATGATGTATTCAATTTTGATCCAACATTATTACTATTTACGTTCAATGATTTTGATTGATTTCGAATTTCGCCGTTGTTGATGATTTTTATATCTGATTGATGATGATCAATTATTGGTTTGGTGGTCACCGTAATGTTTATGAATTTTTTACCATTACCAGATTGTTGCTGTTGTTCCAATCGTTTGAGGATGGCTTCCTGTTTTTTCAAACGATTCATATCATTTTTAATTGATTCTTTTAATTTATTTATATTATTTATACGGCTTTTCATATCCATCGATGGTGGTTGTATTGGTTTTTCAGCAATCATTTGCGATTGTTTGTTGGGCAGGATGGTAGATTTTTGTTGTTTAAATTCATTGATTTTCTCTTCAATTTCTGTATCCCGAGCCATTGAAATGTTATGTAATGCTGACATTGTACAAAATATTAGTATAGCTGTACCGAAAAATAATAACAAATATGATAATAGATATTCGATAGTGTTTTTATCACAAATTTTGATGAAAATTAATGCCGGTATTATGAAACATATTGTTGAGCCAATGGTCGAACCAACCAATGCTAATATTAATTCAACACGTGGAAATATGATTGATATGCCCATTGTCGTAATGATCAATATGATGGTCAATAATTTAAATTGATAATCAGACATATGAATAGATGAATGTGATGTACTTAGAAGATCATAATGTACACCTTTACGAAATAATAATGAATGTAAACTTGTACGACTTGGAAATAAACATAACGGAAAACTGGTCAATATGGTGATCAGAAATAATAAAAGTGTTAATTTTGTTGTCAATCCGGGTGGTAAATTTTGTAGAATATTTCCGGTAAAATTGACATTATAGAATGCAATATAACCAGTACAGCCAATCAGTATATAAACAATTGAACATATCATTAGAGCTTTTTTGATTGAACGCATTATTAATCGTAATGATGAGCCGGTTTTTGTTGTTTGAAATAAATCTGTACTGAATATTTCAAATAATTGTGATTGACATGATAGTGCCATCGAGAATATGGGTAAATAGGTGATCATATATGATGAATTCCAATAGTTTAATTGGCTAATTATATTTACATTCGGTTGTATCAAGATGAATTTATCCAAAGATAAGTATAACATTCGTAAGGCGAGAAATAAATAAACAATCAATGACATCATTGAAAATGATGTTAAATTATCAACATCACGTAATAATCCTAATGGTAAGATGATAAACATTGCCAAAAATGTCATACACATAGCACGTAGTTGTGGCCCTTGTTCAAATTCGAATATATGTGATATAAGTGATGGTGCAATATCACCTACGATAACAAAAAATGCTACACATGTTCCCAATAAGAACAGTAATAGACATACTTCAACCAATGTTTTTCCACCGGTACCAAATACATCATATGCTAATAATTCGAAATTTCTTCGTCGATTTATGATGGCCGATTTCAACAGCAGGTAACAGCTAAACTGATTCAATAAGGCACTGAATGATATGATAAATAAGGCCAATATTATACCACATTGTTTGAAACATAATGGCATCGCTAGAATCGATACACCAATTATACTATTGCTCAGGTTTATGATGCTCGTCAACGAGCGATTTATTTTCACCATTTTTATTATCTTCGTTTTTTTTGTATTTGTTCGGTGGTCACATTGGAAATATTGTTGGTTGAGATCGCAAACGATTCGGAATATTTTTTTTTTGTTTTGACAAAATTTTCAACCAAAATCCATTCGAAAAATTCTTTTGTTTGGTTTGGAAATAGGATACAGGCAACAACCAGCCAAATACAACAGTTGTGTTTATCATGAAAGCCGACGTGTGTCATTTTAAAACAATCAAAATCGCCATCTAGTGGTGATTTGTAGAAAAATAAAAAAATTATTAAATTTTAAAATTTTTTTTAAAATTTTGGCATTTTAATAATAACAAGCATCTTAATAATACTGATGATGATGATGATGAATAGTTGAAAAAACTTATAAAGTGATAATTATGAAAAGAGAAAAAATTCAATGAGTAAATTAAGAAATATAAATTACTACAGAAATTATTGCGAACATTAGTGGAATAAAAAAAAAAAAAATATTACAACGATATGATTGCAGTTGGTCGAAAATTATTGCCGATTGATAAATTCAGATCATCTCAATTAGATTTTCTTCTGTACAGGAGGTGGTGGTGCTGGTCGTCGTGTTTTATACGATTTTGGTGGTGGATTTATGGTCGGATATACTATCGTCGATCCGGAAGTGGCAGCCGCCGTTGAATCTGAATGTTCAACTTTTGTTCTAGAAAAATTTGCCTCCAATTCATCAATAAAATCTTTACATATTTTTGTTTGAAATGTTGATTTTGTCGTATTTGTTGATGGAAGAGGTGGTGGTGGTGGCGACAGAGGTGCTAATGTTGTTTCATCAGTACAAGCTAAGGTATGGCTATTATAAAAACTGCTGCTAATATTATTTGTTGTACTACGTTGTTGAAGATCATTGGTGGCTATCATGCAATTTGATTGTTGTGGCGTTATGAAGTTCATCGATACACTTGGTGTAAATTGGCTAGATATAGGCAAACAAGGGCCACATGATAGATCAAATTGACAACATTGACAGCTGGGTTTATTGGTGGTTGGTGGATCAATAGTCAGATTTTGATTCGGTATTGTAGAATTATTACATTCACATATTCCGGTTGTCGTACAAACAGCTGAATAGTATCTTGTTTTTGAATATGGTTGCTGTTGTTGTTGTTGAGATAATTGACCATTATTAGCATCAAATGGTGGCATATAATATTTTGAATATAAATTATTCTTGTTATTTAAATCTAAAATTGATCCATTCATGGGCGATTCTTCTCGTTGTTGTTCTTGTTTCTGTTGTTCCAATGGTTCACATATTGACATAGTAAGTAAATCTGAATCATCTTCCGATGATAAATTAATCCTATTATTATTATCGAGTTGATTCTTCAAAAGTGGTAATGGTGGTGGTGGTGGCTTTTGGTTATATAAACCAAGAATTTCCTGTGTATTGAATTTAATTTCAGCCAATTCATTGTTGATCGATGTAGGTGGTCGATTATTGTTATTTTCATTAACTATATTCATCATTGTAGCTGCCGAAGTTAAAACATGATTAACATCATTTTCAAAATCAATTAAAACGCCTTCTTTCTGTTCATTATGATTATCATCATTATGATTCAGGTTGTTCGAAACATCTAAATCATTTAAATTGGAAATTTTTTCAATTTTTCCTTCCTTTATCAATTTATCAAGGTTTTTTCGTCCTATTAAATAACAAACAATTATTAATTAGATAATAAAAAAAAATTAAATTTACCATTACGAGTTTCGAGAATAACCGCTGCAATTGTTTCATCACTTGGTGATGATTCGAATCCAATTAAATCTTGTGGTTCAATCGGATTTTCCAGATACATTTTTTCGATAAATTCTGGATTGCCCCATGATTTTTTACCCGTTGGATCCATATGTCCAGTATGGATGAAACTATTTTTCAATGGTTTACTTATATCATTCGTTTTTAATGATCGCATATCTTTCGCCGCTGAACGTGGAAAATAGCCAATTTCAAACGTACGTTGATTCTGTCCCTTCCACCAATAATTTTCAGGATTTCCCTCGATAATTTCAATTTCATCACCACGATATAGTTTTAACATTGTTTTTTTTGTCGAATCAAATGTTGATTTTGAATTCCCGTCGAATTCTTGTAATGCTTTCAATTTGAACGGTTGTTCCATTTTGAAAAATCTGACGATTGCAGTGAATGTTGGTCGTTCTTTTGGTTCATGATTCCAACATAGCATCATTACCTGATAAATTCGCTGTGAACATGAATCCGGTGGTGGTAATCGCTCATTTTGTTCCAATTTTCGTATGATTTGTGATCCATTCAAACCGGCCCATGGTTCTTGACCGAATGAAAATATTTCCCATAATGTTACACCATACATCCATGTATCACTTGAATGGGAAAATTGTCGATATTTTAATGATTCAAGTGCACACCATGGAAAAGGTACTTTCATATTATCGCTCATTGTATAATAATCTTCGTCAAATGGTACGGCTCTCATAAGGCCAAAATCTCCAATTTTTATGATATCATTTAGAGTAATGAATATATTACGTGTGGCTAGATCACGATGTATAAGACGTTTAGTTTCCAGATAATCCATACCTTTACCAATTTGTATGGAATAATTGACTAGTATACTAAGTGGAATTTTTCCCTGTGTTCGAATCAATTTCGTACGCAGCGATCCTTGTTCAGCTAATTCAGTAACCATCATCATCGGTGTAGACAAAACGATACCATATAGTCGGATAAGATTTTCATGTTTTAACTGATGCATTGCATTCACTTCTTTAGTAAAATCTTCGAGTGCTCGTGATAGGATTTCCTGTTGTTTAAGTACTTTAACGGCCACATATTTTGTCGTTTTATTCATGGTATTCATATGATTCTCTTGATTCGTTGTTCTTGTCCATTGTGCACGCATTACAACACCGAATGATCCATCACCAATTTTATCCAATAATTTTATATCTTTACTTGATATTAAACATGTTAGGCCGCTATTGTCACGATTTTCTTGATCAAAATTCTTTGTATCATCATCATCCACTGAGCTATCAACATTATTATTAAATGTCTTTAAACGTTCGATATTATTATTGTGATTTAAATGATCTTTTAACTTAGCATTAGGTAATATTATCTGGAATAGATTCTTTTTCCATTTATTATTATTATTATTACGTTTTTTTGCCGCTTCCAATAGACGTCTGGCTGCTGGTGCACCCATACCAACACGTACATTGATTAGATCATCAAATACAACATTGTCAAAATGTTCCACTTTTGTCACATCAATTGATTTGATGGCCTGATAAAAATGTTCCAATTGTACTTCTTTTAATAGCTGATATAATGGATCAAAATCATCCACTTCACCCATTATTATATTAATATGTTAGTGGACTGGCTTGTTAAAATTGATAAAAAAAAATTTGCAAAATATTTAAAGAAACAGAGAGAAAAAGGATAAGTGGAACAATAAAAAACGAACGATAAAAAAGGTTGATTTAGTGAAAATCAAAGAAAAAAATTTCTTGAAAGACTATAGTTGTTGTTGGATGTTATATAATAAAAAAAAAAACAAATAAACACAGACGATAAAAATAATATTATGGCGATTATTGATACATGGTTTTCATTTTGGGCTGTTCATTTGACAAGCAATCATGGTTGTTGTTGCTGATGCTGGCTGGATCCAGAATAATGATCCATATTAAGGAGTGTATTCTATATACAAGGAAATATATCTTGGAACAAAACTTGGATCAGTAAAAGAAAAATTGAGTTCTGAATAAAGAATTCAGAAAGAAAAAACGTAAACATTTCGAATGAATTCGCGGTCATTCGCAATGTACGTGTGTGTGTGTGTGTGTTTTTTTGTGAAATTTTCCACAGATTAAATTCAATGTTTTCGTCATTATCATCGTCGAAAAAACTTCTTATCATCATGATTTCATCATCATTAAGACGTTCGAAACGTAAAAATGTCCAGATAAATTTTTCTAATGACAATGAAACAGAAATTCGATTGAATAAACGGCCATCAAATGAAAAAAAAGATGAATCGATAAAAATGCCCAAAAATTGGCGTCTAATCTATGAAAATATTGCCAAAATGCGTTCAAGGACAATTGCACCAGTCGATACGATGGGTTGTGATCAATGTTATGATACGGATATTAATGACAAACAAAAACGATTTCAAATACTCGTCTCATTAATGTTATCCAGTCAGACAAAAGATCAGGTAACATACGCAGCAATGAACAAGCTTCGGGCGCATAATTTATCCATTGAATTTATCAATAAAATTTCGTGTGATGAATTAATGAATCTGATTAAACCGGTTGGATTTTATCGACGTAAAGCTGAATATCTTAAACAAACGGCGTGTTTATTACGAGAAAAATATGACGGTGATATACCCAAGACGATTGACGAACTGAAAAAATTACCGGGTGTTGGTCCTAAAATGGCACATCTTGCAATGGTTACTGCTTGGAATCAGATAACCGGTATTGCTGTCGACACACATGTTCATCGTATATCGAATCGTTTACAGTGGACATCTGGAACCAAAACACCTGAACAAACACGTATAGAGCTAGAAAAATGGTTACCAAGAGATTATTGGAATGATATTAATCATCTTCTAGTTGGTTTTGGTCAAACAATTTGTCTGCCAGTAAAACCTAAATGTGATATCTGTCTTAATAATGAGCATTGTCCATCATCAGAATTTTAATTCTGAAAAACACATTTCGATTTTTTTCTGTACAAAATAAAATTTGTTTTTTTTCACTTTGAAGAAAAACAAGAGAATCATCATAGATATCATTGATAGATTTAGATTTTCAGACAAAACCATTCATTTAAGCGACTAGCGAAACAATTTCATTTCAAAAATTTTGAATCATTAATTTTGAATTGGATTTTCCACAATATGCATACGTATTGATGTATCATATTCATCATCACTTTGTGGCCGTAATGATCGTCGTCGTTCGAATGATGTTAATGCATAGCCAATACCTTGTATGAATAGCCGGAATGCTTCAGAAACTTTATGTGGTTGTTCTTCAAGTACCATACCACAGCCGGATAATTTCATCCATGTTGAATTTTCCGGATTTAGACGGCCATTCATATTGACAGTATCATCAACATGTGGTGAATGTGAACCACATAATACGAGTACGCTACATTTAAAATTTCGTTCACGATTACCACGTTCAATATTTAGATCGGTACGACGAATATAGGCATCTAAAAACAATGCCAAATTCCGTGGAACATGATTGTTGCCACTAAAATAAGTTTTATAAACTTGAATTAGATCACGATTATGATCTTCATTGGTCACGCCAAAATGATGCCAAAGTAGATAATCTTGCATAGATTGCGAAAAACTTTGAATCGTTGAACTAAGATAATAGATATTAATCTTCTGATATAACCATTCAGTCCATGATGCTTGTGTTGATGTCGGATGTATCAGGAATAATCCATCAACCAATTCAGGATATTGCAATGCATAACGTGAAAGAACATTAGCGCCAGCGCCAACCTTGATTATAAAAATCATCAAAATAGAGAAAGATTCATATAACCAATCCAACACTACTTACGCCTAAACCAATGAAATTTGTGATGCCAAAATATTTACAAACCGAATCAACTTGTTCGGCTAACTGATCCATTGTTGGAAATATATAATCCGATGGTAAAATAGTGGCATTCTCTTCCTGACCCGGTGCATGAACATTAATGACACAGAATGATTCACATAATAATTTCATATCCGAATAATTAAAAAATGCCTGGAAATTTGAGCTAAAATTTAATCCAATATCATGATAGGTAATTATATAAGGCTTTCCAGAATGATTACGAGCACCAATTCGTACAACATATATTGGACCATAATCTGTATCCACATATAGGGCTTCATGATTATTATTAAAATTATTTATCGTCATTGTCGATAGTGATGATGATGATGATGAATGATGATGCATTACAAGTGGATCAGTTGATTCAATATTTTTCAACTCAATATCGGACATCATCTCGTTTCCAAAAATGATTTACTTTTATACTTTCTCTATAATAATTTCTAATTTAACGAGTGAAATTGTCATAAAACACAATCAATTTATTATATAGATAAGGATGAAACTTACTAGAAATTTTGTTTGTTGTTATAACAATAAAATTTAATTTTATTTTATATCCGATATCATACACGGACAGAAAATTAGTATGTTGAAATAAACCCAGATGAATTGCATGCATGCATGTGTGTGTATGTGTGAACAAAACGTTCTATAGATGGGCTATAACTTCTGGAAATTTTGTCGATGATGAAATGATAAAAACATTAATTGAATTGAAAAAAGAGGCGTTCACGCTTGCGCTCATTAAATATATGTTGTGAGTGTTTATAATAAAATAAAATAATCATTATATTCGATGTGAAATGATGATGATGTCAATTTCACCTAGATTTCTTGATACGTCACACACACACACACATTCTCATTACCCTTTAAATATTTTTATGTGCGATGTATGGAATATAGATTCCAATAATACGCATATAAATGGTTCTACTCTAATTACGATAAATTTTCATTTTGAGAATCAAAATACATGAATCATGATGATGGGAGCTATATGGTTATATATTAGATATTAGATTAGTTTTATATGATAATAACAAACGAAAACATTCGAATCAATTTTATTATTATTTGATGATTCGATCCTGAATAAATTTTAATCATTGTTCATAGATGGCGAAAATGAGGCCATCTTCATTTGTTTGACTACTAGATGGCAGTAAATTATAAATGAAAGGCAAAAAAAATAGCTTTAATTTCAAAACAAAACAAAAAATAAAAAAATAAATCTCAAATCCTGAAAATTGTGAAGATAAGAGAATTCATCATTCTGAACTGATTGAAATGGTTATTTAGTTGTTATTGCTTGCCATTAACGTCATGTTATTCACATGTTTTTTTTCAAAGAAAAAAATGATCTGTACTTTTGCAATTTGATGATGATGATTATAAGTACAGATAAAGTGTCTCGATATCATTGATAATGATTCATTATCATTAACGATTGTTGTTTTTTTGGCACATATCATATTTCTTTTAATTATTATCAACAACAACAAGTTGACGGATTCAGTTGTTAATGAATTTCTATGTGATCAAAAAAAAACAAGACTATTTTTCATTCAAATTTCAATGTAATTGAATGGAATAAAATGATTCAATATAATTAGATGAGCAAATCGGTAAAACAACAGACAAAAACGATAAATTTTAGATTTGAAATACAGTTATGCTAGGCAACAACAGCAACAAGTAAGTAAGTAAATAAAGAAAACTGATAACGATTAAAATTAGTAATAAAAAAAAGCTCATATCTTAATCGGTCGCCTTTAGTTATAATAATAATAATTATTATATATTATCCAGATGTAATCATATTGCACTTTTTCATTTTGCATTTTCTTTTCTCAAGAAAAAAATACAAAAATTTTTTTTCTTCTTGAATCTTTTCAAAAATAATACAAATACCCAACAAAACGGGAATGTTTTTTTTTTAAATTTGAGAGAAGAAAAAATTGACAATGATGACAACTGTTAAAAACAACAACAACAACGGCAATGGTGATGATGATGATGTGAAACGAAATCGTTCGATTTATTCATCGAATGAAAAGTCAGCAAAAAAATTTTTGTATTTTCTCTAAATTCAATTATAATCGATTCTATTTTTATTATTATAATGTTTATAGGATCTATAATGAAACAACATTTATCACTGATAATAATCGCCATGGCCAAAAATCGATGACCCGATCAATACGATATGATCATGATCATGATTATAATGGATGGAGCAAAAATCAAAAAGGATGGAGAAAATATCGTCGAGAGATGCGATCAACATTACCTTATCGATTTATCAAACGGTACAGTATTCAATTTTAAATGAAAAATTCAATTGAATGAAAGAGAACGTTATAATGGAAAAAGTTATTACTACTAATAATCTTGACAGTTTGCTTGATTGAATGAATGGATGGAACGCTGCATATATACACATTCCGTCGACGACAAACTACGACTATATTTATAAAATTTTTGTCTGTATCATGTTTCCATAAATATCTTTACTTTTCTTCGATGATGCGCGTATTCACGAAGACATTATCCGCTTTATTTAATTCTTCACTGTTTTTTAAACATGATTTCTAGATGAGAAAGCAAGAGAGAGAGAGAGAAAAAAAAATCTTGCCACTTGTACTGTCGTATGATTTGTCAATAAGGATTTTGCTTTTCGTTTTTGATTCATTTCGAAGCAAATGTCATCAATCTAGGACTTGAATTTTTGACATTTTCAATCAATAATGACCATATTTAAATTGTATAAAACAATTTTTTATATGTTTCCACAATAATTGCTAAAATTCTTAATTTTTATCATTTTAGTGATGATGTAGAAATCGAAAAGCATCATGCCGTTCAGATGGATAATCTTAATTGTTTTCAATACGTGTTCTTCACATGGATGACATCATTAGTACGGCGAATATTTCGACGAAACATTTCCCTCATCGATTTGGGCGTTTGTTCTCCGTTTGATTCATGTAATATAAATTCACTACGTTTGACCAGATATTGGCAACAACAATGTGATAAACAAGGATCACATAATGCTTCATTATCTTGGACAATGTTCAGATTTTTTCGAACAAGATTCATTGTGGCATGTTTATTCTATATTCTATGTTTGGCTACAGGTTATCTAAGTTCGGTATGTTTTTTTTTGTCTTTCACTATTTTTTGGCGGTAAAATATATGAGTTTTTTTTGCTGTTTATTTTTTTTTCATTAAGAAAGACTTTTTTTGTTAAAAAATTACTCGAAGAACTTGAAGCTATTACTAATGTCGGAACTATTGATGTGAAAATGGTTGATGAAAAAACTAATGACACAATCATTGTTAATTATGGTGAACGTGATATTTCTGGTGCATTTAAGTGGATAGCTGCACTGTATCTTTGTGAATTTATACGTGCTATATCATTTTCGATAATGTTTGCAATCAGTATTCGAACCGGTATACGTTGTGTGAATGCAATGAATGGAATTATTTATCATAAAATAATGACAAGAATATCAAGAAATCTATATGGATGTAATACCAAAACAACAACAACGATGATGAACATACAGCCAAATAATCTTTTCGCCAATGATTTGTGGAAAGTGTTTCAAATGATTTATATGGCACCATTAATGATTGGTAGCCCAATTATCATTATTGTCACTATTATCTATACATACCTATTAATCGGAACCTCAGCATTTTATGGTATCGGTTTGTTTATCATTATTTTTGTCCTACAATTCGCAATAATCAAACGGCAAACCATATTACGTAATCGTATAATGAAACAAACTGATTATCGATTATCGCTAGTAAATCAAATTGTTAAATTTATTCGTGCCATTAAATTCTATGCGTGGGAAGAACCGTTTAAAAATGAAATAGAACGTAAGTAAAGTAGGTTAATTTCGAACAATAATTAACAAATTGTTTTGATCAATAGATTGCCGAACGGCTGAATGTTCCATTATTCGACGTTATCAATATCTGCAGTGTTTGAGCACATCTTTAGCGCTTTTAGCTCCAATGTTAATTACAATCATTAATATATTGGTACATACATGGTTGGGAAATGATTTAACTGTTTCCACTGTTAGTACAGAATTTTCATCTATATAATAAAAAAAATAATCATTATTTTTCTTAACAGGCATTTTCTTTAATAATGTTAAATTACATAGCAGCTCATGGTGTGCGATCATTACCAAATTATTTTCGTGAAATAGTCAATGGAAGAATCGCTTTGAAACGTGCGGAAAAATTCCTACAACAAGATGATCATAAATCGAATATAAGCAACGAAATGTTGGATAATCAAAATGCCATTGAAATGGTCAAATGTTCATTCTTTTGGATTCGTTCTAATGGTGAAAATTCAGCTTCATTATCAAACATAACATTGTTGATATCGAAACAGAGTCACGTCTGTCTTTATGGACCTGTTGGATCGGGAAAAACTGCCCTTTTATTATCAATCATGGGACAAACACAATGCTCTGAAGGCGAGGTACGATTGTTTAGTCAAAAAATTGCTTATGTTTCACAAAAAGCGTGGCTACAAAATTCAACAATCAAAGAGAATATTCTTTTCGAATTACCGATGGATCGAAAACGTTATTATGAAACATTGATGAAATGTTCGTTGACTGAAGATATAAGCCTTTTGGCTAATGGTGAAGATACTGTGATCGGTGAAAACGGCGTCAAACTTTCTGGCGGTCAGAAACAACGAATTGCATTAGCTCGTGCAGTTTATTCAAACAGTGATATCTATTTGATCGATGATTGTTTCTCATCGTTAGATACTCGTGTGGCTAAAGCCATTTTCAACAATGTCATTAACGGTATTCTCAAACATAAAACGGTCATATTTATCACAAGAAATCTTTACCTCTTGAATGATGATGATTTTGTTGCTATCATGAATGATGGAAAGGTTGAAAGTTTTGAAAAACATTCCAAACTTATCGAAACATCGGAAGATTATCGTTTATTAATGGAAAATTCTAAAGTTTTTAATGAAGAACAGAAAGATGATAATTCATCCGAAATTATTGAACATGATGATGATAGTACTGATGATATTGATTCGGATTTTGATTCCAATTCAATAGATAAAGCAACATTAATACAAATCGATAAGACTATTAATGGTGAAACAAAACGTCCAGCAAATTCATATGATTCATTAATCTCATTAATGGCTCAATATGATGATCATCGTAATGGTAATGAGGATGTTGAAGCTAATGGAAACCATAATAAAAAGTATAAAAAAACAAAAGAAAAATTGATGAACGGTGATCATCAATTCCATAAGAAAACAGTTTCATGGTCTGTGTATAAAAATTATGTTCGAGCAAGCGGCGGTTGGTGTTGGTTTTTAGTAATGGTCACAATTTTCATAATACAAACAGCAACATCAACATTTTCTAGTTGGTGGCTCAGTTATTGGCTTAATCAAGGATCGGGACTATCACCGAATACCACATCAACAGCTAAAATTGATGAAACATCAATAATTGTCAATCCTGATCTTCATTTGTATCAATTGGTTTATCTAATTTCATTCGTCATTGTCATCTGTACATCATTCATAATGGCTATTATATTTGTTCGTGTTATAACTACAGCTGCCAATACTTTTCATAGCAAAATTTTGTCCAAAATCATACATTCACCGATCATATTTTTTGATTCAATCAAAATGGGAAAAATTATCAATCTCTTCAGTCATAATATGGATGAATTAGATAACCAATTACCTGTAGCATTGGATGGTTTCTTACAGAGAGTGTTACTTGTAACTGGAAATTTTATTATCATCATTTCAATGCTTTATTGGTTCACAATACCGTTTATATTTTTCACCATTTCATTCTATCTAGCATTTCGTTATTATCGAAAGGCAATGTATTGGTTGAAACAAGCAGATATGCGTCTTCGTTCACCCATTTATAGTTTTGTAAACAATACGATCGATGGTCTGGCCACAATCAAAGCATTTCAAATGGAAAGAAAATTTCAAATTAATTTTTATTCAATTTGTGATCAACAAATAGCAGCATTTTATTATTATCATTGTGCAGTACGATGGCTATCAATACGAATTGATTGCATTTGTGTATCAGCTAGTCTATGCATTACATTTTTTGTTATTTTAAATTTAAATTATATTGGTTCCGCCTATGCTGGATTGCTCATTACACAAAGTCTTCAGGTAGATGACCTCTTTTTTCACAATTTTCAATATTCGAAATGATTAATTTTTATCCTATAGTTGAGCGGCTTATTACAATTGGTTATACGATTAGCATTGGAACTGGAAACACGTTTAGTTTCCGTTGAACGAATCAACACTTATACAGAACTTATAAAGAAAGAAAAATCTGTACAAAAAGAATCTAATGTTAAACAATTATTAATGAATGGATGGCCAACAGAGAAACGAATATCATTTCGACAGGTTTCCCTTAAATATCGAAAAAATTCTCCCTTAGTACTGGATTCAGTTAGTTTCGATATAAAAGGTGGTGAAAAATTTGCTATTGTTGGTCGTACGGGTGCTGGCAAAAGTTCAATAACATATGCATTATTTCGTCTAGTTGAAATATGTTCCGGGTCAATCTATATTGACAATATTGATATTCAATCAATTCATTTGAAGATTTTACGCTCAAAATTATCAATTATTCCACAAGATCCAGTCATATTTCAACGATCGGTACGAAAAAATCTTGATCCATTGCTGAAAAGTAAAGATGAACAATTAATGGAAATTTTAGATCAAGTAAAACTCAAGGATAAAATTTTGTCATTCGAAAATGGTTTGAATGAAGTGATTAGTGAAGATAAATTTTCCACTGGTGAAAAACAATTACTGTGTTTAGCTCGTGCTCTACTACATCGCAATAAAATTATCGTACTTGATGAAGCCACTTCGTCGGTCGATGATCGTACCGAAAATGATATATGGGAAATTGTTCGAAATAATTTCCATGATTGCACAATCATATTGATCGCACATCGATTACAAACCGTGTTGAAATGTGATCAATTAATTGTTTTACAAAATGGAAAGGTAAGTGTAACAAACGAAACAAATTTTGTTTTAAATTTGTTTATTTATTATTTATTTTAAACAATCTCCAGGTCGTTGAACAAGGAAATCCGATTGAATTGCAAAAAGATTCAAATTCACATTTTTGCCGAATGATTTCAAAAGCATAAAATTAGCATTATATTATTATTAAAATTAAAATAATAAAAAATCTATCTGATTTGAATATTTTCAATTTAATTGATTCGATTGTTTCTTTATTCATTCATTCATTATTGTGATTTTCTGCTAAAATAATTTACAAATTTTTTATCGCATAAATTCTAAAAGAACGGTCCTCGTATACAAAATTCCTCTTTCTCACGAAGTGATGGTAATGTGAATGCCGATTTAAGAAAACCATTTTTCAATCCTGTTTCCGGTACTTGTCCATAGTTTGGCACCTGTTGAAATTTTTAATGAAAATGAAAAATTGACCATTGGTGAGAAACAAAAACATACCAAAGTTTCGTAGACTTTATCCCTATGTTCATAATCATTAGCATCCAAATCAAGACTATCGACATCATATGTAAGTGTATCGGAAAATGCCGAAATGAAACTATTTTTTTCTCTCGTATACGTATATCGTGCTTCATGCATTATGGAATTGAAATAAAAATTCCAATCACGAAATTTATCACCGAATATATCCCAATCATCGAGATTTACATTTTCCATTGCCAATATCATATCATCCAATGGCGTTGGTTCATTCCATTTGAACACTAATAATTGGGAATATTTATCAGCATCTTCCAGATATTTTTCTTTATATGATTTTTCAATTTCACTAAGATATTCTTCGCATAACACTTTACTATTGATTTGGTAAGGCTAATAGAATTATAAAATCAGAAATGAATTCTTAACAAAATTTTTTAAAACTTACAATTCCTTTTTCTTTAATACGTCTCATGCAAACATCAACATCGGTATCCAAATAAATGACCAAATGTGGACGTTTCAATTCATGAATTGTATCATAACGTAGCCGATAATAATGATCATAAGCTATAAAATAAAGTAGCAATATTAGTTTACACAACTGAATAATAATAATCATACCATCTTTGGGAAGAAATCCACATTTATGCATAGCATCGGCAAAGACAAAATCCGACTGAGGTGCACGTTCGAGGACAACACCTTGTCCACTGTTAAACATATGAGCCAAAGCATCCACATATTGCATGTAACGAATTTTGTAGAAAAAAATTTTCAACCATGGTACGGCTGGATGATATGGATCTTCATAATACATTTTCTCATCAATTGCATGTAGTTTCGGGTGTATGTATTGATTCAATGTTCTATAATCGAAACCATCTTTATTTACATACATTTCATCGATTCTTGGTTCGGGCATATAATGCATACCGAATGCTTTGGCAATACCTTCAGCAACCTGATCCTTTTTCGAACCAATATTACCTTCAACACAGATGATTTTCGAATTTTTATTCATTCGAACTTCGGTTGGATCCAAAAATGGCATAGCAACATGAAGTCTTGTATAGCGTTTTGTTTTAAATGGGAAAGGTGTTGTTTTAATAAATCCATCTTCCGGTGTTTGATTTGCAACCGACACAATATTAGCTACACGATGGTTCGATAACACTGCAGGCAATTGTTTTAGATGATTTTTTCCTAAAAAACTTGAACGGATTAGTATAGAAAGTCGTAATGCCCCACTCATTATGATGTCACAGAAAATGAGAAAATTTATCTATTATTAACAAATATAAATCCAATTAATGAAAGAAAAAATCCAAAATTAACCTTTTTCGGATTTACAGCATACCGAGGTCACAAATGATGAGAAAAAATAAACAAGGAAATTGGGCTATTCATAAAACAAATGACAGTATATATTTATTTAGAAAAGAAAAATGAATTGGAAATTTTTTTAAAATTGTCAAAAGAATAAAAGCAAATCAAATTTGTATTAAATTAGATTGAAGCAAATGAATACGTGTTTGATCGGCTACAATGCGAGAAACATTTGGTTTCAATATTTCATTCATATCGAGTTCAAGTTTTTCCGATATATCAAATGCAGCCACAATCGAACTATAATCCAACATAATTTTATTCGTTGATAATGCTATTATACAATTACGTAATCGGGAAATTTTTTCTCTTTGCTCATATGGTATAATACTTTTGTCAAGTATGAATCCGCCAGTAGAACTTGTCGAATTTGAAATTGAAATGAAAATTAAACCATTATTACCCAAAACTAGATAGATTCCACATGGAAGATTATGTGTATGAATTTTTCTTTTCGCAATCATTGATGGTGATACTTGTACGACAAGTCCTTGGCCCAATTTTCCATATTTCAAACTACGTGTATAAAGTCCTAATGAACCATCATCATAGATTGTTTGTACTTCGGCACAAATCAAATCACCTTCTGATAGATAATTACGCATTAATAATTCATCTTCACTGGTTCGTCGACGTAATTCTCCACCCGGTAAATTTACACTTGAAAGTTGTAATATCGAACTAAGACGAGAATTTGTTTCAACTTTCCATCGTTTTTGTTGTACATCAATTATTCGTCCAACAACCACATCACCGATAGCGCCAACATATCGTGTTCGAAGTGGACGAACAGAAATCAAACGATTAATCGGTTCAACAATTCCAGCCAATGATGACACTAAACGTTTTTCAACCATATTTCCATCATTATCATTACTATTATCATCAATTCGATCTTCTTCCAAAAAATCATCTTGATATGTACCATGTCCACGCATAAAATTAATATCCGTAGTAATACAATCACCCGGTAATACATATTGATGTTTCTTTACACGATCATTTTCAATGATGATCGGATCAAGTTGATTACGTATTTCATCAAATGTGAAAAATTCAATTGATGCCATAATTATAATTAATTAATTTGACAGAAAAAACGAGAAATATTTTGAAAAATAATTATTGGATCATTATAATCACATGTTGTTGAGTCAAAAAAAAAATTAAAACACGCGTGACAACAGAACATACACTATGAATGTTTCATATTTGAATTTATATGAAAATATTCTGGTGATTTTATTTTATTTTTATTTTTTAAAATGATTAACACAATTCACAAAAAATAAAATTCCGTCAAAACAAGAAAAAATAGTACCAAAAACTTTTCAATACTTTAAAATATAATTTTTTCATCAAAATAATTTTGTTTTTGTCAAACCAAAAAAAAAAAAAAAAAATTTAAAAAATCAATTGCGGAAATGTCTGCCCACATGTTTTCTAAATCATTTTTCATCAATGAGTTTTCCGAATGAAAAAAAATGAATTTCAACATTTCCTGTTGCATGATGAAGATCGTGATATGAAACTGTATTGGAATTACTATGAACTGTGGAACTTGTGTGCGCCTACGCAAAATATTCATTGTAAAATTCATCGATTCGATATAGAATGGTGGTTCATGTTGTATGGAACAACAAATAACGTTTCATTTATTCAGCATGAAAATTACATTGTCGTCGTATTTGATCTATAAAGGAATGGGGAAAAAAACGTCGTGTTGGCCACACGTTTGTATTGTGAAAACGAAAAACGGTATCGCGCCTATTCCATCATGACCATCTCAAATATTGATGTGTTATATATCGCTGCCGACGACTTTTGAATTGCTTGCGTGGCTCTTTTTTTTCCATTCACCGTATTGAAATTCAGTCTGGCCATTCTATCATTATTTAATGAATCTTTTTTTCCATTGAATGTCTATTTGATTAGATTGATACATAATTGCTATTTATATGAAAGCCATAATATGCAAATCGGCAACAAAAACAACTATCGTGGGATGAAAAGAAAAAAATAATTGGCTCTTCCGTTTTGATTTAAATGATGAAAATAAAAAGGATTGATCGAAATTCAATCAAATATTTGCCAATGAACAGTGAGCAAAAAAAAAGACTTTTTCATAAAAATTATTGTTTGATTTTGCTTCTCAAGAAATAAATTGTCATTAATCATTTTTTTTCAACAAACACAACGCTTTTTCGACGACGTGAAATTGAACCATCAAAAAACAAACAGACAACAATGAAGATGGTATCCACAACAACGAACAACGGTAAAAATTTACCAATCAATAATAATGCTATTGTTACTGCTGCTGCTGCTAATAATAATAATGATAATAAATTTTCAAATTCATCACAATTTCAGGTCAATAATAATAATATAAATAAAAGGAAAATAATAACTAGTTTGTTACCATCACCAACACCCTCATCATCAAATAATTCATCATCAATGATGGTAATAAAATCTTCATCGATAGCAAATGTTAATAATCGTGTAATTAATAAAAACATAAATCGAATGTTACGGTCGTTTGATTCGAATCCTTCTTGTACGACAACATCATCACCATCATCTACAATGTTTATTCGATTAAATTCAGAATCTAAAAATGATGATGATGATGATGATAATGATCGACAACAACAAAAACAAAAAAATAATACATTAACATCATCGAAAATATTGTTTTCAAATGAAAAAAATCCTTATTTTTCCAGAATGGATGAAGATTTAATCAAATTATTGAATAAAAAAATAAATAACTTAGGTATCGATTCACTAAACATTCAACAACAAATCCATAGCGCAATAGTTCGATTCAATTTTGATCTAAAAGATATTAATGATGAACACACGTTTCAGAAATTGAAAAAATTATCCAATGATAATCATTTGATACATCTTTTTGATTATATTGATCGATGTTTCAACAATAATGATTATGAAATGATCAAATCATCATCATCATCACAATCGGGAAATTGTCATTGTTGTGATAATAATTTGAATAAATTATCATATTGGATCAATAAATGGGAACAACAACAAAAAATGCCCAATCATCGTTTTATCAATAATTCTAGTGATAATAATAATCGAATTTTAAATTTTATGACACCGAATGCAATTCTACATCGTCCCGGTCCTAATACGGTGAAATTGATGGAACTTCTTGAAAAGCGTGGTTAGTATTATTATCATTTTGATTTTCAAATTTGATATTTTTAATTTTTTTTTTTGTTTATAAAGATTGTATTCTTGAACTCTCAAATGGACAACGTAAATACGGTAAACAACAATGTCAGTTTAATAATGATCAATTACCTGGTCGGAATACGGAAATATTTGTGGGAAAAATACCAAAAAATGTGTTTGAAGATGAAATCGTACCATTGTTCGAACAGATTGGACAAATTTATAGTCTACGTTTGATGATGGATCCAACGACAGGTCAATCACGTGGTTATGCATTCATAACGTATTTTCAATCAGAACAAGCAAACGCTGCTGTCGAAAAGGTTGATTTTTAATGATAATCGAAAAAAATTGATGAATTTATTTTATCTGATTTATAGTTTGATAAATATGAATTGCCGGTTCATGGTACACGATTAAAAGTGAAAATGTCCATTCCAAATGTTCGTCTATTTATCGGAAATATTTCGAAAGAAATGACCAAGGATGATATACAATATGAATTTCAAAAAATTACAGGTATTGTAGATTTTATAATAAATTAATCATTTTCATTGATTATTTCGTATATTAGCTGGTTTAATCGATGTTATTGTATATCATTCACCAAATGATCGTAAACGTAATCGAGGTTTCTGTTTTCTTGAATATGAATCACATAAACATGCATCACAAGCTAAACGTAAATTACAATTACATCGTACAAAAATATGGGATACCGATATTTGGATTGATTGGGCTGAACCATTGGAACAACCGGATGAAGAGATAATGTCTCAAATAAAAGTCCTTTATGTTCGTAATCTAACATTAGAAATGACCAATTATTCTATATGGGAAATGTTTGAAAAATTTGGTCCACTTGAGAGAGTGAAAAAAATCAAAGATTATGCATTTGTACATTTTGAACATCGAAATTGTGCCATTGAAGCAATGAAACAGATGAATGGTTATCTAATAATGCCCGAAGGATTAAAATTGGAGATATCATTAGCTAAACCACCGACAGATAAGAGGCGGAAAGAGGAAATTCTTCGCAATCGCGAAAAACGTATGATGGTGAACATGATGATGAGAAATTGGTAATTTTTTTTCTTATTTTTTCTGTCAAATAACAACCATTTTTTATTTAACAGTAACAATAACAATCAACCGAATGATAATTACAATAATAACATCCCCAACAATCATCCTGGAGCGTTACAAACCATGACATTCATACAGCCAACGACAATACCTATTGGAACGAATGGTTCTGCTCCAATTCTATTGAATTCTTGTTCTACATTACCTTCCATTGTTGTTGAAACTTGTCTTGCATCATCATCAACATCAAAATCGACAGAATCAACGTTGAATCCTACACTTCCATTAACAATACCAACAACATCAGCTCATCATTTAACAACGGCTACTTGTATACCGAATGGTTATTTGGTTGGATATTCACCACCAACATCTCATAATAATAATCATCATCATTATACATTATACCAACCATCATTACCACGATCGACGGTTGCTCGTGTAACATTAGCATCACCAATTAATGAAAATATTTCCCCATCAGAACATCGACCAACAATTTTGAATGGTCATCATTTCAAATCGGAAATGTTGGACATTTATAATCAAAGAAGAAATTATTCCATTTACGATAATTGTGCATGGTGTGCTGAATCAACATTATCAACATCATCATCATTATCATCAATTCATCAATCAAATTATTATCCATTGATTCCACCAACTATAGATCAATCTTTTTATGGAAAAATGAATCCAAACAATGATTATGGTCAACCATCATCATCAACAATAACATCATCGATTCTTACTATTGATAATGACTTCATTAAAGCACCAAAAAATACAACAAAATCTAATAAATAAGATATTACAAAAATTTATGTATCGACATTAATTGTTTGCATGCATATAAAAACAAAATCTCATTTGCCATAAATGTCAATAAATTAAAGCAACATGTGTTTTGAAAATTCCATTTCATTTTTTTTTAAATCGTTAATCTCATGCTTGGATTAACACAGTAGTGATGAGATTATCATTCCAAAATAAGATTGATTATAGGATTAGTTTGGCTGCTAACACAATGATAATTTGATTTAGTTCGATTTCATAGATTGATGGCAAAACATTATGGCAAACAATATTATCACTAATAATAATATAACGGACAATACAATCATTATTGATTCGCTGTCCACATCACAAAATTCGACCAATAGTTTGCCATTTTATCAAAATGATATTGGTGATAATCAACAATATAATTTCGATAATGATTTTTCTGTCAACATAAATGATACATCATTTACGATGAACGACCATATTATTCGAAATCAACAAACGGTGATGACATTCGAATGGCTTCATCATACATTTCAATTTCGACCAGGTGTTTCAATTTCACGATCATTAATCTATGAAACTTATCTTATATTTTGTCAACAACATAATTTCATACCCGTTTGTAAAGCAACATTTGGAAAATTGGTTCGTAATCGATTTCCTGGTGTTAAATCAAAACGTTTAGGAGCTCGTGGTCAAAGTAAATATCATGTTAGTATGATTGATTGTTTTAAAATCAAAATAATAATGATTATCATCAAAAAAAAAACTATAGTACTATAATATTAATTTCAAAGAAAATTCGAAAATCAATGGAACATTGTTGAATTCGAATGAAAACAGTAAAACATACACCGAATCAGCACCCAGTTTTGCCTGCAATAATAAATCATCATCAAAACCATTGACAATATTATCCCAAAGTGAATCGAAAAGAAATTCCCATGGAAATGATCACCATTTCATTATACAATTAATGCTTTCATTTATGCGATTACCACAAGATCAACTTTACAATGTAATGTTATTTATAAAAGTTGATTCAAAAAATGATCATAATTATGAATATAATTCTTTTAATAGAATGATGAATTTATCTTTACAAATTTATATAAAACCCATTGTCAATGTCTGCTTGATGCTGCATTATGTGAAAATTATGGCCAGGTAATTCAATGTGTTTGCTTTGTATAAGAATTAATTATTATCGAATCATTCATTATTTCGTAGATGAGGCATTATATAATGCATTTTTGGCAACAATTGCCACCAAACATAGTGATCTATGTAAATATAATGAAATCATTGGATTCATATATGTATTCATTACTATGTCAGGTTTATTTATCGCCAAATTCGAGTGATGAAAATTTAAAACACATCAATACAATCGGTTATGTTATGTATGTTTGGATGCGAAATATTTTCAATAATAATTGGAATATTAAATGGAAATTGAATTCAAATCGAACTGAATTTGACGATTTAAATACGATCAAAATACAAGATGCATTGAAATGGCATTTTAAAATCAAATTCGTTGTCAATTTTATTGCTTCACTAAAAGTATTTATTTATTCAATTCGAAATTGTTACATAAATTTTTTTTTTAAATTTTCTTTCTTTTGACATAAACAAAACTTAGAAATTAGATTTCACCTTATTACCGGATTCATTGGATCATTTAGCAGAGAAAATGATTGAAACAAATTTGATTGAACAAAATTATTATTTATTCGATAAAAAAGATTGCCAACAAATCATATCACAATTAATTGTTGAAGAATTTTGTCAATTAAAAATGAATCATGATTCGACCCATCAGACATCATCATTACTAATCGATCAATTAGATCAGATGATCAAACGTATTGAAGATCGCTATTTTGATCAATGTTTTTTGAATAATAAAACAGATCACCGGCAACATGAATTTGCCCAAAATTTATCCATCGAATTTAATCATCTATTCAGTCAAATAAATCGATTAGAAATGTTTGAGCTTGATATTAATTCAACATTTATCGACGATGAAAATCAAGAATCGATGATCAGTGATATTACCACCGACGATTCCTTTGATGATGATTATATGGCCAAATTAGATGCACAATCGTATCTAATTTTAATGATTATCAATGATTACATATTACTGGTTTGTCAATCGATAAATGGTTAAATCATTCAAAATCAATGAGTTATTAATATTTTATTTGATGGAAAATGTCGATATAAAAATTGAAATAAACATATAAAACTAATAATAACAAATAAATCAAAGCTGTCCCAACAGATCCGATTCGGTTGGTGTTAAATGAACAATAAAATCTCTGGCCATCGGAAGATGCCGAAATTCACTAAGAAAAGTTTGCAATACATTTTCAAGATCAAGGTTACCGATTTCTTCGCTAAGAATTTCATCGTCATCTTGATCTTCAATATGACCATCGTCTGTCAACAATAAATCAGTTAGATCAATCATTTGCTGTCCTTGTTTGGCAGTAGCAATTTTCATTGATGAATCCAAATCTTCATATTGATCATCTTCATCATCGATCTCATCATCAGAATCATCATCATCATATTCTTCATCATTAGCATTTTGTTCGGCTTTATATTCTCGGATGTGAACCATTTCATTTATTAATAATTTCAATATCTTCAATGTACAAGGAACAAAACGTTTCTTTACATTCTTGTTTTGGTTTGCCGTTTGTGAACGAGTTCTTGCTGTTTGTGAACTATCACAATCAAATTCATCATCACAAGAAACTTGAATTTGATTGAGATTTATGAAATTCATATCACCACTGTTATTACTATCTTGATTATTATTTGCTTGTTGTTGTAGTGCATGTTGAAACAGTCGACACAATGCAACCGTTGATGCTTTATTTTCATAACCATGAAAATATCGTTGAATACCAAGCCATTTATCCATAACGAATTCCAATGCTGATTTCGTACCATCCGGCGCTGGTAATGAATTCAGGAACACTAATATGGTCGATAAATCAGTATATAATAGATGTGCAAAGACCAATATTAAACTTTGCATGATCGGCAATTCTTTACTTGTATTTAATCGAACCAATGTGGATCGTAATAAATGTTGAATATTTTCATGTCCAATAATCTGATTAGATTTCATTATTAGAATGACGATTACACGACCAACGTATGAAGCGGCCGAATCAGATGTATGTGGATTCAATAGATTGATGCAAATCTTGAATTAAAAAAAATAATTGTTTAAAAAAATAAAGTAAAATTTTTGAACTTACATTCAAAGCCAAAATGATTCCATTTTGATTTGTAGTTGGATCAACGTAACGAGCAATGAAATCGGAACCTTTTTTCAGGAAAGCACTTAAACATTCTGTACCACTTTGAAATATTGCCGAACTATCCTTAAATGCTTTATTTATACAATTAATCATCGAAGGATAAGCTTTTTGTATCATAAAATCATTCAATCCATTCGAATGATTAATCATTTTGGTAAGCATATCCAATGCTTGTGGTTGTAGTATGGCCATATTTTGTGGTGGAATCTTATGGTTAGATATCAATTCGGAAACGTTTGGATCATTAGGATTAGAGTGCAAAATTGCAACAATAATTGGCAATAAGCGTTTTTGAATTTCAGAAAAACATTGATCAGTTGAGAAAAGTCGATCCAAAATGGAAAGTACAACATCAAATATGATAGCATCATCGGGAAAACGTAGAAATGATGATAGGGAAATTGAACAAATTGAACTCGATACAGTAGCAGTGAATTCGGAATCCAACTCTAAAAGGAGATCAATGATCTGTAGGATAAGATAGAGAGTATCACTATTACAATTCATTCCGATCGAAATTAATCCTTGTAGAAATTGTGGGAGATGTGGTTTGATCACCGAAACTCGTTGATTCATTTGAACATTTTCGAAAAAATAATAAGTTGCACGCAATGCATACACACGTAATATCGGAGCTTCAACGGTATTCAATAATGTTGATGTTATTCGCAGAAAATTATCCAATGATTGATCATTCATGATTTGTGAAAAACGGCTAGCTGTCCACAATGATCTACCGGCCATAAATGATTCGGTCATGTTTAGATTCAATAAAACATTATCCAATATGCTTTTATATTCATTTGCAGTATTTTTACCACTTTTTATCGTATAAATAATGGTCGATGAAAGAATTCCCATCACATATAGACACGATTCAATAATTTTCCACCAAGTTTGCGGCGAAATTTGTCGTGCTTTTTGTGTCTTTTCCAATTCAGATGCTTCGGAAAAATGTCGTTGAATTGCTTGAAGGAATGCGATTTTAAATAGTTCATCATCTTTTTTACAATGTTTATCATTCAACGTAGTCATATCACGAGCTAGATTCATTATTAAATCCTGTGCAGCAATTCTAAGAGAAAATGCCGATGTATCAATATCATCTTCTTCGATTAATTGATCAAGATTGGATTGCCATTTTTCTATTTGTTCATCAGTCATTTGTACATAACAGAGAAGATAATAGAGAAGATCCGAAAGAACAGGTTTGATAAGCACACGATATTTAGCAAATTCAAATGTTGAATTAACAAAATCAATAATCGTATAGATTAAACTTTCGAAACCGATTGTTTCTCCATCTGAATCTACAGATTCTGAAAGTGAATCATTGAAATCACCATCAGCAGAATTAACTTTAAATTTCACATAGATTTGTGCTGATGTTGTTAAATGTTGCCAAATTAGTCCCAGAATTTTCGGTAAATAAGTTTTCATATATTTCCGACAATAACGCAACAATTTGGTTAGAATGAAAATGACCTCTTTTTTCATACCAATATCAACCGTATCACTGGTTTCAGGTGTCATAAGAATTTCAATAGAATATTCGGTGAATCGAGGGATAAATTCTGCAAGATGATTTTTGATAGCATTCTTATCTAATTCATTCATCACCATAATCGTTTCGGAAATTATGCCGAATATTTTGATTGCATTTGTACTAGTACGGATGGCAAATTTTCGTGAAGTGAATATGTTCAAAAGTTGTGGCAACAATACGGGCGCTACGTCCGGTATTTGTGTATCGGTTATTTCGTGTGCTATTTCTTTGAAAACTTTCAATGAACTATAAATGGCACTTTGTGATCCGGAAATTAGATATTGATTCAGCATTGGAAAAAGCTGCGGCCAATGTTGTGGCCAATCATATTGTGCAATATTACTAATTGAATGTGCAAATGAACTTAATAATTTTCGAATGGTTGTTGGCATATTATCCTCGTCAGCGATAGCAATCGCTAATGATTTCAGAAGATAATCACGTATCAATTGTTTAACAGGATCTGGCACTTCAGGTGGCTCAAATTTATCTGCTGTATCACACCAATGTTTAGCAATATACCGGTTCAACAATACCGAAGCTAAATGTCGTATGGAAAAATCTAAATTTTCACTAAGAGTTATTTCCATTAAATGAAGACCGTAATCTTGGATAAATTAAACAATTAGATTTCAAATCAACGAAAAGAATTCATTTTTACCTTCATTCGTTTCCAACATGTTCAATTGTTGCTCAGCATTTTCACGAATATTTTTATCCATTGAAAGTGCCTGATTTAGATTATGGCAGATGATTTCTTTCAGATTAGTACCGTTATTGGCCATCGTTAATGAAAGACCAAAGAAAAAAATTTGAAATTAAAAATGAAAAAAAAAACAGAACCGAAAACACGTTGCGTATACCCAATATATTGAATCAATTCGAAAAACAAAACCCAAACACATTTGGTGATGTCCACAAATCTCGTGTTTTGATATAAAAAAGTTGTTTTGATGTTTTGATTGCGTTGTTGTCATTTTATTATTTTGTTTTTTTTTAAATTGTTGTTTTGGTTGTTTTTTAATCTACAAATGTTCAAACAATGTCTTGGCTGACGGAAATTGCTGGAAAAGCCGAAAACTTCCTAAATGCTGTCGATAAAAGTGCCGCAACTGCATTAACAAATGTTAATCATAAAAATGTTCGAAAACATTCCTTTAATAAATCGGATACGACAAATGATCATAATGGAAGTTTACATTTGCTTGATACAGAATATATTGATACGTAAGCATTTCTCAAACTTTTTTTAATCAACTAATTTTTTTAATCTTATCGAATCAGACCCGATATAATGAGTTTAAGAACAAGTACGAGTACGAATTCACTTCTTTCTGAAAATGGTAATAGCCGAAAAGGTGAACATACCCGTACATCAAGTTATGATTCAATTGGTTCACGTAATTCTAAATCACACGATGATGATAGACTTATGGAATATTTAAACAAGGATAATAATATCCCCGAAGAAGAATGGCAATCGTTGAATAATTCTAATCACGATGAATCATCAAATGATAATAATAAATTAAGAACAAAACGTGAAATCCTCACACGTGATGTTAAAGAGCTTGATTCATTGAACAAGAAAATCCTGGAATTGAATGGCGCATTCAAGAAACAAAAACTGAAAGCACAAAATTATTATAATCAAAATATGGCCAATGAAAAATTGATTAAGGAATTGAATTCAAAAGAACATGATCTAATTGCCTCAATTAGTGCAAAAGATTCCCAAATCGCTGCCCTCAAAGTTCAAACAGAACAATTATTGGTTGAAATACAGGAAAAAGAGGAAAAATATAAAGAATTGAAACATCTACATCAACAGATTAGACATGAACTTCAGAATAAATCTGAAAATAATGAATTGACAATCAATTTGCAACGAGAAATTGAATCGTTGAAACAATCCTTAGAATTTGAAAAAGCTGAATCAAAGCGAATACAGGATAGTAGTAATCAACAAATCATACGCCTTGAGGACAATCAACGATCATTGATTGAAGAATTGGATAATTACCGACGGCAATTGAATGAACAAAAATCTAACCGTACCGAATTAGAAATGATTAATAATAGTTTACGTAAAAAATGTGAAACAATTGAAAAAGAATTTGAACAATTTAAATGTAAAGTTCAAAAAACATTGAAAGATAAAGATGACCTGATGGAAACGTCACGTTCCAACAAAACCAATGATGATGATGGTGATCATGATCATCATGATGATGGGCAAATGAAAATTCTACATGAACAATGTAATACATTAATGAATGAATTGATTGAATTACGTAGTCGATATGATCAGATGAAATCAATGTTGGATAAAGATGAAAATGAAACGATTCCTCGGCAAACTGCAGAAATTCAAACATTGAAAGATCAAATGGAAGAGGAGAAAAAAATTAATTCGAATTTACAGAATGAAATCGATCAATTATCTCGTGATCGTAAATCATATCAGGATGATCTGAATCAAATAAAATCCAGTCTTTCCGCACGAATCACTGAACGTGATGATGAGATTGATAAACTACGGCGACAATTGATTCTTAAACAACAACGTACCCCAACCAATCATCATCTGGTACAAATGGATGATGATCAATCATCATTTATGATGAATACATCAATCACCAATGAATGGGAACAACGGCTAAAATCATTAACAGAAAATTTAATCACAAAACAATCAATGATTGAACAATTATCTTCAACCAATCATTCATTGAAATTACAATTGGAAAGAAGTGAACAAAAATTACATGAATTAGTGATGAATAATGGCCAACTAAAAAATGATGGTAAATTATTTCTAACAAATTCATTGCTAATTTTATTCTAACAAAAGCATTACTCTTTTATTAATTTGATTTTTCAGTTGCAATTGGAATATATCACTCACCATCATTTACGAATCTGATTAAACATCGTATTACCGGTGGGAATAATGATAGTGTTCAATCATTAATACATGATGATCCTAATGATGGTCAGGTAACACGTAAAGTTAAACGTGCATACACGGCAATCGATACATTCAGGTAAGATTTGTGTTTGATTTCAAATTTTAATTTTAAACTATATTTATTTTTAATTATTTATATTTAGCATACGTTTAGGAAATTTTCTTCGTATGTATCCTTCAGCACGTGCAGCTTTTCTTGTCTATATTATCATTCTACATGTATGGGTAGCATTTGTTCTTATGTATTATGAACCGGAAATTCATGGATCAGATTTTAATGCTAAATGAAAAAATGTTGAAACAAAATAAAAATAATGATTTCTTGCAATTTTAATAAAATTTTTATCTTGAATTGAAAATTGTATCAATATATGTAAAAACAAGGGAATGGGTTGAATTCGGTAGTCGGTCCAAAGAGAACTTTATTTTCTGTATACAATAGATTGATGAACATTGAAACAGTAAAAAAGGATCATGAAGTGATCACCCCAAAACTTGACTGACTGAATGTATATGGTATGATGAATTATTATTATTTATATATTTTTTTTTAACAGAATTCGGTTTTCTAATTCTGATTAAATGAAATATAATGAATTAATTATAGAAAAGTAAAAAAAAAGATTCGGGGGAATATGCTTGATACTGTGATTTTATTAATCTTCTTCATCACTGTTATCATTAATAGATACAAGACTACTCTCTTCGTCATACCAAGCTGTTACAGTCATAACGTCGACCTTATCGACAAATTTATCATTCTCAACGTCGAATTGACTTGATTCACAATTTAATTGATACGTTAACTCTTAGTGGGGCTAATAGCCGTTATTAATCTTAATGTATTTATGATAATCAATTATAAAGTAATATAATAAATAAATTATATTAAAAATTAAAAATCTTGTTGGATCTGTTGTTGACTTGCCATTTTCTCGATTCTCAACTGATCGTGTTAGGTTGGACTTTTAGGAAAGTTTTTAGAAAGGTTTTTAGAAAATATGGAAAAAGTTGATTGCTTGTTAGATGATCGATTTCCGTAGCTTTGGTATGATTTTGGAATTATTTGACGAGTCGAATACGGTGGGTATCTTGGTACAGGATTATTTTGCCAAAATCGATGATTATTTCGGTTGAACGATAGTAGTCGGGCAGGTTTGAATGGTTGATCTGGTCTAATCCTGTATTCTGGTTCCTTATTCTGCGTCAATGATCGTTCATTCTCCAATTGAATCATCCTTGATGAACGTCATCAGCTCTTTAGCGTTGAGTCTTGTCGATTGTGTAGCGGTCGTCGCTTGTCTGATAAACGAAAGAGGTAATTTGTTAGCTACCTCCTGTAAAAACTGGTAGTCGAGAAAACCAGAATTTTCCAGGTCCAACACAAGACAATTGAAGCTATCTTTGATGATGCTTACATTTATGGAAATCCATTCGGGAGATTGGACGTTGATCACATCCTACTGACTTGTAAAAACAAGGGAACGGGTTGAATTCGGTAGTCGGTCCAAAGAGAACTTTATTTTCTGTATACAATAGATTGATGAACATTGAAACAGTAAAAAGGAACATGAAGTGATCACCCCAAAACTTTACTGACTGCTCTCGCTATCATCACGCCATCTATTTGCCGCCAAGCCCAAGCGCATTCTCTCTTTACATATATGTTTTGATTGTATGAATCTTATCGTAACGGATATATGTGGATTTTGGTGTAAATTGTTAATCGTTAACTTATTCTTTTTATTTTATGACAAATATTTGATGCCAAATATGATATATAGGGACGACATTTGTAATCAAGTCAAAAATGCAAAAAGCAGAAGAAAAAAATTGATTATAAACGATAAAAGCTGTGGCGGCAGACGACCAAATATAGCGATATCGATTCATTAATGATATTTATCGTTATCATTACGACAAAACAGACGACACATGGAATTATATTGTATTCATCGTCGGTGGTGATTGTTGAACGTAGACAAAACGAAAATTGACTCCAAATAAATGCAAGGATTGGTCATATTATCAATTAGATGGTAATATAATAAAGTATAGATATAGACAACAGGGAGAGTGAGAGTAGAGGAAATTATGAAAATATCTACAATCAACAACATATCCATAGTTACCATTTATTTATTTTTTTTCTATGTGATATTATCATTATCATCATCATCGTTATGGTCCATAATTTCATGGTTTTGAACCACCCCACTAACAATGTGTTTGGAGCATACAAAACACACTTTGTCGATGATGACAAATTCCTTATGAAGTATTATTACATTTGATTTGATTGACGTCGACGGCGGCGGCAGCGGCGGCGGCGACAAATCGAATGGCTGGCTGTATGATTATTTATGATAAGTTTTATGTTTCATTCAACAACAAAAAGAGAAAAAAAATCAAATGGCTAATCGACATTTGTTGGATCAACAAATTGACATTTTTTTCTCATATATTGCCTATTTGACATTCAAATAAGTTCAAATTTCTAATTCTTTCATTCTTTACTGGTATATGAATACTATTGTTTGTCCTTTAAGACAAAAGAGTTTACCGAATAATTGGCTCCATTCGTCTACCATATAGACATATTGACCAACAATGTTATAATTGACAATTTTGGATAGACAAATACGAAATCGTCGCGACAGTGACGATTCTTGTCTCTTGGTCAAAATTCAATCCTTTTTTCAATCAATCAGTCATAAACCTTATGATTATCATCGTCCCTATTAGGCCAGTTTTTGTTTTTTTGTTTTGTTTAACTGACTGACTGACCGATCGAATCAATGCAGCAATGTATACACTATGGCCCAAGGTCATATTAATCATCATAATGGTAAATAGTAAATGAACGAACCGAACTACAAACAATCATTCGTCAAATGTTATGCCAAAAAAAAAACATTTCTTTTTTTCTAAATCGACGAATAGATCTGAGATGATTAGAGGGTAACCGAATTTTATTTTTCTTTCGAAAACTATCAAAAAAAATTATCGTCTTGACTGACACTGACAGAGAGAGAGAGAGAGGTAAGTTTTTTCCATGTTTATTCCAAATACCACTACTTATTTTTTTCTCAGCAGATTTATCGACGAGATCTTGAATTGGCAATGCATTATACCCATGCCGGCGATCAAAAACTAATACCACCACCACCACCACCACCATCGCCAATGATCATCGCAACAAAAAAAAGAATGGGCTTGAATACCGATTAGAAACAGATATCATTCATTTGGCTGACAAGTATAGAGTAAATAACATCGTCGTAAAAATTGTGCGTTTTCCATTGGAATCAATGTTGCCATGGTTCATATGGATCTATTATTGGATATTTTTAAATAATAATATATGGTGATGCAATACATCGCCAATCATCATTTATGGTCTACATTTTATATAGATCATACATTTCTTTATTTGTTGTTGATATCAAGTGTGTGTGTGTATGTCTTTCTCAAAATCTAATATTTCAACGACTATGTGATTGAATGAAAAACTCAATTACAAAACGTTAAAGATTTCGAACGAATATTTTATATGGGCGTTTTTTGCTCATTTTTAATTCCTGATTCCTGTGTGTGTGTGTGTGTGTATGTCTGTGTTTATGTGTCCCATTTATTGTTTCTTGAATCGTAAATTGATCCATCCAAGTGGTGAATATATTGTTTAAAAAACAAAAATTATAAACACCTCCCACAATGATGGCTCGATCAATAATATTTCATCCGATTGTTTCATCATGTCTACTTCTTATCATCATAATATCCGGTATTAAATGTAAGTTTTATTCGAATTTTGATGCAAATGTTCATCAAGTTATTATTTTATCGGCTTTCATTCACTTAATGATGATTCCATTAAAAGATTAGTGTGCCTGTGTGTGTGTGTGAGAGAGAGAGATTATTTGGCGAATCATATTGAGAAAAAAAAATTGATTGAATTTGAAAAACATCTAAAGATGGTAAAAAACGTTTTTTTTTTGTCTGTTATTATTACCCATTTACGATCATGAAAGATTTTCAGTGTTTTTTCAATTTCATTTGTTTTATTCATTCTTGTTTGACGAAAAAATTGGCTGAATCGTATTTGGTTTTTGTTGTGTATAATTAAGAAAATAAATACCGAACGAACAAACATAGAACAGAAAAAGCCTCGAGGCGAAAGCAAACCATCATCGATAGTTTAGATTAGTCAGAATGTTTAGAATGTTTAGTCAAGTTTAGATTGATGATGATGATAGACACAGATAAAAATCATCAAATGTTTAGGGCTGAGAATCATTCACATTCGAACAATTTTGTCGTAATCATGCTTATTGAATGAAACATTATTTGTCGCCATCATCCATGACAAAATAATAGTGAGATATATAGGGTCTTTTGAAAAACAAATCCAAACTAAAAGAATTCGAATATAAAGATAATTTTTTGATGCTCAAAAGCTTTTTATCATTATCATTGACTGTCTTTTTTTTTGTTGAAAAGAAAATGACGAATACAAATAGAGATAAGAACAAGGTGGACCTACCTACATACCTACCTACCTTGGCCTTACCATGATTATGATGATGATGATAATAGTTGTCATCAAACTTTACTTAATGATTTTTTTCGTTTTTTTGTCTTCATTACCATTATTATCATGATGATTATTATGACTACCAGAACAAAAATCTGTCACTAACGATATATAAAGGTGTGTGTGTGTGTATCTATATCCTCCAACCTTCTTTTATTATTTTTATCACTATTATTATTATTGAAATTTGCTTTTGATTATTATTTAAAATCAAGAAAAACAGAATGCACCAGCCTTAAAATAATAAAATTTTTTTTTATTTATGAAAAATAAATAAATGATAATTCAATTCAATTTCTTAATTATATTGATTATCTTAATTATATCAAATAAAAAACGATGACTAAATTATGAGAGATTCGATGACAAATATATTTCTTACCATTTGATGATGATGATATAGCTATATAATAACCCAATTATAAAATTGATCCTTTTTTTCTGTCACTATATATGAAGTTGATGAAGATAATCAACATATTGATTTTCGTCGCCGTCGTCGCCAATCGTTTTGTTGTTTTATATCATCATAATAATAAAAAAAATGCAACATGTCTCGATATCTTTGTATTTGATCTATTTGCTTTTTTTTTCTTTACCATCCAAACAACCGACTGACCATTCTTTAAATTTATTTTAAGCTTTCTTTTTTTTCGCTTGTCATTCGATATAAATAAATTTAATGCACTTTTATCTGGTCCACTTTCAAGATAACTAATTGTTTTAAGCTAATTAAAAAAAATTGAATTGAATTGAATTAAAATGGCAGCCAAGATTTAATCGTTCATTGGCCAGTATATAATCTTTTAATCAACAACACTCACATTTTTATTTTTTTTTTTTTTTAATTGTACATGATTAGATTGTCGTCATCATTGATATGTGACAAAATTTTCTTTATTGTGTTCACAATGTCTTTAAACTTTAATTGATGACTGATGATGATGATAACAATGAACGATAAAAACAAAATATTTATCGATGAATTTCGATAATCAATATGGATTTTCTCAAAAATCATGAGTTTTCCATGTTTTTGTTTTTGTTTTTTTTTTTTTTTTTTTTTGATAGTTTCGTTTTTCATTTCATGTGTAACATGAACATTTTCCTTTTCAAAGATATTGCACTCTTTTTTTTCAATTTTTTTTTCTTAATCAAGATAAGTTGTGTGTAGATATGTGTGTTTACAACAATCTGTGTACAAGTTAGAGTTCAAAGTACAAGTTCAAAGTTGATCAAAAAAACATTACTATTGAGAAAAAAAAATACCTGTCCAAAATGGAACTGCGTAGCATAGATAGATAGATAGGCAGGCGGGTAAGCTCCTGCTGTGTTTGATTTAGTCCATTGTATTATATGAATTGTTTTTTTGTATTTTGTTTAGTTCCAAAAGCAAAAAAAATACTCCTTTCAAATCCATCAATGTGATCTTGTTGTTGGTACAATTTCTTCTCCCCTCTCCACACACAATGGCTGACCACATTTTTTTTCTTAAGCTTATTTGATTCAATGATGATGGCCTCGCTTTGGTTTCAAAAAAAAATTCTTGTCCACTTATCCCGCTACACACTTTTTAGATTTTGTTTTTTTTTTTTTTTGTTGCTTGTCGTCTATACAGAGATACATACATGGCCCTTACGTTTACGTTGATAATTTTTTTTTGACAATGAAAATTTAATGCTACATAGCACGGCCATGATTCCGAAAAACCGAAAATTGCATTCAATTACATTGTTGATCTTGTGACAAATTGTGTCATTTGTTGTTCGTTGTTGTTGTTGTCGTTGTTGTAAACCACACGCACATACTTCAAAGTTTTGAATCAAATAATAACCACTTGTTGATCAATTCATTTTGATATTATTATGTCTTGGTTTTCCCTTTCTTTTTTCTTGATTTTTTTTTTGTTTTGGTTCATCTCTTTCTCATTGTTTTTTTTCTGACTATGCTACGGAAACATCTTAACAAAAAAAAAAATTATAGATTTGAATCTGAGAAAATTAAATCGAAAGCGAATGTCATTCTGTTAACAACGACAATTTTTGTCAGACAGTTTGTGTGAGAAAAAAAAAATGAATTTTGAATGAATGAGAGAATGGAAAAAACCACAAAAACAATTTTTTCCAATCATTATTTCTTGGTTGAATTGTAAAAAACCATTATCATTCCACACCAATAAGATGGTTGATTGTTGTTGTTATATTCTACATTATTCAATACCAAATGATGATGAAAATCATTATTATTATTATTATTTGAAAATTCTTTTTTCTCTGACAAACCAAATAATTGTATTTTTCTCAATTGGCCTTACGAAATTGATCTGCTTTGTAGCATTGTGTGTACAACAACACAACACAATAACAATGATGATGATGATGATGATTTGATGGTGGTGGTGGTGGTGGACCCAGCAAACCATTACTTTGGTTTGGTTGACTAGTTTAAGCCAAACTATATTATTATCATTTCAAAAAAAAATTCTCATTCGATTGATGATAATAATAATAATGATGATGATGATGATGGCTAGAAATTTGGTTAGTCTAGTTTTTTTTGTTCCATCATCATCATCATACAGGTTGTTGTTGCGTGTCTGAGGTAACCATTCACTATCATTATCATCATCATCATACGTACATATCTTTATAGTTGCTTGTTCTTGGCCCCGACTTGAAGAATTTCTATGAAAATTTTAAAAAATCCAATCTTCGATGATGATGATGATGATGATGATGATCATTAAGTTCAATTACAATTTTTTTTTATAGAAATCCATTCAACCGAATATTACATTATTCTTTTTTTTTTTTTGGTTTTTTATTTTCTATCCTTGTGTCTCTGTTATGTTTTTTTGCAATGATTTCTATTCCCTCTCAACTATTATTTGCTATTGTTGTTAGATTTTGAATCTGATAACTACAACAACAACTATTTGATGATGTACATACAAAACGTTGAACAATTGTGTGTTCTATGTTGTTGTTTTTTTTCTTGTCCTGTGAATTCATTGTTGTAATTTATTTTTTAACAATTGTTTGATGTGAAATGATAAATAAAAATTTTTTTTATCGTAATGATGATGGCACGCAACAAGTTAATCACATATGATCATTGTAATTATGATGGTGGTGGTGGCTCCGATGAAAATGATGATGATGATGATGATGATGACGTTCATTATTCATTTGAACATCCTTTGGATATATTTTCATCGGATAATAAAAATTTTCTATATTGAAATTGCAATTCATTTTGATTTTGTTTGTTCAAGAATTCTTTTTTTTTTTTTTTTTCTTTCACAATCGGTTGCCAATTTTCTTTTCATTTAAAAAAAACAAAATTATTATCTGAAAAAAACAATAATCACGTCTAATTGTTAAAATTTTGAATTGAATAAAAATCCAAATTAAAGTTAGTTACTTTCATCATCAACAAGATGATGATGTTTTGATCATCGACTGAAATGTTTGTGTATCATTTCAATTATTTTCGGTTATTTTTTTTTTTTTTTTTTTTTGAAAAAAAACATGATTCTATGTTTTTTTTTTCTATCCTGGTCACGCTTGTCGTGTTTCATATAAACATCTGAAGACAAATGATTCTTTGATGATGATTGGTTGGTTGGTTGTGTTGCGTTGTGTTGTGTTGTGTTGTGTTGTGTTTCATCCATCATACACTTATTTTCCTTTTATCTTTAGTGCTTTCTTCGTAGTTGCACTTTGACCTGAATGGCTAATATTAATTACCTTTACATTTAATGAATGATTATCTAATTAGAAGTATAGGTAAGAATCATTTGTGTGTGTGTGTGTGAGTGTGTGTATGTAGTAGGTAGGTAGATAATGGCCATATCAAATGAAAAAGAACTAGTTGTCCATTCATTTCGATATTTTTTGTTTTGTTTTTGTTTTATAATGTTGATGATGATGATGATGATTATTATTACTCATCACATTTTTAAATCTTATTTATTTCTTTTTACATTTTACATTTCAATGATTGAATTGAAAATGAAAAAAAATATTGTCTAAATTAATTATTTCATTTAAAGAGACAAAATGATGATGACAATCCATCCAACCAATCACACAGTTGATTGTAATTGAATTTTGTCATTTTGAAATAGTCGTTTCATTTTTTACGTTATTCATATCCATTATGATGATGACGATGATGATGATGACTAGACTGAGACGGCGACGACTATGTCGATGTCGAGGAAGACGACGACGACGACTATCATCATCGTCATCAAAGTTTTTCCTATTCGGACTTGTACAACAATCTTATCATTCAGACATAGTATATAGTATATGTGTGTTCAGCTATCATTTTCTTTTTCAAGATTCAAAAGATTTTTTTTCAAAATTTTTCACTGCTCTCAATCTATTTATTCAATCCATCTTTGTTGTTTATTTTCATTTCATATAATTACCCATAATAAGCAAGCACAGAACCGAACCGAACATACATCATATTGAATATACTTTTTTTTCGAAATCTATGGTCATCTACCATCTATCCTACATACATATTCTGTTTAGAAAAAAAACCTGCCATGTCTTGTCCGACGATCGTGTATATTTGTTGGCCAAATATATGGTCAAGAGATAGAGAAGGTTTCGTTTTTTGTTGTTGTTGTCGTAAATTACACAGTACTCAATATTTTCTTCTTCTTGACCCTCATCATCATCATCATCATCATCTTCTTCATTGCCTTGGTTTTTCACTATTCACTTTTGCTTATGATCTTTTGGCGAAATTACTTTTAGAGAAACGAATATGCTGCATGCCATGTCAGATAGCAAAGTTTTAACTGGCGACTTGACCGTCAGTCGACGGTCCCGTCTGTTTTGATTTGATCGGTTCAATTCACTTTGCACGACAACAACGATATTTTTCGAAACCAACCACCACACCAAAGATTTATCTGATATTTCCTATCTAGATTTTTTTTTCTGTTTTAGCGTGTGTGTGTATTAGATTACTTTGTTTTTGTATGTTTAGAATGCTGTTTTTAGTCGAGTGGTTGAAACTAAAGAAACTATTGAAAATATTTACTTGTACTAAAAGAAGAAGAATGGAAAAACAAACATACAAGATTGGCTAATTGAGATGGGCTTTGTATGTATGGTATGTAGATCGTAGTACTGAACTTGAATTGAAAACTGAATTTAATTCCTATCTAAAACCGTTCCGAATGGCTGGCTTGCTTAATATACGTAGTCGAAAAATTTTATTTTACTTTTTGATAACAAACGACAACGATGATTCTCTATTCGACAATTTTTCAAGATAAAATATCAGTCACTACTACTCATTCAATCAGTCAAATACCTTTTATCATTAAGTCTATATACAGAAAAAAAAATGATTGTTGATAATGGATTATCGTCGGCATCATTGTCGTGATTGGATTTTTTTTTGTATGAAAATGGATTGAATGTAGAAAAAAATGGGATTTATTATTATGTTACATCCGCGTATTTTGATCAATGAATGAAAATGTCTGAGTAAATATAAAAATTGTCATCACAAAGAGAACACAATTGATGTGAGAACAAATTGCTTATTATGAAATTGAATAGCCGGAAATGTAAACATAGTAAAAATATTTTATATATTTAGAAATTATATAAACTTGTAATTCATTCATTATTTTATTAATTACAATTGAATTTTATCTAATTTTATTTTCGTTTGTTTTCTTTTTTTTATTGTTGTTATCAATTAAATAAATAAATAAATAATAGGTGACATACATTGTTATTGTAATCAACCAGTATGTGTACGTACCGGTTATATGTGCAAATCAAAAGGCCAACAAGCCGGCTGTTTTGTTGAACATTCGGGTTTCGGTAATATGGATCGTTCAAGTGATATATCTCGTCATGGATGTATTGAAATGTTACCAAATGATCAACGTGTTTCATGTCTAGAATTAGCATTGGCCATACGTTCATCTCATCATCATTCCATATCAAATCATCATAGAAATCATCATCATATTCATATACATCGACAGCAACAGCCAAATAATCATCAAATTAGTTCAAATTTTCGTCGTACACATAATAAAACAATTACTTGTTGTCTTGACGATATGTGTAATTATGTTAAAACTATTATAGATGATTCAAATGATTCTGATTTCGAACATTCGAATCAACAACAACGACCTCCAATAATATCATCATCGAATGATCATCATTTTGATTCATTAGGTAAACAACTTCAAGAAAGTTATGGTAATTGAAATCATGATTGTTTTTTTGTTAAAATTGTTTTTAATTAATCCTTTTTGATTACAGGTTCCATGCAAGGATATAGTTTGATAGTAATCCTTATATTCATCATGACACCATTAGTGTTATTGGTCATCTTTATCTACTGTGTCATATGGTATATTCGTAAAGATGATCAGAAGAAAAAATTTACAAAACAACCACGTAGTAATACCATTGATCATCATCATCATAAACAACAAAAACATAATCATAATGTTAATAAATTTTCAATCAAATCAAAAATACATCCAAATAACAACAAATCTAAACATGGATTATTATTAAATGTTAAAGTTGATGTTAATAATTATCCATATGCTGGTGGTGAGAATGGTGGCAACCAGCCTTCATTATTCACTCAATTAGACGATACAGAAACATTCCATTATCATGAATCATTGCCCAATATAATCAGTGGACATAATTTGCCTACAATGGCACCATCAAAAGATTATACAATAGAATTCGATAAACAACATCCAAATGAAACAACTTTTTTAGCTATGTCTGGATTATCGGATAAAAATAGAATTGAAAATAAAAATACGATTTACATGTCACCACCAACACAACTACCATCTATTCATAATCATACAAAATTTTCATCAAATACTTCGACAATCGATTCTAATCATTTGGATCTGATTTCCGAAACATTGTCGATGGCACATTCAAATAGAACGTTTATTGAATGAAAAAAGAAATGCTATAAAATTTTTATTGTTTTTTCTATGTAAATATTTTTTTTGTTCATATTCTCATTCTGTAAATAATAACTAAATAATTATATATTTTATACAATTTGTAATTTTAAAAAAAGTGATAAAAATAAATTCAAAAAAAAAATTTTTTAACCAAAAAAAAAAAAAAAAAATTTTCATTACATTGACATTAAATTCGGAAATGAAATATTTTGTAAAATTTTCGTTGCAGGTCTCGTAGTTTGAAGATGTTCAACAAGATTCTGTAAGAACATTTCTTTCTTCAAGTTGGATGATGATGATTTATCCATTCGATTACAAAGATAAAAATAGGCATTTTTAACTAATTTATAATCAAACAATATCAGATAAACGAATTGAATGATCAGATCTTTATCGAAATTCATTGAAATTAAAAATTCGATTATACGATTAGCATTTATATTGGAATATTTTTCTGTATTCACATTCGATATAACATAAAGACGGCTTTTAATTTGATTATAATCTAAACCGAAACGTGTTTCGAGAAAAAATCTAACTCTTAATTCCGGATCATTAGTCAGATCGAGCAACATATTTTTGAATTCCAAATCGGTTGCTATGAAAAATGATAATGGCACTTGATTGAGTGGAATTTCTTCTTGTTTTAGCTTTTTAATTCTATCCAAACATTTCTGGTAATTTAATGCTAAAAAATCTGGACCAAACATTTTTAATTTTAGTTGTTTAATATCATTGTTTGATTCAATTGCATCAAATGTAGATAGCAATTGATCCGTATCCATTGAAAGTAATTCAATTGATCGGCTAAAAAATTGTCCATCACATTTGTGTTTGATGAGCTGATAGTTTTTTATAATTTGTTTGAAATTTAATTTCAATATTTCGGGCATAATGATTAAGTTTTCAAAGAGATGATCGCCAACAATCGGTCTTAGCTTTGTCGATATGAGCGATAGATTTTCCGGATTTGTCATAAGAAATAGTCCATCATGAATTATCTTATTATGTGAATAATTAAAATCATTCTGCAATAATGTTACATTCATTTTTAAAGTTGTCAGATTTATTTCATTCAATAATCGAGAATTTCTTCGACATAGATGTACGGCACGATTGAACGAAATCTTCAAACAATTGGATAGATAACATGCTGCACAATAAATACGTATATCATGTATGGAAATTTGATCCAATCGATTTCCATAGATATTTTCGATATGCACAATTAAATTTGTTTTTGCATCACCATAAATCTCAAGATGTTTACATATTGTTTCGAAACAATTTTGTTCCATCGGATAATTTAAATGTTTTCGTAGTTGTGAAAGATTAAGTTTAAGGATCTCTGCAGTCAAACCGATCATTGGTATCTGAATCGAACGAAATCCAATTTCTTTCAACAATAGTGTACTATGGATGAAACATGGAAAAATTAAATCAAAATCAAACATAATAGTCAATAAAACCGATTACCGATTATATAATTGTTGAAATGGCATTAAAAATGGTTTCGGATTATTTTGGATTTCTTCGGCGGTAAAAAATAATTTTAGAAATTTACAAAGATGAATAATCGATTCGTTGGTCGGATAATGTTTTCGTATCAAATCATCGTTGAGAAAGTAAATTTTCTTTGCATCACGTTTATCCATTCGAAATTCATGTGAAACATATTGTTCGAAAAAAATTTCATCGATCCGCTCATCATTATCATTGAACAATGTGGTCGTCGTATTTGTTCGGTGAATATCCAAAACATTATTATCAAATTCAGGTTTTAAACAAGTTGAATATGTAGTTGTTTTTAGTGAGATTCGAGCGTTGAGAAAATGATTTTTAAGAAAACATTTTGCCAATCTCATTGAATTCATTTTGAATTTTTATGATCAAATTGGAAATTCATGAATTCAGAGATTCAGATTCTTTATAGCAGCATGTGATTCAAGTTTACGTTATCGGTGAATGGAATTTTGTTGGATACCCACGTGTTTTGAATCTGAATTTTGTTTACAAAATTTTTTGTTGATTTTAAACTTAAAAATTAGTAAAATTTTATTTGCAAAATGTCACCGATCATGGCATCGAAAAATAACCGGAACAAAAAAAACGTTCGACCAGATCCGAAGCGAATTAAACGACAAAAATTACATAAAGCTTATTATTCGGCTGCAAATGTTTTATGGCAATTAAATGAAAAATCTGGCTCATTGAATAGTCTGATGAATCGTTTCACTGGTGATAAAGTAATGTTAATTATATCATTGAATGTAAAATAAAAATTCAATTAATTTTGATTTCAAATAATATTTTAATAGTGTATTAAAATGATTTATGCATTAGCGGTTAAAGTGTTGAAAAATCGTGATATAATCGAACAGATTAAAACGAAACTACCGGATTTCGATACCAACACATTAAATTCATATCTAATCGAAATTCTTATTGCTGAACTTTTGTTTGGTGAAAAAAGCTTTTTAAAATATAGAAGAAAAGATGAGGTACAATATGTGATTGAAAATCAACAGAAAATCACTGATCATTATGCTAACGGTTAGTTCTTTTTTTTTGCCAATTAAAACAACATTTCTCATTTCATTTTGAACAGTCAAAAACAGTGCAAAAGACAATGTTTCAATCGATCGGAAAAATCCATGGATACGATATATTCGAATTAATTATCTAAAAAATTCCAAATCTGAATTGATGGAAAAATTAAAAAAACTTGGATTCATACATAAAGCTTATAATAATAATGGTGAAAAAATTTCATTCGATCAATTCAAAGCACTGGCATCATCATTGAATAACGATGAATTCATTTTCGATTATCATTTTGATGATGTATTTGTATTCAATGATGAATCGACGAAAAAATTGATAGAATTGTATGAAAATGGTTCGATTGCAATGCAAGATAAGGTATGTATGGTAGTCAGATGAATTTCTGATTTTTAGTAATCATTGTCTTTATATTCATTTAGTCCAGTCTTCTGGCAATTGAAGCCATGAAACTCGAAGTAAATATGATTATTATGGATGCTTGTGCAGCACCTGGAATGAAAACGGCGGCAATTGCTTCACGTTTGAATAATAAATGTACCATTTATGCTAATGATAAAGATAAAAAACGTTTCAATGATATGAAAATTTTACTTAGCCGTAATGGGGTTAAATTCAAATCACTAACACAGGAATTCACTCAGATTGATCCGATAAAATATCCTGATCTCGATATTCTATTACTTGATCCATCATGTTCTGGTAGCGGTATAAACCGAAGACTAGAATATAATAATCTATCCATAGACAATCAATACCATAACGATAATGTAACAAAACGTTGTGAAAATTTAGCAAAATTTCAACTAGCTATACTCCAATCCGCTTTATCATTCAATGCTAAACGTATTGTTTATTGTACCTGTTCAAAATATCAAATTGAAAATGAAAATGTAATTCATCAATTGTTCGAATTGAATCCAGATATAAATTATGAAATTATTGATCCAATGCCTGAATGGCCTTACAGAGGACAAGGTGATTATCCCTTTTCATCATTATGTTTGCGTGCTGATTATGAAAATACAATGACAAATGGATTTTTCTGTTGCGTTCTACAACGTAAACATCTTGAATCACATGATGTTGATAATGATGGAAAAATTGAAAGTGATAATAAAAACAACAACAATGATGACGAAACAGAATCGAAAACGCCTAAGAAAAATAAGAAATCTAGGAAATCATCAATAGCAGCAAATTTCATAATCACTAAATATATGTAAATGAAATTCATATATTTTTTAACAATTCTATTACCACCGGAAATGAACATTTAAAAGTGAAAAAATAAAAATATCCTTTTTTTACTCCCTTGTTTATTCATTGATCAATCACAGTTATAGCTATTTTTGTGAGTAACTTTGTTACTTGATTGATTTAAAATTCTCTAATCATAGACAGAGAAAGAGAGAGAGAGAAAAAAAAAACAAGTCGATTATGTTTTCTTATTGCAAATATTTTGATCCGATTTCGATTTCACTAGCTGCTGCCATAATGTTGAACGACAGGTTTGAATAATTTACATACAAAAATATAAATTTTTCTTAGTCTTCGTTTTTTCAAAAAAAAGAGGACCTGATTTATATACTCATTATAATAATGACGATGATGATGATGATGATAAGAAAATCTTTACGAATTTCGTATGAAATTTTGTTTCCAAAAATAATCAACAGTATATGATGTTTTGCAAATATTCGTTAAATGTTGTTTGTATAAAACATTACACATATGGAATATCATTGTCATATTGTCAATCGAAATTCTCTTTGATGATGATGATGATGATGATAACTTGTGTCGTCGAAAGTTTTCATCCTTCTTTTTTATGAACAGAAGCAGCAGCGGCGTGTAGTAGCAGTAGTATTAGAAAAAAAATTCGAAATTCTATGATCCAAGGATTCTGGACTAAGTTAAGAAATTTAAAACCAGATTTTTTCCTTTATTTAAAATTCGTGATCGAATTCAAATGTCGAACGAAAAAAAAAACAGTAAAAGTATTTGAAAAATACAAGACAAGGATAATGGATAATAAGAATTTCTTTTGGTTGTTGTCATTAGAGTTGTTTTTTTTTATTACCCAAGTGATATTTGAGAATAAAATTCTTTTGAATAAATAGGTGCCTCGTTGAAAATAAAAAAAAAATTGTGACAAAGCATAGTGGTGGTGTGAAACTTGAAAACTTCGATTCGCATATGGCATACATTTACATTTTAAATTTTACACAATGAACAATCGTACTGCTATAAAGAGAGAAATATTATCAATTTGCAAATGAATAAATGATTTTCAATTTTCTTTCACTTTAATGTTGATGCCTGTGACGACCTGTTGAATCTTTGCATTTTGATTAGTGGTGATGACCCCATTGTGACAAATTGATGACTTTTTTTTCTGGAACGACAATATTTTGTTTCGAAACACAATTGAAAATTTAATCACCTTGTTTGTTGGCATCCATGTGTACGTATTTGTTCTTTCATTTTTTTTTTTTTTTTTTTGAAAAAATATTATTATCATCATCATTGCCGTTGTTCAGTGTAATATGATTTGATTCTATGGATGCAAAGCAAATACATTCTATTAATAATGATATGATAATAATAAAAAAAAATCAACATACATACGAAACCGGGTGACAGTTTTTTTTCATTCGATTCTTTGTACACTTACAATTCTCTTGAAGGAAAAAATAAAAACGATGACGACAATGATGGTGATGATGAAGGTGGTGGTATTTTAATTCAAATAAAAATATTATTTTTTTTAACTTAAAAAAAAAACAAAAAGAAAAACTAAAAAAAATTGTCATGACAGATATTTTCTCATTTTTTTTCCATTTTGAATTTGTGATATACCATCAACGTACGAATAGCTTGTCTGTGTTGGAATGAAACAAAAAAAATTCTTGCTTGTTTCTTGTTTGTTGTGTTGTGGATGTAGATTGTGACAAACACATTTGTGATTTTGTGTTTATATTCGAATGATAATACTGTAATTTTGCAACGATACGATCACATCTTTAATTCGGGTGATTATTGTGAGTAAAAAAAATGTTTTGTTTCTATATCATTTATTTCGTTTATGACATTTCCGTTGGTAAAAAAAAATCCAATCCCAATAAATCAATTGATTGGTAATGAAATCCATGATTTATTTTTTTTTTCTTTGCTTTTTCTATATTCACATTTTTCAATGTCAGAATTTTTTTTTCTATTAATGTTTACGATTTGAATTTTCCGCGAAATTTTGTTTTTGGTTTGATTGATTTATTAGACTAATTTTTTTTCTATTCCGATGACAAGTGTTGGGTGTGTCAACACAATTGTTTTAATTAAAAGAAAACAATAAAAAAAATCAATTAATGTTTATTAATTAATTTTTTTTATCCATCATAGATTTTGTCAAAATTGAAAAAACGATCCAGATCCATCGATAGTTTTACTATCGCTGTAATGCGACAAATCATCAATCTCATTGCCATCATCATCAATAGGAAATAGAAGAAAGAAGGTAGTTGGTTTTTGAAAATTGGCCGAATGTTGTCGTTTTTGTTGTGTGAAGAATAAAAATATAGCCAAAAATAGTAAACTTTTTTCCCATCTTTTAATTGAAAATTCTCGTTTTTGCTCAAATTACAGTCATAAGATTAATAGATTGGAACCGAAATCCAACAACAAATTTCAATGGAAAAAAAATTCACTTTTCTCTTTTAATGTTCCACATTTGCAACCTATTCTTAATATATTCTTATTTTTAAAAATGAAAATATTTTTCTTTATTTTATTCCATTTTAGTAATGTTTATTTGTGTGAATCGAATGATAAAAACTAAGAAGCAACAACAACAACAACAACAACAACAGAAAAGAATATTCTGTTCGACCACACCACTGCCACCAACCACTACCACGACGATTATAATAAAGAATTCGAATGTAAAAAAAAATCAAACATCGTTGTTGTGTGTTCTCATTGGCATACGACCAAATGTGAAATGTGAAATTTTTTGTTTTCTAAAGCATCAAATTCTCATCACCAGTTGAATTTCTTTGTAATGATAAGAATTACAAGTGCTACGTTCTATTTGTTTTGCTTAACCGCTGCTGCTGCTGATGCCGTTTTTCATCCTTCCATTCATACATCCACCACCAACATCATTGCAATCATTCGATGTAAATTCTTCTTGTTGATTCTTCAAGTCAATTTTGTGATCTTCTTTACAATTCGTTTAATGTTCGTTTTGTTGTTGTTGTTGTTTTTAATGTTTTTTTTCAAAAGTGTCGATCACACAAACACAATCTTCGTTGTAATTCATCGAGAGAATAGAGAAAAAAAAGAAAAGGGGAGACAAAAAAAAACAACAACGACATACAGGCCCAAAAAACTATTTTTAAACATCAGGTTCACCATTAATGCCAGTGTCTTTCTGAATCTATATTCTTATTATACGTTTTTGAGAAATTCTAGCACAAAATTCTAATTCATTTTTATATCATGATTATTCATCATTATTCAGTGTGAATGTAAAAAACTTTTTTGCTGCTTTATACACAGTAATGTGGCAATTTCAATAAACGAATTGTCGTCTTTATCCATCACCATATCATGCTGATCGTTGTCGTCATCATAATCATCAAATGACGAAGAAGACGACGACATGACATACACATATTGAATAGATGAATAGATCTTCAAGCTTGATGTCCTCAAAATTATTTTTCATTCGTATTTCGTATTTTAACGAATTGCACTTTACAAAATATAATCCTGTTTGTTTTTTCTGTTGTTTATATTTCTTCTTTGCGCATTATAATCAACAACAACAACAACAACGATAATTAAAATTTACCTCAAGATACATTTGTGATTGAAAGATTTTTATTAAATCCAGAAGAATTATATCAATAGAAATATTGCCAAAATGTCTGGAGCTTGGAGTCAACTAGAACAGCTCCTAACCTGTGCCATTTGTTTGGATCGGTTTCGTAATCCAAAACTTTTACCATGTCAACATACATTTTGTGGCGAACCTTGTATGGAAGGTCTAGTAGATTATGCACGTAGACAGATAAAATGTCCAGAATGTCGTGCCGAACATCGCATTCCATACAATGGTGTACAATCATTTCCTAATAATGTTACGTTGACAAGATTTTTAGATCTACATCGAAGTATAACGGGTGAAGAACCGGAACCATTACCATCACAAATGGATCGTTGTAATGTTTGTGGCGAAAAATCCTATTGTAATGGTTGTTCACATTGTGGAAAAAAAGTTTGTGATGAATGTCGAACAGCTCATCTAGATATTCTTCGTAGAGAAATTAATCGTATCAATAGCCAAATACGACGTGGTCTAGACAACCTTAGTGAACATGCTGAACAAGCGAATAAAGGTAATGAAAAATTATTATCAATCACATCACAGATACGTGATGAAATAACCGAATCGGTTAGAAGACTTGTTAAAGATTTAAAAGATCGTGAAACAAAATTATTAGAAGAATTAGATGAATTTACTATAAATGAAACAAAAAATAGCGGAAAACTTAAAGAAGATTTTGAAATTGAATTGGCAACAATCACTAGTAATAGTGAATTAGCTGATGAACATATTACCGAAACGGATGAATGGACCGATGCTGAATTAATGGAATTTAAAGATATTTTTATGAAAACATTAGATTTTCTTAGAAATTTAGATACCGATTCAATGGATTATTCAAGAAAGATAAAATATATACAAAAAGTCGATCTAGATAGTATACGACGTAATGTTGCCGATTTTGGTGAAATTCGTATCATACAATCATCATTATCATCAAATTTTCTTTCACCCTTATCACCCGCTGATAGTACAAGTAATCTAGCCATACCACAAAGTTCATTGATGAGAAGTCAAAGTGATCATCGTTTAGCTCAATTTGCTTCAACAACAACAACACCATCATCAAGATCACAGCGATCAGATCCATTACAGCGTAGTTATCTGGATGTAACTAGTGGACAGAATAAATATGGCAGTGATTCTGAACGTGAACGTGGTAATAGTCCACCGGGTGGTGGCCGTCGTATTGAAGGTTCCGTACGATTTGGTTCTGTACATGAACGTAGTTCTACAACACGTAATAATAATGATTTTGGCTATACACGTGGTTGGCAACGACCCGGTGATTCTGATTATGAACCATCCAATTCGGCAAATTTTCGTTCACGTTTTATGCGTGAAAGAATACGTGAACGTACGGCGGGTACTACGAATGATGATCATAGTTTTGATGATCATGATTCAGACTTATTGTCTGGTCACCGTGTACGATTTCAAGAGGAATCATCATCATCTTCATCGACAACAAAACCAAAATTATTCGATACAGAAGAAATGGCTAATATGCGCACTCCATTAAGTGGTTTAATTAAATTAAGCGATTCACCACATCTAATGGAACGTTTACATCAAAATGAAATAAAAGCTAAACAAAAAGCAGCTGAAGTAAAAGAGAATGAATCATCTATGACAACAACAACAACAAACGCAACAATGCCACCTATAACTAATTCAACGCCGAATCCAACACCGGTACATAGACCTGCAAGACAAATTAGTGAAGATGAAATTGAAAAACAAAAAAAACAAAATCAAGCTGCATTTACACAAACACAACAACAATCGACAATAACAACCAATAATAATACTTCAACGCCTAGAACGATAACGACAACAAATCGTTCATCAGATAATAATAATTCATCAAATTCATCAACTAACATAACTAATACATCAACTTCGGTAACAAATCGTCGAATTCAAGCAATACAACAAGAAGAGAAACGATCACCATCCAGTTCGGATGATAATTCCGATGATTTAAATTATGATGATGATAATGTAACGACCACGACAAGACCGACAACAACTAATAGTTCAGCTCGTCGACGTATCTATGCATCATCACATGTTACATCCGGTGGTAATAGCAATCAATCAGCGAATAATTTTTCACAAAGTACCGAATATGGTGGAGAATCATCATCTCGTAATAAGTATTCACAGTCATCGTCATATGGTTTGAATACAGGAAACACCGGAAGTAATAACAGGCAAGTATTAAATTCTTCTATGAGTTCCTTACCGAACAGAACAGTTTCTTCTATACCATCATCATCATCATCATCGTCATCATCGACAAGAACGACATTAGTACCAGGAGAGGATTTAATGACTGGTTGTGTACAACCATCATCAATTAGTCCTTCAAAATTATTATCATCAGAATTATCACCATCATCATTATCAGCACCGGCATCAGTTAGTTCATCAAAAAGTTCAACCCCTTTTAGTAAATCTCCAACAAATTCTTCAACATCAACATTTAATAATAACAATCAATCGGCATCAACATCTAAATCTGCATATTATAATAATAAAAAGCACAATAATAAAAGCAGCAACATTTATGGTGCAAGTGGTAGTAGTAGTAGTAGTAGTGGTGGTGGTGGTGGTGGTTGTGTTGGCGGAAGCTCCGGCATCAGCGGTATCGGCATCAGTGATATGTATGATAATAATTATGATGATATTAATCCATCATCATATTCATCATCATCAACAACAGCTACCCATAATAGACATAATGGTGATATTAATAATAATAAGGTACCGATTCATAATAAATTATCATCAACAGCTTCATTATTCAATGTTGCTTCTTCAACGCCAAAATCAGGATATCATACAAATTCAATGAATATTGCTTCTAACGGAAATCCGACTATTAATCATGCATCATCATTGTCGTCATTACCATTTAATCAATATGTTGGTGGTGGTGGTAGTGGTGGAAGCAACTATTTGTCTACAACACCTTCGACTAATTGGCGTGATTATCAAATAACCGGCAGCAGCAGTAGCAGTCATACACCGATATCTACTTCAAGCCTGATTGATACGAATAACAATTCGATTCCAGCAACGATAGTATCAAAAGGCTCTACATCAAATTCGAGTATTGAACAACATAATGATGATGATGATATATCCTCATCAAAAGACAATAATAATCAAATGCAATCGCTTAGCAACCCTACCGTACAACCATCTGACCCTTTGCAACAGCAGCAGCAGATCGCAATAAATGATGATAGTAATCTATCAGAACATGATTCAAACTACAATAGCAAAACAAACGTTTTGATAGTGGATGAGAATAATAATAATTGTTTAGATAGTCATGCGATAGATGTTCCAATTCGTAAACGAATCCGGATCAAAAAGAAAGAATCCAATTCCAATAATAATGTTGTAAGTAGTGCAACAACGCCCATTACGTTAACAACGTACAGTTTACCAGAAACTTTTGATCAAAAATAAATTATTAGTAATAGCAATTCATCATCATCATCATCGAATATAATCTTTATAGTCGTCATGATTTTAGATCGCGCCAGACAGCGCCATCATTTACAAGAAATTCAACCGAAAATGTTTCGACAACCAATGTTTAAATACATTACTTACGATGGAAAGTCCCGATTCAAGTAATGGTTCCATCATTTTTTTCTTAGATGGCCAATTGTTTATATCCATAGTAGCTTTGAAAATTCGTGATCCTAGTCTTTGATGTTTTCCTTTAGTGAATTTTCACCAGTTACATTCCATTTCGACTATCAAAACAACTTTTATCGACATCATCATTAATGGTCAGAAAATGACAAACATCATATGACCAATCATACGGATAATGCTACCATTTATCATGGAATCATCATCAATTATTTAATAAATCAACAAAACTTATTATTTGAAAACAATGGAAAAAATGATTGGCAAATCTTTCAACGAATCAAAATGATGATGATAATCATTATTAGTTGTATAGGATGCTTTTTTAGTATTACCCATATAAAATGAAATACAATGTCATCACCTTCATTACCAATCAACCATATATACCTCAACAATCAAAAAGCTTTATTACAGGAAAGATATAATGACCTTGCTTCATGATTATCATGTCCCGAAAAAATACAAAATTTTAATTTTTCTCATAATTATTGATCACTAACAAAAGTTTTGTTTTTTTTCTTTTTTTTCTTCGATCATATTCTACTTTAAACGAATCATCAGGTATATATTCACGACGACTAGGCCGTCCATATCGATAACCGATCATACTACCACTACCAACATTAACAACAGAATTGACAAAAATTATTTAAATCAAGAATCATCTAAATATCAAAGTTATGTTCCATCTTCTCGTTACCACCATCGCCACCGCTATCAACATTATTCATCATCACCATCAATTCATATAACATCTGATACGTTATCATCATCAAAGAATTCTACCACATCATCGCCACCACAACGAAATCTATCACCAATACCATCGATATCGTCCAATGAGCAAACACCATATGGTTCTGCAGCAAATTCTACTCAGCCATCGCCTTTACCACCACCAACACTATCAGCCAGCAATGTTCCGACTAGTCCAGAATCGGAACAAACTGAAGAAGAAGAAGAAAAAGAACCAGAAGACATTGAAACCAATAATGAATCATCCGCAAAAACATCACCATCGGAATCTCCTCAGCCACAGCATTCAATTGCTGGTACTACAACATCTTCAATATTGTACAAACCATCATCAAGTCCTACTCAAACAACTGCCATACAAACTTCATCATCAAATAGAGATGATGTTGAGATCGTTACCCAGAAAGGTAATGTAACAATAATGCGAAGAAAAAGGCAAACTAAAAATGATTCTAGCGATGATGATGATGACGAAGACGATGAAGAAGAAAATGTACAGAGAAATGATGAAAATGAAATGGATGATCGTCCTAGACTATATCGTGTTAATAGTAGTGATAATAGATTTAATGGTGAATTAGCTATACCAAGTCAATTAAATTGGCTTCGACCAAGCGTCGAAAGCCAATTTTCTTCTACAAAAAACAATACCGATAATCGGCAAGTAAACCAAGATCATGTAAATGACGGTCAAGAAGAAGAAGAAGAAGCTGGTGATGATGATGATGATGAATATGAATATGTTGATGAAGAGATTGAGGATGAAGAAGAAAATGATAATGAAATTATCTATCTACCGGGTCAACAAGAAGATAATAATCGATATTTGAATGTCAAAACTATTGAAAATAATAATGAATTAAGTGAAGAAAGTGAAATGAGCGTTGAAGAGGAAAATGAGGATGATGATGATGATGATGATGATCAGATGAAAAGTGCCTCTGAAGATGTAATCAAAAGAGAACAAAGTAGTTCGAATGATGATCTTTTAGAATTTATCGATGCTAATGATGATGATGAAAAATCTGAAGATGATGATGATGAAGAAACCGACGAAGAAACTGAAGAAAATGATGATGATGATGATGCTGATGATGATGATGAAGAGGAAATGGTTGATGCTGAAACTAATAATAATACATTTTATTCAAATTCAAATAATATTCATAAAACAAAAATTCAAAATCATTGAAAAAACACATCAAAAATCATTATTTCATGGACACATATCTTTAACATTGGAGAAACATTTTCATTCATCAAATTTAATCTAATCTAATCTATTATTAATTGATTTGTTTTTGTTTTCTGATCTCTAATTCATTATTGTTTGTTATATGTTGTATCAAAGTAGCAGTTATCATCACCAGCAACAGGCTCAAATTTCATCACAAAATTTATATTTTAATTCAACTAATTCATCACAACGATCTTCATTATCACGTTATGGTCATAATTATTTAGAAGATTCAAATAATAATAATAATAATAATAATATTGGTACTTATGCTCATTATCGTAATCGTAAAATATCAAGAGATGAAGACAATAGTAGTCGTGACGATACAACGACTATCACAACACCATGTTACAATCAATTAGGTCGTCGAAATAGTGTGAATCGTCGTAATCATTATGATGAGGTAATGAATACGAATGAGTCAGAAAATTATGGATCAAATCGTAGATCAAGTATTCATCCACCAATAAATGATCGATATGGTTTGTCATCAACATCATCAACATCAAATAGCTATCTACGAAATCGTTTAGCTAAAAGTAAAAGTTCACATGCAGTCGGTAAGTTGGAATATTTATATTATTAAATTTTTCAGAAAATTAATGGAAGCGATTGTTAATTTATATAGCTTATGATGATAGTGATGAAGAAAGTAATGGTACTGGAAATCCATTATCACCATCAGCAAGTGCCGGTGGTTTCAAAAGCCGTTTCACCAATTATGGATCGTCCACTAATAATTCTGAAAATTCCGATCGTTTTACAAGACGTACTTCACGATCTGGCTATACATATCGAACCAGAGAACCAAGTCCAGAGGAAGAGAGTGTTGGTAATACATAATATGCGAACGAATATTATATTCCTTTATTAATAAAAATTATTTTATAGGTTCAGTTACACAATATTTGATTAATAAATATGGAACACGAAATAATCGACCTACAGCTTTGAGTAAAAGTAAAAGTTCTCATGCTATATTTGGCCGAAGTTTATCCAGCTCAGATGAAGATTTACCAACTAATGTTACTACCACTAAATATCGTCGTGATTCGATTACAGATTATACACCATATAAATCGACACCAATCGGTTTGACTTATCCACGTCAAATGTATCTACAGAAGAAACGCATGATGATGAAAATTGGTTCACGAGGAACAAATCCAAGCTGTTTTACATGGCCAAGAGGTGTGGCTTGTGGCCCTGATAATGGAATTGTAGTTGCCGATTCGTCTAATCACCGAATCCAGGTATTTGATTCTACAGGAAGATTTCAATTCGAATTTGGCTCATATGGCAGTGGTGAAGGTGAATTCGATTGTTTGGCTGGTGTAACCGTAAATCGTATTGGTCATTTCATTGTATCCGATCGTTATAATCATCGAGTTCAGGTTTTTGATGCAAGCGGTCGATTTTTACGAGCGTTTGGCAATGAAGGCCGATCAGATGGAAAATTCAGTTATCCATGGGGTATTGCAACTGATGCTCTTGGGTTCATTTATGTTTGTGACAAAGAAAATCATCGGTAATTTTTTTTGATCATAAATCAAACAACAAATTTTATTTATTATAACGTTCAATATCAACAGGATTCAAGTATTTCAATCTGACGGAACTTTTGTGGGCAAATTCGGATCGATTGGCAGTCGAGCTGGCATGTTGGAACATCCACATTATATAGCTGTTAGCAATACGAATCGAATCATTGTAAGCGATAGTAATAATCATCGTATTCAAATCTTTGATATAAATGGACGATCCATCTCAACATTTGGAAGTGAAGGTAGATTTACTAAAACAGTTTAATAAAGGAAAATATTTTGATTTAATTTTCTAACTTGCTTAATGAAGGATCTGGAGATGGACAATTTAAATTTCCGCGTGGTGTGGCTGTGGATGAAAATGGCTTTATAATTGTTGGTGATTCAGGTAATAATCGTATACAAATATTCAATCCAGATGGGACATTTCTCAAGGTAAATTTTTAATGTTTTTGTTTAAAGAAATTCACAATTTTTGTTACAATTCTAAAGAATTTTGGTCAATGGGGTTCGGGTGAAGGAGAATTTAAAGGATTAGAAGGTGTGGCCATTTCTTCGACCGGTAATATTTTGGTTTGTGATCGTGAAAATCACCGAATTCAGGTGTTTTGAATTTTTTCGTCTTTTACTTTGAGCATCTGGTACATAGCTTGTTGGAAAGTATATTATATATTTGCTTGTAATTTTATTCTTTAAAATTCATCCAGCTGAGAATCAATTGTGCTCATCATCAATTCAAATTTTAGTTTCTTTTAAAAATCATTTTATTTGTCGAAATTCAATAATCAATGTGATATGTGTGTGTCAAGCATAAATTTTGTGATCACATTTTAATAAAAAAAATTCAGATTTTTTCAATAGAACAAGTGTTAATTTACAAATAAAAAAAATTCTATTAAAATTCGTCAGTTAATAATATTTACAACAAAAAAAAACGATCAAGATCATTTTTGAACTAGAAAATAGGTGAATTGGTAAAATTGATTAATCCATCGTTTGGCCAATGAAGATTATAATCAAAATGATAATCATTGTCATGATGATCATGAAGTACCAATCGAATAATTACAAATAATGCTAAAAGGATGGCCATCATAACAATAAAAATAAATACCATACGGCTAATTAAACGAAATTCTGTTGATGGTTTATGTGATTTGAGTTTTTTACTGAAATCATTTTTATTATTATGATTGATTTCTTCAATACCTAAAAATGTTGAATCATTCATCTGCATTAATTTATCAGTGTAATGTGAGTCATTATCTTGTTCGACATTGTCGGCTTCGTAAATATTTACATTTTTTCTTCGTTCATCGATAATAATAGATTTCTGGTTATCAGTGATTTTCTTTTCATCATTAAATATACGAAATTGTTCAGAATTTTTATTTCGAATACAATAAGTAGCATAATTTGGTGGCGGCAAACAATCTGTAACACTAATCAATGATGGATGATTGTTTGATAATCGAATATTATTTGAACGTTGTGGCTTAATATGAGCATTAAGTGGATTGGTTGTCGATGAATTTATTGTATTTGATCGGGGTAACTTTTTATCATTTGAATACGGTGTTATCGTACAGGTGCTGCTACCATTAAAAGTAGTGTAAATATCACTTGATGATAATTCTGAATGAATGGTTGAAAGATCATCATTCATCATAATCATTTCATATGATTCCTCTGGTGGTGGTGGTGGTGGAGGTGGTGCTGGTCTTCGTACAACAGGTTTCATTACTCCTCGTAGATATGATGTATCAAAATATTGAAATGATGAACTATCTGTTAGATTATTAATCGATGTTTGTGACCAAATATTACTAGTTGTGGATGATGAATGATGATATATTTGAGAGAAATCTCGATTTATTAGGTCACCACAATCACCATTAGCAGTTGATGCAAATGAATATGATGAATCTGTTGTTGGCGTTCCCGGTGAAATATGAAACTGTTCATCATCGGTAACAGTAACCAATGATGGTTCGAATGATGACAACATTGGTTTTGATGTTTCCAATTTTTCATGATTAGAAAAATTCAAATCAATTTCAATATCTTCATAAGTTATACGTGATATATTCGTATCAGATGATGAATCTATTGATTGTTGTTGAACATTATTCTTAGAGAAGTCAAAATTATCTTTATTCGACGACTGAATGATCATGTTCTAAATAGATTAATTTAACAAAATTATCAAAATTACCATCATTAATTAAAAATTAATCAATTAAACTTACATGATCTGAATGCAATTTTCTTAAATGTTCTTCACGTATGGGAAAAATGTATTCATACATCTTGATTTAAATTGAATTGAATTGAATCGAAAATGATTAAAATCAAAATGTAAACAACAAAAAAAAACAATTCAAAATATATTGCAACAAAAATAATAAAAATGATGATATAATTGCAGTAAATCAATTTAACATAAGTTTTTATAGTTTTTTTACTCTATTTTCACAAAGGATGACTAAGTTTTATCTCCACTTGGAAATTGATTTAAAATGATGATGATTCAAATGGTAACCATAGTTGAGCGGCACAAAAAAAAAATAAAAATCTGATCGAAATTTGAGATTTCTGAAATACCTGCTGCCATCTAAACAAAGAATTTTCAACATTAACATTTTAAAGAGAAAAAACAATTTTTTTTATTATTTATAAAAATCAATTGAATAAACAGAAAATTAAATTTCAAAAAAAAAAAAAAAAACAGAAACAATTAAAAAAAGGGTGTGGAGTTAGGAACCATCGCTTGTATTATTTGAACGAGAAAATAATGATCTAAATCGTTTAAAAGCTTGTGGAAAGAGGAAATCCATTTTTCTCGAATCCATTGATCGAATTTTCTTTGAATCTTTATTCACTTTTTTACTGAAAAAATTCTGATTCCAATTTCGTAGTAACCTATCCTTGATATTTGTTAGCGAGAATGGCAGAAATTTATCCATTTTAGATTTTGGTTTAGATGACTCTCGCAGTGTTGGTAATGTTAATGGTAACGATGGTTGTTGAATGGATAAATGATGAAATGGTGATCCATTGTATGATGAACTATGGTTATCATAATCACCACCGCCGAAAGGAAGTTGAAAAAAATTATAATCATTCAAAAACATTGATTGTACTAAAGGTTTATGATGAAGAAAATAATCTTGTGTCGATAGATTTGTATTGATCGTTATAGGCTTAATACTATTAATCGAAGTTGTCGTTGATGGTGGTGAGAATTCGGATTGTATCTCATTGAATGCATTAATGATGTATTTATTATTGTTATTTGATTTCAATTTTACTTTGATATCATTACTGTTGTTGTTGTTGTTATTCGCTGATGATGTATTGTATTTTTTGATAATCAGTGGCCGAAAAGTTGTGGTCATTTTATCGTTATTATAACTGTATTTATTAAATGAATGTTCCGGTAAATCATTAGCTTGATTTTTCCCAATGAAATACGATTGTTGTCGATGATTATACCATTTTGGTTTATCAATTTGCATTGTTAATGGTGTTTTGGTTGAAGCAATCATTATCGATGATGAATGATTAGATGATATTTTCTGTCGATACTTTAACGATGGTGGTAATAATTTCGTCTGATTCGAAATATTTGTTGTTGTAATGGAAATGAGATTTTTCGTTTCATTTCGAAAATTTAGTTCCTTATTTAGTGATTTTTTATTAATACTGTTATTATTGTTATGGTCGTAAAGTATTGAATTTATAAAAAAGAATTTCGTTGAATTAAGACAAGTTTCGCGTGGATTATTCAAATTATTTTCACAAGATAATTCTTTTTGGTTAAATATTGAACTACCAGGACAATTGAATGTAAATTTACGGCTTTGTCGTTTACAATAATGAAATGTTCGACAATCTCGTTCAATGTCGGCATAATACCCTTCTGGTCGATCAGTACAATTAAATCGAATGGATGACAGAAATTTATCCAATGATTTTGTGGAACGAAATTTCGTATTGATTAAATTCGATTTTGACGATATAAGATTCGATGGAATAGCTATCTGTGTTTCGATCATATCCGATGATTTTCGTGAAAATCCATTCGAATTTGTTTTCAATTTTAAATAAACACTACTTTCTTCAAGTATTGCAGGTGCCTGAAAATTATTGCAGAATGTTTTTTTTGACCAATTGAAAAACAAAACAAAATTAAAAAAACATACCATTTTCAATAGACGGTCCAATGAAACTTTATTCATAGATGATGATTGTCGTCGATTATAAAATTCGTCATTGTTTCGAATTCTATTTTGAGTCAATGATGTACGTATCGAACATATTATGATGATCAATCTGGATAAAAAAATTTTCTTTTTAAATGGCGACAGAATTGAAGACATATTTTGAATGTTTCAAATAAAACGACAACAACAACATAATACAAAAACGATTCCAATAATGAAGATGTCATAAACACATTTATTGATTACATTTTTTTTATTGAAAATTATTCAAGATTTTATAAAGACCTAATGACAAAACGGCTAAACGAATTTTTCACTTGTGTATGAAATTGTATGAAAAAAAAATCCGATAATTCACTTGGCGAGAAAAAAATGTGAGACAAAACGTTTTAAACGTTTAGAATGAACTGGTTAGAAAAAAAATGGTCAAAATGAAAATTTTGAAAAAAAAATTGTCAAGAAAATGATTTAATCTCTAAACATTCGAACAAAAAAAAACAGGACGAGAAAACTATGCGATTATTTTTTTCTTTTCTTTGATTCGCGACCAACATCAAAAGAGAAAATCATTCAATCATTCGAATTGGTGAAAGCGGTTCAACAGGTGGTGGTGGTGGTGTTGGTGTTGACCATATCAAACGCGAAAATTAACTATTACCTATATGAGCACCAAAAAAAAAGAATTGTTTTTATGAACATAGTTTTGACGCTTCTTTTGTTTATTGAGTTAAGAAAATCCCTTGATTATAATTTATATCATTTTTATTATTTTTTCTTTTTCCAAGCCCGATTGATCATTGAACACAGTGATGGATATAAATATATAAATAGACTTCCTATTTTTTATCAAGATCAGATAAAATATTGAATTAGTATTAAACAATAATCAAATTCATTGTTTACTTTGCAAAAAAAAAACAATGGTTTTTTGAAACACACAAGGGTAACAATGATGAAGCTTTAAGTGTTCAACTTTTGTATATGAACGAATGAATTATGAATAACTGTTATTCTTTTTTGTGTTCATTGACAACAGCCCGATCATATCATATTGCTCTATCCCTCAAACACATACACACACATGTTCATCACGGTTCGTTGATGATTTCATGATGAAACAGTTACGGTGTTAGGTATCATCATTATCATCATCATCATCACAGGTAAATAATTATGACAAACATTCTATATCAAATGTGTATTGTCTTTTGATGATTAACCGAGTTGTTTATGCAACTATAACAGAATCAAGAAAAAGAAAAGATTTCAAAAAGTCATTAAATATATATAGATGTTGTAAAAAGTTTTTTTTTTAAAAATCTGTCACGATGTTAATTGGACAATGAATGTCCACCATTCAATATAACTGAATGCCGGTTATTGACTTGAATTGAAAAATTTTCATTTTTTTTTTTTTTTGGAAATTAATTTGACTTACCAGACATAATTCGGGTAAACGTTGATTGTACATTTTGACTGACGATCAAAAATAGAATGAATTTTTTTTTTATTTCTTCAGGTCTTCTTGTTTTTCTTCCTTTTTGAAGAATCAACTTGAAATATTTTTTTTTTTTTGCAATGATTTCAAAAATAGTCATATTTATGTTAAGAAAATGCGAATCTAGTCAATGGAAGGAAAAAAATCAAACCAAGGGAAAAAAATTCAGCATATTTTTTCCAACATAACAAATTTTAGCCACATTAACAGCAATAATAATAATAATAATAATAATCATTGAACCGAATGAGAAAGGAATGAAATGAAGACGACAATCATTCTTCCATGATTTATTTCAAATTGAGATCGTTGTTGTCTTTTTCGACTAAAAAGGATAAAATGTTTGACCGAATAACCAACGAAACAATCTGGTGTATTTTTTTTTTTTTTTTTTAGTTTATCAGTGTGCGTATCAAACTTTAGTTCAAAACACAGACACACACAAAACCGGATGTATGATTTTCACACATATGACGGGTAGCATTGGTTGGTTCGGCATAACAACACACACACACACATACCTTTGTGTTTCATGAATCTAATAATAGTAGCCAAACGATTATTTATTGTTTAACAATGAGACAAAAAAAAGTATAAAGTTTTCGAAATTATTTTCTCTTTTTTTTCTAGACACGTTCCTCATTAAGGCGAAAAAAAATCAAGACTGAATCTAAATCAAACAAACAATCCACAAATAATACAATGTACAAATATGGTTTGAACGATAAAAGAAAATCATATGTAGATCCTATAGATTTTAAATAACATAATAATTATACAGATGAAAATAAAATCTAATAAAATGATTTTTTCGTCGTTGAATATTTTGATGGATGACGATTCATTTGCCATTGTTTTTGATGTTTTCGGGATATTGATGATGATAATGATTTTTGTGGATGATTTTGTGTAGTTGAAATTCTGGACAATTCTTCCGGTATTTTATTATTCGATTCACGTAAAATTTCAATTAGTTTCCGTGCCAACAATGAATTTAAACGATCACTGAAAAATGAATACGCAATACCTTTATTATCTTTTCGTCCTGTACGACCAATACGATGAACATATGTTTCAATATCACCGGGAAAATCATAATTAATAACAATATTAACATCATCAATATCAAGACCTCGTGCGGCTACATTTGTTGCACATAATAGTTTAATTTGACCAAGTTTAAAACCTGTTATAATCATTATTGAGGTAATTAGAGATGAGAGAAATTCGACAAATATAATTCATACCTTTTAAAGCCGATTCTCGTTGCCGCTGTGTCATATCTCCATGCAAAGCTGAAGATGGTATTCGTAATCGCTGATAAATATATCTGGAAATTCGATCACAATCGATTTTTGTATTACAAAACAACAATGTTTTTTCATCCGGATGATGATGAAGAATTTTTTCCATCAATTCAAAACGTTGACTCGAATTGCATACGACAACATTTTGTTGAATATTATGATTAGCAACTAATTTTGTACCACCAATCGAGATGAATGCATGTTCTGGTTTTAAATATTTATGTACGAATGATTTAACCTCATCTGGCCATGATGCTGAAAACATCATTGTTTGACGATGAAATCGATCAGGACATTGATCAATTAAATAGGATATCTGTGGCTCGAAACCCATATCCAACATACGATCAGCTTCATCAATGACCAGATAATTTATTTCGCTTAAATCAACATATCTAGCATCGATCAGATCTTTAAGTCGTCCAGGTGTTGAAACCAAAAATAGTGGATTATTATTCTCAAGATATTCTATTTGTTTTCGTCGATCATTTCCACCGTATAAACAAATGGATTTAAAGATTTTAAATTGTTTGATAACATCAAATATCTGTACGGCTAGTTCTCGTGTTGGAGCCAAAATCAATGCCTTAGGTTTTAATTGTTTTCCTAATCGTCTATCGGTCCAATAATCTCGATGAATTGGGTATAATTGAGTAAATGCTGGCAATAGATATGCCAATGTTTTTCCAGAACCAGTTTGAGCAATACCAATTAAATCAAGGCTGGAGAATAATATCGGTAAAGCCTGTGCTTGAATAGGTGTCGGTTTTGTGTAACCACTTTTGGTCATAATTTCCTGAAGTTTTATCGGCATATCTAATTCACTGAATTCGAATATGTTTCGTCCATCTTTAACATTCTCAACAAATACTTGATGTTCTGATCGAAATTGTTTGATTGCTTCGTTCAACAATTCATTTGGTTCAATTAATGTTGATGTTTGATTGTATCGTATTCGAGGACAAAAAATGGGAAAATTTTTAGGCGATAAACAAATCGGTGACCAATATTTATTATGATGTAATGCAATCGGACAAACATTAGTTTTATTCAATAGTTCAAGTAGACTTTTGTTTGTCCATGTCAATTGAACGGATTTTCGTAATAGTAAGCGATAATTCATTTTGTTTTTGAATTCAAATAAAATAATTTTATACTAATTTAATAATTGTAATGATGAAATAATAACAAATGATGATAATCAATTTCAATGAAGAAAACACGAGGTTTCGAAAACTTTATGGAAAACAGAATTCGTCATTATTGAGAAATATTTACAGAATTGTTACTACTAAAAAAATTTCTTTCAAAACGTATTTTATAACGTTTCGAATCCATTTTTTTGTTTTGTTTTGGATTTGTTTTTCAAATTCTTTCACAACTAATGATAATTTGGAAACATCATGAATGAAAATAGATCATTTTGTTCATCTCATGTTGGCATTATGAATGTCAGTGATTTGGAGAAAAATTGTCTATATTTGAATACAAATATTGAGTTCAATTATGAAGAAAATTCGAAAAAAGAACTGTTACCATCGGGCTGTAAATTCAAAAAAGTTCTACACTCGATTGCTTTACGATTATTACATATATTCGGTCCATACGATAATAATGGCTATAAAGAATTATTTTTGATTGCCGAATGTATATGTAAACCAGAGAATAATGTTTTGATTTGTATTAAAAATTTTGATCATCAAGACTTTCAATTTAATGTTACATTTGATCACATGAATCATGTATTTTCATTGAAAAATTTTCTCACACTTGATTGTCCATTCAATTTTTCATTTAAAGATTTAAGTAAGAATTTTTAATAATAATTTAATTTAACTAATTCTTTTAATTTTTCACAGATGAAATAAATTGTCAAATTTCTTCAAAAAAATTATATAATATTGTCATCATTGTGTCAACGGAATTTCATTCCAGTTTAATATTCCATGGAAATTATGGTGAGAACATAACCGATCTTGAAAGATTATCACAAAACATGATAGAACCTATGAATCTAACTGTTAAACATACTTCAATGATGATGGAATCACAACAATCAAAAACATCAATATATTTACCAAGCGATGATGATATGGAAACTCCGATGATGAATGGTAAAATTATGGATATTTATGCTGATACTCAATCACTACAGGCTAATACTGTAATTGAATCACAATTGATGTCTGAAACAGAATTAGATGATGATTATATTGGCCATAAAAATGATACGGAGAAAAAAATCAAAACAATACTTGATGAAATTAGCAGTGATTTAAAGGAAAAATTCAATCTTTACCGTTTGTTACGAACAAATCTCAATGATCATCTAATCCAAAATGAACCAATAGAATTGACATCATTATCTCAACTTCAATATCCAATCAATTCGGTTCAACAATATCGATTTGTAAATATTACTGGAATCATTAAACAACATAATCCGCAACACAATCTATTATGCATATGTGATGACACTATAGATAATTTTGAAATCAAAACTGATAACAAAGGAATTGATTATTATAAATCATTATCATCGGCTCAGACTTCTGTCATTAATAATAATCCTAAAAATTATCCATTATTAAAAGCTGGAGATATCATCTGTATTCGCCAACTTTGTCTGAAAATGGATCGGAAAAATATCTGTGTTCATCCCGATCAAATCGTTATCATCGAAATGCATAAAGAAGACGATCGAATCACAACGAATGATAGTAGAAAAATCAGTATTGAAGAATTGAAACGTATCACTGAATTGTATTGTCATCATATTATCGAATTACTTAGCTGTAAAACTCGTAGTGCTAAAAATATGGATGGAAATGAATATTTCTTAGCCAATTTAGTTGGATTAAGTGCGGCAAAATTTGCATCAAATATATCCGAAAAACCTTATACCAATATATTTCTTATGACTCCAACTAAAACTAACTATCCTACTTTAATCAATGAAAATCTATCATTTATAACTGAACAAATAGAAAATATGTCGTTTTATCAATATCGTTTTCATTACAATGAATCTTATCTGCAAAACTTGAAAAACAATAATCAAATAATCTCTGTTTCATTATGGGGAATTCATAAGAAAATATCCGATACAGTATTTCCATTAGATGTGGTTATACTTTATAATGTCCTTATCCGAAATGATCGTTCCCACAGTGGATTCTATTATTATTCTCTTAGTGATGGTTTTATGTTTGGCCGCAGATTTATTCATGTTAAATCAAATACAATTCTTAGTGATTACCTTCAAAGACTATTCCTTTCGTTTAAGGAAAAAATCCCAATGAACATTGCCCCAGAAGAAGAAAATAATTTGGCCATTCAAATAGAGACGAATTTAGATACGTCAATTCTATCGCGATTAGGTCCAAATGCCAAACAGTTCATTATGAGCATGAAAGACAGCATGAAAATGATGGGAAAAAAAGAAGAATTGTGGAAATTAGCAAACATCAAAAAGAATATATTTTGTCATGTTAAAAATCATCGAACACTTTTTAAATCTCAGGTCAATGTTGATATAGCCAAAAAAATCGATAGTTTTGCTGATTTGATGCCATCATCAGATATGGATAGTGAACAACAAGAAGTGGCTAAAATATTTCGCATATCGGCTCGTTTAATTGATTATCAATTTGAAGATAAACATGGAATCGAATTTTATAACATGGCACATTTACGACAAAGTCAAATAAAAATTGTTTGTACATCTCAATCATGTGATTTCACCGCTCCATTCATGTCATTTATTTTACAAAAAACTTATGATTGCATGGCTATATCAAAAGATTCATGTATCGATAATACAACATTAATTTGTCAAAATTGTCGTGAACCATTGGCAGCATATCTTAGTATTGAATTTTATCTTGAAGATGAGTATGGAAATCATCTAACAGCAATAATGTCATCGCCTGAAATTGAAGAACTAATTCAATGTACAAATAAACAACTTATTTGTACCGATCCTCACAGTATGGATATAGTGAATGCATTGCATTATATATTCAAAACATTATGTCCCATTCGATCAACGACAACAGCAACAACAACAACAACAACAACAACAAGAGCAACGTATAATGATGATCGAAATAAGCTAATAAATCCAAAATGTGATTGGATTCTTGAATCAAAAACCATAGAAGCCGATAATTTTAATTTTCAAAATTATCCTAATGTATATAATAGACAATTAATTGATTTGAATAGCAATTTGAATGTGAATGAATTTCCCATCTTCTATATCCGTTCGATTATAATTTATGAATAATTTTTTTCATGATGATTAATACAACCCTATCATGTATTTTTCTTTTTCAAAAAAATAATTATCATTACATTTTAGTTTTAAATAAAGAAATATTTGTTGAATAAATATTCTGGTAAGTTTTACATTATCTATTTTATTTAGAATACCATTTCATATATAAAACGTATATTATATTCGTTGTTACATTCCTTTTTATTTTCAAAATACAAAAAAACAACCCATTTACAACAACTAGATTTTTTTTATTCCTCTCTCCTACCATGATTATCAATGATTAGTTAGTCTTTACATTGTGCATTTTGTAGGTGTGTGTGTGTGTGTTGGATTGGATTCGGGTTAACCACCACCACTACTTTCCATATGAATATAAATGTGTCGAGCCAAGTAAAAAGTGGTCAAGTTCCATAAAATAACACACACACACAAATATTTGGGTGCGACATATATTAATTCAATAAAGGTAATAATAATAATAATATTGACGAAAAAAATACCGGACAGAAAAAATACAGTCTTTCATACTTACTAGACGGCGGTATTTCTTTTGTTGTTGCTGTTGTTGTTGTTGGAAATTTGGATCAAGGCGTGACCAGGTTTTTTCCTCTATTTTTATTCCAATCAAATCTCATTCATTATCTTTTTTTTCTCCTGGATCAGAGCAAATTCTTTTGCTTTTTTTGAATGATTGTAGTTGGTTGGGTTAGGAATTTTTTTATTCAAAAGCTTTTTCTCCCCCGGGTCAAATACAATAGGAAGGAATATGAATATGAACATACACACACAATAGTAAAATTATCTCTTGTTAATTACACTGATGAAATCAAATCTAATTTCAGCCATAGAACCATAATTCGAATCCAAAATGAGAGAGACAATTGTGAAACGCTGTAAACAAAAAAACAAACAAACAAAAAAAGCTTAATTGATATTAGAAATTTTGCAATTCCGCATGATTTTTATTATCATTATCGGAACATTCATTCGAAAATTTATATTTTTGACCAGTGTGGGTGTTGTGTTTATACAAATTATTATTTGGTTTACGATTCACGGACAGGCAGGCAGACTTTCAATATGTATCGGCTTTTTTTTGTCAACAATATTATTCTGTTATACTCCTTATCTTTATAAAGTTTTTTTTTCGGGACAATTCTGATGATGATGATTCGATTAGCAAGATGACAAGTGATAATGACGAATCTCTGACTAAATTCATACTATACCAGAGGACCAGTGAAAAAAGGGAAACGCGCCCAAAAACTTTGAAAATATACTTTGCCTTTTTTATCCACAGATTAAACTTCGCTATCAACCAACAAAGAATAAAAAATAACACCACACCTGTGTTATATGGTAATAAAATAATAATAATAATAATAAGAATTTAGAAATCAAACAATAACAACAACGATAATGATGAACAAATAAACAACAAGATTAGATAGAAGATTTCAATATTATTCATCATATCATTATCAAAGTCATCACTGTTTTTTTGGAATTGATTCATTTGGATTAGTTTGATCTAATTATTATTCACCGATTAGTTTGTTATTTAAATGTATAACATTGTTCATTATCAACACAAACATGTTTATAATCAACATTTTGATCATTGCATAATGATTATTCATAATTCTATTCGAACGATAATCATTGGCAAAAAAATCTTGATATGAATCAACAACAACAATCATCATTTATTTGTTAACATGATATAATCATCTTTTTATATTCATAATTTTTTTTTAATAATTGACAAATTTTTTTTTGTTTCATATATGACATGAAAATGACATTTGTATTAATGAATCATTTCCTGTCTTTTTTTTTGTTTATCTATCTTTTTTTTGTTGATTTGATTTTTTCTTTCAATTTTTGATAATTTAGTTTGTCATCATAATTTTCACACAAGAATAATTTGCACATAGATATGGGCTGAGCGATTTTTATTTTGTTATTGTTGACAGTTGGCTTAGAAGATAACAGATTTTTTCGTTCAAAAAAAAAACTGATGAATCGATTCTACCAATATATTGTAATGTACAAACTATTATGCATAATAATCAATGTGGATTGCAGCTTTATATGTTGTCAAAAAAAAATGTGAAACCTCACCGCCACCACCACCCATGAAACCAAAAAAAAAAACCAAACTAATCGCGCCTCTCATTACCTATCCAGGTATTATTATGTGCAAATATATTATGACCAGAAGAAACAACACAGGAAAATCAACGGCGATCACGACAAAAAATATAATGATGATGATCAACCAAATAATGGCAGCAGGTATTTGTATCACAATCCGGGGGTCTATTTTAGAACCAATTGAAACACGAATATCGAAAATAGAAACCAAAGTCAAACAAGGGAAAAAATCAGTCCGTCCGCCTGTACAAAAAAAACAGTGGGTATGTAGTTTTCTTTCTGTTGTTTCAACCAATAATACCATTTTAACAATTACCAGATTAATAATAAAATGTGTCCACCATCATCACATATAATATATGTCACGCAACAGTCTTTTTCTAATTTCAAGCGGAGGGAAGGATTCTGGAAATGTTTTTCGGCGAATTCTCTGTACATTAACTTCCAACTTATGATCCAACAACCACACATTCTCTTGTCATATAATTCGCTAGTCGATGCCACGCCAATTTTTTTTTCGCTTGGTAATATTAACAACCAAACGAACAAAATTCCAGCATTTTATTCATTTTTTTCCTATTCTGTTGTGGTGGGTGGCTAATAGCCATCATAACAAAACATTTCAACCAGAAATTATAGCCCGAAAAAAATATTTTATATTTCAGTTTGAATCTATCATCGAACGTGATCGGGCCATTTTTCTCGGACTATTCAAATGGTACACACATTGTGTGATGGATAATTTTTAGTTTCGTATTTATAGTCTGACAATATGTATGAAATTATATTCAAAAAAATGATAATGTTTTTTTTTAATAGAAACATTAAAATCACCATAACTATAACTGAATAACCATTGTCATAATAAAATTGTATTTTGAACAAGATTATTGGTCAAAACAGAAATTATTGCCCCAATGACATGTTTTGCCTTGGTTACCACCAATGTTTCGAATGGGATTTATGTGTGAGAAAAAACATCCAAAATTGAACGGCCAATTCAAATGGTAACTAAATTACATCGGCATTTTTAATTTTATAATTTAATTATTTTTTTTTCTTTAGAAGTGAAAAAAATGAAAAATTCCTTAAAAAATAACTTGGGCTGTTCGTAACAAAGCATCTTTTTTTCCGTATAACAAGCCACAGTGCACAATTGTGTTCAATTTTTATTTCTCTTGTCGGTGTGTGTGTTTGTTTGCATAAAAATAATCAGAAAATATTTTTTCTGTGCTTTGTTCGTTCGGCTCGAGTTACTTTGAAAAGGGAAATGAGCATCAAATCAATTTTATGATAATTAATAGTTGGTCAATAAAATAATAATGAAATAATTATTGAAATTTTCTTTTTTAAATCAAGAATAAATTAATTTTATTGTAATAAATTTTTTTTAAAAATATAATTTACAAAATGATAACAATGTCGTTTGGTGGTATGTATATTCAATATCAGAAATCCATGATCAATCGAATATTAAACAAGTAATTTTTGATGAATTATTTCATACATCATACATTTACGAAATGCAGGTATGTGTTTCTGTTTGGTAACGAAAAAAAAGAGAAGAAAATTGATTCATTTTTCAAAAAATTATCCTTGTTTTTTCCCAACAGAAAAAGAAAATAATAATTTCAAAACATACTTGTGTGAATGTCAATGAAGCACGACGGGAAATATATTCAGCATATTTACAGGCGAAAACACCACAATCATAATAATTTTGTTGTTTTGGTATATCAGGTATTTTATATATCAATTTCCATTCATTCATATCAAGTTCAATGTTTTTCTTTTTTATACTTTCAGTTTGTAAAAAATTTGTCAATAAATCGATACAATAACGAAATTCATTTCCAAGAGAATCATAATATACGATAGATTGTCGTTCATTGTCCACCACCTGGCCATTTACATATCAAAATAATTTTTTATTATTATTAGTGAAAACATTTTATGTAAACAAATAATAATAATATTACCGCTAATCGCCAATGGCTTGAATGATGTATAGGAATAAGTAATAAGTCATAAGAGAAAAAATCCAATTTATTTGCCCAACGACCTGGACCGGAACCATTAGAAAGTCGAGTGAAAAAATACGTACTAAATGCATATACTGATGGATATTTTTTCCTATCATTCTGAGATCTTGATACGATGAGATTCAGATAAAATTCAATTACCTTATTTAAAAAAAAGAAAAAAATTATTAATGTTGAAATTTTACTAAATTAAAAATGAACCGACACATACAGCATCATTAAGCCAATTACAACCATCCAGTGTCAATATATCTTTGGTATGAATATTAATTGAATATGCTGATACTAATAATTGATCGGGACTATTTAGAATTTCATCAATTTCATCTTCAATTTCTTCCGTTAATGGTACAACAACGGTAGTTTTTGTATCTTCAATTTGTTTTACACGATCCGATATTTCATGATCACGTTGTATATATGGTATAAATCTTTTAAATTTATAATAAAAATTATACGGTATGAATGGCTCGAACATTGATTTGATTCTGCTCGTTATTGTTTCACGATCATTTTTAAATATTTTTACATGATTTAATTTTTCATAGATTTGCATATCACTTATATTGGATTTATTACTATCAACAATCAGTTTATTATTATGAGAATTTGATTGTGACAGTGGTGATAACTGTGTCGATGAAGTTGATTTATTGTAAACCAAACTGATTTTGTTCTCAACAGATGATTTAAAAACATTAGATTTTTCAGGTAATTTCCAATAATCTTGAATCATATTCAATCTACTCGTATTGATGGATGTTGAATTTTTTCTCGAATCAATTTCGTCATGATGAACTGTTGGCAAAGTTGTTGCGAAACCTTTGGATTGTACCAGATTATACAATGAAAAGGAATTCGTTAAGGCCGTTGTTTGACGATCATGATAATTATTCCTATTCGATGGTGAGGTTGGCTTTTGAAATAAAGTTGGTAATGATTTAATAGCACTTTCATTCGTTTTAAAATTATTTCGTTGATCGAAAATTCGTCGATTCGGAACATTCATATGTTCCATTAACATTTTTTTGAATTTTTCACGTTCATTATATTGAAATGAATTCATTTTGGAACGATTTTTATTTTTTATTATTCTATTACCATTAGATTTTAGTGTTGATGATCGTTCAGATTTTCCAAAACGATTCATTAATGAAAATGATGATGCGGCGGCTGTAAATCGAGAGCCGCCTTTTTGATGATTATTCGGTGTATTGTGATTATTATTATTTACAGTTGATGTTGCGAAGGAATAGCCTAATTAAGAATTTTGAATAACTTTTATTTAAAATTTTCGAAATAAGAAACAAATCAAATATTACCGGCCATGATAAATGTCGCCGTTGATGATGATCACAGAAATAATTTCAACCAATTAGATGGCATATAAATGACAACCGTAATTGATTATTTTAAACTTATTTTATTTGATAATAAAGATTTAAACAAAAAAGAAATATTATCAAATAATGAATGATACAGAATTGAAGAACAAATAAAAAAAAGAATCCATAAACCCGCTCACACACACACACCGCCTCATCACACGTACAAAGAAGCTGTTCATATAGTACGTTTGTTTTTTTAATAAAAAAATCGAACTAGTTTCACGAACATCCACAGAGTCTATAGTATACTAAGTTCAGCACATCAAGTGTTCCAAGGCAATCAAATCCATAATTATGATCTATGATTTAAATCTTTATTTTTCCTTATTTAGTGATTTTATTTATGTAATGAAAGCAAGAAAAAGACTGGTTTTTCCTAATAAACTGTTGTCATTCGACTAACAATTTTTAATCTTATTATCCAAGACAAAAGCGGATTTGTGAAACAAACAAAACTAGTCATAAGAGTCGACTGTTTTTCATTTCCATTTGTTGATCCAAATCTTTCACTAGGATTATGCAACGGACAGAATATTTGGTTTCATTTTCACCAATTATGAAACATCTTATATCATCGAAACAAAAGTATGAAATTACATTAAATCGAATGCGATGTGCGCGTACAATTTCAATTTTTGTCTTGTGTGTATAGTGGCGGTATGTTATGTTTAGTCAGCCGCGATCCAATCATTGTGTGCATCGACTGGTCGGTTATCGTTCGGGCACTCTCCACATACTCACACAACCGATGTTCGATCATTCCATAAAACAAAATTTCTGTTCCAAAATAATATATGTGTGCACTGTTGTAATAATAATGGTATACGGTTTGCTCACGTTGTTTTTATTATTTTTATATTAGTTCATTTGCCTTTGTTTCGTCAGCGACTGTTCCATTTGGTTCGGCCAAACCGATGATGATGATGACTGCTATATGAAAGAATTTACAAAAAACTATAGAAAATTGTCCATTGACTTTTGTTCATTTCTTTATTGTGTGTTAATCTACCTTTTTGTTCAATGTATCAATATTGTTTTTCGATCATTGATCGTTTATAAATCAATCAATCAAAAAAAACCTAGTGACATGATGATGACAATCAATACCACTGCATTATCACCAAGTTCAGAGATAAAAGATTCAGCAACAGCATCAACATTTAAAGTTTGTTCAAAAGAGTTAACAACAACATTACCAAAACGACAATTAGATCATTTTTCAATATCGATAGTGCAGGAATGTACTGCCATTAAAAAAGGTTTACTATGGGAACAACAACAAACAAGATTCTTTTTCAATCGTTGGAAAGAACGTTTTTTCATTCTAACACAAGATTATCTAACATGTTTTAAAAAAGGTTCGAAAAAAGTTGGCATGTCCGAAATGGGTAGCTTTGTTTATAAGGTATGTTTTTCTTTCTTTATTTGATAAAATGATTGATGATTTATTAATGTTTGAAAACATTTATAGATAAATTTAAATGAAATTAAAAATTTAAATTGGGTCGATAAAAAAAAGAATGGCGTAATCGGTGTACAATTAGCAAATACAATGATATTCTTATGGAATAATGTTGATACCGTTTTGGATGAATGGATGTCCGTGTTACAAGATTCGACTATTCGAACCAAAGATCGCCGTTCAGAAGCATCTATACGTAAATCATCAACATTGTTGCCGAATATGTTGCATTCATCGAATGTTAATGGTAGTAATGATGATAAATTTACGAAAACTGAAATGATTCAAAGGTAAGTTCCAATGATATGTTTAAATTGTCATCAAAGATTTAATCCATTAAATGATTTTAGGAATGATTCACCAAGTGTAATATTGAAATCATCGGCTAACAGTAACAATAAATTAATAAATGAAATTATTATACCGCCACCACCTCCACCGCGAAGATATCTTCGTTGTCTGTCGACAGGTAAGTAGTGTTTTGTTTATTTTATATGATAGATTTGTGAAATATAAATAAATCTCTTTGATCCTTGCTTTAGATTTAGGCACAATGAATACACATTCAGATACAAAAGTAGTAATGACACCGAGTTTATCTCGTAATTCAATGGCTATTCATAATTCACCCATAATGGTCAACAATAATAATAAAACAATATGGACGAAAACAAATTCGGATATTGTGAAAGCAAAAGATTCGACAACAATAGTGGCCAGAAAACCGTCCGATACAAGCAGTACTGCCTCGTCATCATTAATGTCACAATCATTACGCTGTAAATCATCATATGCGCTTCAATATTCACCATTAATGGTGAATAACAATAATTCACCAACACAAATGAATCAACAGCAACGACGTATCACTGCCAAACGAATATCAACATTTCAACAACAGAATAATCATCATCCAATACAAAATATGATGAAAAATAATTATCAAACATCGAGCTCATCAACATCATCATTTTTTCAATCAGCCGATTCAGAATTTACATTTGTAAATTCAAAGGCAACAACATTCAAACCTGATTCAATATTTGCCCGTGGCTATAAAACAACTACCACACATAATAATAACAGCCGTGATTCACCAACAAATATTAATTATGGATCACGAGCAAATCGTATTTCATCATCTGCATCATTAATGTTGAATCATAGACGTAAAGATCGCTTCATATTGCAAACACCAACACCACCACCGGTACCACCACATCGTACACATTTGCATAATTTTTAATTTTCTGTGTTTTCGATTCCAACTTTACAGTATAGATTTTTTACTTTGTTTCTCATCATCACTATAATACTAATTAAGCTTACATTGTGATACTTGTCAATTGATTAATTGATTTGTTTCATTGTATAAAAGAAGAAAATGATGGCATCATTTATTAGCGAAACAAAAATAATTAAAAAGACAGCAGATTTTTTTCAAAGAACATTGTCCAATAACAATAACAGCAACGATAGAAGGATTTCATTGTTCCGATTTCGTCCATTATCGTAAATAACAATCGTATTACAAGAAATTTTCGATTTTTTTATTTGGCTGTCCATTTTCATTCGAATGATATTATTACAAGAAAAACTGTCCACATAAATACTACTAATAGTATGGATTACATTAACAGTGAACTTATTAGATCTATTCATTTTAATTAGTCAATATGAACAAAAACTCTGTCCATTTGTCCGATTTCTCTGTTTTTCATATACAGTTTTTGGCCAATATTTAGCATCATTTTGAAAGTTTGACGACAATCAATCATTATTTATATATAACGATTATATAGAAATAATAAATAAATGTATGAAGAACAGACCAGATTCTATGCTCTTTGTTCACATTGTATTCATGAATTTTATATCCATTTCTTTTCTTTTTTCCTTTTCCGGTTCATTATGATTACAATGATTTAAAATAAATTCAGTGTAAAAAAAACAAACATTCTGTTTTTTGTTTCCGGACTTCAAAATCAATTGGAAACGGAAATGATGACACGATCGATTTGAAAATTGTTACTTTGCTTTTGAAAAGAAAATAAAAACGAATTTTACAAGTTTAACATAAAATTGATAAAAAAAATTATTAACATTATCAACTATGAAATAACCATCTACAATGATTCTTAAAAAAAAAATTGATGCTGATGATAACATGTCAATTGATTGATTGAGTGTCAGTCGAACTATCGCCATCGATTAGCTATACGATCGATTGTAACATTTATCATCCATCAACAAAATCAGTAGTAAAAAAAAACACTACCAGCTAAGATGATGATGATGATGATGAGATAATAATTGGAAAAAAATTGTCTTTCCACCATATTTGATTGATTGGTTATGTGTGGTGTATGGTTTGTTTATTTGTTGTGTGTGTGTGTGTGTGTAATGAAAAAACTTTGATCCTCGTATTCCACATTTAGCGACGTACGATTAATATGTTTTACTGGTAAATAGATTCATCATTCATTCGTTATCCCAGAGTTAATGTCTCTGTTTTAGTGCGTGTTCGATAATGAAATAATTTCAACATTGATTTGTCATTTGATTTTTGTGATAATTTTTTTTTTTTTTTGAATCGAAGTTTTTTTTTGATCAGGATCGTTGTTAACATACACACACACACACACACACACCCGGTCACAAATGTCTTTGAATGAAGAAAATGAAAAAAGAAATTTTTGTTGTTTTTGTTTTGATTGGCGAAAAAATTTCCATTCATTAACATTAACTACTGTTTGAATTGTGAAAAAATTATTCAAACGAATTGAATCCGTTTTGATCACTTTTTTTGGCTTTTTTTTCTCTATTCATTTAACCAACACATTTCGTAAGTGTTTTTATTTTTTTGCTATTCTGATTAAATGATTAAAGTTCATCAATTTTTCATCATAGATTTATAAATTTATTCATTTTTTTTCATAATGATGATGATGCCACAAACATCGGGAAACAATGTATCGTCGAATGAAAACAATTCAACACAATCACCCATGGATGTGAATCCAATTACTATGAATAATAACAAGAATAACAACAACAATAATAATAGAATCATTGGAAAACATAATAATAGCAATAGACATATTGCAAATAAACATTCAAGTAGCAGTAATAATCTACGATCCAGTAATAATCAATCACCATCGAATCGATTTTCACAACAACAACAACAACAACAACGTAAAGATGCCCGAAATGACGAAACAACAACAATGTCAACATTTGTACCGGAAGTTCGTGAATATTTATTCAAAATATTAGTTATCGGTGAATTAGGAACGGGTAAAACAAGTTTTATTAAACGCTATGTACATCAATATTTTTCGCAATATTATCGTGCTACAGTATGTGTATTGAATGAATGTTGCTGTTGTCGGGTAATTGATTAATTGATTGATTGATTTTTCGTTTCATTATTATAGATTGGAGTGGATTTTGCACTGAAAGTTTTAAACTGGGATGATAATATATTAATACGGCTACAATTATGGGATATTGCCGGTCAAGAACGATTTGGTAATATGACAAGAATCTATTATAAAGAAGCTGTCGGGGCATTCCTTGTTTTCGATGTATCGGCACCATCTAGTTTTAATGCTGTATTGAAATGGAAACATGATTTGGATACAAAAGTTTGTATGGCCGATGGTGAACCAATACCTTGTCTATTGTTGGCTAATAAAGTATAAATAATAGTATTCATACACACACACTATTGATTGATTGATCGATTGATCAATCGAAACTAATTAATTGTGTTTTACTTTTTTTGTTATTTCTCAATTTAGTGTGATGCTAATAAAGAAGGTATTGCAGCCGATCCAGAAATGTTGGAAAAATTTACCAAGGAAAATAATTTCTGTGGTTGGTATTATACATCGGCAAAAGAAAATACAAATATTGAAGAATCAGCTAAATTTCTTGTCGGTAAAGTATGTGATTGTATTCAATTTGATCATTGAAATTTTCCTATTTAGTTCGTTTTGATTTTCATATAAACATTTTTTTCAGATTTTACAACGACAAAAACATTTTGCACTTGAAGATGTTGCCGATAATGATGATGTTATAAATCTAGCCTATCATAATCATGGTGTAAGTAAATCGGAAAAATGTAGCTGTTAATGTGGCAATCATAATTAACCATTGTTGATGGATAGAGAGAAAAAACAAACACAAAAACAATGACTGTAAATTGATTGTTTTTTCACACTTACATTCGAGAGAGAGAGACAATATCCCGGGCAATTTTATCATTTCATTTTTAAATGTAAATTTTTGCTTTATTTTAATAATATAATTATATTTACAAAATCGATATGTTTCATTTTTTACAATAAAAAAAAATATAATTTAAAGCCAATTCCGTTATAAATGTGAGTGATTGACATTTGTTGTAAAAAAAAAATTTTCTTTGAAAAATTACCCGCATTTATAAAATTATCAAAAAGTTATAAATCAATTTTCACCATCTGTTCTTTGGTATCTTTGAATGATGAATGTTGTAGATTTATTGTCGTTGCTGTTGTTGGCACTTGAATCGTTTGATGATTACTTCCTGTTGAACTATTCTGTAATAAAGATTCTGTTTCCGTTTGTACAGCCAATTTTTCATTATCATCATCATCATCCAATAATGAATATGAGGATCGACTTGAATGGTCTTTTTTTTCATAGAATAAATAAATATATAAAATGTAGCAGAAAACAAACAAAATGGGAAAAACAAATAAAATTAAAATGAAAAATCCAAAAAAAAAAAAATCAAAATTTGAAACAAAAAAAAGAAATACAGAATTTTGCCGCTGACACCATTTAAAAAGGCAAACAAACAACAAAGATAAATCTAAATAACGAAGGACAAAATAAGAATATTCAGTAAGGGAAAATGTCTAATGTACACGCAAAATAAATTCACATTCACACATATACACTGAAAATGGAACAAATTTTGTTGAAAAGACAAAAATTTATTCTAAAGTTTTTTTTAGAAAAGAAATTAGTTACAAAATTTCCAAAAAATATTTTTGCTGCAGTTCAAATTACAAAAACAAAACAAACAACATCTAAGTAATTCTGAGAAAGAAACTCATTCTTGTATTGTGTATGATGACTCAATAATAATCGAGTGTTAGAAAGGAATGGGAATATGTGGAAAAGTAAAGTAGAAAAGAAGGAAAAACATTGATTATGATGAAAATTATTTGAAATTGGGTGGGATGAGGCGGTGCCTGGAACAAAAGTGAATAAAATGATGACAAATGAAATATATTAGGTATATAAATGTATTTGTGTATCCTGTTTTGTTGTGTTGTTGTTTCATTAAACCGATGACAAAAGAAATTAATAAGAAATAATAAAGGAGAATAAAGAACAAGTATGAATTGATTAGATAATAATAATGTATCGATTTTATATTAGATGGGTCAGCGGCGTGAATGATTCCCAGTACGTTGACGTGTTCCATAATGCCTACCGTTTGTCGTTGTCGTTGTTGATGCCGATGATGATGAAATATTATTCGATGACATTTCATTCGGTACTGATCGAATGGTCAATATATAGATCCTTAAATGATTTGCTAGCTGACGACATGTTGAATAACTAAAACAAATGAAATCCAATAATATGTAAGCCTAAAACAAACAATCAAAACAAAAAAAATTGTTTAAAAGTATGAAAAGAAAAAAAAATAAATCAAACTTACAAATGCAATCCAAAGCATTGTTAATTCATCGAAATAGAAATTAAAATATTGATTAAAAAATAATATCAAAGGACCAATGAATATGGTATCCATTTTAGACATTTCACTTTTGCTCATATGTGCAACCTGGAAAGAAAGGAAAAGTGAACATGGAAATTTAAATTGTATATTTTTCGTTTTGGCTCACTTACCACAAGTTTACATGTTATTTTTGCACATACAAAACCAAATGTAATAATATAGATGGCTACATAATTAACAAAAGCGTTGCTCATTGATTTTGAATATATAATCAATGTAAATGAATAGACCAACATCAAAGGAATTATCGGTGATAGAATCGATGTGCCCTGTGTGTATTGGTTTATAATAACAAATAAATAAAGCTGTGCGTAAAATTGAGAATAAAAACTTACAGCGATTGTTGAACCATTTTTGCCCGCACCACCAGATAGAATGGATTTGAGATCACGGAATAAGAGATAACATTCATTACCGATAACACCGATCATTGCCATTATTTTTAGCTCGATACCAAAAATCTGAATTCCGTCGAAGAATTTAAATTATAAAATAGGAATTAATGATCCATAAAGCTAAATAAACATACTTTATTACTCCAAAATGATAAGCCGAAAATAGCTGATGTTAAATGTATTATTATTATCGTAAACTGTGCTTCGGTTACATCAAAGAAACCAAATTTCAGCGTACCAGAAACATATGCTTGCCAATGGGCAATATAGAATAGACTAGTTGCACCACCACATAATACAACCATCCAATTGGGATATTCACCAAGTTGCACGGATAAACATACGGATAATGAAACAAATACTGAACGAGATCATCATAAATTAAGGGCTTAGTAAACGAAAACAATTCGAAAATCAAAAAAAAAGATATTTACTCGTAGAAATAGCATCACATCCATGATCAAAAAGTTCACCCAATGATGAGCTTGTTTTCGTACGACGTGCTTGTTTACCATCACAAGCATCCAATGTTTGATATATAAATAAACCAATGGCAGCCAATATCAATACATATGATGGAATATCTTGTTTTGCATCCGGACTATAATATACCATCAATGAACATGTGAATACATTGACAATCAAACCGACAAGTGTCATTGCATTTGGTGCCCACCATTCCGGTATCCAGTTATCAATACACCATCTCCAAAATTTTTGCATTATAAAATCAAGCATTGTACTACCAGATGCTGAATATTTATGATCGGCCAGTCTATTATAATGGATTTATTTATAAAAAAACAATTAATTACATGTAATCATTATTGTCATTCAAATAAAAAAACCTTTTTAGCTTAGCATCATTAAGCTTTTCACAAACAACGCTTGAAGCAGCGTTAAGCAAAGAATTGAAACGACCAGCCATTTTTGTGTCACAATTGTTTTTGTTATTATTTTATATAATGATGATGATGATAATAATAATTTCAATCAATCAATTAATTAATCAACATTCGATGATAAGATCTATGAAAAATAAAAAAAAAATTAATAAAATATAATTAATTGGAGATGAAAAATTAATTATTATATAATACATTTCGGCTAAGATGATTTTTTAATTGAATGGACAAATGTTTCAATAGCGATTTCATTAATTAATTGTAACAATGATGACGTTGACAAATCAATAAAATATTGTATGACAATAATCCAAAGATCTACATTTTATCAATTGGAATACTATAGTCGTGGCGTGAGGAAATTGGCTTGAAATTAAAATATTTATTTTATCTCAACAGAAAAAAAAATCAATTCCAGAAAATGTTCAATACACAAACCACAAAATGATACAAAGTTCGGTTGTGTATTGAAAAAATTAATTGAACAAAAATACTACGATTGAACAGAACAAAAAAACGGATGACTAAATGGAAAAATGTGCGATATGTGATATGATGATGATAATGTGAAAAATCATACGATATTTTTCTCTATCTCTCTCAATTTCACTATGCATTTTTTAGTTGCAACAATAATGATCGTCAAGCATAAGATAGATAGTAATACCTATATAATAATAAACATGCCTGATAATTTTTTTTTCTGGAACAACTTGAAAAAGGAAAGACTCATAATATTGGCAATCCATCGACATTGAATTTTTCCGGTATAATCTATATATATATGTTTAAATGTGACTTACCAATACAGAAAAACAGATATTTTCAATTAAATTTAAACAAAAAGATTTTTCCAAAGGTTAACCAAACATATTACACACGCATATAAATTGGTTTGATGTTGTGGACAAATTATCGATTAATAGATTGAATCGAATGAAATTGTCAATTAAACATAGGAATTTAGTGAATTAAAAATAATCAAATTATGATTATCACAAATAAAATTTGACCGACAACAAGACAATTTTTTTTTCAATGATTTCTGTTGTTTTTTTTCTGTTTGCCCAATCAACCGCTCATGACGTCAGTCATCTCGTTACGTTGTCTATGAAAAGCGTTTGTTTAAAATTTGATTTTTGGTCAAAAACAAACGTTTGTGATGGTCAAATTATGATTAAACCTCAGTTATTTGAAATGAAATTTTGACAAAAGCGATTTTTCTAAAACAAAAATTTCTTTATTTAAGTAAATCAAATTGATGATGAAAGAAATATCACATATCATTTGGGTGTATATTGTGTTGTGTTGGGTGTACCACAAACAAATGGCAAATCGAATCGAAGAATTTCAATTTATGTTATGAAAAAATGGCATTGAGTTTTCTTTTGTCGAAATTCAAAAAAAAAAATGTAATGAAATGAGAATTGAATCTATTTGAAAAAAACAAAATGTTTTGGAAAATTCAGAAACAAAAAATAAATAAGACAAAGAAGAGATAAATGTTACAATGTGAGAGAGAAAGAGAGAGATTCCGATTCATAATTTTTGTGTTTCACACCCCAAATTGATCACAAATGATTAAATGAACGAATTAATGAGCAAAATTTTATAGTTTGAGTTCTATGATGATTATGATTGAAAATTTAGCCAAAATTTTCGAATTGATGTATAAAATATGGTAATTTTCGTCGATTATTCACAGTTTCACAAGCTTTACTTATTGATTTTGTCATTGCTGATGGTCCACAGCTAAATACACCTACTTTGCTCACCTATAAATTTTTGAGGAAAAAAATTTGTGAATTTCTCTTTAAAAAAAAATCACAATAACACCACTTACATAAGAATGTTGATTTTGTACAAATTTCAGGAAGGCAATCATATCTGGTCGACCAAAATGATTGATAGCTTTTAGACCGGTAAACATACTACGATTCGATATTCGTTGGAAATGATTTTCACATATATACTGAATTAATGGATGAAATAAAATCATTGAATCGATTAAAATTGAATTCAATGGAAAAAAAATTCAACTCACCAACATTGTCGTACGTAAATCAAATTTATGAAAAAATTGTGTAATAAAGATATGTACTTCTAAAACTTGTGTCACATCTTTACGTTCTACATCACGTAATACATCGATGAACCATTCAAAATGACGATGTGATGGACAAATCCAAAGAAAATATACCTGATGGATGAAGAAAATAGTTTTGAAAATTTCATTTTTTAAAAAACAAACGCGACTATTTTTCTGGGACATATATTCTAATCTTTTTTTCTGACACATTAAAATAAATTCAACCAACCTTTTTGCAGGCAACACCGGAATAACGATTTGTCGATGTTCCAAACACCAAATCGTTTAGTATGGATGCATATGGTGTAACACCGATACCACCGCCTACCATAACGGCAACTTCATATTTATACCAATCTTGATTACCACCACCGAATGGACCTTCCAGACGTATTTTAGGAGGCGGTAAATCCGGTACAATATTGACCAAATTATTTGGATCAAAATAATTTCGTAGTTTCCATGTCCATGGGCCCTGAGCTTTAACATGAACAGAAAGATAATTTTCATGTGGTGCCGAGGTTAATGTTAATGAATGATATTCGCTTGAACGAAATGCTGTACATGATAATCGTATCCATTGACCAGATAAATATTTAAAATTCGGTGGACGTGAAAATTTTACTTTTGTTACATCTGAAATGAGAATGAAAATTTAAAAAATATATATCTACCTTCTGAAGATCTAATAAATACCTGAAGGTAGCAATTCTGTTTCCAGAATATCTAATTCCATATATTTTGTTTGCAGGCTGACAATTTTATCTAAAACAAAAACGATACCGGGAACGATGAAGAATAGCCAAAATTTTGGGGGCTGATACAGATATAAAAAGTTTTACCAATTAACAAAAAATCAAAACAAATTCAGGCATTACATACCCCAGTAATTTTAGCCAATCCATGAATAAATGTAAACAAATACATAAGGGTGTATAGTGAATGTGTGGTCCAAAAATAGCTATACGCTTTTTGTCGTATTCGTGGATGTGCAAAAATGAATATAATCGATACGATTAGTACGAGTAATATACCAGTCAATCCAGTTACAGTTCCAAATATCCAAAATGAAAATGTTGGCTTAGCATCCGATTCAAATTGTAGCTCTTTAGTTAGACAACGTAAATGTTCAACAGGTTGAGTGGAAACATGATAAAAATTTACACAATGACCAATCGTATGTAATACTGGATGATGAAAATGAATTCAAAGAAAAAAAATTCAGAATAATTAACGAATATAAGAACAATAATATTACGAAAACATACCTGTGAAAAATAGACCAGTCAATGCAACAATTTTATGAAATTGTACATGAGAATCTAATGGTATATATTGATGTATGGGTAATTCACGAATTTTTGTCATCAAATTACGACACATGGTCACCAACAATAATGAATAACAGAATGATAATGAAGCAGCCGAGCCACGAGTGACGGCAATACCATAACCCATTACATGACGAAGATCAGTATGTTCACTTAGATGACTATATGTAACAAAACGTTCTAAAAATAAAACAATTGTTGTAACGAAAAATATTAATAAATAAACAATTGGTTGACGATTCTCCTCCAGATAAGTGATGAATTGATTCCATTTCTGTATAATGAACATTGGTTCCGGATCTGGATATGGATTTATCTGAAAACTAGTCATCCGTGCAATGTTTGTCGATGTATCCAAGAAATTTTGTTTAGCACCTTTACAATCTAAACCGATTGCAATTAGATCACCACGATATTCGCTCATCATATGTTTAAAATCTTCATAGGTTAATTCATCTTTATCTTCTAGACCGGCCGATGCAAACATTCCTTCAATCAATTGCATCACTTCAATTTCAGTCATTGAATTTGTTTTAGCAATATCCACCAATGATCGTAACATTTTCGTTAGTTCATTTTTATCAATAACACCATTGCCATCATGATCACACATATCGAATATAATCCGTAATTTACTATCGGTTTTACCACGTGTAAATAGTACGACTGTATCAAGAAATTCTTGAAAACTAATACGACCATCATGATCTTTATCAACACAATTAAACATTTGTTTCACAAATAATGAATCAGGTTTCATTCCTAATGCTTCGGCAAATTCTTTTTTCGACAACGATGTACGCATTACCATGATGACATCGTTGCTTACATCTTCAAATTTACGTTTCTCGCCCGGTTTCAAACCGAATGTTAGTGCGTATGCTTCACGAAAAAAATGTTCCAAACGTTTTTGTCGTTTTTCTTTTGTTTCAGCATTCGCCAACATTATATCCCGATAAGTATGTATTATTTCTAATGTTTTCTTATGATTCAATAGGAATGATTCAAGTTTTGTTAGAAATTTTTTTCTTGAACCATTATTGTCAAATTGTAATACAAGATCATGATCTCTTGGTGGCCGTATCAATATCATTGGTTTATTTGAATCTTGTGATACTTCCACTAATAATGATGATGTTTCATGTATATCAATCTTTCGTAATGTTTCACCTTTACGATTTACAGTCGATACTGATTGATCGGGTCCAATTTTAACCTTTACATAACGTTTATGATTATGATGTAACCATTCACGTACATCTAATGTGTATTACATTTTTTTTCAAATATAAATAAATAAATAAATAAAAATTGATTTTTATCATCATCATCAAAATGATTTGTCCATGATTAACGATATACATACATAATTTATCATAATTTTTCTTTTGTGATATTTCTCTTTGCTGTTTAATCTTACGACGTCGACGATTGTTTAGTTTGATAACACCATATCCCATTACAGCGACAACTATGAATATTAAAAAAAAATTTCAAAGATAAAATTAAAATTAAAATTTTGCCGATTAAAAAACACATTCACAAAATTTAACCACTTACACATCGGTATAAATATAAGCAATAAAATGACCATTATATATGGCAGTTCACTACCATGAAAATAATTCCAACCAGCTAGAATTAGGCAATTTTCCAAATTTTTACTTGTCATCTGTCGCGGTTGTGGACATGGATCGTCTGGAT